GATACATGATTATGACAAATGTACATTTATATATTATTAAAGAGACATAACAATTAAGTTCAAGTTAAATGGTTTTATATACATGTATAAGCTTCTATATGATTATATTTCTATATGATTATATTAGCATTATATCAAAGGTTATCTTAGAGCAATAAGTATTTAAGCGTAACAATAAAAACACATTTATATAATTGTTTTATACATATTTCATATTTAAATTTCATTTGAGTTATCATACTGATAATGCAATGTAATTATATATGGTTAAAATGCCTCAGTATTCAACCTAGTATCACACATCTTACCGAAACGAAATATAAGCTATGTAAATTAGGCAATACCGCTTAAATATTTTCTGTCATTTGAAGTCCTTGTTTTTATTTAGATAAAACGTTTAGTTATTAAAAACTAAACAATCGTATATAAACTTACAAGCACTTTGTATGAAGTCTTTTTGGAGAAATTCAACTATGTCATATATATCCAAGGCACGAGGATTTAAGATAGTTCTTAAAAACGTCTCGCTGTTACATCCTTTCAGGAAGTTACTGAGTTCACAACTATATTGTTTTTCAACACTATTAAGGAAAGTTGTTCGAGTCTTTTTAAGTGAAATACATTTTGATATTACATGGAGATTTAGGTCACTTGTTTGAGAACCACATTTCTTGCATGTTTTTACATCACTTTGTTTTGCCTCAACACGAACTTTAGCAGTACATAATGCATGTTTTATTGAGTTTAGAGAGTCGGAATTTCTCCATAATATTGATGGGCTTACATCGGTATGTAAAGTTTTAAAGCGTACAAAATCATCATCGCTATTCATTCTTTCTGACCAATGCTGTGTATGATATTTGCGTATAGCGTTAAAAACTGTTCGTTTCCATTGTAACTTGTCAGGAAAGATTGCTGTTTGTAAGTAGGATTCAACAATATGGAAAAGGTTATATTTTCTTAGAATTCTACAGACGTCAGGTATATATCCGCTTTGTCCACTAAACTGTCTGTTTGCATATAGGTGTAATCTGAAATTAAATATTTTTCTTGTCAATAAATTTGAAGGCATTGTGCACAGTTTCTGCAGGAAATTAAGCTTTCGTTTGTCAATTTCTGCTATAGCAGGTAACCATCCCAGCATGCTTAGAGCCATATCAGTTCGAGTTCTTCTAGGAAAGTGTTGAATGCATTTGGCAGCTAACCGGAATAATCTTTCCATCTTAAGGATATCAGTGTCTGTCAAATCATTCCATAATTCCGCTCCGTAAAAGGCAGTTGGAAATGTAACTTTTTTCACTAAAGAGGCCTAATATCTCAGATATTAAAGAAGGTCGATATAAGAACATTATTAGAAGCGAGAGATTATGTAGAGGATGTCATATGAATCAAGTTGAATCATATTATCAATTTAAGTAGTATTTCCTTTTCATATAGATAATTCCGTTTGAGTCTTTTAGATAGTAATTATTAAAAATAATATATTATAAATTTAATAAACTTATGTCAACACACAAAAGGTCTGTTCAAATAAAACTTGGGAAATTTGCAAATTGTTTATTTCGCTTTAATGAAAAGATATAAAATGTTTGATGTAGAATACAAATATGCATTTCATAAACCTAAAACATTAATAATGCCACATACAGGCCCATTACACCTCAGAAACGAAATAATTGTTCGTCAAACATAAGTTATATAACATATAAATAACTGTTTTTGAGTATGTAAGATGATTATTACCTAAAGAAAGTAGTTCTGAAACTAAAATCGTTTGTCATTAAGTAGCAAAATGTAAACAAAGTAGTAGTTTGACTTCTGTAACATTACTAATTGCAAAGAAGCAACAGAAGCAGAAGATTGTTCAGCTAATTGGCCACTGAGTAACTTTTTGAACACTTTAAAAGGACACAAAAACATAAAACGATTTTGGGAAATAAGAATAAAAGCATTTCTGTGTCATAATGGGCCTTGAAATAAAAATATTATATTTTGTTTTGTTATTTTACTATTGTTAACTTCACCGCAAAAGAGATATGTTGGCGATAAAAATATATATATATTTATATTCGTACATATAAAAGTATAGCAATAATAGTAAAAAAAGATAAAAGTGTGTGAAAGGCGTTTAGCGGCTGCGCTAACATTTTGCGAAATCTACCCCAGACCCCCCCCCCCCCCCAAAAAAAAAAAAAAAACACCCCAAAAGCTCAAGTTTAAAGTTCTCGTCACAAATAAATTTTGAATTTTATTGAATTAAAGATATGTAGATATCTGAATCTAGAAAAATGCATAATAGCATTATATATTTTTTTCATTAATTCACAGATAATTAAATTCAAACCAATAAGAAGTTTGACCTATGAAGTTTTATCACTCACCATAAGTGATAATTATGTAGTGAATGAATTATAATACCACAAATTAAACACAATGATCACTTCCATTGAAAAAATGCAAATGTTTGGTAAATAAAAATCAACGCCATCTTCATCTTCTACTAAAACCGATGCAAGAAGGCAATGACGGAAGCTTACATTTATCACTACCATTATTGAACAAGCACAACCTTACCGAAAATACAATATTTTCAATTTGGCGGTGTCGCTGACCTTTTACATTCCATTATATTCCCCGAGAATAATCATTATTTTGATAGCAATCTGTTGTCAAAAATTCAGCAAAGTGATACGAAACCTTATAATTTAGCTAGATTTCTGATATTGATTTTACCTTAACTTGTCGTTCATGCCTTACAACGTATGACACCATTTCTTTGAAATATTTCACAAGTCTTATGACAAATTGACAATGCTGTTTTCTAGACGTAGCACTGCAAATAAATGACTTTGGTGCTACCTATTTCCCCCTGTCAATTAATAACTCAGAGAAAATAAATTAAATCTTGATAATGAATTAATTAATTTAACTCCAGTTTTTGCACAGTTTTAAAATGTCATTAAAACAGTTTAGAAATTTAAATGGAATCAAAGAATATTTCTTTTTACCTTAATTAAATCAATATGAAAGAGAATATCCTTATTTATTCAAATTTCTCGATTCTCAATGCGAAAAACAATGTATATCATTGATGTAAAACTAACAAATGCATTTATTTATTAAAATTGATCTTTGTTCGACGTCTACCAAATACTAAACATAAATGCAGCTAGATGGCTCAATGGCAAAAACATTTATTCCCTATTGTAATATATTTGACAAATTTCTTTTCTTCCGTGACATCAAATAATCAACAAAAATGACAATGAATTGATTCATAGCGTCTGTAATGTTTATAGCATATTTCTGAAATGCTATGCCTTAAGTGTCTCCTATAACATTTTCTTCATAATTATGTTACTTGAATATTTAAAGGAGTATTTTACAAATAAAAAAAAAAACATTATAATGTTAAGTCTCTGACAAAAATAGAGAAAAACGGAATCCTTTAAAAAATGCCCAGAAAATTTGAAAACGATGTAGACTCGGTTTTATTGAGGTTGTATTTGGACGGCAGATTGTATTGCAAGCTACTTCCACGTTCCCAAACACCGGTTTATACAGAATTCATCATTTACACATGTAAACTTTGTGATTTTTTGCATTCAGAAACATCTGCAGATGTAATATTACGGTGCTATTATGAACCTTTAATGTGACACGAACGTGCCATTCCATGGAAAGTGACGTATTATCCAAAACTAAGGGAAGTCATCTGTCCTAAACGGAAAAACAAATAGGCGAAACTAAATAAAATGCAATTTTGATAGGGTATCATAGGCTTTGAACAAAACTACGTAATGAGTACTAATAAGAATATTTGTTCACATACCATCTCTGGAATTATCTGATTAGATCAACCTTGTTTCGTGCCGTTGTTCCCTAGAAAACAGTCACATCTTTTATGGGTAGTCAAATATATAGACAATTTAGAAAAGCTATGTTTGTCAGGTGTCTACTTGTGCATTTTATATTATAGATTCATCCTATAGTATCCCAAGACATTACTGTGTGAGAAAAGAATCAGCAATTAACCTAACATTTCAGCCAAGCGAAACGTCTTTAGTCAACATATGCCAACATTCGACATCAGCTTTGCATGCCTTAAAATCGAGCGTGTCAGACTGATAATGTACCTATTTAGAAACATATTCACCATGGTGAATTGTCGATTGGATATTCAAAAAAAAATGAAAATGAAATTCATTTTGCTTTGGATGTAATTAAATTATTTTTGTCTCGTGTAATTACATAAAAAAAGGTTTAAATGTGTTTTTTATGAACTTAGGTTTATTTACTTTGCATATGCGGTTTGTTTTAATCTTGGTTTGTTTATAAAAGCCTAAATGCTGGACAGTAAAACTTGAAATCATGAATGTAATAATAAGAAAGGTATTACGATTTTTATTCCAATGCCTAGGGGAAATTTATAACATCACATTTGTGTTGAAGATTAAAATCTTTTTTACTGGTTCTCGGAGCTTTATATATTTTACTTATTTCATTTCAGTCGTTTGCATCAAACATCAACACAATCTAACCTTCAATATTGAGTCGAAATTTTTTTTGTTTTCATTGTTGCAATAATATTACCTTTTCAAGAATTGTACTGGAATTATTCGCATTAACTATATTTTACAACAGAGATAAACTTTTTCATACGAGTATTTCCCATTTACATGAATATTTATTTATTCATTTTTCTATTCTTCACAAATTATGAATCCTTTTTAAATTATAGACAATATAACACAGCGTTTAAAAGGATATGGATTTTAATGTTTTGCTAACAATTGATAGATTTCAATTACATTCTGTTTGAAACCACGTTTCTGTTCAGTCCATAATTGGTAGGTAGGCGAGCGAATTATCAACCTCTAAGTGATGATGTTTATTTTTTTCCGTTTTCCTGATTTATAGGACTATATTCATTTTGAGTGTCAATTCACTTTATCATACAATAATAGTTATTATGGTGTTAGAAATATACATTTCGCGTGTTCAGACAGTCACTAATTTAGGTGAAAGTTATTACTGATTGTATCTGTTGATATCTCACTTGTGCTGAAATCATCTCTGACTATAAAATCTCCTGCTGTATGATCAGTATTGTATTTTGTCAGCTACGAGGTTACAAGAAAAATCTTTTCAGGCGAAGTTTTATAGGAGTATCAGAGAATAAACTAACGATAAAATATGAATACAACAACGGCGGAAGCCGGAAATTTTACACAGGAATACTATTATGAAGATGAGTGGGAATTAAAACCATTTGTAAAGGTCAGTACATCAAACGTTACCATCATTAAAGTATAATGTCCAGCTTATACATTTGAAAGCTACTTAGATATTAGTCATTTATTAATACACCTGAAACGTTTGTATCATTCTTATATATCTAATACTTTGGGCAGCAAGTATCACTATTATAAAAACTTCAGAAATAAATATAAATAAACAAATTTTGACAACAAAAGAAATATTTGTATTTTATTTTACCTGTCTGCTGTCATCAATATTATTTAATATAGTAAAGATCAGTAATTAATATGAGTATCTTAAGGATAAATGTATCTGTTATCTCACAAATACAGGGGTTATTTATATTCAAACCTCTAAAATAAATTGATTACAGACATAAAGCTGACTTGAAACGTTCTACAATACTTCTGAAGGATTTTTGTTTTCTTTACAAAGACGGCTACAGATTTCTATTGAATTATTATTATAAAAAAAACACTTTATATCTGTTAAAGATCATGTAACACAATTTTTTATGGTTTTATTTCATAAACATGATGCTCAAATTAAGATTTGTCAATTTTGTAAGTTCCGTAAGTTCCAAAAACATTATTTATCAAGATATTTCCGAATTAAACATTTCTTATAACAAAGAGAGGTAATATAAATTTATTTTATATAAAGTCTAAGTCAATTTTTTTTATTAAGAAATGAATGCATATATTTTAATGATAACATATAATATGTACAAATATTTGCAGAACATATTTTACATATTCTTCGATGTTTGAAAATTGTTTTATAAGCATAATTATATAAATTTCATATATATAATTTCACTTAAGTGTACTATACAACCTCAATTACAACATACATGATCTTTAATGATTTTTATTATATTTTAATGTTAACGGTTTTTGTTGTTTCGTTTACGTTTTTTCTTAAGTTGATCAATAAGTCCTAAGATTAGATATATGTTTGATACATATAAAACTTGTAAGCAGTATAATGCATTCATTTCTAAGAAAAACATTGAACCATTTTTAAGTGCAAAGTAGTTTTCATTTGCAATGTCATGATACATTTAAAGAGGTAACAATTATAAATAACTTGACAAAATTTAGATAACTTCTGCTATTCCATAATGGTTTCTACTTTGTCATTATAAAGGACATGCAAACAGTGTTACAGATCAATGTTTGTTAAGCAAATGAATAATATGTTTTGTCTGAAGATTGTACAACTAAACTAAATAAAATAAAACATTTAGCGATCTTTTTTTTTTTTGCTTTCAATGAAACAAAATCTGTAAGTTTTGATTACATCTCTTTGGGTTTTATATCACCAAATGCATAATTTCACTCATCATTTTTATTATTTCTCACTAATTAACCTGATGAATTACTTTGATATTCACTATAATGTCCTTATTTTGATGATAATGATAATTTATGTCAAGCAATGTACGTTTGTGCTCTTATACAAGTGACGTCTACAATTGTTTAGCTTAAATCTTAAAACTTAACTGAAAAGACGGTCACCGTTTATATTACAATATAGGTACTAACCAATCATGTTCCTATTAATCATAAATTATTATTTCCTATATATTTATTTGTTTGTGAAATAGATTACAAAATGTAATTTTATTGACTGAAATGCTTTTAATGTTGACTAATGCGTTTTTGCTCCTTTTTGGTTGGGTTTCTAAATCGCACCAACGCAGTATAAGTCATGTTGCGACATTCAAGCTTACACAGTGAAAGTCATGTTGCGACTTTTAAGCTTTACTGGTTTAGGAAGATCTCAGCCAGTAAACCAACAAACCTGTAGGCAACCAGTATAGAAAAGGCATTTTATATTGACTATAAATCATTTGAAATTTAGTTAAAAGTATTTAATTATCACTATCAGGCGTTTTATATTGACTGTTTGGACATTTATATCAGAGACGTCCGTGGTTGAGTAGTAAGGGTTGTTGACTTCAATCTTGACTTGCCCCAACCGCTGTGGGTTCAAATCCCGACAAGGACTTTGCATTCTTTCGTTAGATGATGCCATGCAACCAACATACGGAAGATCAGTGATTCTACTCAGGAACCTGTTCGTGTCTCTAATAATGTACGGAGGGGCATCTGAGGTCTTCCTCCACTTGATAAGCTGAATAGTCGTCACATGATCTAAACTTTTTTGGTGCAACGTAAAATTCAACCAAATGACAGACATTTAATGTTTGCTTTAGGTTCTTACTTCACCACCATTTTATATTGGCCATAAGGCTTTATGTAGTTTTGAACATGAGACATTTTTATGTATTGTAAAACATGTAATATTGATAGTAGTGAATGTATTGTATTGTGCTTGACAAATTTCAAATAATTTAGTAAACATATCTGCTGAAAAATAATTATTTATCAGTTTTTGATCTATGATGAGCATGTTGCAAACATTTTTGGAAAGAATGACACGTGCATATGTTTGAAATGTGTTCTTCATGTTAACACCATGTTTTCAAAATTTGTTTGAACAAAACATTCACGTAGAGTAAGGATATTTGTTGAAATATGACCATCAATCAGCCATATTCTAAAACCTTTGTGTGAATGTTATGGTGACGAGGCTACATTGTACACAATTTGCAGTACCGTTGATACTTTATAAGACGTTTCTGTGGGTAAACAAATTAAGATTATATTTACAGTCTCCAGACTGAAAATACTTGAATTTCAATATATTCACCTTGGATAATAAAGATATCATAAATCACTGAGCTTTGTCTTTGTTTTTATTTGTCGTGATATTTCAAGCGTATAAGATATTTCCAGACAATAATTGATGAGGGTTGTAGAAAATTCTGTTACTTGAAGACAACATGTTTGATACGCTACAGAACTTTATTGTGAATAATTGTCTCCTTGGAGTTGAATCAATATATGAATTGATATTTCTAAGACTAAACAAATCAAAGACTCATTATTTACATTTAATGAAAGATACTGTATATTTTATTACATTGAAGCAAAGTTACATCTTATACAGAAACATATATTTGTAATTCTTGTATTTCACTTCAAAGTATTTACGAAGATATGATGAAAGCATTTTGATAATTGCATGTTTGTTAAATGTATTGATTTCAGGAAAGTTTTTTTATCGCACTTGGCTGGCAATGGATAAATGCAATGCTGATAATATCCTTGAATACTGCAGTTATTGTGACAATCGTTCGCTACAAGAAAAAGTCAAGACTGTACTTCCTCCTCATGAATATGGCCATTGCAGGTTTGTGATATTTAAAATCATTGTATCTTCTTTTCATTTTTAGATTATTTTTCAAAGATTCACATCCTTTTAATCATGTATTTTTCATCAAACCGACATGAACGTTGTCTTCAATACTTCTTTCCTAAATACAATCTTCCCAAAAAAATAAGAAACTGAATTGTAGATGTGTCTATTTATTATGAACACTTAATAAGTCATTTACATATAAATCACAACCAATAACCTCACTGAATATGCCGATAAACGCATTAACTGACGTCAGTCCCTACTTTCTATCATACTGTCTACATTTTGTAAATAATATAAAGAACAAATATATTTGTTTTGAAACACGAAACGTGATTGTAAATAGGTGATTATTGCATAATATATAGTTTGTAATTGTGAGATTAGTTGAAAAATGTTTTATTAAGAATATTGCAGAATTCTGCTTTCATCTCCTATTCACCTTTTTTGGTTTTGACTTATTAATTTAGCCAAATACTTAGGCGATATAAATATAGTGTCTAGGGATACTTGAAAATCAACAAACTAGGAAGTTCATTACGATGCCCGGTTTTCTTTTTAGTTTTTATCATGAAATTTTATTGAATTGCTCTTAGCAAGAGATGGCTGTAAGACATAATGTCATCATCACTAGGGTGGTCAATATTTGCTTTTATTCAGTGATAACTTAAAGAGTAACATAGTTTTTTTTTTACTACTTAATGTTTCTGGCTTTTATGGATAATTTACTTTTGATTTTAAAGGAAGTCTATATCATTTTTATCTGTAAATAAAATATAGATAGCTTGACATTTATATGTCATAATGCATAAAAAGCTGATGTAAATTAAGTATAATTATGTCATAGCATTAAAACCCATAAGTATATAACTGGGTAAAAAGTGGTCGAGTATAAAATACGATTCTTTGGTATTTGCTCAATTTTAATACATAAAGAAATGACCTCCTGATTTTTTTTAGATTTGATAACAGGAATCGTCGACGCCTCGGTGAATGCTACAGAAAGAACCTTGGGTATGGGCGTGTTGAATTATTGGTGGTTCGGTGGAAATTTCCTGTGCAAATTGCAGCGTACATTCAGCAATATATCACTTTTGTCGTCAAATTTTATTCTCGCAGTAACTAGCATAGACAGGGCTTTGGTAGTTGCCAAACCAATGTTACATTTCAAGAGAGGTATATTGGACATTCCTAAAGTATTTTAAAATTCATCTTAAATTCAAAGTGGTTTAGTGTTGATAGTATTACCTTTTTCATAACTTCATCTAATAGGCAATTTAATAGCCAATTTGAGCTTAATTAATGTGCAAGTCTTATCAGCACATTACCACTGTGACAATATAATCTGAAATATATAAGTTCGTCTTGTCTAGAGTATTTTAAGTTGTAAATAACGTTATACATAGTTATGTAAAGTATACTATTTTCAGGGAATACGCTACAAAAGATTCTGATACTATCTTGCTGGCTCCTTAGTTCTCTTCTTTCTTGCCCAATGTTAATGATATATAAACAAGGTTATTACGATTTATTAACTCCAGAAGGCGGTGTTCAAAATGTACCTTTGTGTAGGGAAACTATAACCGGAATCGGCAGTTGGAAGGTTTGATATAGTTTTTATTATTTAAGTATTTGTCACTTTAAAACGTCTAACACTTCACACACATTGTTTAGGCTTTATTGTCTTAGCCTAATGAAGTCATCTTTTAGAGTATTTTTTATCGTTATAAATAGCTGTAAAGTAATGTTTCTTGTAGCAAAATCAACATAAAACCCTCTGCTCCTTTTAGACACTGAATGTCAAATTTAGTTAACCTGTAACTTTGATTAAGTTTTTTTATGGTTCGACTTAAGTTTTTGTATAGACACACTTGTCACTTTATGTATATACAGTAATGTATGTATTTTTTGTTTGTTTTCCATACATTTCACATGATTATGGTCTTTTCAAAAAATAAAACATGAAGTTCGTATTCATGGCTATCACTGTATGAGATTAAACATTGTCAAAGGTATAAATAAAGGATAAAAATATTGTTTCAGATATTTTTCTACTTGCTGTTGATCTTTAGTGTGCTCATACCATTGACTGTTATTATAATTAGCTACACTATACTAGTCTTGGCTATATATAAACGTGCCAGATCGCCGCCAAACAGTAAGTCATATGACTGATATTAATTGTGAAATATGTTAATTGTAAAATAATATGTAAAGTATAAAATGGCAAATCAAAGTAAGCATACATGCATTTTAAGAATTTTAGTTGTCTGTTAAGATTAAGCGCGCATAAACTGTATCATATTGTTTAAATGTAACTGCAAATTAGAGCCTATTTAATTTTTTATCCGGAGACTTTATTACATTATGAATCGTTCCAGAAACAATGAATTGGTAAACTTGTATCATTTATGCCAACTATAAATTTTATTGTCATAAAATAAATTATAATTGACATATTTTTTTTAACTCGCAGGTGTACGTGGTGTGAATAACTTCAATATGTCGCTAGTATTCAATACAGCACTGCCTAGTTCAAAAGTAAGAAGTGTGAAACTGACCTTTGGAATAGTTCTAAGTAAGTCTTAAGATTGTATGTTATAGAATATATAAAGTTTGAATAACTTAAAGACATTATTGCACTATTTAGTTCTTGTTGTATTATTTTGTGTTTTTTGTGTTTGTTTGTTTTGTTTTTTGTTGTTGTTTTTGTTTTGTTTTTTTTTTTTGTTTTTTTTTTTTTTTTGGGGGGGGGGGGTTCTTGGGGGTGTTATACTTTTGTTGTGTTTTTATTTTTGTAAGTGTAAATGGCCGTGAAGAACTTTTAGCCTTTGTGTAGTTATGCGTGTTTTAACAATCCTGTATTTCTTTTACAGGTTTCATCTTTGCATGGACACCGTACTTTACAATGCTGTATATGGTTATATTCGAAGGATTTAATGACCCAGTTGTGATGGTGTTCATACCTACATATTATTTGAATTGTTCAGTAAATCCTATAATATTCTTTGTGTTTCATAGGCGTATACGCAGAGCAAAAACTGTTGGTTCGTCATCGTGTGGTTTAACAACTGAGACTACTGTTAACAGATTGAGTAACAATGACATTTCTACAACAGTTAAAACTGTAGGAGATACCGAAATATCACCATTGAAACAAAGCACTAATTGTTAATCTACATTTCTGTAGCTGTATATACAAACATGAACATTTGGTTTATGCTATAAGCAGCAATGAAGATCTTACATTTCAAGCATGTTGGCTAAATAAACATACACTTGTCTCCTGTTGTTTGCTTTATCTAATTAAAATAGTTTCAATTATTTCAAGTTTACTTTAAGCAAACTAAGAATACCTCTTCAATCTGCCTAGAATTATTTAATATACATTTACTGCATACAATGAAAACACTGCAAGCGATATTGGAGAAATAAAGTTTTGAGTGTAATGACTGCTTAAAGATGATGTGTGAATGATGATTTTTGAACGTGATTTATGTAAAAAAATGTCGGTGACTAATCATTAGATTAAAAATGTAAAATAGAACATTTTAAATTTCTTGATATTGTGATATTAAAGTGATTCTCATACAACAGTTATTCAGCTTCTAATGACACTAGATATTATGGAAAACAAATTACCGAACAAATTATTTTAGTTCTAACATCAGTCAGTCAGGAATGAAATTGATACAAATGTATTTCATCCACCAAAGGTTTCCAAAGAAATAATGACATATAGTCGCAGACAATCGTGAAATGATAGAGTACTTTCTGGCAAAAAAATGAGACTTGGCATAATGGTAGGAAAAGCATGTCATTTTATTTCAGTATGGTTTATAAAATCCCAAATGGTCGCCAAATACAAGATGGCCGCAAAAATATGGGGACATTATAAAATAAAGCTCTTAATAGTATGAAAAAGGGAACATGTCATTTATAGGTCACAGATAACAACTGCTTACCATAATTTAGTCTGTTGCGTGTTAAAACATTATATTTGGCTTCAAAATCTAGATGCAAGCCATTTTATGTGATTTTATGGTGATTTTGGGGTGAAACTACAATAACTATTGCATAATTAATAACAAACAAAACTTATTTCACTATTTGTTATTTAGTATTTTAACATATTCTCTTATATGGTTGGTTATCAATTTTTGTTTCAAATTTCAAACACATTATTGATTTGATATCACCACTTTGTTGTATTTGCATAGAGAAGTATATCTCAAGTTTGCATTTGTGCATTCGCGGTGCCTAGAGAGTGGTGAAGGACACGGACCATTTATATCAAACATGGGGTTTCTGATTAACCAAACACTCCTTAAGCATTAAGAGCATGCAGTAAACTAATTCGATGTTCCTGCGAAACTTAATTTGGTGCACATTACGCTGTTAATGCACAAAAGCGGACTTGTCACAGACTATTGCAATATTTTTTATCAGCAATATCCTTTGCATCAAGTTTAATCAGGTCTTCACGAGCATCCTGGAACGGGTTGCCCATTTTATTTATTGTTTCATCACGGAATTCCATGTAAGTTGCACATCCATTATTCATGGGAATGTCTTGTCCTGGACGCATGGGAAGATTTTAGAAAAGAGTCTGCAGCTATGTTTGAGTTAGAGAAGCCGTTTAGCCACTATTATCCAGCCAGTCACCAATTAACTTTTTGGAAGTCATTTCTATGTGCAGACCACCAAAGAATAAAATTATTACAACCTTACCCATTCAATACGTGCGAGGCCAGTTCCATTGGATTTATTTTGCAATTGCATACAGGGGTTTGTCCAATGTAATAACTTAACGTGGTTAAGGTTGAGATATGTCCAGCAGCATTGTTGACATGAATTGCGTGAATTTAGCATCTTCTTGGAAGATCGGCAGAATTGCCATTGGATAAGGACACCTTGGGATTGCATATCAAGAAAGGCATACCAGGCCACTGGTCATTTTAAGTTTTTGATACATGTGTTTACCGAATGATAATGAGTACGACTTACAAATGTATTTTTAACGTATACATATATAAATGATAATTGTTTTTTTTTTGTTTTTTTTTTTTGTTAGCCAAGTACTATGAATGTGGCAGAAATATGCAAGCAGGCCCTCTTCATTTGTTGATCTTGCTGTATTGCGGTTACAACCTGTTGTAAATAGTTTGGATTGAACAAATAGTTAAAGTCATTTTAATACATATTTAAGCGAATTTTTCTGCAAGAGGCACCCCTTCGCATGTAGCTTATCTTTAACATTAGTCCGTCCAATAAACTAGACAACAACTAGACAACAAAATTATAATTGTACTATTCTGTATTTTATGCCCTCGTCAAAGGCGTATGGAATTTTAGAAATGCCCCCTATCGTGCGGCCGTACTAATTTTGTTCAAAGCACCACTCCAAAAGCACTTAATCGATTTTCTTCAAACTCCATACACTGACAGAACACATTAGATGGAAAGTGCAGTGCGCAACCTTGACCGAAGCATAAGTCCTAAAGTACTAAAGGGATATACTTCAAAATAAATACACTGACAGGGGACATTGGTAGGTAGTGCAGATTGTAAGAACAATAACTCTACCCTGCCTTCTGTTAGAATTATTTTCCTTTATCAGATTTACTTGAAACATAACTCCATAAGACCAGTGTGATTATAAAATAACTTTTAGAGTTATTTCCCTTTATTTTCTTGAAAACTTTTTACGAAGCAAATTTACTTTACAAGAAAATGTCCAGAGAATAACTCCAAAAATAGTTTAAACTTAATACTGACATAAACGTTACTAGTTAAACTTACCTCTTTTTTATTGCCTTATTCTTTTTCCTCTTACTTGAAAACTGTACTTAACATGACCATAACTAAACGGCTTTCTAGGGATTTTTTTTTAACCAAGTAAAATGTACTAAAGTCCAATCATCAGTTAATTTCTTTCCGGCAGAGAGATAAACAACCATGTATTACATAGCTCTTGTTCAATTTTTGTCTTTTAGTTTTCCGAAGACAATACTTTTGAATGGAAACTGCTCTTATATTTCTCTATGTAGTTAAACAGTTTTTAATGCGTACAATAAACATAAGCATAAAACATTTGACGTTAAAAGAATTTCTATATATTTTAGAAGTGTATTTTACGTGACCTGGAATAGAGACAATTCAAGCATCTGTATGTTGTTAAATTGATTTTATGGAAATGCAAGTAGCTCGTTATACTAATGACTTGTCAATTACAGACAGCTTTGGCATTATTAAGGGTAATTTGAGGAATAAATCAAACACAAATCACGAAGGTTCTTTCTCTTATTATCACATTTATATAAGAATGATACTTCACCAAGTATTATGTCATTAAATAACTAATTTATTGGCTACTTGTCGATAATTCTAAAGCATTAGTAGATAACGAAATCAAATTGTATTTTTTAAGATTTATTTATGTTTCATTAGTTTACAAGAGCCGTTTGGAACCTAGTAACATAAAGTTAAATTGAGATAACGTTATGCATTTAGATAAATTAAAATAACAGCATGCGCCTAGATAAGCAGTGTTATGGATCTGAAACACACATAATAAATTGTGGTCGTAATTACAAATAAAGTTAAGATCAAATGGAAGTATTTTTTATCTTCTAGCTGGATTTCTTTCAGAGCCCTTTTCAAATATGCTTCTACAATTACACAATCCGTCTACGGTTTTAGAATTTCAACACCCTTAACGGTAGCAAATCAATTTTCAGGAAATCTTACTAATATTGTTAAATATTGAAACTATTTTATTCATCAATAATGTGACTCTATTATTTTGTTCAATTAAACAAATCATATATAAGCATTTACAACAAGCATTTACAATGTGTCAATCAAGAAATGGCAACCAAGACAATGCAATATTTTAAAAAAAATGTAAAAAAGTGACGTTCATTTCAACCACCAAGTTTACACATAAATTCCTTTTGGCTTTTTCCTATTCATGGAAAGAAGTATGATTGCGTCTTTTCATCGCTTGAGTTTGATATTTTAAATGAACCATTGGATAAAAAAACAGCTACATGTTCATGAGTTTGATATTTGAAATGTCCCATTGATAAATGCAGCTACATGTTATTTAGTTTGATATTCTAAATGTTCCATTGATAAATACAGCAACATGTTCATAAGTTTTATATTGATAAATACAGCTACACGTTCAAGGGGAGAATATTTATAGCCACACAAAAGATTATCGAACGAAAACAATAACATCACTTTTTTATATTGAATTCCTGCAGATTTGTAGTTCCAAATTCTTTCTTGCACGTTTTGTAGCATCCTGTACAAAATTATACGATCATGAGTTTGCGCTCAAGGCACAAGAGCAGAGTGAAATACATGCATAATCACCTGACAGGTCAATTAAATGTGAGTTAAGGTTAATTAACTAGAAACATACTCATTACTGTAGGCTAGACTGGTCAGGGCATTTAAACCTTATAAGTTTCCGATTTCATTCTCGAGAATTCACAATTTTAACTTCGTAAATTTACGTTACAACATACGGAATTCAAGAATTTGTGAATTCACAGAGCTAAATTTATGAAGTTGAAATCGTGGATTCATAAAGTTGAAATCGTGAATTCATGAAGTTGAAATCGTGAATTCATGAAGTTGAAATCGTGTATTAATGAAGTTGAAATCGTCATTCCCAATGATGAAATCGTGAATTCACGTAGACGTAATGTGACGAAGATGAAATTAGAATTCATTACGTTGAAACGTCCACAGCGGTATTTCGTATTACAGTGGTTGAATTTCATTAATTTTGTTTTGTGATTCTAAATTTGGAAACAAACACGAATATTTTAAATATCAAGCTAAGTAGAAGTTAAATATAAACCAGAATTTGAAATTACTTTTATATATTGAAGTATTGTCAACGTGAAGATTACGTAATTATATATTGAAAAACAACAGTCAAATGGGCTTAAAGTAATTTTTTTGATTTGATGATTTGATATCAAAATTGCATAGTTAAGTCATAAGTACACGAGTATTTTCAATTACGAAAAACACATAAGACCTCAATAACACATAACCTGACATCATCAGAAAAATGCGATTTATCTCTTACATTATCGAACTTCAGACAAAAAAGACTTCCGTGTCTATATACGCATTCATGTGAAAGAACAATAATCAGGCGAGTAACGTAATATATGTAAATAGTAAATATTCAAGAATATAATAGCTCAACAAATATATACTTATGAGGTCTTCACATTATCCTGTTTAATGTCAACATTTAAAAAAACGTAAATGGTAACTATTTTATTTATAGAAAGGAACTCTTTTTTTATCTCTCGGAAAGGAATTGTGTATTTAAAAAATGATTTCACACAGCCTTTTTATATTTTAAAGAGACCTTCTTAATGATATATATGACGTAAATATCTCAAATCTGTACCATGTTTTTGTCTGAAATTGAAATTTAAACTTTTATGACAATAAAAAAAACTTATGGACTTAATCGTGCCATCCAAAGCGTAGTCTTTTGAATGTTTCTTTACATGTATTTTATTATGCTATGTAGGATATAACTGTTGATATATTCTCATAGAGACAATTATGCAATAAAGGGTACAAAACTTAGTGTGTTTATGGACTTTATCATGCAGTTCAGAGCATAACATTTAGTATGTTTCTTATGTTATGTACAAAGACTTAAAGAGTCTGTGTGTTGTAATTAAGGATGTAACATACAGTTAAGTGAAGTTTTATATATGTATATAATTATTCTTCTTAAACAATTTCCAATCATCCAATACTATTTAAATTGAAATGTTAAATTCGGTAATATCTTTACAAATAATACTTTTTGAAACTTACACAATTGATAAATCTTTATTTTGAGCATCAGATCTATTATAAAAACCCCATAAAAATGCATTACAGGGAATATAATGTATGTCAGTGTATTTTCTTAATCTAGCAAAATGAATACATGGTATAACACTTGGTATAGTTTTCATAGAACTAATCATATAATACACAGTATAACACTTTGTATGTTTTATTATTGTTTCAAATATAAATTGCAGGGTATAACACTGGTATGATTTCTCAAGGCATTTTTTACGTAATACATGATATAGCATTTGTTTGATTTCTTGGGGATTTTATTATGCAAATCAGTGTGTTTTCTTATGAACCTTATTATACAATACAGAATATGACACTTGGATTTTATTGACTCTGACATGTAATACAGCGCATAAAACTGTTTTCTTATTAACTAATATCAGTACATTTTTATGCTGATTGTGCTTTCCTTTTACTTTATCATACAATACAATGTTTAACATTTAGTATGTTCTATTTTGAACTTAATCATGCAATACAGGATTTAACAGCAAGTGCTTTTTCTTACAGACCTAATATGCAATACAGGGTTTTAGTAATTCGTCATTATGAATACTGCATTGAATTTTGATTTGCATGCAATCAATATAAGAACGCAATTTTACAAAAACCATCTTCCCAAGGTGCTTTATGTTGTTAAACAAGATGTAGTGATAAACGAAATTGCTTGTCACAAATCAGTTACTTTGTTCTTTCTTTTTGGAAGTGTTTAAGGTGGCGTCGTAAAACTGAATCAATGCAAGTCATAGTCGCTTTCAAAAGGATTGCATTTCAGTTTTATCTAGCTATGATAAGACATTTTAAATTTCTGATATGGATTGTTTAGTCTATCTAAAGATAAACCTTTAAAACCAAAGTCAAATTAAGTTCATATTATTACTACTAAAACGCTGTACTGTTTACTTTTTTATATTGTAAAGAACTTTACTCAAACACACAGAGACAGTGAGAAAGAAATAATAGTGTTTAAAACACAGCATTTTATTTGTAAAATGTCAATTGTATGTATGCCTATGAGTTGTTAATCCTCTAAAAATGTTTAAAAGAACTTAGTGTACTAAAATTAATTTTGTAATTTGTTATGATACACTTAAGTCACTTAAGATAGCGAGATTGCTAAGTAAAACAAACACCTTTTCATATCCCATTTTGGTGATGTGATGATGATATAAAACTTTAAAAATTGATAAGTTGAATAGAATGTTGTCTTTAAATAGGATAGAGATAAGAATTCCAAATAGAATCATATGAGTGTCCTATTTTGTACTACTTGTTTCCATAGACCAATTTTGAAAAGAGAAGTCATGGAGCCTTCTTTTTGTAGCTTGGTATTTCTCTTATTTCTGACTGACTATTGCTTTTCGCTTTGTCCTCATCAAGATAGGCATCTCTATCTAAAACATTGGTCAAACGTTCATACATGGCCTCATGGAAAGGTAAGATGAAAGAAAACTCTTATTTGATTTTATTGTCTCAATATTATGACTGTTATGAACATATGTGCATGAATAGTTTTTCTTACAGCGTTTGCTTTTTGCAGCCAAAGCAGCATTCACCTGTGGTTATATCTTCAAATGTACTATTAGATGAACAGCCACCTGATCTTCATAGTATTAACATTACATCTACTGGAAGGCTAGTGTGGAGTCCACATGCCAATATCACCTTGCGTACAAAATTCATTTACATCAATGGAAGACTGGATATGGGGTCTGAAGAGTGTCCATTCACTGGGACTGCCAAGATTATACTTACAGGTCACACTTTTCTTTGCTTTGTTTGCTTTTATTTGTGTTCTTTCTTGTCTGTTTTGGGGGTCATGATATCACTGTTTCGGTTTTTGTTTTGTTCTGCTTATTCTCTGCCCATTCAGATTCAGCTTTAGAAATTCATGTGCAAAGGTGAAAATTATTTCATTTTCAATATTCTCTCATGAACAAAGTCAATGAATCCATAGCGATGTTCAAATCATTGCTTTTGAAGGCTCCATACTTTCTTGATTAATTAATGAAATGATATTGTTTACTTTTTTCTTGCTTTTAGGTTAAGTTAAAACTACTTAAAGAGTTCTTCTTGTCTATCATTAATTGACCACACCTAGCTTTAAGTTGAATCTTAAAAAATAGAACACAAACAATACTTCATATGCATATCGATTACTTTCCTTTCTTCAAATACAAAATAATATAGTGTTTTAGATATTACACCTCATGTGTACCTTTATGAATATGTATATTCACTGTAATTTGTTAAATTGTATAGGCCGCAGAGGTGAATTCAATTTTAGGGATCATATGAACATGGTTATAGGGGATAAAGTAATTGTTGTTGCTGAAGGAGGTACAATAGAAATCCATGGACAACCTAAGTTACCATGGACAAAATTGACCAAAACAGTTCCAGTCTTGTCAAAGAAAACTGGCATCATATTTGACCATATTGTAAGATGAAACTTTTGCTACCTCTATCACATAATTATTAATGTTGGAATTTATAGATTTCTTGCTTTCACGAATAACTCAGCTAAAACAAATAACTGACTTGATTTCTAATGAGAATACCAATACATGTCTTTGTTTCTAAGGGAATCTGGAAAATGTGGATGATTAAAAGAGATTGTATCTTTTAATGAAACCAGTCTTCGTATTGATTATAGTGTAGTGTTTTCCCGCTGTTAACCTTTGCAACATTCATTGACAAAAATGATTTACGAGAGAAGATATCGGACTTACCTTTGTATATTAAACTTGTTTAATGAGGCAAAAGTTTAGAAAAATAATGAAAATAACAAAAACTAATTTATTTTCCTTCAAATAAATGTAATATATATCAAGTAATCTATACATATCTCTATAAAACTACGATAACTATAATATTTATGAATTATTTTCATTCATTTCACAAAATTACGAAGACTTGGAAAAAAGACTTCTTTATATTACCACAAAGAGTTTATCTGTCTCTTTCCCCTTAACTAATTAAATGATGTGTGTTCTTTTTTTATTTCAAAGGCCATATATATTTATTATTAACCTTATTAACGGTATGAAGAATATTACCGGGGTGACATTAGGTGAAAGTGGTAAACTTTTCTATCTCTCTTCGTCTGTAGTATGTTAATCATTGCAGGATAGTGGAAATTTAGAAAATCAGAAATACGAGAACGGAATTATTGCTTACATTCTAAGAATTGATTCGCACAACAAAGTAACTGTCAAGGAATATGGAAGTTAACAGCTCGCCTCCACGTGGCAAGCAGCACAAGAGAAATCAAGATTTATGAATATGATCAAAAGTAAGTGGCGTGTATAACTTCCTATAAATATCTAACCACGACAATTCTGTAAGTTAATCATTTCGATTTTTGTACAAAATTCGTTGAAATTTACATGTACGAATAATTTACCAAGGCTTGCAAGAGGTCGGAATGCGTAATGATATATAACATTTATCGGATTGATCCAATGACCTAAAAAGTTAATTTTAGAAAGAGAACTTTATCAAACATTTAATTGATTGCAAATAGAAACATGAAACTTTGTAAAGACGATGAAGGTTTTAAAACGTGTCTGTGTTCATCTAACTTTTTGCACAGATTTTACTATTATGTTTCAGATATGAGCATGGGAGATATTTTAGCTTTAGGTATATATTATAATCTTAATGTTGACAACCGTAATATTGATGATGTGTACGATGCCTTTGGAGTATTAACAACTGGTCACGTGACTGGTAAAAGTGTTATGAGAGGCATTCGTAACCATGATGCTTATTCAGCTATTGTTTATAAAGGTAAAGTTCATTCAAACTGAAATTATCATTATACGAATGTACAGAAATTTTCATTATAAGAATATTATCTCTATATTCAGTTTTCAATAACAATTTCTAATTGTTACCATGGCAATTGAAGCAATTTGAAGGCTTTAAACAGAACGTCATAATAAGTAATGTAAACAAATAATATATAAAGGAAGATTGATTAAATATTCATGAATTTCTACTTAAAAATATCTATTATATTGGAGAAACCGGAGAACAAACTATATTCGTTGAAGACATAACAAGATTTCGTTATGACGGTGACACCATGTTGTCTAGATCTGCTCTGCTACCGAAACAGACATCAACTAAGGTATCTGTAGAAAGTTATGTTGACCAAAAACATTCCTGGCTCAGCTATCTTAATATAAGGGTATCAACTATTGATGGTGCATTCCCAAAATTGGATATGATTGACGATACCAGCACTTGGAAGCAAGGTTAACACTTACTTATACACAAATTAATAGAACTGTTTGCCAACCGAAAATATAGTTATAGTTTAGTGTATTTAGTAACTGGGATAAGATTTTTTCCGTTGAATTAGAAATATAACAGGCACACAAGTTCGCAGACCTGCTGCGGTGTATTCATTTCTCTTCCAACAGTAAAACTAATGTAATTACATCACGTTGGTTAAACAACATAAAGAAAACAATACAACTATAACGTAGCAGGTGGTTTGCTTTGTGAAAGTGTATGTTGGCAAACCGGCAATATGTAAACTTAGCAAAGTAATGCATAAAAGTATGTAAATGAGTTGATCTAAAAGTAAATAGTCTTTGATGACTATGCTGTATTAGAGTTTATATTGATGTGCAGTACTCAATGTGGTATTGATTGAAATATCACCATTTGTTAATTAATTAAGGACATGTTATTAGTACATTACGATGTGATTGACATTAAGATATAATATGCTCTTCTTAAGTAAAATAAAAATATTTTAATCACAGAAATTCACTGACAGCAATCTAACTAAATATGTCTAATTATCCCCCGCCGATGGAATCGGGAGGGGGATATAGTTTTGGCGTTGTCCGTCCGTCCTTCCGTCCGTCTGTCCATCCGTCCGTCCGAATTTCGTTTCCGGACTACTTCTCTGCAACTGCTGGCAGGAATTCAACGAAATTTTATGGGAACCTTCAATATCAAGAGGGGATACGCATATCGTCGGCTTGTTCCGTTCCGACACTTTAACTCAGAGTTATGGCCCTTGATTACTTATGTAGTATGCTTATAGAGTAAAAATCGTTTCCGCTCTACTTCTCTGCAACTGACTGGAATTCAACACATTTTTATGGGAACCTTCAATACCAAGAGGAGATGCACATATCGTCACCTTGTTCCGGTCAGACACTTTAACTCAGAGTTATGGCCCTTGATTAGTTATGCAGTATCCCTAAAGAGCAAAAATCATTTCTGCGCTACTTCTCTGCAACTACTGGCTGGAATTCAACAAAACTTTATGGGAACCTTCAATACCAAAAGGAGATGCGCATATCATTGCCTTGTTGGGGTCAGACATTTTAACTCAGAGTTATGGCCCTTGATTAGTTATGCAGTATGCATATAGAAAAATATTCATTTCTGCGCTGCTTCTCTGCAACTACTGGCTGGAATTCAATGAGACTTTATTGGAACCTTCAATACCAAGAGAAGATGGGCATATCGTGGCCTTGTTCGGGTCAGACATTTTAACTTAGAGTTATGGCCCTTGATAACTTATACAGTATACAACCAGAGCAATAATCGTTTCCGTGCTACTTCTCTGTAACAACTGGTTGGAATTCAATGAAACTTTATGGGATACGAAGAGGAGATGTGCATATAGTCGCCTTGTTCCGGTCAGACACTTATAACTCAGATTTATGGCCCTTGATTAGATATGCAGTATGCATACATCTCATTGGCATTTCCAGATATTACTATTTAACACGGAGTTATGGCTCTGTTATTGCCCTGAATATTTATCAAGTTCAAAGAATATTACTGTTTATGCCATGATAAATATATAAATAAAGCCTTATGTCTTCAGTTGTTTAGTTAGTAATAATCAGTACTCGGCGGGGGATATAAATTCAACGAATTTGCTTGTTTGAATAATAGAGTGAATAAACAAACAATGTATGGGACGCTGCGTTCCTTTTTACAGGTCAAGTACAATGGATCATTTTTAATGGCACTATATATTCATATTATGACCACTTATAGTGTGTAGTACAGATGATGTACCGCCTCCGTGGTCGAGGGGTTACAGTCGATGATTTCTAATCCAGTTACCTCTCTGGCGTGGGTTCGATCCCGGGAGATGCTTTGGAAGTTTAGCGCGGAGGAAGGTAGTCTAGTAGTGGTGTAACTCTCCAGGAACGATGGTTAGGAAACTACCCGCCTATATGACTGAAATACTGTTGGGAAAAGGCGTAAAATAAAACAAACAAACAAACAGACGATGTACTTAGTGTGAATTACAAAAAGACTGTGGGGCAATAATCAATATTTTCTAACATCGAATGAAAATATTCTCATGCATAGGTGACAGAGTAGTACTCACATCTACAGACTATGACTGGAGACAAGCTGAAGAAGCGACCATCGTGCACTGTTCTGATTGCTCTAATAAACAAATTAGACTAGATCGTAAGTATCTGCAGTTTATTTTTCTAACAACTTAAATTTACTACTGATCAATATCTCGTGAGCATGTAGGTTATACATCAAAATTTCTTTTAAAATGGATATAGTTCATTGTCGATACGTAATATTTGAAACAAATACTTACCTATCATTTTAGTTGAAACAAAATATGAGCATTGGGGAACGATAATAAACAGAGTAGACGAACGGGGAGAAGTGGCATTGTTGACAAGAAATATTGTAATAGAAGGAGAAGTGGAAGACAATTGCGTACAGAGCAATGGTAATTGCAACAAATATAAAAGTGACACATTTGGCGGACATTTTAAGGTGATCAAAACAACTGAATCATCCTTTTTAAAATACTGGTTATTTGACTGTATGATTTACATGAGAAACATAATTTCAAAATTTTATAATTGGCTATGGTTATTTTAACTAGTGTAGACTTTTTAAGATTTTCTATACTCGTAACTTATGACAGGTTTGCTATTTTTCACAATTAAAACGTAACTTTTGAAATCAAGATATTTTATTCCTTTAGAAATGCAACGTCTCTTTTGGCTTCATGTTTACTTAAGGTATGAGCCCCCTAATGGGCACTATAAGGAACTATAAAATTGACAACATATGTCAGTTATATACCTTAAAAGACACAAGAATGCAAAATTTAAACAAAGTTTACCGTATGGTTTATGAGTTATGGAGATTTTTCTAAAGTAAAACTTGGCTATTAGAAGGGCTCTTTTTCAGAAATGAGAAACTCTAATTATTCTATTATATAATCATTATGAAATAATGTTTTCCTATAGAAAATATTTCAAAAACAAATAATAGCATTCAGCTAACAAATGACCCAGCAAAATTATTGTTTCTACTCAAAATGTTTGAAATATGTATATAAATGTTACCCTACTCCACCCATTTTAAGTAGTTGTTTGATCATTTTCCTACTTGGAGGGCCTTATTCAAAATATCCCAAAAATTTACTCAAATCAGTTTTCAAAGGTTGCATAAATTTTCTTTAAAGTATATTGGATGCGCTTGTCAAATATAAAATACTTTTACCGTCTAGTTTTTATTTTATTAGACTTTGAAAATATCAGGTACCATATTTGATAAAAAATTTGGCACAATTTAGCCAATAAATACCATTAATGATTTTATAATTAAATTGAAACACTTTTTTCTTATCAAGAGTGATTTGAGAAACACAAATAATGTTCAGAGAAAAAAAAAGAAAGAAAAAAAGTTGCCTCTTCTGGGGCTAGAACCCGCGCCCCTCAGTTACAATGCAGTTGACAGTAGTTCTAGCCTATTTGAGTACTCTTCAAAGTGGAGGTAATGCATTAGGTGGGCCATACCTTAAGAAGTCTTAAAGTAACTAGTTTCACCTCCTGACAGGCTGTACATTATTTACAAAAGATATGCAATGCAAGAAAGCAAAATAATTTAAAGTTTAAAATTTGTTTTATTCATGATATTAGTTGAAAGTGTTTTATATTATATATATGTTTAAAATAAAATGTGGTATTAATCCTTTGTGAAATATAGTTAACTATAATTGTGATTGAACAAAAGACGTGTTCAGTGTTCAATTTTGTTATTTAAATGGTCTTTCGATAAATGCAATTTTTGCACGTTTAACTTTTATTTATGACGTATATAATATTTATAATTGGAATATCATAAATTGATAGTTTCTACGTGGATCAACTGAGCACATAGAAGGAGCGGAATTGTATCATATGGGACAACAAACTGATGTTGGACGATATCCCATACATTTTCACATGGGTTTTAATATGAGAAATATGACACACCCGCCTTACATCAGAGAAAATTCCATTCATCAATTATTCTCCCGCTGTGTCACTGTTCATGGAACACATGGCGTAATGGTATGTCCATATTATAACCAATGTTTTTATTCTTTAAATATCACACCATTGAATTTGATTTTTTGAAATCAATTTAGATAAAATAAAAAATCAATCAGAAAAATGTACTAAAAAGAAACAATTAAACCAATTCCTGATTTAACGAAATTTTATCATGTGTTTCTTTTTAATTCTGACCAGGTTAAAGACAACGTTTGTTATGACACAAAAGGTCATGCTTTCTTCATAGAAGATGGAGGAGAACATGATACAACTTTTGATGGAAATTTGGCTGCAAGTGTGCGAAAAGGCTCCCTTATTCCTTCAGATCAGTAAGTCTGAATGCAATTTATTTGGCACCTAATGTAAAACTCTATAAAATATATAAAAAAGTGTTGAGTTTAAACACCAATAACACCAATAACCATGTTTGCCCAGTGAATGGTCAAATATTGGGGGGTCAGTGACAAGAATTATGCCAATCTGCATACCTACCTATCTAGCTTTGAATGTATATTTTCCTTCTTGTCATAAAAATGTATATTAGGACACAAAGATAACTTCAGTGTTAATTTAGAAAGAATGCAAAGACACACCAACAATATAATTAGATATTTAAAGTAAGTGAAGTAAAATTTACGTTTTCATCCCATTCTGCATTGTTTTTCTTTAGAAATACTTCGTGTATTTTAATTATCTTAATTTAAATATATCATGATAATTTGTTGAAATTATATAAAATTGTATAAATTTATCAAGCGATTGTTGGATTTTTTAAACAGAAAACCTGCTTGCTTCTGGATAACAAGTCCGTTAACAAAAATGAGAAACAACGTAGCTGCGGGAGGAGCTGTAAGTCAAGTGTTTATATGAGCCATGTGACGACAAAGCCAACGTAATGCGTTTGCGACCAGCATGGATCCAGACCAGCCTGTGCATCCGCGCAGTCTGGTCAGGATCCATGCTGTTCGCTTACCAACTCTATTACAAGTAGGGAAACTAATAGCAAACAGCATGGATCCTGATCAGACTGCGCGGATGCGCAGGCTGGTCTGGATCCATGCTGGTCACAAACGCACTTGGTTTTGTCGTGACACGGCTCATATTATCTCATACAGTTTTCAAAATGATCAATTAAACAATTAATTAAAGCAAGCTCTATATAAATTACTTTAGGTAAGGATAAATATCAAATAAGATATTAAACAAAGAACACCAAGGAAGTGTGGTATTTAATGAACACATGACCCAGGTTGATTTCCTTAATCATCGTAAGTAATAACTATTATTCCACATTTTTATTATTCAAGGGGAATTAACCGTTATAGTTTGATACAGAGGATCGACATTATAGCCGTTCTTTGTAATATGTCATAGTTTTTTCAAGTTCATATATCCATTGTTTTCTTCATTTCTATGAAAAGGAAAAGATCAAATTGTACCGGAATACCCTTGCATTAACTTTACTTATAAATTGCTATATTGTAATATTTTTTATAAACAATAATGTTGTTGAAAACACATTTCAGGGGCATGGTATATGGTTCATTTACCCAGTTGAACCTATTGGACCATCTAAAGGTCTTGGGTTTTTCAAGCCACACGAAGCTGATAGAACTCCTATATCTGAATTTGACAACAATGTCGTACATTCACAGGGATTGGTCTGTTTATGTTCTTACCACATTTTTAGTTAATTTACATTTGTGTAACATTTTCTTTTCTTTGCATGTGATTCATTTACAAGATATTATATTTTTGTATAAATAATAAATCTGCCATTAGAATTGATGTATCAAAAATGAAAGTATTAATATCAAGAAATTCTTGCAAGTATCTGATTGTCTCATGTCGCTTGAAACTTGTATCGGTGATATTTGTTTCTGTTTATGATTGTGATAATTTACATGTTTAAAAATTATATTTATCTTTGTCGGGAAATATTATATTTTGAAAAACGTTAGCAATATTTAAACATTTAAAGGAATTGTTTTCTTTAAACATGTCCTTCACATTGTATATAGAAAATTGTCTGGACGCTTTAACTGATACTCGAATGACCAGATGGACCTGCTGCGCTATTCAATGCTGCTTTCATCAAGCCAGTCAAACAAGTCAATTTTTTATTCTTGTAAGGGTGACCTGCTATGCAATTTTCAATCATCAAGACCCCATAAATAATTCAATGTAAAACGGAAATAATAACAAAAAAACGTAAACAATGAGACACTGTTGTGCTTCAACATTAAATTGTGAATATAATTGTTTTATTAAGTAAATCCGTTTTTCAGACTGGTTTGTTCGTAGATCATCGTTTAATGCCCGATGGCAGTGCTGACCAAAACAATGCATACCTGCCTAAAGAGAACCCGCTTGATGAAAAATCTAAAGACGTCGAAGTAAAACTCTTCCGATTAACTGGTAAAGCAGCAGCCATTTATTTCTTGTCGCAAGTAAACACGTTATGTACATTTGTGAAGTTACATTATATACTTTAATTATTATGTATAGAATATCCAAAAATGTGTATATAAATAGTAATAAAAAATGGTGTTCGTATATGTGAGTATTATTCTATTGTAGCGTACAAGAATGTTATACAAAATGCGTGGCTTCGAGGGGGATGGTTCCATATTACACAATCATCGTTAGTATTATTGATCTTTTCACGAAATGAAACAATTAGGAGCTGTCGTGGTTGAGTGGTTTAAGTCGCTTATTTAAAATCACTTCCCCTCAGCGCTGCTTGCTCGAGTCCCTTGAGGACCGTTGGATTCTTTCATGTGATGAAGCTAGGTAGCTAGCATACTGAAGATCGGTGGTCCATACCGGTTGCCCGCACGTGTCATTAAATCAAATACTGTTCTTAAAACAAATTATAAACCGCAATTTCGAATTATAATTACATATTTATGACAAAAGAATACAAGTATCTAAAGTTCAACAATGCAATATCAAAAAAGTGCATTGTAATTTTTCTATTTATCCTTAAAGCAATATTATATAAAACTGGTAATTTATATTTGACTTCATTATAGATTTGCGGACAGTCAAAAATCTCTTCAATATGCAAGGTTTGTCACTTTGAATCATTCGTAAATATAACTGAAAGAAAATTTATTGTGCTATGTAAATCATGTCCATTTATTTGCCTAGAATACTCAGTGATTTAATTTATAATTGAGACTGACATACCAAAATACATGTAAATTTTTGGTTTTCTATACAGAAAGATAACCGTTGAAAGTATCATTATTTTAAATGGTTTTAGAATTAGATTATTTGTCTTTTGTGTAACTTAACTTTGACTTTATTAAAAAGAACATATTCCAAACATTTCAATTTAGATGCAAAGGCTGTCTCATATAATCAAAATAACCCTTTCCCGTTTTGACATGATCTATGTTTTAGTGGTACTCATTTGACAATTGTTTTCAAAAGGTAAATCGTGATCATTGTAGAAAAACCTCTTAAAATTATAATATCCGTAATCTATTCTTTGCTTTTGCTTGTGTTATGAATGCAATTTTCTTATTTTGCAGATCAACAAATCAAAATCAATTTGTTTCCAATAGCATAATGATAGGTTTGTCTGAAAACCTATAGGTAAACCAGCTGTAAACTGGACCCGTTCTCTACCAGTGTGGTTTGACATGTAAGTTTGTAATCCTGAGATATAAGGTTTGTAACACCGCACTTTGGGGTCAAACGCACTTTGGGGTCCAACGCACTTTGGGGTCAAAATCGAGAAATTGACCCCAAAGTGCGGTAATATGCTACATATCAACGCACTTTGGGTTCCAGAGGTCTAAAGGTGTCATGTGAGTTCTGCTTAAATACTGAGTACTGACTTATTTTCGATCTGCGACATTGAAATATTTGAGGTGGAGTTCAAGATGGCGGTCAATACTTTAATGATGCTTAAGTGATAAAAGTTTCATTAATTTTACCACTTCAAATATCTAAAATATTTGTTCATATAACACAATTACGGTGGCATAAAAGTGACATTTGCATTTTTTTTTGAGTTTTGCATACATATTTTATTTTAGTTTTGCATACATATTTTTTTAGCTTTGAATTTATATTTCATATTAGTTTTTCGTACATATTTTATTTTTGTTTTTCGTACATAGTTTAGCCAAGCGAAACAGCCTTCACATCTCATAACAGCCAATAGTTGAGTATAAAGCACAGTGGTTTGTTCACATTTCGGCCCATTTTTGGAATCGGCCCAGTCGTTTTCGGCCGCTCAAGTCTGGTTTCGGGCGACCCTTACCGGCCTATTTTTTAAATTATATGTATTTTATATAATTATTGTTTTATTATTATTATATACTATTATATTTGTGTCTATTTGGAAAGGGCTGTTGATTGGTGATCAGTTATTACTCCATAAATATGGACCACTCAACCCCACCCCTGAGAATAGCGGGTGGGGGGCATTGACTTTAAACCAAGCCGACCACTGGTAATATCTTCGCCCTGCGGGGAACACTCAGATAATAACGTTCCTGCCTTATGCCCCAGAACAGCGCAAACATCAAAACACGATTCTTTTTTAACCCGCACTACCCCGGGGGCAAGGGAGGTGGTTACAAATAACTGGTGTATTACAATAATGCACAATAAAAGATCTAAATAGGTCCTTATATTCCACTGATTTAGAAAAAATGCTTAAAGCTTTGAAGGACTTTTAAGAAATTTTGGTACGTAACGCACTTTAGGGTCGGACCCCAAAGTGCGTTTGACCCCAAAGTGCGGTGTTACAAAGCTTTATAAACAATGGTAAAAGTACCATGCCGTTTAATTATTTATGTAATATGCATGGATATATTATGTAAAAAGTACATACTGTATGCGTTTTTGATGAGATACTGGCATATCTCAGATTGTTTTTAGTTGTATCAAACTGATATTGAGTGTAAAAACATATTGGGAACTGTAAGCTAAACAAATAACAAAGACATAAGATTTGACAAACGTGGACATTTTGGAAATATTCAAAACTGTTCACTGATGCGAGTGATAAATACACGCTTTTGTTTCGCTCAATAGCACCTACTTCAGTAGAACTCAGCATATTAACATATGAAATTTAACATAAAAAGTGGTTTTATTAAGAATTTACAAATATTCCATAATGTACAACTGTTAAATTTCTCAAGGTATACTTTCCATTCTAAACAGTTTTATTAGCGCTGATATACCTTCATTGTTGATCTTTGTTCCCATATTTTAGACATGCGCCATTACAAGGATTTGTTTTCTACGATGGGCCTGTGTATGGTGAGAATATATGGTTTGATGGCTTTATTTCAACAAAGCTGTATACGGCACGGGCATTGTGTTACGACAGACTAAATGTTTCCAGTAGTTCATCTGTCAGTAATATCAGAAACGCTCAGTTCGGATTCGTTGATGGTGTAAGTATATCTCTTCTGTTTGTAGAAAACAAACTTTTCTTAGACTATTGTTAATTTTACGAGTGAATGTATTATTTGATATGAAAAAAACAAACATATTACTTTATAATTTTTGATAAATATGGTTAAGGTATTACCATCCTAATGCATTACCTCCGCTTTGAAGAGTATTCAAATAGGCTATAGAACATTGAAAATGAGGGCCGTGGGTTCAATCCCCAGAAGGGTCAACTTTTTTTCTTTCTTTTTTTCTTTTAACATTATTTTTGTATCTCTCATGTCCCATTTGGAAAGAAAAAAGTGTTTAATTTTGATTTTTTAATTTATATAGGTATTTATTGGCTAAATTATGCTGAATCTAGTAATAAATATGGTACCTGATTTTTTCAAAGTGTAATTAAACCAAAACTGGACGGTAAAGTATTTCATATTTTACAAGATCAACCAATATATTTCTTTAAAAATTTAGGGAAACTTTGAAAACAGGCACTCATTTGAGTAAATTTTAAGGATTTTTTAAATTAGGCTCCCTAAGTAGGGAAATGGTCACACACGTGGAAAAATGGGTGGGGTAGGGTAACCTTTTTATACAGATTTCATAAATTTTAAGTATAAACCATACTTGTGCTTATGTGGATTGTTAGCTGAATGGTACTATTTGTTTCTTACCAAAAATTAATAGGAAAACATTTTTCATAAGAATGTTATTGCAGATTATTTAAAGGTTCCTCATTTCTGAAAAATGGCCCTCATAACATCCTAGTTTGAGTTCAGAAAAGTGGCCATAACTTGATTTCTGTACGGTAAACTTTGTTTAAATTTTGCATACAGGTGTACTTTAAGGTATTTATCTGACCTATGATGTCAATTTTTTAGTTCCTTATAGTGCCCATTAGGGTGGTACAGTAGGGTGAAGGTAAACGGAAAAAGGGATCGAGTAAGCGTACACTTTGCATATTTAGCCCCGCCTATAAATAAAGCACGAATTTCTTATAAAGCGTTATAATCATGATTAAAATAGACTATAAATCTGTGGAAATGATCAGTGTTACTGTATGTAAGTACAAATGCTTAATCCCCCTAATAAATATACACGAATGTCTTATAAAAATGGAAAAAGGCTTTAAAGTGTTAAGTCGTGCAATAATGGTGCTTTCATTCATATGCCAAATGATTTAATCAGCATATGAACCTATGTGAGGATATCAAGTTAGATGACTAAAGGATCATCTAAATATACATACAATGTATACTCTGAATATACATACAATGTATACTTTTGTTCATATGAAAAATATATTAGGAATCACATTATAAGAGGACCAAGTTTATACTATATAGTTTTCATTGAACAGATACAATGCGATCACGTAAGATGACCATGTACATATACTATACTTTTCATTAAACAGATATCAGCGGGTCACGCACTTGATGACCAGGGGATCATCTACTTGTACACATAAAATAATTTTCATTGAACTGATATCATTGGATCACGTAGGTGACCAGGCGATCATCTAGATATACACGTCCTCTTTCTTATAATGGAAGGGATATAAGGGGATAACGTAAGATGACCAGTGGATCATCTAATTTTACATATGCTATAGTTTTTATTGATCAGAAATAAGGGGATCACGTAAGATGACCAGGGGATCGTCTAGATGTGCATACAGTATAAGATTCATTGAACAGATATCAGGGGATCACGTAAGATGACCAGGGGATCATTTAGATGTACATTTACTATAGTATTCATTGAGCAGATATAAGGGGATCACATAAGATGACCAGGGGATCATCTACATGCACATATACTCTTTCTAATTATGGAACGGATATATGGAGATCACGAAAGATGACAAGGGGATCAACCATATTTACATTTACTATAGTATCCATTGAACAGAAATAAAGGGATCACGTAAAATGACAAAGGGATCGTCTATATGTACATATACTATAGCATTCATTGAACAGAAATAAAGTGATCACGTGAGATGAGCAGGGGATCATCTACATGTACATTTATTCTTTCTTATTATGGAACAGATATATGGGTATCATGTAAGCAGACCAGGGGATCATCTAGATGTGCACATACTATAATATTCATTGAACAGAAATAAAGGGATACCGATCACGTTAGATGACAAGGGTATCATCTACATGTAAATTTATTCTTTCTTATTACGGAACAGATATATGGGTATCATGTAAGCTGACCAGGGGATCATCTATATGTACACATACTTTAGTATTCATTGAACAGATATAAGGAGATAACGTAATATGACAAGTGGGTCATCTAGATTTACATATACTATAGTTTTCATTGAACAGATATCAGGTGATCACGTAAGTTGACCAGGGAATCATCTTAATGTACATATACCGTACTTTTCATTGAACAGATATAAGGGGATCACGTAAGATGACCAGTGGGCCATCTAGATGTACATATACTATATTTTGCATTGAACAGATATAAGTGGATCATGTAAGATGACCAGGGGTTCATCTAATTTTACATATGCTATAGTTTTTATTGAACAGAAATAATTAAGGGGATCACGTAAGATGACCAGGGGATCGTCTAGATGTGCATATAGTATAAGATTCATTGAACAGATATCAGGGGATCACGTAAGATGACCAGGGGATTATCTACATGTATCTACTCTTTCTAATTATGGAACGGATATATGGAGATCACGAAAGATAACAAGGGGATCAACTATATTTACATTTACTATAGTATCCATTGAACAGAAATAAAGGGATCACGAAAATGAGCAGGGGATCATCTACATGTACATTTATTCTTTCTTATTATGGAACACATATATGGTTATCATGTAAGCTGTCAAGGGGATCATCTAAATGTACATGAACTCTTTCTTATTATGGAAGGGATATAAGGGGATAACGTAAGATGACCAGGGGATCATCTAATTTTACATATGCTATAGTTTCATTGAATAGAAATAAGGGGATCTTGTAAGATGACAAGGGAATCATCTAGATGTGCATATACTGTAAGAATCATTGAACAGATATAAGGGGATCACATAAGATGACCAGGGGATCATCTACATGTACATATACTCTTTCTAATTATGGAACGGATATATAGAAATCACAAAAGATGACAACGGGTTAAACTATATCAAAATTTACTATAGTATCCATTGAACAGAACTAAAGGGATCACGTTAGATGACCAGGGGGTCATTTAAATGTACTTATATGCTTTCATATTTCGGAGCAGATAAATGGGGATAATTTAAGCTGACCAGGGGATCATTCAGATTTAATACTATAGTATTCATTAAATAGATCTAAGGAGATCACGTAAGATGACAAAGGGATCGTCTATATTACATATACTATAGCATTCATTGAACAGAAATAAAGGGATCACGTGAGATGAGCAGGGGATCATCTACATGTACATTTATTCTTTCTTATTATGGAACAGATATATGGGTATTATGTAAGCAGACCAGGGGATCATCTAGATGTGCACATACTATAAAATATTCATTGAACAGAAATAAAGGGATACCGATCACGTTAGATGACAAGGGGATCGTCTAGATATACATGTCTACTTTCTTATTATGGAAGGGATATAAGGGGAAAACGTATGATGACCAGGGGATCATCTAATTTTACATATGTTATAGTTTTTATTGAACAGAAATAATTAAGGGGATCACGTAAGATGACCAGGGGATCGTCTAGATGTGCATACAGTATAATATTCATTGAACAGATATCAGGGGATCACGTAAGATGACCAGGGGATCGTCTAGATGTGCATACAGTATAAGATTCATTGAACATATATCAGGGGATCTCGTAAGATGACAAGGGGGTCATCTAGATGTGCATATTCTATAACATTCATTGAACAGATAAAAGGGGATCACATAAGATGACCAGAGGATCATCTAAATGTACATATACTCTTTCTAATTATGGAACGGATATATGGAGATTACAAGGGGATCAACTATATTTACATGTACTATAGTATCCATTGAATAGAAATAAAGGGATCACGGAAGATGACAAGGGGGTCATTTACCTGTACATATATTCTTTCATATGTTGGAACAAATATATGGGGATAATGGAAGCTGACCAGGGGATCATCTAGATGTACACATTCTATAGTATTCATTGAACAGATATAAGGTGATCACGTATATGACAAGTGGATCATCTAGATTAACATATACTATAGTTTTTATTGGACAGATATCGGATGATCACGTAAGTTGACCAGGGAAACATCTTGATGTACATAAACTATACTATTCATTGAAAAGATATAAGGGGATCACGTAAGATGACCAGTGGGCCATTTAGATGTACATATTCTTTAGTTTTCATTGAACATATATCAGGGGATCACGTAAGACCAGGTGTGATATAGATGAGGATAATATACCTTCAAGCAAATGATAGGATATCAAATGGAAGGACTAAGGGATCAAATAGATGTACAACAGAGAACATACTATCAAACATATAACAGGGAATCAAATGGGTGTACAAGGAGATCATACAGATGTACAACGGAGAATATTGTATCAAAAATTTAAGAGGAGATCAATTAGATGGAGTAGGGGATCATATGAATTTACAACAGAAAACATTATATAAAGCATACAAGAGAGGATAAAAATTGATGTACTTGGGGATCAAATAGATGTACAACTGAGAATATACTATCAAAAATATAAAAGGGGATCGAATGGATGGACGAGGGGATCAGACAGATGTACAAAGGAGAATATACTATAAAATATAAGAGGGGATCAAAAGGATGGACGAGGGGATCATACAGATGTACAACACAGAATTTACCTTCAAACATTTAAAAGGGGATCAAATGGATATATAAAAGAGAACATACTAGTCAACGTGTAAAGGGTGTCCACTTGATGTACTACGGTATGGTATAGATGTACAACAGAGAATGCCTTTTCAAACATATCAAAGGGGATAAAATTGAATGACTAAGGGCAAACAAATCAGAGGGGATCAAATGGATGGACTAGGGTATTGTACAGACGTACAACAGAGAATATACCTTCAGACATATGATAGAGGAACAAATGGATTGACTAGGGGATAATAGAGATGTAAAACAGATAATATTCTACCAAACATATGCATGTATTATAGGGTCAAGCATGTAACGGGGAATCAAATGGTTTGACAAGGAATATACTGAGATTAGTTAAGAAGTAAATCATTAGCAACAATTCATTTCATTTCAAATTCAATATTTATTCAGCATAAAGACATGAACATGTTAAGTATAAAAATAGACATAATTTATCCATGCAGAATGTAAAAAGTACTAAGGCCGTAAATCTCACAAAATTATCTCGAAATTTTACAATATGTCACACATGTGATTAAACACTGTCTGTTATATTTTGACAAATTTCCCGAAAGCCCTGTATGCTAAATAATTTTCCGTTGGCAACATCAAAAGGTGTTCTAAAAATAACAAATGCTTAATACAGTTTCCCATTTTCTTGTGAAACAGCAATAGCAAAAGTTGAAGTAAATTCAAAGAAAGAATTCAGTAAGTTTGATAAGAAGTCGTACCAATGTTGTAAAGGTTGTAATTATGGCTGCAAATGAAGTAATAGTTGATGGTCCTTTTTAATGAATACTATAGTATATGTACATCTAGATGATCCCCTTGTCACCGTACGTGATCCCCTTATTTCTGTTCAATGAATACTATTGTATATGTACATCTAGATGATACTATTGTCACCTTACGTGATCCCCTTATTTCTGTTCAATGAATACTATAGTATATGTACATCTAGATGATCCCCTTGTCACCTTACGTGATCCCCTTATTTCTGTTCAATGAATACTATAGTATATGTACATCTAGATGATCCCCTTGTCACCTTACGTGATCCCCTTATTTCTGTTCAATGAATACTATAGTATATGTACATCTAGATGATACCCTTGTCATCTTACGTGATCCCCTTATTTCTGTTCAATGAATACTATAGTATATGTACATCTAGATGATCCCCTTGTCACCTTACGTGATCCCCTTATTTCTGTTCAATGAATACTATTGTATATGTACATCTAGATGATACTATTGCCATCTTACGTGATCCCCTTATTTCTGTTCAATGATACTATAGTATATGTACATCTAGATGATCCCCTTGTCACCTTACGTGATCCCCTTATTTCTGTTCAATGAAAACTATAGTATATGTACATCTAGATGATCCCCTTGTCACCTTACGTGATCCCCTTATTTCTTTTCAATGAATACTATAGTATATGTACATCTAGATGATACCATTGTCATCTTACATCTTACCCTTTATTTCTGTTCAATGAAATCTATAGTATATGTACATCTACATGATCCCCTTGTCATTTTACGCGATCCCCTCATATATGTTCCATAATGAAAAAGAGTATGTACATCTATATGATCTCCTGGTCGTCTTACCTGATCCCCTTATTTATTTCTCTTTAATGAAAACTAAAGTATGTGTTTATTTAGATGACCCGCTGGTCATCTTACGTGATCCCCTTGTTTCAGTTTAATGAAAATTAAAGTATATGTATATCTAGATGATACCCTTGTCATCTTACGTGATCCCCTTATTAAATGTATCTGTTCCATAATAAGAAATAGAATATGTACATCTACATGATCCCGTTTTCATTTTACGCGATCCCCTCATATCTGTTCCATAATGAAAAAGAGTATGTACACATAGATGATCTTCTGGTCGTCTTATCTGATCTCCTTATTTCTTTCTGTTTAATGAAAACTAAAGTAAGTGTTCATCTAGATGATCCACTGGTCATCTTACGTGATCTTTTTATTTCTTTTCAATGAAAACTATAGTATATGTACATCTAGATGATACTATTGTCATCGTACGTGATCCCCTTATTTCTGTTCAATGAATTCTTTAGTATATGTACATCTAGATGATCCCCTTGTCACCTTACGTGATCCCCTTATTTCTGTTCAATGACTACTATAGTATATGTACATCTAGATGATCCCCTTGTCACCTTACGTGATCCCCTTATTTCTTTTCAATGAATACTATAGTATATGTACATCTAGATGATACCATTGTCATCTTACGTGATCCCTTTATTTCTGTTCAATGAAGTCTATTGTATATGTACATCTTGATGATCCCCTTGTCATTTTACGCGATACCCTCATAGCTGTTCCAAAATGAAAAAGAGTATGAACATCTATATGATCTCCTGGTAGTATATGTACATGTAGATGATCCCCTTGTCACCTTATGTGATCCCCTTATTTCTTTTCAATGAATACTATAGTATATGTACATCTAGATGATACCATTGTCATCTTACGTGATCCCTTTATTTCTGTTCAATGAAGTCTATAGTATATGTACATCTTCATGATCTCCTTGTCATTTTACGCGATACCCTCATAGCTGTTCCAAAATGAAAAAGAGTATGTACATCTATATGATCTCCTGGTCATCGTAATCGGGCCCCTTATTTCTTTCTGTTCAATAAAAACTATATTAAATGTACATCTACATGATCCCCTTGTCATCTACGTGATCCCCTTATCATCTTACGTGATCCCTTTATTTCTTTTCAATGAATACTATAGTATATGTACATCTAGATATTCCCCTTGTATTCTTACATGATCTCCTTACATCTGTTCCATAATAAAAAGAGTTTATGTACATATAGATGATCCCCTTGTCATTTATTTGATCCCCTCATATATGTTCCAGAATTAAAAAGAGTATATACATGTAGATGTCACCTGGTCATCTTACGTGATCCCCTTATTTCTGTTCAATGAAAACTATAGTATATGTACATCTAGATGCTCCCTTGGTCATTTTATTTGATCCCCTTACATCTGATATGTAATGAAAAAAAGTTTATGTACATCCAGATGATCTTGTAATCTTACATGATCCCCTTATTTCTGTTCCATGAAAACTATAGTATATGTACATCTAGATAATCCCCTGGGCATCTTACGAGTTACCCTTATATCTGTTCCATAATAAAAATGTTTATATGTATTTCCCTCACATATGTTCTTTAAGAACTACAGTGTTTATACACCTTAAAGACCAGATGACCCTTCTTCATATATATTCCATCACTACTAATGTATATTTACATCTAGATGATTCCCTGCTCATCTTACATTAACCTCTCATGCATCTTCTATAAAAACTAGTATATGTTCATGCAGATGATCTCTTGGTCCTCTTATAATGTGATTACTCATATATCTTTAATGAACATAAGTATACATTGTGTACAAGTGCATTCAGATGATCCTATAATAATCTTACTTGATATCCTAACATAGGTTCATCTGCTGATTAAATTATTAGGCATATGAATGAAAAACCATTATTCTACAGTTGTATGTCCTGAAGTTTAAAGCCTGTTTCCATTTTCTAGACATATGCATAAATTTATTAGGAGGATTAAGCATATGCATTATTTCACAGTGACGCTGATGATTTCCATAGATTAAGTCTATTTTAATCATGATGATAACGCTTTATAAGAAATTCGTGCTAAATTTATAGGCGAGGCTAAATATGCAAAGTGTACTCTTACTCGGTCCCTTTTACCGTTTACCTAGGGTGAACGTTTCAGTTTACACGCAAAACGCACGCTTTGGAAAAAACGCACGCACGTTACACGCTATACGAACGAACGTTATACGCACGCTATACGAAACGAAATACGCAGACGCACGCAAAACGATTTACGCTAAACGAAATACTCTAAACAATATACGCACGCTAAAACGCACGCAAAATGAAAACGTTTCTAAACCTTTATAAAAATATCGTAATCATAATAAGTTTTTAACAACTTTAGCGACATGTAGATCGTTTAGCGATTAATTTTGATTAAATGATAGCTAGAAATGTATTTAAATGAGTTTATGTTTTCAACAACACTTCACTGTCCTAATTTTAGAAACAGCAGACGAAATTCATTCTCAAATTTATTACTGATAAATGATGAGAATAGAGCTGAAATGCACTCAACCTAGCACCAAAATTAATTTTTGTCCCAGCCTCAACAAATGATTTTAAAAATGTAAGCTATCATGCGCTAAAATCGAAATTAAAATAATTAAACGTGTTCCTTTTTATGCGCAATCGCATAAAGAAATATCCCTTGCATTTACTACGTAACCTCCACGTAATAGTCCAACATGTAATTTACACCTTCTTGTTCTATATTGTCTGCGTTTTGTGAAAACACTCTATATCTATATTGTCTGCGTTTTACTATATATCCTATATTGTCTGCATAAGCGTCTGCGTTTTAGCCTCAAACCTGGCATGTGTATAGCCAATGTACAGCATTTCTTTGAAATCTGAAAAAATATTTTTATTGACCAAGGTCTACATTATTCATCATCAACATATCACCAATTGATAATCACTCAAATTAACTGTTTACAGAAAATATAAACCATTATTAACTTTTAAGTTTAACTAATACTCTTGTTCATATGTAAACAATGCTTGTAGATTGACCCCCTTGACACATTATCTGCTGTAAACACCAACATTTGCATTAAAATAATGAAATTTCATACCTAGAAAGGCTGTATACATCCATTCTTCCAAAATATCAGCTTTTCATGAAGTAATCAATGAAGACAAAGTAATACAAATGAATTATGACAGTTCCAATTTCCCTCTCTTTAGGTCAGACACTCACATTGATATTTCCAATTTCTTACATTATAAGAAATGGTCCCTAATCCTACCTTAAAATTGAGTTTCATGCTAAAGAGGTATTTTTCTAGCAGAATGAAATGCCTGACACATAAAAATGTTCCTGTTATATAGGGGTAGCCAACCGAACTTTTTGCAAAATGACTTCAAAGAGGATTACCCACATTTCATTGGAATTTTCTGCTGATCACAGGACTGACATACACTTTTTATAAATGCAAATATCCAAGTCAAAATTATCACAGAGGCTCATGAAATATTTCATTTTCTTCAGAAAACAATGTAGTGTTACTTTTTAAATTAGTTTTTATACTTAAAAATACCCAACTTTCATCCAATCACCTCATGTATAAATAGAATCATACGGTTTTCCCTGGAATTTTTTTTAACCAATCGCTGGCCATGTTACAATGCGATACTTTGACCTAAAGGGAATATTAAATGTTTAGTATTCTAATATCTAATAATAAATGAAGTTGCATATACAATTACCAATTATATGGATGGATTTTCACAACTCTTAAGTCATTTAAAACTTTGAAGTTCCCTTTTTCTAACAAGCGCCATTATGCCGCATTCCGGATATTCTGAAAATGAATGTTAGCATGTGATTTTCATACAAAATTCATTATTCTGAAGCCAATTTTGTAACAACTTCCATAAAATCACTCAGATAGCAAAACTACACTGTTCTCATTACAGAAGTGCTTCAAAATACTAATTTTGTAACAAAAGGATGTAGCAGGGAGCAATTTTATCACCCCACCCATAACAAAATTAGTGATTTTTCCCCCAAATTTCAACATTTTATTACCAATAGATTTCCTGAATGAAGATTTAGCTTAGAAAACATACTTAATAACTACTGTACTGGCATGCGAGCAGTTCCCGTACAGAAGCAGTACCCGTATTTTTCATTTAAACGCTTGATTTTTACTTGCATTCTTCAAAAATTCATTTCAATTCAAGCAGATACATAAACGAGACAAAATCTTAGTGTCAGTTCGGCAGTACGTATATAAAGTCTCATTTTAAATAACTTTCACCTGTGCGTCGTCAAAACGTGACCTTGTTTTCTCTGGGGGATTCCGTTCTTGTGCGCATGCGCAAAAATACTTACACGTGAGGCTTGTTAAAGGGTTTTCCATTAATACCACCTGTTTACAAATAAGTAGGCAATGTAATGTAAACTTGTTTAATTATCAGAATGTTGACCAATATTACTATATATAATAATTTTATGGCTTTGATGCGTAAAATATAATGCATACAAGCATGCTATTGCATGTGAATGCGTTTGGGTAACGGTACCGGGTAATTGATACCCGCGTTTAGTCTACGCTCTATTTCCTGAATTACATCTATTTATCTCTTAGATAATGGTCTGTTCAACAATTGTAAATGAAAAATAGGTCCGATATAATAAAATTGTATAATTATAATGGGTTAGATTTTATGTACGGGAACTACTTCTCTTCATACAAAATAATGGATAATTTCGGTACCCCATATGAGGCCTCATAACTAAGGGTTATACTATGTTTAGAACATGATGGACTTTCCATGATTTGTGTGACGAGCTGAATATTGATGTGTAACATTCAAATTGTGGTGAGTGAGCGTAACAAAAAATAATGTTTAAGTCACTACGATTTTTGTACGGGAACTGCTCGCATGCCAGTATAGTGACCTGATTATGGATTACACATTATTTGTACACACATAGCAACATTTCGGGAGTCACTAGGTATTTTAAAACTGCCCCTGCTATATTTTTCTACTCCAAATATTTGCTAATATAGTCTTAAATACAAGCCTAAATGTCAATAAAATGCCAAAATTCTTTATATATATTTTCTTTCTCTCTTACATGGATATAACAAATGCAATATATGGAAAAACCAAGTTCCTCTGGACTTAACAGCACAGTAATAGCCTAAAATTTGACATTTTTTGGTCATTTTTGCATTCATTTGGAGCCAAATCCTACCTTAAAATTGAGTTTTCATGCTAAAGAGGTATTTTTTCTAGCAGAATGAAATGCCTCACACATAAAAATGTTCCTGTTATATAGGGATAGTCAACCAAATTTCTTGCAAAATGACTGAAAACAATGTAGTGTTACTTTTAAATTAGTTTTTATACTTAAAAATACCCCACTTTCATCCAATCACCTCATGTATAAATAGAATCATACGGTTTTCCCTGCACTTTTTTTTAACCAATCGCTGGCCATGTTACAATGCGATACCCTGACCTAGGCCGACTGTTGTCAGGTTACGTAGTGAATTCAAGGGATAGTTCTTTATCCGATTGCGCATAAAGAGAAACACGTTTAATTATTTTACTTTCGATATTAGCGCATGATAGCTTATATTTTTAAAAATCATTTGTTGAGGCTGTGACAAAAAATAATTTTGGTGCTAGGTTGAGTGCATTCCAGCTCTAACATAAACTCGTTTAAAATAAGCTATCATTTAATCAAAATTAATCGCTAAACGATCTACATGTAGCTAAAGTTGTTAGAACTTAATATGATTATGATATTTTAATTTTATATGTATGAATGACTGATTTCAAGCATGATCTGACTGATTAATTTACAACCTTGTAGGAAGCTAAATTCTCTACAGCATCAGACGAAGTAATAATTTTTAAGAAAGACAAATCCCTCGTTATTTTATTCCGACAATCTAATTGTGTAAGAAAACAATTAAGGCATTTTTGAAAAGTTTTATATACACATACATTCATGAAAGACTTAGTTAGTTTAATACAATTCATAACGGAAAAAGAATTCTCAATTTATGAAAAACGACGTTTTTCAGGAGTAATATATTTACACGAACTCTACATGACAGACACTTTACGGAAAGACAAATACGTTCTGATATATATGAGATAAGATGTACTAGTAATTTGATTTGGCACATGACACCGTTTTTAATAGAATAAATATAACATTAGAAACTTCTGTTACATATATCATTGACAAGATCGAATATTCCATATTCTCTATATACATCAATCTTAATGCTTAACAATAAGAAGCGAACGAAAGAAAATGACAATGAAATACAATTTAAAGATATACGTTTGCATTCAAGAGCACCCATTTGATAGTAATTTTATTTTTAAAAAATACATTCGAATTTTTTAATCTTAAGCTAAACCTTTATAAAACCGGAGTTTATAAAAGACCAATGTAACAAGATTCTGTTCTATTCTGCACTTGTCAGTGTATCATTATAATCAGTAGAGATCAGTTTTTGAGTCGATGCAATCATTTATCTTTTAACCAATAAAAGGCAACTTATAAATGTTATACACTTATTATTGTCTACGTTCACATTCATTTTGTGTTATTCCTACAACGAATGCAAAATTAAAACAAACATATTTTTGGAAAATGTAATGATGCATCATTGTAAGAATCAACTTTCAAACTGTCCACAAGACGGATGTTATGTAAACGAATCTATTTGCCTGACAAATCATAAAAGTATGTATGTCCTTGCTGTATAGAAAACTGACTGGCAACACTCGTATTTGCATGATAGGCATATGTATGCAAAATAAAATTCTGCAATACTATAACTTAGTAATAATCTTACATGTCTCCCAAAATGCACATAACGATAATTTCCATGAAACACATTACGACGATTATTGAAGGCAAAAGACAATAAGGAAGATCTAATTGACATTTAATGTAAACTGAGGAAATTGTAATAGGAAAGGTACACCCTATATGACTCTTTGTATTTGACATAAAACGAAAATTGTAACTGAATGTTAATACAACAATGGAATTAAAATGCACTTGAAAGTCATATGATCATGATGAAATGTTAAATGTTACAGTAATGAACTTATTTATGTATCTGTATTACGGAAATCGTGACAATACAAATTGCTGAAAATGCCTTTAAAGCAAAATCAACTTACAGTCATATGAGTGACCTACTGCACTTGAATATTGAAACAGTTAATTTAAAAGCATGTTTTCCTGCGGTATTAACATCACTTATATATTTTAAAAATAGCATCAATTAGGTGTTGAAAACAGGAAAGAGTCCTTACATGTAATAGAAAGAGCACCGAAACACGAGGCTATCTGATTTGTACGAAGGGGCGTAGCCCCCGAGTATTAATCAGATTGCCGAGTGTTTTGGTGTTCTTTCTCTTTTGTATCATAGTCAAACATAAAAGCACGTTCCCTGTTGTCACAATATGAAACCCCGGCAAAAATGAACCAATGAACGAACATCTGAATATGACATTTCTGTCGCTTTCCCTTTCTCTGCCGTCACAATATGTAAACCCCAGCAAAAATGAGCCAATCAATGGACATGCTCTGGAGTGCGGGTAACTAATACCCGCACTCCAGTTAACGCACGGTGCATGTATATGTATACGATTTAACCCAGACACATTTTCAACAGAAAGGTCTCCAAACTATGATACAATACACAGATAAAGTACATTTTAAGGCGTGTTATATTATCTAAAGCATCTTTCCGACTTTTTTGTTTTGTATCATTTTAACCTTAGACAAATATCCTTAAATCAAACAAGGAAAATAAGTTTTTCCCCATTTTCTTCAATGAATCTGTCTACATTTCATTTATTTAATTGCAAAATTAACTGTAAAGTTCGCAGTGATTAATAAGGGTTTAAAACTTTGTTTGTAGATAACATTAGGCATATTCATAATTCTCTTTGATTCTGAACGTTACGGTTATTTTCGTATTTAGGTACGAAAAAATTAAATGTTTCAAGAATGAGCGTTACATTATGCCCTCATAATGTTGAAAATAATTTCGGCGTCCATCTTGGTTAGTTAAGCCTGGTTGTTATCGTGTGGTTGCATTGTATGTATTATTCAATTATTGATATGCATTAATGCAAGTTCAAAGCATTGACGTTATAATTTATCAATTTTATAAACCAGCAGGTTTATATGAAAAAAGCTTGTAAATGGTAATATGATAGGTAAACAACAAAACAACTATGAATATTAGACTGGGACCAGTTGAGTGCCCTGCCGCTTGGACCATATTTAGGGACCTTAGATTTAGACTTTAAGATTTATTTGTTTCAAATGTGGACATGTTAGCCCGCATCTGTATGCTTGATAAAGTAAAAACTTGCTATAAATTACACAGATAAAGTATCATTTGTAAATGCATAAGTCTTGCAAAGTGCTAGAAATATCCTCAGAAAGAACTAAAATTTATACAGATAGATTTATAATACAATAGTATTAGAGTTTTTTCTTTCTGTGTAACATTTCTTGTAAAGGGAGAAATATGATTAATTATCTTTAGCATTTAATGGTTCATGCTCGGGTTCATTTTCACTTGGTCGCACCTTTGCAGCAAATGTTTGAAGAGGTTTCATTTCCATGTGGGGCGTTTGCTCAGAATCATTACACTGAAAAAATCGCCTCACTGGTTTGACAACAGTTCTGTATAGTACTTTGCGGAATCTTCTGTTAAACACAGTGTATATATAAAAGTTTGCATGGAAGGAAAGAACTAGTAAAATTTGATAGGCCATAAATATCGCCCTGATTGGTTTTAAAGCAATTCCTTTACCGTTGTTGGCCGTTTTGTCTATTGCGATACACAGTATGAAAACGCCGTATGGTATTTCTGGTATGAGGAATACAATAACGATGCACGTGACCATGATTGAGATTTGGCGATTTTCTTCAACGCGTCGAGATATCTGAGACCGATTAATACCCAGTTTACGCAAGCTTTCTTCTCCAACGTGTAACTTTGAAATGAACAGCACGGAAAAGACAACAAGCGTCAAACAAGGCAGGAAGTGACGTATGAAGAATGCTATCCACAAATTAATGCAACCTCCTTCACATCCATGTCTTTGCAGTTCCCATAGGCAATACATGTTCTTTGCTCTGTTGCTTACCAGGTGATACGAATGTAGCAGTGGGGACAAAACAAATATAACAACACAAATGACAAGCGCTCGCTTGATATCAAATAGAAACTTCGACTTGTACGGGAAAGCAACGGACACGTATCTTTGAATTCCCAAAAATAATGTCAGAAATATTGAAACTGTGTGAAACGATTCCGACAGAAAGTACTTTGTTATCATAAAACCATTACATAAATCTTTCGTCACATTAAAGTCATGTACTAGTTCCTGCGCTTCTACGTAATCGGCGTAATCGGCGTAATAGGTTAAATAATCTGGTGAATATGATGATGAGTTGGTGGTTGATGTTCCATTCGAGTTCGTGAAGTAATCATACATACTGTAACTCAACTCAAATGGGTCGGAATGGAACACCATAATGTATGTTGGTAAGGTCACTATTCCAGTGAGAGAATCAGAAACAGCTATTGCCGCAAAGATTATGCTTGTAGAATTCCGCATTTTTCTTCGGAGGAAGACGGAAATAACGACAAAATTAAAGAGGGACGTTACAATAACCATTATTTCCCAAATGTACAGATACAGCGCCCTCTCAAAATCATAGCTTGGATATATGAACTCATCCCAATAGCTGAAGTCGTAATTATAAGACATATTGTCGGTGTATAAACCATAATCATCGGTGTCAGAATTGTTAAATTTACTCTGGTTATTGTGTGACATTTTCAGTGACATTTAATTGCGTCGCGTGCACGTTTATGATATCTGTATCACAAAAAAGCGTGTTGAAGTTTTTAAATGCAGTTATTGTTGTAGTGAAAGCTCTCTTTTCCTTTTGTTCCCGAAGCTTTTTTTAGCTTGACGATGCTGTTGATGTATCAATTATGTGGGTCTGTCTGTTATATTCTGTCTTTAAGTTATCAACATCTACTTTCCATGACCCTAAATGTAAAAATGTATATTAGGTTGATATACTAACATTATGATAATAATGGTTATAATTTATGTTATAGAAATATTAATAACAAAACTTGCATGTAAACAAAATTAAAATTATATCATCATCATCATTTTATTATTTAAAGTTACATTGTATTAGATTGATCATTGCTTTTTTATTATTTTATTATTATTGTAATAGTTATGATCATGATGATGATGATTATTATTATTATTATTATTATTATTATGACAATGTTGGTGATGATGATGATGTAGTAGTAGTAGTAGTAGTAGTTGTTGTTGTTGTTGTGGTGGTGGTAATAGTGGTAGTCATAGAAGTAAAGGTGGTAGTACCAGAGTCAAAAATAACAAAATATGAAAATATATAATAACGATAACAGTAATAAGAACAACAAAATATGCATTTATAAGTAGTAATAATAATAATAATAATTATGATAATAATAACAACAACAACAATTTCAATGTATCATGATTATGATATTTATTTTTATGATGATTATGATTATTATTATTATTATTTTTATTATTATAAAACATAAAAATCATATAATAATTAAAATTTTGACAGTATAATAATATAATGATAACAAAACATGAAGCAATTTTAATGCGCAAATGTTCTTTTCCTTAGTGGTTTAATGCAAGGCATCAAAATGTATTTGTGAGCCTTTTCCAGTCTTATCATCATAAAAAAGAAAAAAAAAACTTATTCTTGAACCTAATAAATGTAAACATGTAGGATCATATATCATTTCCTAGTAATGTTTGGTAAGGTATGAACTTACTTGGTTTGTAGCAAAAATTAAAACTTCTCGATATCTTTGTGTCCATCCGATATCACAGATTATTATGATATTATACAACTTTTATTTGCATTAACGATCATTTATCAAATACATAGTGCTTTGTTATAAATTAATGAATAACAGTGATTAACGCAGTTCAAGTGTTATTAGTGTGATTTTCCTGTTTTCCTAAATGATCCCTAACCACTTACAAAACACACGTTTTCCACAGGACTTTCGACTTTGGTCATGCAGATTGTATTGTAACCGGGTTATCTGAATAAACTCAAATACAATAAGTCAACACAGTGTATATTCAAATATCATTCAGTTTAATTATTGTTTACTAGAATATGCATTTACAGTAAGTTCAACATTTATTTATAATCAACGTTTCCAAGTTAAACAATTCAAAGAGTAAGTTATAACTGCGTACCAAAATTGAGTGCCAAACTAACATTAAAAACGACACTGCAAAACTAGTCTGATCCCCGAGTATTTATAGGATAATCAACCTACGTTATGTATAATAAAAGTGAATTAATTAAACCAAATTCCCCGCTTTGTGACAGGTAACAATTACTCTTATATATATGGATTCGCTTATATTTGACAGCATGCATTAATTAAGCATCTTTAGAAATTAACGATCTTTATCAAGTGGGAAGTACTATTGTTGTTTTGACACTTGTTTACTATGTGACCGGACGAGCTGTCCACCTAATTGACCCACGGGTTTAATTGAGGAAATGCGTACTATACGACAATACCCCCTTGGCCATTATAAAATATTTACAGATATTTTAAAAAAACAATTCAAAAATTTAAAATCAGTATTGTATAAGTATTCGAGATGAACAGATGTAATAGTGAAATGGAATAAAATAAAATATAAGATAAGAATGATACGCAGTTTCCTAACAATATAACATTTTAATTTTCTAAAGGCTAACAGATTTTAATAGTGTTTATGGTTAATCAATTTATAACAACTGTATATTATTTTATTATATTTTGATATAATAGTAATGATAACAAATACAATTCTAATTATAATAGATTTTCAAAGGATACAAACACAACATTACTTTATATATATATATATATATATATATATATATATATATATATATATATATATATATATATATATATATATATATATATATATATATATATATATATATATATAACATATTCAGAATAGAAACGAAGGTAATTAAACATTTACACATTTTGATACATGAGATATTTGATAAGTATTTCGAGAAAATGAGTGTTCTAGATTTTTCATATATATATATTATTCACAACATCGCACATGTTAATACAGAATCTGATATCTTTATTTTTTTTGTTTTTACTTTCACATACACATTGTTCATTTCTGTTTAAAACAAGTCCTAGTAAATATGTCACTTTTTTTTTTCAAAAAACTATGATACGAATGTAGAACCTCCGAAGAATTGCTTAGAATAGAAAAATTTCTATGAACACAGAACTATCAAAAAACACAATTTTCACTTTTGCTTTTTGTTGTAAACCAACTGCAATTTTCTAGAACATCTGTGTTGTTGTTTTGTTTTTAGCTCACCTATCACAAAGTGACAGGGTGAGCTTTTGTGATCGCTTTTTTCCGGCGTCCGTCCGGCGTCCGTCCGTCCGTCCGTAAACTTTTACTTTAAATGACATCTCCTCATAAACCACTAAGCCAATTTCATCCAAACTTCACAGGAATGTTCCTTTGGTGGTCACCTTTAAAAATTGTTCAAAGAATTTAATTCCATGCAGAACTCTGGTTGCCATGGCAACCGAAAGAAAAAACTTTAAATATCTTCTTTTAAAAAATCCTAAGAGCTAGAGCTTAGATATTTGGCATGAAACATCTTCTAGTGAGTGTCTACCAAGTTTGTTCAAATAAAATCCCTGGGGTCAAAATTGGCCCCGCCCCAGGGGGTCATTGATTTTCCCTATATGCATATAGTAAAAACTTAAAAATTCTTCTTTTAAAGAACCCAAAGAGCTAGAGCTAAGATATTCGGCATGAAACATCTTCTAATGAGTGTGTACCAAGTTTGTTCAAATAAAAGCCCTGGGGTCAAAATTGGCCCCGCCCCAGGGGGTCATTGATTTTCCCTATATGCATATAGTAAAAACTTAAATAATCTTCTTTGAAAAAACCCAAATAGCTAGAGTTTAGATATTTAGCATGAAACATCTTCTAGTGAGTGTCTACAAAGTTTGTTCAAATAATAGCCCTGGGGTCAAAATGTGCCCCGCCCCGGCGGGTCTTGATTTTCCCTATATGCATATAGTAAAAACTTAAAAAATCTTCTATGAAAACACCTAAATAGCTAGAGTTTAGATATTAAGCATGAAACATCTTCTAGTAAACGTCCACAAAGTTTGTTCAAATAAAAGCCCTGGGGTCAAAATTGGCCCCGCCCCAGGGGTGTCATTGTTTTTAACTGAATGTGTGTAGTAAAAACTTAAAAATCTTCTTTTAAAAAACCCAATGAGCTAGGGCTTAGATGTTTAGCATGAAATATCTTCTTATGGATGTCTACCAAGTTTGTTCAAATAAAAGCCCTTGGGTGAAAATTGGCCCTGCCGGGGGGGGGGGGAAGGGTTGGGAGGGGGGACGGGGGCGGTTGAGATCATTGTTTTTCATTACATGTGTGTAGTAAAAACTTAACATTGTGAAACATCTTCTAATGAGTGTCTTCCAAGTTTGTTCAAATAAAAGCCCTGGGGTTTAAACTTGCCCCGCTCCGGGGGCCTATATACAGATGAGCGACCTCAGGGCCATCATGGCCCTCTTGTCTTTCTTTTGAAAACGACGTGCGTAGAGGTTATACATTCGTATACCTGAAACGAAACGAAAGGAAAACAAAAGTTAAACATATATTTAAGACAAAGAAATGAAAATATAAAATTTTAAAACACACAATGATAATACTGTGTAACAACTTGAATGTAATGCAACGTTTACAAAGAATACATGTTGAGTTAACATAAGTTCATTAATTACTTTCTGTTAAGAATATTACAAGTGATAACTGAATAGCATGATAATCAATGTTGTTATTTTGACTACAAAGAACATAATAATATATAAAATTATACAATCCAACAATACCAAAAATTTCTGTAGTTCATCTGTAATGGATAAAACAAAAACATTAAAACATAGTATGAGAAAACAAAACAAGACATTTAAACAAATAACCCAAATACCTAAAACGTTTAGGATAGAAAGTGAATCTTCGACAACGTGAATAATATTCTTCTGTGTATTAGCTAATTTTTTTAACATTACGTTTTACATTTTGTAAATCACCGTCGTCGGCTGTGCCGAACAGAAATCTAAGAGCTTTTCCTAGGCCAAAAATACTTCTCTTTTGAATATTACTTAAGGTAGTACACCCCTAATGGTCACTATAAGGAACTGTAAAATTGACAACATAGGACAGTTATATGCCTTAAATGTCACCTGTATGCAAAATTTAAACAAAATTTACCGTGTGGTTTATGAGTTATGGACATTTTTCTTAACTTAAACTTTGCCATTTAAAGGGTGTTTTTCAGAAATGAGGAAACTCTAAATAATCTATAATATCATCATTATGAAAAATGTTTTCCTATTGCTCATTGTTAAGACACAAATAATGACATTTAGGTAACAAATTAAACAAGCAAAATGATTGTTTTTAAACGAAATATTTTTGATATGTATAAAAATGTAACCCTACCCCACCTACTTTTAACACTTATTTCACCATTTCCATGTGTAGAAAGCCTTATTTAAAATATTCCAAAAAATTTGCCTAAATTTTCTTAAATGTATATTGGTTGGTCTTGGAAAAAATAAAATACTTTTACCGTGTAGTTTTTATTTTATTAACATTTGAAAATATATGGTATCATATTTGCTATTAAATTTGGCATTATTTAGTAAAAAAAATACCTACAAAAATTATATTATTAAAATGAAACACTTTTTTCTTCCATTAGGGATCTGGGAGATTAATAAAATATGTTAAAAAGAAAAAAAAAAGAAAGAAAAAAAGTTGCCCCTTCTGGGGTTCGAACGCACGCCCCCCAGTTTCAATACACTTTACAGTGATTCTAGCTCATTTCAAAGTGGAGATAGTGCATTAGGGGTGTACTACCTTAAAGTCAAAAAATCTGTATATTCTGTTAAAATATTATCGTAAGTATGACTTTAAGAATTGATATCTAACTGCATGTCTGTAATTGTTAAGTAGGGTTGAAATTCATCTTCATCTGTTGTGGTGGCATAATGTTGTTTCATGTTAAGTAAAGTCTGATTAATAGAAATAATATTCCCTGATATCTGATTAAGATAATGTGAAAATTGTTTTGTATCATAAACGAGAATAGCAGACCAATGGGCTTTAGTTATTGAAATTCATTAACTTTAGAAAATATAACATTTTCATAGTCTGTCATAGCCCTTGCACAAACGATTAAACAGAAAAGTAAGATTATCTTGTCTGAAAAATATACATAGGCAATGTTTTAAAAGAGAGAAAAAAAAGTAAAATGAAGGAAATTTATTTAAATTATATCTCTCGGAAGGGAATTATGTATTTTGAAAAAATGATTTCAAACAGACATTTTTATATTTTAAAGAGACCTTCTTAATGATGTATATGACGTAAATATCTCAAATATCTGTACCATGTTTTTTGTCTGAAATTTAAATTTAAACTTTTATGACAATAAAAAAACTTATGGACTTAATCGTGCCATTCAAAGCGTAGTCTTTTGTATGTTTCTCTACATTATGCTATGTAGGGTATAACAGTTGATCTTTTCTCATAGAGACAATTATGTAATAAAAAGTACAACACTTAATGTGTTTATTGACTTTATCATGCAGTTCAGAGCATAACATTTAGTATGTTTCTTATGTTATGTACAAAAACTTAAAGATTCTGTGTGTTGTAATTAAGGATGTAATATACAGTGAAATTTTATATATGTGTTGTAATAAAGATGTAATATACAGTGAAGTTTTATATATGTATATAATTATTCTTCTTAAACAATTTCCAATCATCCAATAATATGTTAAATATATACAGCAAATGTTTATATACATTATTACTGAACGTTAAAATTAATGCATTCACTTTTATTAAAAAAACTGGCTTAGACTTTATCGAAAATAAATTCCTAATAACCTCCTTTTATTTATATGAAATGTTAAATTCGGTAATATCTTTACAAATAATACTTTTTGAAACTTACACAATTGATAAATCTTTATTTTGAGCATCAGATCTATTATAAAAAAAAAACATAAAAATGCATTACAGGGAATATAATGTATTGCAGTGTATTTTCTTAATCTAGCAAAATAAATACAGGGTATAACATTGGTATAGTTTTCATTGAACTAATCATATAATACTGAGTATAACACTTTGTATGTTTTATTATTGTTTCAAATATAAATTGCAGGGTATAACACTGGTATGATTTCTCAAGGCATTTCTCATGTAATACATGATATAGCATTTGTTTGGTTTCTTAGGGGATTTTATTATGCAAATCAGTGTGTTTTCTTATGAACTTTATTATACAATACAGGATATGACACTTGGATTTTATTGACTCTGACATGTAATACAGCGCATAAAACTGTTTTCTTATTAACTAATATCAGTACACGTTTATGCAGATTGTGCTTTTACTTAATCATACAATAAAATGTTTAACATTTAGTATGTTCTATTTTGAACTTAATCATGCAATAAGTATTTAACAGCAAGTGCTTTTTCTTATAGACCTAAGTATACAATACAGGGTTTTAGTAATTCGTCATTATGAATACTGCATTGAATTTTGAGTTGCATGCAAACAATATTAGAATCGCAATTTTACAAAATCCATCTTCCCAAGGTGCTTAATGTTGTTTAACAAGGTGTAGTGATAAACGAAATTGCTTGTCATACAATCAGTTACTTTGTTCTTTCTTCTTGGAAGTGTTTTAGGTGGCGTCGTAAAACTGAATCAATGCAAGTCATAGTCGCTTTCAAAAGGATTGCATTTCAGTTTAATCTAGCTATGATAAGACATTTTAAATTTCTGATATGGATTGTTTAGTCTTTCTAAAGATAAAACTTTAAAACCAAAGTCAAATTAAGTTCATATCATTACTACTAAAACGCTGTACTGTTTACTTTTTATATTGTAAAGAACTTTTCTCAAACAAACAGTTCCAGTGAGAAAGAAATAGTAGTGTCTAAAACACAACATTTCATTTGTAAAATGTGAGCTGTATGTATGACTATGAGTTGTTAATCCTCTAAAATTGTTTTAAAGAACTTAGTGTACTAAAATTTATTTTGTAATTTGTAATGATAAACTTTAGTGTAATGTGTCACTTAAGATAGCGAGAATGCTAGTAAAACAAACACCTTTTCATGTCCCATTTTGGTGATGTGATGATGATATCAAACTTTTAAATTGATAAGTTAAATAGAATGTTGTCTTAAATAGGATTGAGATAAGAATTCCAAATACATTCATATGAGTGTCCTATTTTGTACTACTGGTTCCATAGACCAATTTTGACAAGAGAAGTCATGGCGCCTTCTTTTTGTAGTTTGGTATTTCTCCTATTTCTGACAGACTATTGCTTTTCGCTTTGTCCTCATCAAGATAGGCATCTCCATCTAAAACATTGGTCAAACGTTCATACATGGCCTCATGGAAAGGTAAGATGAAAAAAACTCTTATTGATTTTATTGTATCAATATTATGACTGATATGAACATAAGTGTTTCAAAATATATGAAATCATGAATAGTTTTTATTACAGCATTTGCTTTTTGCAGCCAAAGCAACATTCACCTGTGGTTATATCTTCAAATGTACTATTAGATGAACAGCCTCCTGATCTTCATAGTATTAACATTACATCTACTGGAAGACTAGTGTGGAGTCCACATGCTAATATCACATTGCGTACAAAATTCATTTACATAAATGGAAGACTGGATATCGGGTCTGAAGTGTGTCCATTCACTGGGACTGCCAAGATTATACTTACAGGTCACACCTTTCTTTGCTTTGCTCTGTGTTCTTGTTTGCTTTAATTTGTGTTCTTTGTTTTCTGTGTTGGTGGTTATAGTACCACTGCTTCGGCTTTTTTTTTTGTTCCGCTTATTCTCTGAAATATTTGTGCCCCTTCAGATTCAGCTTCAGTAATTCATGTGGGATATAAACCGATGCAAAGATGAAAATTGTTTCGTTTTCAATATTCTATGAACAAACTAAATGAATCTATTGCGATGTTCAATTCATTGTTTTTGAAGGATTTCTACTTTCTAAATTAATTAATGAAATGATAATGTTTCCTTTTTTATTGCTTTTTATGTTAAGTTAAAACAACTTAAATAGTTCTTCTTGTATATCATTAAATGACCTAGTTATAAGTTGAATCTCAAAAAATAGAACACAAACAATACGTCATATCGATTACTTCCCTTTCTTTAAATACTAAATAATATAGTGTTTTAGATATTACACTTTATGTGTACCTTTATGAATATGGATATTCACTGTAATTTGTAAAATTTTACAGGCCGCAGAGGTGAATTCAATTTCCGGGATCATATGAACATGGTTATAGGGGATAAAGTAATTGTTGTTGCTGAAGGAGGTACAATAGAAATCCATGGACAACCTAAGTTACCATGGACAAAATTGACTAAAACAGTTCCAGTCTTGTCAAAGAAAACTGGCATCATATTTGACCATATTGTAAGATGAAACTTTTGCTACCTCTATCACATAATTATTAATGTTGGAATTTATAGATTTCTTGCTTTCTCGAATAACTCAGCTAAAACAAATAACTGACTTGATTTCTAATGAGAATACCAATACATGTCTTAATTCCTAAAGGAATCTGGAATATGTTGATGATTAAAAGAGATTGTATCTTTTAATGAAACAAGACTTGGTATTGATTATAAAAGTGTTTTCCCGCTGTTAACCTTTGAAACATTCATTGACAAATCAAACTTGTTCAATATCACATAAATGAAATGATTTACGAGAAAAGATATCAGACTTACCTTTGTATGTTAAACTCGTTTAATGAGGAAAATAATGAAAATAACAAAAACTAATTTATTTTCTGTCAAATAAATGTATTATATACCCCGCCAGCAGAGCAACAGATAAGGCGCGTATTTGCGTATTTACTAAAACCCATCTAAAAAAAATAAAAATACGCAGTTGTCTTAAAGATCCATGCATATTGTCGCCATCACAAAATTTACCAGTCGTTCGCTCGTAGTTTTGAATGTTATCAGGACTTAGTAATCGACGGTCCCCGGTCTTAAAAGTCATATCAATTAAGCACAAGACCGTAAATTTAATCTACTCGAGGCGACGGTCTTTACAGACCAACAGAGACCGTTGATTTTGCAGAGACCATCAAGTAGTAGGTTAATCTGTATCAAAAGACGCTCTGAATGCCATATGGCATTGTACAAAAGGGGACGAAAGAAAAAAAAACAAAGAGATTTGAAACAATAAGCGAGTTGATAAATGATTTCCAGTGACAACATGTTACTATGTAATTCTTTGCAACTAAACTTGTTTTATTTGAAGTCTGACATAGATTTCATATGTGCATTTTTTATATAAATATTTAAAATGTTGTGAAAAATTCAGAAAATTGATAAATGAAGTAAGTAGCCTATATTAACTTTTTTAAAAACAGTTTATGCTTTTTTGGTATTAAAGCCATGAAATTCGTATCTTCATAATTTAATACCCAATGGATCTTAAAATTGTAGGGTACTGGTTTTAGAATACCCAATGAAATAGAGCAAATACCCAATTGCAAATGAAATAATGGAGTAATACCCAATTCATTTTCAAAGCTTATCTGTTGCTCTGTATTTTTATTGAGATATGTGTAGATTACAAGGTTACACTGTAATCTATACATACTCATATTTCTATAAAAATACGATAACTATAACATTTGTGAATTATTGTCATTCATTTGACAAAATTACGAAGACTTGAAAAAAGACTTCCTATCTGTTTCTTTCCTTAACTAATTAAATAGATGTGTATTTTTTTTATTTCAAATGCCATAAAATTATATATTTATTTTTAAACTTATTAACGGTATGAAGAATATTCTCGGGGTGACATTAAATGAAACTGGTAAACTTTTCTATCTTTCATCGTCTGTTGTATGTCAATCATTGCAGGATAGTGGAAATTTAGAAAATCAGAAATACGAGAACGGAATCATTGCTTACATTCTACGAATTGATTCACACAACAAAGTAACTGTTAAGGAATATGGAAGTTATGAACTAATCTCCACGTGGCAAGCAGCACAAGAAAAATCAAGATTTATAAATATGATCAAAAGTAAGTGGCGTGTATAACTTCCTATAAATATCTAACTACGCCAATTCTGTAAGTTAATCATTTCGATATTTGTACAAATTTCGATGAAATTTACATGTACGAATAATTAACAAAGGCTTGCATGAGGCCGAAATACGTAATGATATATAACATTTATCGGATTTATCCAATGACCTAAATAAATAATTTCAGAAAGAGAATTTTATTATATATCAACTTATTTTGCTGCAAAAATTGATTGCAAATAGAAACATGAAATTTTGTAAAAACGATGAAGGTTTTAAATAACTTTGTACACAGATTTTACCATTATGTTTCAGATATGAGCATGGGAGATATTTTAGCTTTAGGTATACATTATAATCTTAATGTTGACAACGGTAATATCGATGATGTGTACGATGCCTTTGAAGTATTAACAACTGGTCACGTGACTGGTAAAAGTGTTATAAGAGGCATTCGTAACCATGATGCTTATTCAGCTATTGTTTATAAAGGTAAAGTTCTTTCGAACTGAAATTATCATTATACGAATGTACAGAAATTTTCATTATAAGAATATTATCTCTATATTCAGTTTTCAATAACAATTTCTAATTGTTACCATGACAATTGAAGCAATTTGAAGGCTTTAAACAGAACGTCATAATAAGTAATGTAAACAAATATTATATAAAGGAAGATTGATGAATTTCTACTTGAAAATATCTTTTATATTGGAGAAACCGGAGGACAAACTAAATTCGTTGAGGACGTAACAAGATTTCGTTATAACGGTGACACCATGTTGTCTAGATCTGCTCTGCTACCGGAAGAGACATCAACTAAGGTATCTGTAGAAAGTTATGTTGACCAAAAACATTCCTGGCTCAGCTATCTTAATTTAAGGGTTTCAACTATTGATGGTGCATTCCCGAAATTGGATGTGATTGACGATACCAGCACTTGGATGCAAGGTTAAGACTTACTTATGCTAACGTCTTTACGTACAAATTAATAGAACTGTTTGCCAACCGAAAAGATAGTTACAGTTAAGTGTATTTAGTTATTGAGATAAAATTATTTTCGTATAATTAGGAATATAACAGGTACACAAGTTTGCAGACCTGCTGCGGTGTATTTATTTCTTTTCCAACAGTAAAACTTATGTAATTACATCATAAATGTTGGTTAAACAACAAAAAGAAAACAATACAACTATAACGTAGCAGGTGGTTTGCTTTGTGAAATTGTATGTTGGCAAACCGACAATATGTAAACTTAGCAAAGTTATGCATAAAAGTATGTAAATCTAGTTGATCTAGAAGTAAATAGTCTTCGATGACTATGCTGTATTAGAGTTTTATATTGATGTAGAGTACTGAAATATCACCATTTGTTAATTAATGTTAAGTACATGTTATTAGTACATTACGTTGTGATTGACATTAAAGATATAATATAATCATCTTTAAGTAAAATAAAAATAGTTTAATCACAATAATTCAGTGAAAGCAATCTAACTAAATATGCCTTATTTGAATAAAAGAGTGAATAAAGAAACAATGTATGGGAAGCTGCGTTCCCTTTTACAGGTCAATTAAAAATTATCATTTTTAATGGCACTATATAGTCATATTATGACCACTTATGGTGTGTAGTACAGATGATGTACTTAGTGTGAATCAATCATATGTTTACTTTATAATTATTACAAAAAGACTGTGAAGCAGTGATCATTATTTTCTAACATCGAATTTCAGTGTAGTATTTCTTAAATACAGAGTTGAAAATATTCTCATGCATAGGTGACAAAGTAGTGCTCACATCTACAGACTATGACTGGAAACAAGCTGAAGAAGCAACCATCGTGCACTGTTCTGATTGCTCTAATAAACAAATTAGAGTAGATCGTGAGTATCTGCAGTTTATTTTCTACTCACTTAAATTTAGTGCTGATCAATATCTCTTGAAACATATAGGTTATATATCAAAATTTATTTTTAAAATAAATATAGTTCATTGTGGATATGTAATATTTGAAAGAAATATTTACCTATCATTTTAGTTGAAACAAAATATGAGCATTGGGGAACTATGATAAACAGAGTAGACGAACGGGGAGAAGTGGTATTGTTGACGAGAAATATTGTAATAGAAGGAGAGGTGGAAGATACGTGCGTACAGAGCAATGGTAATTGCCACAAATATAAAAGCGACACTTTTGGCGGACATTTTAAGGTGATGACAGCAACTGAATCATCCTTTGTAGAAAACTGTTTTTTTTGGGGGGGGTGATTGTATGATTACATGAGAAACATAATTTCAAATTTTATAGCCGGCTTTAAACTTTATAAAATTTATTTGAAGCTGTGAAGAATTTTAAGACATCTGATAAGACTGTCTATGCTCTTAACATAAAATAGATTTGCTAATTTTTATTATTATAAAAGGTAACTTTTGAAATCAGCATATTTTATTCCTTCAGAAATACAACGTGTCTGATGGATTTATATTTACTTAAAAAGTGTTAAAGCAACTAGTTTCACCTCTAGACAGCTTGCACATTATATTCAAAAGATATGCAATGCAAGAAAGCAAAATAATATTAAATCGAATGCAAAAGTGTAATGTTTTTAATTCATGATATAAGTTGAAAGTGTTTTATATTTGTTTAAAAGAAATAATATGTGGCTTTTATCCTTTGTGAAATATAGTAAACTATAATTGTCGTGGAACGAAAGATGTGTTCAGTGTTCAAATTTTTTTATTTAAATGGTCTTTCGATAAATGTTATTTTTGCATGTTTAACTTTTATTTATGACAAATATAATATTTATAATTTGAACATTATATAATGATAGTTTCTACGTGGATCAACTGTGCACATAGAAGGAGCGGAATTGTATCATATGGGGCAACAAACTGATGTCGGGCGATATCCCCTACATTTTCACATGGGTTTTGATATGAGAAATATGACACATCCGCCTTACATTAGAGAAAATTCCATTCATCATTCATTCTCCCGCTGTGTCACTGTTCATGGAACACATGGCGTAATGGTATGTCAATATTATAACCAATGTTTTAAAAACCACACCATTGAATTTGATTTTTTGAAATCAATGTAGATAAAATAACAAAATCAATCAGAAAAAAGAACTTCAAAGAAACAATTAAACCAAATCCTGATTTAACGAAATTTTATCTTGTGTTTCTTTTAATTCTTACCAGGTTAAAGACAACGTTTGTTATGACACAAAAGGTCATGCTTTCTTCATAGAAGATGGAGGAGAACATGATACAACTTTTGATGGAAATTTGGCTGCAAGTGTGCGAAAAGGCTCCCTTATTCCTTCAGATCAGTAAGTTTGAATGTCATTTGACTGGTACGTGATGTTTAAAAATATATTATATTATATAAAAAAACGAGGTTTACAATAATTACATCAATTTAGATCGGGTCACTAACTACAACCATCTTTTGACCAGCGGATAGTTATGTATTTTCGAACAAATATTTGGGAAAAAATGTGTTTGACTTAACTATAATTAGGCCATACTTTACCAATCTGCATTCCTACCTATCTAGCTTTCAATGTATATTTTTCTTCTTTACACCTTAAAGTGTAAATAAAGCACAATGCGTAACTTCAATGCAGATTTAGGAAGAATGGAAAGACACACCAAAAGAATACTACAAAAATATAAGAAAGAAACATGAAGTAAGTTTTGTGTGATTAATGCTTCCGAGGGATCACTTTGTTTCCAGATTTTATACTTCACAACAGCAGGTGTCAAGTGCTGTGTGGCAGCTGTAACAAGTTGCCCCGTACTTAACTTCATTGTTGTTATATTTTCTGGTCCTTCGGGATCATTGATGCTAGCACTATTAAATGTTGAGAATTGAGTACCGCTCAGGCCGGTGCTAGGGGGCGTGAGGGATTTGCATATATTCATTATCCCTCATGTACAGACTCAATCATCTGCAATTCTCTCGTAATTTTGTTGTGATTAATGCTATGAGGGATCACTTTGTTTCCAGATTTTTTTAACTATTACACCCCAGTTTGAATTTCTTATAAATATTACATATATTTTAAATTATTATGTTATATTTTTATTATAATTGCTAATTTTCATAATATGATATACCGTATTGTATAACGATTATCAGTTGAAATTATATAAGATTGTACAAAATGTATCTTTGTTTTTGTAATAGAAAACCTGCTTGTTTCTGGATAACTAGTCCGTTAACAAAAATGAGGAACAACGTAGCTGCCGGGGGAGCGGTTAGTCAAGTGTTTATATTATCTCTATACAATTTTCATAATGACCGATTAAACAATTTATAAAATCTAGCTGTTAATCAATTATTTTAGTTAAGGTTACCTTGTGTGGCATTTAATGCACGCCTTCCCATAGTTGATTTACTTTATCATCGTAAGTAATAACTATTATGTCTAACAGTTTTTACTAAAGGGGAATTAATAGTTACAGTTAGATATAAAGAACATAGACACAATAGCTGTTCTCTGTATTATGATATAGCTTGTTGTAAGTTTCATATATCCATTGTCTTCTTCTTTTATAAAAAGGAGAAAAATATCAAACTTTACCCGGAGCCCTGCTCTTGCAATAACCTTACTTCTGAGGTGCTGTTTTCTAATTTTTGTATTTAAAAAAAAATAAAATAATGTTGTTGATACATTTTCAAGGGGCATGGAATATGGTACATTTACCCAGTTGAACCTATTGGACCATCTAAAGGTCTCGGATTTTTCAAACCACACGAAGCTGATAGAACTCCTATATCTGAATTTGACAACAATGTCGTACATTCACAGGGATTGGTCTGTTTATGTTTTAACCATATTCTTAGTTAATTAACATTCGTGTGACATTGTCTTTTCTTTGCATGAGATTGAATTTTAAGATATTTATTATTTTGTATAAATAATAATCTACCATTAGAATTGACTTATGTTTGTATCAAAAATGAAAGTATTAATATCAAGAAATTGTTGCAAGTATCTGATTGTCTCATGTCGCTTGAACCTTGTATCTCTTGTATTTGTTTCTGTTTATAATTGTGATAATTTACATATTAAAAATTATATTATCTTTGTCAGGAAATATTATAATTATTATGAGAAACGTTAGCAATATTTAATCATTTAAAGGAATTGTCTTTTTAAACATGTCCTTCACATCTTAAATATAAAATTGATTGGACGATTTATTTAAAAACCACTGATACTCGAGAAATGACCAGATGGTTCTCCTGTGCAATTAAAGTCTGCTGGCTGTTCAGGCTGTTTACATCAAGCTAATCACACACGTTAATTTGTTATTCTTATAAGGGTGGCCTGCTGTGCAATTTTCCATCATCAAGACCCCACAGATAATTCAACGTAAACAGAAATAATAAAAGAGAACATGAACAATTAACACTGCTGTTAGATTGTGAATATAAGCAAAGCAATTGTTTTAAGTAAATCTATTTTTCAGACTGGTTTGTTCGTAGATCATCGTTTGATGCCCGATGGCAGTGCTGACCAAAACAATGCCTACCTGCCTAAAGCGAACCCACTTGATGAAAAATCTAAAGACGTTGAAGTAAAACTCTTCCGATTAACTGGTAAAGCAGCTGAAATTTCTTTCTTGTCACAAGTACACACGGTATATAAAATTGTAACGTTGCATTATATACTTTGATTGTTATGCATAAAATATCCAAGAAATGTGTATATTAACAGTAATTTAGAATGATGTCCGTATATGTGAGTATTTTTCTATTGTAGCATACAAGAATGTTATACAAAATGCGTGGCTTCGAGGTGGATGGTTCCATATTACACAATCATCGTAAGTATTATTGATCTAAATTAAACAATTATGAGTTGTCATGGTTGAGTGGTTTTAGTCGCTTACTTAAAATCACTTCCCCTCAACCTGTTTGCTCGATTCCCTTGTGGACGTTAGATTCTTTTATATGAGGAAGCTAGCTAGCTATCATAGATAAGGTCGGTGGTTCAAACCGGTTGCCCGCACGTGTCATTAAATCAAATACTGTTCTTAAAAGAAATTATAAACCGCACTTTCGAATTATCATTACATATTTATGACAAAGAATACAAGTATCTACAGTTTAACAATGCAATAACAAAAAAGTGCATTGTAATTTATCTATTTATCCTTAAAGCAATATTATATAAAAATGATTATTTAAATTTGACTTCATTATAGATTTGCGGACAGTCAAAAATCTCTTCAATATGCAAGGTTTGTAGCTTTGAATCGTTCGTAAATATAACTGAAAGAAAATTTAATGTGCTATGAAAATCATGTCCATTCATTTGACTAGAATACTCAGTGATTTAACTTATAATTGAGACTGGCATACCAAAATACATGTAAATATTTGGTGTTCTATACAGAAAGATAACTGTTGAAAGTATCATTATTTCAAACGGTTTAAGAATTAGATTATTCGTCTTTTGTGTACCTTTGACTTTAAATTATTAAAAAGAACATATTCCAAACATTTCCATTTAAATGCAAAGGCGTCTCATATAATCAAAATAACCATTTCCCGTTTTGACATGATCCGTGTTTTAGTGGTACTCATTTGACAATTGTTTTCAAAAGGTAAATAGTGATCATTGTAGAAAAACCTCTTAAAATTATAATATCTGTAATCTATACTTTGTATTTTGCTTGTGTTATAAAAACAAGTGTTTTAACTTTACAGATCAACGAATCAAAATCAATTTGTTTCCAATAGCTTAATGATAGGTTTGTCTGAAAACCTAGGTAAACCATCAGTAAACTGGACCCGTTCTCTCCCAGTGTGGTATGACATGTAAGTTTTGAAATCCTGAAATATTAGCTTTATAAACAATGGTGAAAGTATAGGCTAAATCAGTTTCAGTACTTATTTAATATGCATCGACATCGACATGTAAAAAGTATCTACTGAATGCGTTTTGACGAGACACTGGCATATCTCAGATGGTTTTAGTTATATCAAACTGATACTGAGTGCAAAACCCACGGTCTTGGTTTACTAAACTAAGGAGTAAGATACAACAAGTCATTGCTTTGATTATGCTTGTGTATGAAATATATCTTATTTCCGGGTGTCTTTTTTTTCATCATGCGCTTGTTGCTTATAAAATAGTTTTAAAATTCCTACTGTGTAGTGACATTTATTCAATATTCACATAAATAAAACACAAATCAATTATACATCTGTTCAATGTTATTAAGGGCAAAGCATTTTGAACGCTTACGATACATCTTCCTTGTTGATCATCGTTCCCATATTTTAGACATGCGCCATTACAAGGATTTGTTTTCTACGATGGACCTGTGTATGGTGAGAATATATGGTTTGATGGTTTTATTTCAACAAAGCTGTATACAGCAGGGGCATTGTGTTACGACAGACTAAATGTTTTCAGCAGTTCATCTGTCAGTAATATCAGAAACGCTAAGTTCGGATTCGTTGATGGTGTAAGTATATCCCTTCTATTTGTATAAAACTAACTGTTCTTAGACCATTGTTAATTTTACGAGTGAATGTATTATTTGACATGCAAAAAACAGACATAAAACTTTATAATTTCTGATATTAAATGGTAAACATAATTGCACGTTTATCCCTGTTTCTAACCTGTCTGTAATCCTGCATTTATAAGACATTTAGATAAATTGATCACTTGATGAAGGTTTACAGAAACAAAACTAAATGATTTGTATTCGTGCCTTATTTATCAAAACTGCAATTGTCTTCGGTGCAATATAGACTCCTTTACAATAAATGTTCTTTGAACGTTAGCCAACAACTGGTAACCGTGTGTTTGACGGTGATGTTGGAATGCATGGTTATGCGAGGAAGGACGGTGATAAAGTAGCTACCAACAGAGACTACGACGGTTCGGTCACAGGTATAAATGTTCATGTCATTACACTCAAATTATGTTCAGCAAATTATACGCAACTGAGTCAAATATTTATTTCTCTTGACCGTTATATTCAATATTTTGACTGTGAACACGTTTTTCAAGTAAAATCTGTATTTGTTTAAATTTGAAGTGTGTTGAAGTTTAAACCTCAAATGCAAAATACTTACCAAACATGTATTTATTAAATTAAGATATCCCTGTGTAGGCCGATGTTTTTATTTTTTCAAGGTAACAAAATGGCCCAAGTTGTAAAACCATGGCCATTTTACGTAACACCACAATGTACATATAGACAAAATTGGGGAATGGCTATTTGTCCCAACACTTACGGAAAGGTAGGCTATATGTCAGTATAATGAAATAAAAAAAATGTCTTTTAAACAATACTCTTATAATTTCTTTTGTTTTAACGCGACCCTCGATATGTGATTGGCAATAACTTTATAAGTTATTTCAGTTTAAATGCTAGACATGATGTCAGGATCAGATGGTATGATACCAATAACTTGATGTTTGTTTATTTTAAATATCTACATAGTTGTCTTTTTGTGCTTCCAATATTTAAACACCTTGCATAACATATTACATATTCATTTGATAAAGTCACAAAAGCAAATGTTTATGATTTAGAGCATTAATCCTTAAATCAGACTAGGATGGTGTTATATTCTGGATAAATTATTTCAGCTGAGGCTGAGTATGGAACGTAAGTATAGAAACCATACATTTCCGATTATGGTACGTGATGATCTGCCATTAATTAACGAGACATTAGACGCCATAGAGTCAGCTGACTTCCTGGTTATACTTGGAGGGAGTAAAACATACAGCCTACATTGGACACATGTTATACCCACAACTCTATCTATCTTTAGTGATGGCATTGAAAGGTACTTTTGATACTTAACTATCAGTTTTAAAGGGAAACTATTGGCAGGTTTTGGCAGTTTTATAAGAAACTGTTTGCGTTTTAAAGAAGAAACTATTGAAACATTGAATTTTCAAGATACACAACTGAACTTATTGACAGTTTTTGGGGTAAACTATAATCAGTTTAAATAAGAAACTGTTGGCTAATTTTAAGAAAAACTATTGGCGGTTTTAAGGAGAAGCCGTTCACATTAGATTAGTTGAAGGGTTTAGCTAATATTGTCGATGTAATTAATGTAAATAGTTGTTTGTATCACCTGAAAAATCAAAATATTCTTAAATTTGGAGAAAAAATGTTTTTACATTATTTAGAGACAAGAATGTTCGTTTCGGGATTTGTCTACCTTTAGGAGCAAGGTTTGACTTGTATACGTATTCGCCAAAATATCTGCCGGATATCTCTCGTTGGGCAATCGCTTCATCTCTTCATGAGCTTGATATGAACAAAGACGGGACAAAATACTATCATGACACCAAAACAGGGTAAAATTATATATTGATACTTCTTATATAGAGTATAGTGTTAATTGTTGCTCTTTATTTTCTCAACATATATGTTAATATCGTAAAATCAAGCCTACAATTATGAATAACATTGTGATAATTGAAAGTATTTTTACTTACCTTCATGTATTTAAAAATAGTATAAAATCACAATAAAATTGGTATTTTCAATTATTTTATATTTTCAACAAATTTTTGAATTTCAGAATGTTGTATTTCAACTTCGTCAATGAACATGTTAGACACACTAATGATACAAACCCATGTCCAGGGAATTGTCCGATGGTAACAATCAAAATTCTCCATGGTAACTTGAACGATGCTGATTGTAGGTCAAGGTTATATCATACCGTTAAACATGGAGATGTAAGTATTATATTGTGTTACATTAAATTAGAAAATATTGAATGCTGATACTGACATAAAGAAAGAGAAAGATATTGGGTGTAAATATTTGCTAATTTACATGTATATGTTCTTACAATAAGCAAATCTCAGAAATTCTAACAGAAGTAGTTGTTTAAAGTTAAAAAAATCATTTTAAACACCATTTGTATGCAATATTTAACATGTGTTGCATTTTTTTATTCAGAATAGAGCGATAACAATTCCCCACAACAATCAGCATTTTGGTGCGACAAGCAGGCATCCTCCTCCGGTAACATTCTTTTTATTTTCACGATTTTTACATATAACATCCGTTAACATGTTTACACTTCACGATTTTTACATACATCATCCGGTAACATTCTTTACATCTTGCGATATTTACATATATTTTCCGGTAACATTCTTTACATTCCGGTAACATTCTTTACATCTTCACGATATTTATATTTAACCTCCCGTTAACATTGCTTACATCTTAACGATATTTACATATATCCTTCGATAATTTTTGTTTACATCTTCACAATGTTTACATATAACATCCGGTAACATTTTTTACATCTTCACGATATTTACATATGACCTCCGTTTACATTCTTTATATCTTCACAATATTTACATATAACCTCCGGTAACATTCTTAACATCTTCATGATATTTACATATGACCTCCGTTTACATTCTTTACATCTTCACGATATTTACATATGACCTCCGTTTACATTCTTTACATCTTCACGATATTTACATATGACCTCCGTTTACATTCTTTATATCTTCACGATATTTACATATAATATCCGGCAACATTCTTTACATATTCACGACACTTTTATATAACCTCCATTAACATTCTGTACATCTTCACGACATTAAAATATAACCTCATTGTGAATTTTTTTTTGTTGGAAGTCTGTTTTAAATATAAGAAATCAGTACACATTTTTATCATTTTATTGACTCGTTAACCTTTCCTGTTATAATCATTTCATCAAAACATAAAGTTTGCTGTAAAACAAACTTCAGACTTGTTGAGTAGAATATAAAGATATTACTTATTTAAAATAAAATGTACTTCAGACATGGGGTGCAGGACCAACAAAACCTTTCATCAATCGTATTCCGGTAGACGGTGACTGGGGTTTATGGACACAGTGGAGCTCGTGCTCAAAAACATGTGGCGGTATGACAGCGACGTGTTCTTTTGACTTCTAACAGATTTAGCCATAGAAACAATTCATGTTTCTTTACATGTTTCTTGGGCATTGTTCAATTGCTAAGTTGAAAAAGTACATTCCCATCTACTAAAAAATATTCAGAGCATAAAACAAATATAACACAGCAGCAGAAGCTATGAAAATAACAGAAATATATTTTTATTACATTTCGTGTTTCAATGAGCTTGAAATATATGGATCAGAATCTGTATGTGATGCTTTCTTTAATGCTTACTGTACTGAAGTGTTTGTATCAATTGTACTTGTAAAGGTGGTCAACAGGAACGGACGCGGGCATGTGACTTCCCAAGGCCAGCACATGGAGGTCATAACTGCCACGGAGACGTAAGGGGGCAGCGTTCGTGTAACAGTCTTCATTGTCGTAAGTATATGATAAGATTTGAAATTTATTACTTCAATACTTAAATCTTGATCACTTCATGCATTTTAAATGACAAATACATGAGATCGTTTTATTACATTTTCAGCGGTGGATGGAGGTTTTTCTCTTTGGTCTCAATGGTCTACTTGTATGAAATCAAGTGGTTGTCAGGGTTACAAGAAACGCATGCGCACTTGCACATCACCATCACCGGATTATGGCGGTCTTTATTGTCATGGATCAGATGACGAAGTAGAGACATGTATCACGTGTTAATAAACGTGCGATTAATTTTAATTAAGCATTGAATTTCCTTAACTGATTAAAATAAAGTATTTGTTGCTTATTCGTTCATAATACATCATATGAGTTGGGTATAACATTGTGGAAAAAATGCTCACATATTTGCCTCAAAAATAGCAAATAATTTAGCCTTTACTATTGTAAAATTCAATGTTAAAGACCCATAATATGCCGAAAAGAAGCTTTAATTTTCATTTCTCAAAAGCTGTCTTTTTTTAAGTACTTTTGTAGTTTCAAAATTTTTTAACAATTGCCCAATTTCCTTAACCATCTTTTCTTTTGTCGCTGGCAATAAGTACAATTAGTGATTTAGTATTTTGTATGGAAGCCAAAATATTACTTTGTTTACATTTTGCTACTTTGGTTACACATTATTTCACATTAAGTGATCCTTTTCATGTAACCAGCATTTAAAATCCTCTTAAATCATTATTTAAATGTTAAAAAGCTCATGTTTCCTCAGTCTAAAGAAGTAAAAATCAATGTACTTATCATATAGCTGGTTATGATTCGGAAGTTTTAATGCCGTCAAAAATGTGACGAAGACACTGCCGTCAAAAATGTGTCAAAGACAACCAAGATAAACTATTTGATAGACAAAAATACGACATTCCAGGATAAAACAAATGAGAGTCATTTGAATAAAACGACAAAATGAGATATACGTACTATACAATCCAGCTTAATAAACACAAAAGTGACGAGAAGTAGAGTAAGCAAAATTGTACATTCTATAATCTGTGAAAAATAAAGCAAACTTAATATCCTGTAACATCATGTAAAAAGAAAAAAACGATTTATAAAATCGCTTGTAAAAAATATCACTAAATACAAACTTCCTCAAATGTTAATCAGTTCATTCATTTCTTAGCATAAATTATTTGAACTCTATTATACACTGTATTAGTTAAATATCGGTCATAGCTTTTTCTTGTATGTGTAGATTGCATTTGAAAAATATACCAATGTGTCAACAGTGCAATACTATGAACAAATATCAGAAAGAAATGTGATAATCGAGGTTACATAATCAATTTGCTGGACAAGTATGATATCTAAATATGATTTAATTTAGTATTTAATAGAACAACTTTAAGAAAAAAAGATAATATGTAAAAGGAAAAGCATATCAATAAAATAGCTTAATGAATGGGTTAAAATGCCACAAATCTGTTTATAATTCATTGCTAAAGCGACAAAGATATCTATATAAATCAATATATAATATAAAATAAAGAATAACTGTGACGTCAGACTAACAGAGCAACAAAATGCTTTCACCATTGTTAATACGACTTGCTATATATTAAACGACGTTGAATATCTAGTTTTATCTGATCTATTCAACATTGACATTACATTAATTATTATTATTTAATGATAAACAAGGCACTAATCAAGCAAGATATCACAGAAATCAAAGTACAACCGTTTTACACATGAATGACATCATTCAACACCGTTAAAGTGTTGTCTTTTTATTGATAATGTACTGTAAAACACTATGTTTTCGCCACCACACAATTGCAACTTTATTGGTTTTCTGTTCCGTGTTTCACGTATTCGTTTTGCATATTTTGCATTTGTAATTATTCATGATACAATGTAACAACATCACTCAACACGAACTGTAATTCAAATAAATTTCTCGTTCTCATGAACGTTTGTTGGCAAACAAACTGTCTGGTGAAAACACAGTATTATAACCCTTTTTATTCAATCATCTTATTATCACGGACAATTGCACGATCCTTATCAAAAGACGAAATAATGATTTTTATCAGGATTACAAAATGTGATTACATATTGATAACTGGACAATAAAGTGTTACTATTTTTTTTTTAAATTTAACTCGCGTTAATAATGTCACAGTTTTGTGCGTTAAACACAAAACGCTAGTTTGATAGTACATGTAATTACAGTATGTACTGTTCATCATCCATTACTAAAAAAAAAACGTTTCCTCACATAAAGCTGATGATACTTTCGACTCGAAACGTTGTGTGTCTTAATAAAACAATACATTTTTATTTTATACAGGATTCACATTTACATAAAAGGACACACTTATAACATGATTGTAAAGATTATTGTAGTCAAATACATTAATAACTTAATAAGTAGATATAGTCAAAAACTATTTTTGAAAATCATCTACATTTCGTTTTCATTCCATAGACCCAAGTTGTAGATTACTGCACTTTACATGGATCTTGCAAAACAAGGCGGCGTCCCTCTGAAATAAATATCAATAATAAGAGTGTTAAATCACTTTATAATATTAGATAATCAACCATCAAATTATAATCTATCATTCAGAAAAAATTGTTTTGCTTTATGAGTTTAAAAATAGTATCTTTCAATTCATTTTTTTTTCATTTCATATTTATAAAAATATTCTTTAGGCTTTATATGACACTTACATTTATTAGCGTAACAATTCAGAAATTAAGCAAGGGTATTGTACTCCAGTATGTTTTAAACACTATAAAGAAAGTTAGCACCGTGTACATGTATAGTTGCCGTCGTATATTTGGTTAATTTAAACCTAAGGGTCGTGACTTTAGGAAACTTTGAAAATGTCCAAAATACGTTTGTTGATCTACAAACGAAATGTCTACACCTAAGACCTTTTTTGGATGAAGCCCCGGTGTCATAATGTGACATAAAGATATAGGAATGGAGAATTTTAAAACTGTTTCGGTTTCAGAGAAGACGTTTAAGCTCTTTCTATATTAGATTATGTGAGAAAAGAAGATGTATAGAAGATAAGCTTTTGACCTTTCTGTCTTTAAAAATAAGATTTTTCCGCTTTTTCCTTTCATTGAGTTACATTAACTGTACTATTAAAAAAAACCTTTTTGCGAAGAACATCTCTCCTAGTTTTATCAACCTATTCTATTGATCTAGCGATATAAGAAGACTTGTTAAAAAAGAAAATTGTTACAGATGAAATAATGATCCTGTACTATGAGAAATCCTTATAGCTCACGTTCGTACTTAACACAATCATATGCAAATATTCAAGTATAAAAGCAGCTAAGAGGTATAAACAAATGTTACCCAAGTCATATCTTTCCAAGATCGTTCTATCACACATTGGACATTCCCTCACTCTAAAAGAACATCGCGCACAACACACTTTGTGTCCACAGGGAACAAACTTGGTATCTGCAATTTTCTGCATGCATCCCATACATGGTAATGGCAAGTCTGAAAATAGCTCTTGCAAAAGTGATGCACCAGTTCTTTGCTGCTGAGATGCCCCACTACTTGAAGGTTTTCCACTATTAAGTTAAGGATAATAGTTTAATATTTAATCATGATTTGATACTTGAATTAATTATGAGAAAAACTCAACAATATGTGTCTAAATAGTATAAATAATTGTCATAAACGACAAAGAACAGATTACAAAACACGCCGACATTGTAATTTTAAGTACAATATTGCTATAATAAATTTGTTTTAATTCTAAAACAAAAACGTTTAACATAAAATGACATTTCTGAAAATCAAGAATGAATAGATTGTTAAGATTATATATAATTGTCATTTATTTAGAGTATGACTGATAATGTTTGTCTACATACTGTTTATCGGCAAACTGTTTGATGACATTTCGCATCCGGCCATCCGAGCAACATTCCAGTGCTGTACGACCTTTCCCATTCCGAATACCCCAATTAGCTCCTTTCTGTATGAGGAAACAAGCAACGTTGACCCTTTCCTTTTTCTCACCATCACTAGATATGCCAAGCAGTAATCGAGCTAGCTGTTCAGTAAAATAAATCAACATTTATGTACAAGCATGTGAATGTATCCTATAAGATAACTACAATAACTTCGTGGTGGACAGCAATTGTTTCCATTACATTGTAATATGGTTTTGTCTGTCTTCAAATAATGAATTAATGCAAGTATTTTTAAGGCTTTTATGCATGATTTATGTCATAAAATGGCATAATGTCAAATGAATTGCATCATTTGAAAAATAAGTTAAAATATGTGAATTCGTAACTATGGAATTGTAATTACAACATGTGTTCACTTAAGATTAATATCAGTTTGTTCAAATATCTAACAATTATTCTGTAAGACATGTGGTCTTAAACGCACTGTCTCTAATTCTAGTATTTTATTAATGCACTTTAGTCAAACAAATGTTTACATGTTAAAATATTCAAAGTTAGAAGCTATCATAATATTTGTACCATTTCAGACTCCCGTCCACTTCTATTCCCCATACAACACACGTGAAGTGGTGTGTCCCCCTCTTTGTCTTGAAAGTTAACATCAGCTCCTAAAATTAAAAAACAAACATTTTGTAAATGTTCCTGTGTCAGTAATTTTATAGAATATTTCACAAAAGGCTCATAAAGTTTAATGTTGTTCTATATACTCTGTCAGAATTTTCTAAAAGCAAGTAAGCAACAGGCTGGCGCCTTGAAATTAACATGACTTTCTAATAAATATTACACATTTAAACTAACGCACTGGTTTAAATTATTGGTTTCCTACATGTCCTATGTTCCAGACGCTGCTTTGCTGTCGAACATCTAATGCAATCTAGCTTTGTATATCATATATTTAACAAAGGCCAAAACATAATGATCATTGAAATAATACCCGAGAAGAAACAGGTTTACAATTACCATTACATGTTTATGTGTGTATTTGTCTTTTTTTTTTAAATAGTGTGGAATATCATATCTTAATCGTGTGTTTCGTACCATGCGTGCTACCATGTTTAAGTATGACTGGATTAAATCATTTTGCTGCATTGCTTTGTGGCTTTTATACTTTTAAATTTGTTCATATAATTTCTGTCAACTCTGTAATACAAGATACGTGAAATGTTATCAGTCACAGCCTCTCGACACATCTAGGTGAATATTGTAAAGTAGATAACTGTAATTGTTCGATTTATAACGAAATTGTCTCAAAACTATCTAAAATGAGACGATCTAATTTCATGAAATATAATTTCATTTCAAGCACAAAATACAAGCATGTACATTTAACTCGGGATGTGTCTTCTCTTGAGTATAACAAATAAACCGTTCTGTTATCTTGCAAATGATAGAGTGAGTAAAGTTAAGTTGTGATTCAAAGGCATATGTTTTGTTTAGTATGATAAATTTAAATGTAATCTTACCAGCTTCAACAAGAAGTTGAGTTGCTGCTATATATCCTTGATGTGCAGCCAAATGTAACGGTGTTATATTGTTACCATCCGTCGAGTCTACTACAGCATGTGCCTAAAGAAGAAGGCCATATAAACTAGATTCTAAAACTTGGATTTTACCTAAGAATAGCGATTAATGCAAACCATATAGTTTTGTTCGATAAAATTTGTCAATAGTGTTAACTTTGGCATTGCAAACTAGTAACAAAATTAGTATGATTTATAATTGGATATAAATTGGCTTCCATTACCATTACTTATACATGTATATATTTGATAGCTGAGATGCTAGAGATAATGACAATTGAGAAAACGACAGTATAATCTATTATATAAGCTCCACATTCTGAACGGTGTAAAAACGGGCAAAATAAATGCTGCCAGCTAACACACAATCATATAATAACAAAGTTTATTTCACATCTTATAAGATATAATCAATGAAAATCTAACGCTTGCAACCACGTGATGTTCAAATAGAATCCATAATTGGATCCAATCTATTTAATTTAAATTTACCTGTATACCCAAAATACAAACAAAAATATATACCAAGTGCATATCGTACCCCATATAGCCTCCCTTTCATTATTGAAAAATTCATACCAAATCCTAAATGCACTTGCAGTAACAAAATGTCAAAGAAGTGGTGTGAAATAAAGAGGTTATTTTACATTTTTGAGAACATACTGATTCAATTTGACTCGTACACAGATACAAAAAAACTATATCAGACTCCACTAGCTTTTCGTCGGATATAGTTTTGACAGCTGTGTACTTGTCCAAAACATTTCAGTATTTACTCAACAATGTATTTTAACCTCATATTAAGTAATTTTCATTCAATATGATAAACATATAGAAACATTTAAAAAATGTCTATGGTTACAGCAGAAAAATTGCAGTAAAATGGTTTTAATAACATTTCGCCTAAATGACATTTGAGGTTTACATAAACTATAGATGTACAAAATTTAGTAAAATATACGTAATAACTCAATATGACAGAATTATGGTGAGTGGCCTATAAAACAAATTACGTAATAACCTATAAGCTGATACTATTTTGGTTATTTGTTTTTGTATAACATCTGCCTAACCTCTGAAATTGAACTGAACTTAACATTCTTGCATTTTTGGTGTCTTGAACATTAGAAAAACTAGGGGACATACCTTGAGCAGTGTTTTTATAACGTCTTTATTGTCATTAATTGCCGCAACATGAAGTGGCGTATAACCTTCACTTTTCCTCGCATTCTTCAACTCGGGAGCTTTAGCTAAGATACGAGACACCGATCTGCACAATAAACATCATCATGTAAATAGCTGAGGTTTGTTCGACAAAAATACATCATAAATTTGTGTGGCTGTGCCCCTGTTTTAGTCCAAATATGTTCGACACATAATACAAAATGTAAAAACTGCCTAATAAATGTAACTTAACTATAATTGCATTATGCAGTTTTCAACATTTAAACAATTTCAGTCTATCATCGCCATATATGTTGAAAACTTCAATTTAATGGGGTTTTTTTAAGAATCAGATTTATGGGACATCTAAAATTGGTAAAGCTTTGATTTTGGTTAAAAACAAAACTACAAATACAGTATCATGAACATATATGTAAAGCAAGGATACCTGTAATTATAGTGGTATAAAGGAAATGGAAACTAGGTTACTTAGCATATATGTTTTTCGTATTCATTTTCGTTTCTTACATGACATTAATGTAAATGGTTTGAAAAACAATATTTATATAAGGGGGGTAACTGTACAAGAAACATACATTTCGTCATCCTTCATAGCTGCAAGGTGTAGCGGGGAATGACCTTTCTTATTGCAAATCCTTAAGTTTATTTTTGGGTCGGCAACCAGGAAAGACACTGCTGAATCATTCTTGTTAAGAATAGCGTCGTGTATTGGTGTGTCCCCAGCAATATCCTGAAATATATGTTTGGTATTAAAAAAACTGACAGCGTTCGGAATCTTAGTGAAATGATCACACGATGATTGTTATAGAAGAAACAACATGTCATGTTATTACAATATGTTAATTTTATTTTTGTTACTTTTGTAAATATGTCTTATATAATGTCAATGTATTTTATTGAAACTTTTTTTTCAGTTGTAAATATACATGGTACAATGTAATTCAATGCATACAAAATGACAAGAGCAATGAACACAAATTTAACATTATTTGTCAATGATTAATCATACAAAGCTGGTACGAGCTGGAATTAAAGCTTTAGGGAGACCTTTCACTTCCAATTTAATCATATATGTATTTGGCAATTGCTCTACCCATCAATGATTTGTTTAAGATATGTTCTCATTTTACTCATACTGTTTAAACCAACTGAAATCTGTATCTACAAAATGTGTTGCATTCGTGCATTGTTCAATCTCTTTATTTGTATATAGAATACATTAAAAATGTAAGATTATATTTGGAGAAGTGTTTTCCTAACAAAATTAGGAAAACTTAAAGAGAGTAAACCTGTTTGTTAACGTCGACTCCCTTTCCCAGCAATGCCCGTAAAGTTGTGTTACACCCGTTTGATGCTGCAAAATGTAGAGCACTTCTTGCAGCACTATTTACAAGATGTACATTTGCTCCAGCATCAATCAATATCATCGCTATTTCCTCTCGTTTTCTACAACATATAATTACATACAACAGTAATATTTTCTTGAATAAGCATACTTATATTTATTATATTTACGTCATATTTAGACGATACTCTATCATAAATAAAATATAAGAACATTTTACTATAAATCCTGAAAAAAGTTTAAACTTGATGAATAAATATTGCTGCCGTGACATCTCAGGAATAAGTCAGAAATCGGTTAAGTTAAGGCAAGAGACACAAAAACATCGAACCACTTCTGGAAGGACTTTTTGTGTCACCATATTTCTAACCCGTTCCTAAGAACAAGAGTAAAGGCATTTCATTACACCGGATAAAAAGCTTACGAATGTGTTATACAATTTCATTGTACTCCTGGTAACAATCTTGAAAAATGAGACTCATTTTTTAAATTTTCGTATCAACTACAATCTTGCTATGCTTTAAACATTGACAACTAGTTATCAACAAAAAATTTAAACAGATTATTGTTTTACTTCATTAACGCTGCCATTAGAGCGGTATTTCCTTTACTCTCTGTTAAATCCTTGTTTGCGCCTGCTTTAAGTAACACGTTAACAACATCTTTGTGACCCTCGTGACTCGATATGATCAATGCTGTAAGTCCTTGGTGCGTTTTGTCAATCTGGTAAGAAATGTTAACTCATTTTTATCGACATCAAACTTAAATTACATTTTGCAAAAGTTCAAACTGCTGATAAATAAAAGAAATCACTATTTTACGAATGTTATCCAACGATTGTTTGAAGCATTGATATATTGTAAGAAAATTACATCTCGTATATGACTGTAAAATGTTGCAAATGATTATTTAATCATACACAAAAAAGAAAGTAAATAAAATAACAAGTTGGATTAGCAAATAAAAAGGGTTTCAAGGGCAATTAAACAAGAACTATTTCATCACTTAATTTTAAAATTAAATACAACTGTGATATATCTATTTTATCATACCAGCGCAGGACTGTCTTTCAACACTCTTTGTACCATTGACACGTCATTTTTAGCGGCAGCAGAAATTAACAGTTGAGGACTGACGGTTCCTTGGAGACCCCGCAATAAGAACAGTTGAGCAATAAGATGACCCAGAGCTTCCGAAGCTTCATCTACATCTCTATCAGAATCACTTCGTCCGCCTCCTGAAATGCAAAAAAAAAGATTCAAGTTTCATTTTACGACAAAAGTCAACCCCAAAAGCGTCATTTAGATTTTGATTGCTATCTATTGAATTTCATGAATATTAGTTTTACGTAAAATTAATTTTGATATTGAATGAATATACTGTAAATATATTGATATTATAATTAAATGTGTGTACCTCCAGTTGACCCTCCTGTAGCCCCTCCTCGAGCTTCTCCTCCACCACCCCCACCTCCACCACCATTACTTCTACCAGTTCCTGCACCGGCACCTGACCCCAACCTTCCTCTCTCCCCACCCCCTGATCCTCCGCCTATGTCTGATACTTTCTCCCCGGGGGCTGGGATGAGACATGCTGCATTAAACACCCATGCCTTGCTCCCAAATGATACAGCAACATCACCATCTGAATCGATCTTCACAACTTTTCCTACCTTTCCTAGAGCCTGAATATATCATATACAATGTACATACGATATGTTTTCACTCCAAATGATTAAAACAGGTTATTGTTATTACCAAATTATCTTAATAAATGAAAGCAATTCACATGAACGCTATTAACTTTACAATCATGAATAATATAGAGTTTTAGTTTAAGAAATAATCAGATAGAACCCTACATAGTTATGTCAGTTTTCGTTCGTTTATGATGCATTTCTGGACTTTAAATTCAAATCCTACAAGTTTTAAATATCTTACAGATTCCATCTCTGTTTGCCAACCACCGTGTCGTTTCTGCAGGGCCTGTACTTTATCACTGTCATCAATTATCCTAACAATATCGCCAACGCTGAGAGAAGGTATCTGAAATGAACGGTTGATTTATTTGGGTAATAAAACCAATTTTGCATTTATCTTTTCAAGATCTGTTGACACCATTATTGGAATGAAAATTGTCCGTTTGAGTGGCACTGTTGTATTTCCACGGTTTACATGAAAAAATAATGAATATAAAAGAACACCTCAAACCTGTCTGACTGCATTGGCATTGAACCTCCATTCTTTTCCATCGTAGCTTATTACGCAATCACCGTTGTCTTCAAATCGTTTCAATGTTCCATGCTGTCCTATATACTGAAATGAAAATAAACATGCCGAATTTTCAATTCTTCTGTTAGTATTTCATTTGTTGGGGGCGTGAGGAATATTTCACTTCTTCATTATCCCTCATGTACTGATTAAATCAAACCGAGTCTGGAATTTTCATTATTTTTTTCTGATTTTATACTTCAGATGGATCACTTATTTTCAAATATTTATATCTTATCAAGAAAAACATTGTTTTTCATGACATATCATAGAAGATATGCATCCAAATTAGGGCTTGATTAGTAAAATCAAGCTAGTTTTCATTCGTTGCTGCATAATGAGCATACAATGTTGATTACAAAAATAAAAAACTTGATAATGAAAATTACCTCTTTCATGCGCATGCTCCAACCACCGTGACCTCTTTGTACCTCCTTTAAAGCTACTTCTGGAAGATCTACACACACATTGTCTCCGATTTGCAGTTTTGGTACTTCGACTGATTTACTTCTTACTACACTTTGTCTTTTTGACAGGATCATAGATGTTCTTTTTGCCATAGGTTTGGTATCTTTGAATAAAATTTATAATAATTACGCTTATATTTTTATATGTATCCCTTAATACTCTAAAAACAGGCATCTTGATGCCTTGTACATCTTTCAATCTTCATGTTTAGGGATTATTTCATAGTATATAATGACGGAATAGCACACAATCTAACGGCTGCACTGGTCGCATAGGTAGAATCGATAGTTTACTAAAAGAATATCTTAAGACTTTAAAGCAGCTTGCTTCTTAATTTGTTTTCATTTATTGAAAGCTTATCAAAAGACTAATACATCTATTCATCAAAATAACGTACAATTAACCAAAGATTTTGTATTGTAAACAGCAGATATCTAAAATTGTGTTAAAGTCAAAACGAGAAAAAAACATTTTGCTCTGATTACCATGAAAAATAACTGAAAAGCTGATGATTTAAAATGCAACTATAATGTTGATATAGTATGTTAGAAATGGAATACCAAAGTGTTAACGTTTACTATCATGGGGTATATTTAGTGCTAAGAAGAAAAATCCAGAAGAACAAATAATAAACCCCTAAATTATTGGCATACGGATGAGTTATGTGTAGAGATTATTTAAAGATAGTTTTTAGTTTTTTGATTTGCAAAAGATTTTGAATAAATATATAATACATTAAAGCGTTTGATCCTTTACCTGCTGAATATGCTATATGGATTTGTTCAGCTTTGAACAGTCTAGACAAATTGATTTGTCCCGCTTTGAAAAGTCTTAACAAACGGATTTGTCCCACTTTTAACACTTTAAACAAATGGATTTGTCCCGCTTTAAACAGTGTAAACAAATGGATTTGTCCCGCTTTAAAAACTTTAAACGTGTGGATTTTAAACAGTCGAAACAAGGGGATTTGTCCCGCTTTAAACAATCTTAACAAATGGATTTGTCCCGCTTTAATTAAACAAATGGATTCCGCTTTAAACAGTCTAAACAGATGAATTTATTTCGTTTTAACGAAACAAATGGATTTATCCCACTTTTAACAGTCAAAACAAATGGATTTGTCCCACTTTTAACAGTTTAAACAAATTGATTTGTCCCACTTTCAACAGTCAAAACAAATGGATTTTTCCCGCTTTAAACAGTCTTAACAAATGAATTTAACTAAACAAATGGATTTCCCCACTTTTAACAGTCAACACTTATGGCTTTTTTCCGCTTTAATCAGTCTAAACAAATAGATCCGTCCCGCTTTAATTAAACAAATGGATTTGTCCGGCAGCTTCAAACCGTTTAAACAACTGGATTTGTCCCTCTTTAAACAGTCTAACTCAATGGATTTATCCCACTTTAAACAGTCCAAACAAATGTATTTGTCTCGCTTTTAACAGTCAAAAAAATGGTTTTGTCCAGCTTTAAACAGTCCAAACAAGTGGATTTGTCCCGCTTGAACTAAACAAATGGATTTTGTCCCGCTATAAACAGTCTTAACAAATGGATTTGTTCTGCTTTGAACAGTCTAAACAAATGGATTTGGCCCGCTTTAAACAGTCATAACAAATGGATTTGTTCCGTTTTTAACAGCTCTTGGAAGTTTAAGAGATTTCAGCAATAAATTACATGTACAAAAATTGTGCTACCGACAGTATAGAGCCTTGTCAAATGTTCATACTGGTCTGGCTCTATATCTTGGGTAAGGCTAACTATTTCCGGTCCCAGCAGGTATAAATGGTTAATAATATCTCTCATTCAAAGAGAATGACGACTGCAAATAAAAAGGTATATTCCTTCCCAGAGTGCAGTGAAATCATGCAAATATAGAAATAATATGATGTTAAATCGTGCTGATTCCTAGGAAAATAATCATAACAAGGAGAAGAATATGAAACAAAATTTCTGTATATATATATATACCATCTCTAACTTGTATTTTTGTATCTGAAAACAAGATCGACAAGATCAGATTAAATTGTATAGTTGTTATAGTCATGATAATTATATTTATACACGATACCAACAATTTTGTAACAGTGATTATATAAATGGTCTTTGTGTTGGTACCATCTGTTATAAACATTTGCATGTCTGTGTGTGTATCCATTATACAAAGGTGTAATATTTTTAGGTAAAATAGTTACATATAACTTAACCCCTACCTAAACTGTTACTAAATTCTGACATTTTACATATTTCTCATAAATAACATGTATATTAATTTTGCCAGTCAGTTTCTGGACACTTCATATACATATTTGAGCATTCGTCCAATTTCTTTACATACACGAAAATACCCACTCTTCACCTATATATTTATAATGTAATATAATATGTTACTGCTACACTTTATTTACATCTATGAACATTTCTACATTTTACTTACGTATATGACCATTCTATCACTTTACTTACATACATGTAAGCAAACTGTCCTACAACTAATTTAGCTACTTAATCGTACATACATGTACATGTATATGTATTATTTACATATAATGAACATTCCTTTACTTCTTTTACATGTACATGTATTAACAAACATACATCTCATTTACATAACACTTAATTTACAATATACTTTTTTCACATTACATTCATTAACATTCCTATGTTTTATCTAAAACATAAACACTCATTTTCTTTATTTACATGTACATAATATATCATCGTTTTTGCCGATCTAATATTAGAATAACATCATTATTTTATTCGTTAGAGCATTATCACAAGAGTGGAAAATATGAACTGTTTCATACTCAATGCAAATAAATGGTCCTTGTAGAAGTCCATTCCAGGAGTTTGTTCTACACAGACCAAATCAACCTTTCCTCTATAACCAACTCTGTAAGAGTTACTTTCCTTGTTTGGCCACTTGACTTTAACAGAATCCCGTTCAGGTCCGCTAGAACCGTAGTTGTTCGTTTCTATAATACTTCCCGTCTTCCCATCACCACCTTGTAATAAAATGATTAAAATAACTAGGTCATGAAAAAGGTCAGAATGAGAAAAAGATGGGGATTTTTTTAATTTATCACGTTATTGTTAAATTTCTAAGCTTCCATTCTAATTTGGAACTGTTCATGATCAATTTAGGACAATAAGGGGGAAAGTTAAAAACAGTATATAAGTGTATAGAGCTTGGTCAGACTGAGCACCTGCTCGGATTTCAAACTTGCTACATCTTTCCTTACCAAAGATTAAGTACAAGTACACGAGATGCAAAATAAAACGCGATTACAAAAAGCTTGGAAATAAGAATTAAGGAGATTGAGAAGTGGTCTGTTTAAGTGGACAAACTTTGAATAATAAACTTTTCTATAGTATGTTTATAAAAATATTCAAATACAGTCAATATCATGTTACTAACCATCTTGGTTCCCATAATTCCAGTCTACTCCGCGCCTAACAGTGGAACCTTTGAACATGCCGAGTGCTCGCATTTTGGTACTGATTGAACGTTTCGACACTGGTTCCCTGTTACAAAAAATATCGTTTTATGTTTTAACTGCTTATGTCGTACGATCAAAGGAGGCTAGAAGTTATTTGTTTCATAAGTAAACGTGCAAAACCAAAATAAGTCCAGATTCGACAAGCTTGCTTATATTTATACACATATATCATTAAATATTAGAAGACATAGTCATTTTCCACAATCACACTAGCTGTAATTATTTGACTGTTGGTCTTTGATAAGCTGGCATTTTAAAAATATTCATACTTGTAATGATTGATTGTTTTATCCTCAGCGTCATTTTTACTTTTTTCATTTTTACATACCCTTTCAGACCGGGGGCATCAATTCGCAGAAAAGGATGCTGAATATTGTGTTTATCACCGAAATAACACGGGGAGCAGAGATCAAAGTCTGGACAACTCTGACACTTCCAGCGGGTACCTGGGAACCCGGATATGCTACACTCATCACACTTTGTGTCATTGTGCTTCAAACCTGTATTATAATACTTCCTTTTTATCATTTCAACCAAAATCTGATTCAGCATTTACTTTACTTTACTTTAATTTAGATAAATCATATTTTTGTTTAAAATCATCAAAAATTTGGTATCTCATTTTGATATCTTAAACATGAATGTGCATATCAACATGATTACATATGAGCCGCGTCACGACAAAACCAACATAATGGGTTTGCGACCAGCATGGATCCAGACCAGCCTGCGTATCCGCGCAGTCTGATCAGGATCCGTGCTGTTCGCTTTCAAACCCTATTACTAGTAGGGAAACTGATAGCGAACAGCATGGATCCTGATCAGACTGCGCGGATGCGCAGGCTGGTCTGGATCCATGCTGGTCGCAAACCCATTATGTTGGTTTTGTCATGACGCGGCTCATATTATTTAATAATAAAACAGTATAATATAACTGAATAGTCGTCTAACACACCTGCTGGAGCGCTGTCTAGAATTCTAAGGTCGCATTTGTTTTCACTTCCGGTGTTATATGTTCCACAGTTGCCCATATCCCACTGAACTTCAACAGTATCATCTTCGTTGTCCTGGGTAACGGTGCCCACGTGACCTTCTCCTCCATCATCGTCACCGTAACTCCAGTCCGGCCCTCTGACCACCCTTACACCTTCAACAGACATTGTGTAAGGATCGGTCTTTGGTCTACATGAACTGAAAACAAGCTGAAACTATTGTCTTAAAAACTCATGATATAATTATAAATGTCTAATTAATATAGATCAACTGGAGCGCATTAAACGAAATACGTAAGGTAGGCAAAAGATAATTAACAAATATACCTAGAATTAAATTGAAAATTGTATTTTTCAACGGTTCTTAGTTTGTTTGTTTTTTGTTTGTTTGTTTGTTTGTTTGTTTGTTTGTTTGTTTGTTTTAAAAAAAAGTTCCGTCAAGTTTATAAAAACCTCAGTTGAGTCCATATCTTCAAAACTTCTGTGTAATTATTTACACTACCCGTTTAAATCGAAAATGAAAATAGTTTGAACACATTACACGGTAAATGATATGACTCTTTCATGTTAATAAAATGAGAAACTTAAAGGCCGATATAATTGCTATGATCATTTTTTTTTATTTTTCGAACACTTTTAATTTCGTTATCTTTTCCACAGTCTGCTTATTTTGTTTTGTTTGCAATTGTATACTTATAATGAATATGTTTTTTAAAAGTCAAAATAATACTTTGTTTACATTTTGTGGCACATTACTGCATGTTCCGTCTACACCCTTCAGTTTTAAGCACTTTACATGCTCTAAATCAATTATAAAAACATTATCAAAGCACATGTTTGACATTTCTAAAGAACTAAAAAATATGAATTTCTGAGGCATAATGTGCCTTTAATGCATATCTACTTGAAATAACTACAAACCATCCTTAATACTTTTGTTGTCCTTTTTCTGTGTTTTGTAAATAATAGTCTTATTTATACAATACCAAAAAGATATTTTGCCAAAACTGATAAAGATTACATACTAAAACAGGTTTGTAGTTTAATGTAATGTGATACAACTATATTTACTTCCTGAATGTTGACGAGTTCGTGGAATTCAGATATATATTTAAGATTTGAAAATAAAACGACACACATTGAGATAAATTAATGTTTAAACAAACTACGTATGAAATTCATTTCAATATCTGATAGATACAGTAGTTATAAATATAAGGAATTAAAATCATTCCTTATTTATAGATAAAACAAGTTTAGGTCATATGTCCTTAAATTGTTTGTTACCTTCTATCAGTCTCATAATAAAGATATTCATATAAATCAAATGAATGAAATGTATTTTATGATTCAGCAGCAAATGACGCTCATTATATTGCAAAACAAATATTATGTTAGCTGGAAATATAAATAGAACCACAATGTCGCTACATTGATTTAAAATCAATGAAATCTTGTCCCAAGTATGATTTAAAGTAAGAAAATATCTGCAAGATGTAAATGAGATCAGTTTAATGTTGTTTGAGAATAATTATATCTGCTCTGTTTTATACAATCAAAGTATATTGGAATTCTTTGAATAAACAAATAGAGATCATATATTTATATATATATATGCAGATCATATATTTATATATATATATGCAGATACCTTGTCAATGAGGATCAAATTATATTACCTAAGTCAAAGTCAACTCGTGATAAGCCTTAAAAGGTAAATACACCAAATGGTATGATATGGTTAGGCAACTATATCTTATTTGATAACCAAATAAAAAATGTTTGAAAGATTAAACAGATAAAAAAAATCCTGTCAGCGGATTATCAATAATTAAAATGAATGATAATAAAGAATACTACTTTTCAATCAATGTGAATAAAAGAACTCTTTGTATTTTGTTTTTATTTATTTAAAGACATTTATGGGTGATTTTAAGAAGCATGTGATTCGTTTGGGCATTTAATTAGGTACATCCATTGTTGGTTTTATTATTTTGATGTCCTTGTAAAGAAAGGGAAACAACTTCTAAATATCCCTTTGCGATTTAAAGAAAACAATTACGTCAGTATTTCAAAATGCACTGACCTGTAGTTTCATAATTATGATTGTACTAGTCGGTGTCTTCTTCCACCAGTATGACTTGAAAGCCGCCGTATGACATTTACGGTGTTTGTAAGACGTAAAACCCAATTAAACAAAATATAAAATTTTAAAAAAATCATTTTAATCGTATTTTATATATAATAGCATATGTGGACATATACTCAGAAACAACATGTTTTCGAAAGGATAAATCGCAAAGGGTTTGACCCAAGTTCTTACAACATTAGCGATCAGCCCTAATTAATGCAACAAAAAGGCAGTTCCGTAATATTATCTTTGATATAAATTAAATGCGCAAGAACAATGTCCTTGCAATTAAGGAAAGAGACTTCAACTTTTAAATTTGATTTTGGATTTTTTTTAATGATATCAAACACAAATTTGTCGTGTAATTTTATAAAAGTTCAGGATTAGTTTAAACAGATATTATATGCGGCGCCCTTTTTGCATTGTCCTGATTAATGCGATGATATACAGTTTCCTAGCTAATATTATCGAATTGATGAAAAGTAACTATGCGAGAACAAATTCAGAAAGAACAAAAAAATAACTTACAAGAATCAAAAAAACTGGTATCTATTCGTCTCTGTGCTAGTTGTTTACGTTACTGTTTCGATTTAGCATTGTTTATTTCATTGATAAACTATCTAGAAATTGAGACACGGGATTTCCAAATATTACTTCCTCCTCTTACATGGCCAATCAAATGTTTTCACTATAGACTAACTCCACGCTTAGGAAAATATTTAAATAATTTTGTAAAAAAAAAAACATTATTAATCGTATGTACACAAGCAAATCAAGAATTTGGTTTGTTTTGACCAGGAACGTACATATACATATATATATATACATGTATCTGGCTGTTTTATCCAATGTTATGTCACATTTTCCTTTTATGCGTTGTTTATCAATACTTTTGATAGCCATTAACAAAACATACTACATCAAAAAGCTGTGGCATGATCAAACCTAACAATGTTTTGTTTTTGTTTTTTTGTTGATGTATTTTTTTTTTTTTTTTTTTTTTTTTTTTTTAGTGTGACATACAAACTGAATCTCTAGGGAAGCGCAAATATAAAGAAAAAATAATAATGATGGATTCGAGGGTTATGCTATATTTTGTTTCTTCAAACTTGAAAATATAGCCAACCCTTATGCTTTGAAGTCGCAGCTAAATTAAATGTAAATGCATAAAATGCATGTAATTGTGACATAATTCGACTTTTCCCGTCACCTACTTTAAATTGTCTGATACCGTATAACAGAGTTTTGCGTTAACATTTACGCATGCGCGTTTTGCAACGGAAATAGCGTGATTATCGGCCCAGCTGTCAACAAGATAAAAAAGGATGGCCGTTAAAAGAGGGGTTAGTAAATTAAAAATTTGTGGGGGGGTTGTCTTTAAAATTGGAAATTCTATTTCACGAAAAAAAAGTTCCAGGAGATTGTTTTTAAAATTTTTAATTAATTTGTTAAAATTTAACTGTTTAAAAGTTCAACGTCATCATGAACATGAAGTTAAAGTATGAAACGTGACATAGATCATAGGTTATGTCATAGTGTCACGTTTGTTAAATTTTATTTTCAACATTATTACAATGTTGCTGTTCTTTTTTGTGTGTGTGTGTTTTTTGTTTTGTTTTTCTTCCCAAAGGTTATGATTACTCTGTCTACTCTAATTCCTTCATCCTGAAATAGACCAGGAGTGTAATTTGAACAAGGCAAGGCCTGAAAACGAGCTCTCTCACATATAGATCTATAATAATAAAAATATATATTTATTAAACCCACCAGCTGCATTCTGGCATGCTCCAAATATTATATAATAGGACAGGGAACCAAAATAACCATATGTTCAAGTCATAAATTTGCTGTACTTCCAGTAAAAATTTTCAAAGGCATCCCTCGAAGATACTTGCTTTACCGTAATGCTCACTTTGTGAGAAGGCCTTCTCTTCGGGTTCGCCATAATAATATAAATATATATGTTTCATTTCGTTTTCTTTACTTTAATATACAAGTTTTAGTCATCAAATATTCCAAGACATTGCCGAAGTTTTATAGATTAGGATAATTGTGAAAAAATATAATGATTATTATAAGATTGTAGTGAGAGAATGCTATATTTTCAGTGAGACATATGGTAATGTGCTGGTATTAGATGGTGTGATACAGTGTACGGAGAGAGATGAGTTCTCATACCAGGAGATGTTAGCTAATATACCCCTCAATGCTCATCCTAAACCACGCAAGGTACACACCTATCCTTATACAATCATGTATGCAAAATGTCAGTAGAAAACTGTGAGTTTCAATGGGCAGCAATGGTAAAAAAAAGTATCTATGCTAACAACTACACATATTCATTTTAAATGCAAGTGGGTGTAACCAAATGTTGATGAAAATCTTTGAATAGAATGTTACTGTCACGAAAAATGTTTTGAGATGGATTGTCTGATTTTACCTTTCACTTCTGGAGCACTGTTTTAAACTGAAAAAAGAAAAACAACAACAAAAACAAAGTAAGCAATACTTATCTAGCACTTTTAATAGCAGTGTATGACTTCTTAAGTATAGCAAACTGGTAAAGGTGTGATAATCAATCACAACTGCTGTAACTCAAATTACATAATGAAGAATTATGTTCATTTCGCACTGATCCATCTTGGAAAAAAAAACGCTAACACTTGTGTGATTTGTAAAGTTGAACATTTATCACTTTATTGAAACACTGCTAATGTTTGATTTGAATACATTCACTTTGGTATCAAGGCCATTATCTCTTATTATTGTACTTGATTGAACAGACTTGACACAAAACTGAATTCAGAAGGCATAATTTATATTATAAAATAACACATGTCTCTCAGGGTAAGCGACAGCCATTCATCATTGACTTTTATCAGGGGAGAAAATTAGAACACTTCATTTTCTTAAGTCTATATAGATTACTCATATGTCTGGAGATTGCAAAAAATCATTGACCGGTTGATATTCATTTCCCGGATGAAAGATCAAAATAACACCATGGTGATTTGGCTATATAGTAAAACATGAGGTATAATAAAATTATTTATTACATGCTTTTCGGTGGTTTATAGAAATATATCAGTGATATAAAACTGATAATTTCACTGTTTTAAACAGTGAAATTATCAATTTGATAATTTCACTGTTTTGAATTTAAGCCCCTTACGTTGTTTCAGTGAAATACCAGCGTGCACAGTACTGGGAACCAAATTAATGACGTGATATCGTAAATGACGTCACGTTGTATTATTATTTGGCGCGCTTTTCATTTAGTATTAGGTTAAATGTCTTTTTAAAACGTTTCTTTGCATATAATAAAAAGGAATTTGTTTAGTTTAGTGTAAGATCGAAATATATTTCACCTTGTGAACACCAAAAGTTCATATTTCACTATACCTTTTGGTGCTCACTCGGTGAAATATATTCCGATCTTACACTAAACTAAACAAATATCCTCTATATAATTATGCTGTCTAGATTATTGGTTGACAAACTGTATAGTATCAGATGTGTTTTACTGTCACCAGGTATTGATAATAGGTGGTGGAGATGGTGGTATATTGAGAGAAGTTGTGAAACACCCGGATGTGGAGGAGGTACATCAGTGTGAGATAGATGAGGTAAAGTATCTATTGTTTATAATTCTTTAACCTGCTGAATTAGCCTTGGGCACCAGTATAGAGCCATCGCCTACACAATTAATAAATTAATGCAAGCTGACCAGTCTTGGAGGTTGTAAAACTATAAGATTTTTTTTACTAAAATCTCAGGAATTGTATTGATCAGTATACATTCTGTGACTGTTTCTGACCAAACAAGTACCTGAGCGTAGAGAATCTTTTTATAAAAAAGCTCATAACTATATCATGTACTTTATTTGTAATTTTGTGATTGAAATCTTCTTCTTTGTTAATTCTTACATTATCCAGCTTTTAATTTTACTATCCAGTGCTGAGAATAGTTAAGCATGCAGTCCTATTGTCAGCTCTTTATACTTTCCCATCTGTGACCTTTTGTACGCCAAAGTATAGCAGTTTACAAAAAATTATCCTGTTGCTACATGTGTATTTCTATATTTGTTTTCATAGAAAGTCATAGAAGTCTCAAAAAAGTATTTGCCAGACATGGCAAAGAGTTATTCTAGTCCAAAGTTAAAGTTACATGTAGGAGATGGATTTGAGTACATGAAAAAACATCAGGGAGAATATGATGTTATAATCACAGATTCCTCAGATCCTGTTGGTGAGTTAACTCCCTTTGTATTTACTTTTAGTTGACAGAACTAGACTTTAGCTGTAATTAATCTTTGATGGATTCTTTGGTCGCAGGAATTAGACTAAAATGCTATACACTGTAGCCTCGATATATCGCACTCCGTTATAACGCTAATCTCAGTATAGCGCTCATAGACCTTGGCTCCCAAAAAAAGTAGATCTAGATTTATAGCACGCTATAACGCTTGTTTAATTTGATGGTCAAGTACAATAAACAATTGTAATTAGGACATTTATGAGCGCCAAAGGTGTGAAAATTGTGCCCAGGTTAGCGTTTATCTGCTCTTTTGTTGTTTTACCTGTCCATCAGTCAGACAAAATCTCAAACTCATATCATATTAAACTGTGACATGGGCAACCGGTGGTGAGTATAAATAAATTAAAATTCACACACATAGATGTGACATGTAAACCTCGCTGAATTAAATAACCCACACAAGCCCAAAATCAATTTAAATTCCTGCACTGTAAATGACAGGAAGGAAATAAATGGCGTTTGATTAACTAGGGGACACAACTAAAGCTGGACTGTAAATTACAGTGTAATGGCAAACTGTTTACACTACATTCATGATTTATGTTTTTCTTTCGAAAGTTTTTTGTTTCTTTTAAATATAATTAGTATTATTTGTGAATATAATATATGTTTACATCATTGAATTGTTTTAGAAAAAGATAATGTCGATATTCATTGAACAGTAAGTAAAAATCGTCAGCGTTATACAGGGCTGCCGATTTTCCGCGGATCCGCGGAAATCCGCGGATTTCGTGAGCTCCTGGGTCATTTTTGAGATCGATGTAAATTCGACAAAGACAATAAATTCATTCGTCATATTTTATACAGTACCCAAAAACCGGCACGCTTCGGCTTTTATCGTTACGCTAGCCGCCTATGGTACGTCTGTAAGGGCTTTTCTCATTGGTCATATCGAGTCTTTTCCGGCATTCTATTTTAGAATAACCAATCAAATTACAGTTTACATTGTCGCTCTTGTCTGTTGTCAAAATGCGTCAAAATGTCGGATATTTGTCAAATTTAGAGTCCAGGAAATTGATTTTAGGGCATACCAAATCATCAGAATCCAGGAGCCCGGAACCCCCACCAGGGCTCTGCCCTGGACCTGCAAAGGGGGCTTGCGCAGCCCCCTTGACCCCCGGCGTATTTTCCGCTGATTTTGAAATTTGCTGTTGGCAGCCCTGGTTATATATATAGGCGGTGGGTGCGGTAATGCGGTAATTTCGCAATGAGCGTTCTTATGAGAGCCTTGTTAGAACGCGTTGTTGAGACATTGGACCCCAACATGAGCGTTATAATGAGGCTGTAGTGTATCTGTTTTGAAATCTGGAAATGCAACTAATGTTAACAACAGATAAAGTAAATTGTTTGTATTTATGTATTACAGTAATTTGTTTTCATTGTCTGTTAAATTGTTTATTAAATGATTACAGGACCTGCTTGCACATTATTTCAACAATCATATTATGAACTCATGAAAACAGCTTTAAAACCTGATGGCATACTTTCATGTCAAGGTAAGGTAACAACATTATTATTTCAAGATAATATAGCATCAGTTTTATTATGTCAAGATAATCTAGCATTAGTCTATCATGTCAAGGTTAGCTAACATCATTATTATCATTATTATGTCAAGATAATCTAGCATCAGTCTACCATGTCAAGGTAAGCTAACACCATTTTTATGTCAAGATAATCTAGCATCAGTCTATCATGTCACGTTAAGCTAACATCATTCTTATGTCAAGATAATCTAGTATCAGTCTATAATGTCAAGGTAAGCTAAAATCATTTTTATGTCAAGATAATTAAGCATCTGTCTTATCATGTCAAGGTAAGGTAGCATCGTTATTATGTCAAGATAATCTTGTATCAGTCTATTATGTCAAGGTTAAGTTTTTATTGCATCAGATTGTTCCCAAATAACAAGGTTAGTGCACAATACATTCAAGTGTACCATCATGTCAACAAACGACATTTATTATTTTTAAATTGTAAGAGTTGTCATTTGAGGAGACTGGAAGCCAAAATGACAGTCTCAAATATATTTTGGGCCTCCTCAAAACTAAATAAAAACACTGTTGAATGTAATAAAATTAAAACTGACTGCCTCAAATTCAAAATGGATCATTTCAGTAAATAATTAATGACAAAGATGAGCATATATCAGAGATTATAATGTTGTGTTGGGAAACCTTGTATCTAATAGTATCCACAATGTTTCTGAGTTCAAGATCACACATTAGAATGTATTATTACATACCCACGCTGATTTGTGACTCCATAAAAATAGTATTGCTGACGTACATATATTTTGATGTGACGTCAAATATTAGCATGACACTGTAGGCAAGTCAATGAAAAATTATTCTTTTGTATTCCAAACAGTCTTTATTTTGAGTATGTGATGAATAAAATTTTATATTACATACTTTTTTACCCATTCAATATTCTATATTTATTCAAGTTGACTTGTTTATAGAACATAAATGTATGCAAGATAGGCTTATATATAAATATTATTTATAAGCATAAAGTTATCGCAGAAAAACTTTATCTTGACATACAATATTAATGTTAGTTTAGTCTGTGCCATCAGTATATAGTCAGGCCAGCCAGCACTTCTGTGCAGTGCTCTGTACCATTAGTAGTTCAATTTGAAATTTCTTTAACTTTAATTATGCAGTTTTCAAATACAAAGCAGGGTAAATTCATAACACCAATTCATGAGGTTAAGGGTCAATTTAAACAAAGAAGATGACATAATGTAAACTAACATGTATTATATAATATTCAGGTGAGTGTCTCTGGCTTCATTTGGACCTCATCAAGACTATGCTGACATTTTGCAAGAAACTGTATCCCGTCACAGATTACGCCTTCACAACTATACCTACATATCCTAGTGGACAAATTGGCTTTGTACTCTGCAGTAAAAACCCTGTAAGTTACATTGATTTTGTTATTCCTTATTGTTGTTTTCAAATTGTTCCAATGAACTTTTTTTAGTGTTGAGGTGGAATTACTGTATGTTGTATATTTTAGTGAATATTTAGGAAATAGATCTTGGTTTTGTGTTTGTTGTTATAAAATATTGCATGGTAAGGAGTTCAGATGTGCAGATATATAATCACTAAGGTTGTACTGGCATTATGTGCAATATTATACAACCAAGATGTATTTCCTATTTTTCCTAACTTGTCACTAAAGAAATATTATTGGACTATATTAACAGTGGTGATATTTCAGTGTCATTGATAGTAGTAATAGCTGGGGGAAAAACTGTAGAAAGTTTTTTTTACTGTGTAAATACTTTGAGAAAAGAAAATTTTTAAAACATTAATAAAAATTTTTTCTGTATATCTCTTATTATAGAAGAATGTAATTTGATAACAAATTAAACAGCACAATTATTTCCTGGAAAAAAAAATTTTACAATGCAAAGTTAAATAGTTGATGTGGATAATCGGGTCGACGATATTTCTGAAAAAAAAGTTAAAGTAACAGTGTATAATGACTTTTATCAAGTGTTTTCTATTTCTGATGCATGATAACAGAGGTAGAGGTTTACAACTATTAGATAAGTTCCACTGTAAATATATGCAGTGTTTTTGTACAGTAATATAAATGTATCATATACAGAGGAGACAATAAGGACAAGTGCATTGTTGTGTCTTCTTCGGTGTAGAAATATCTCTGATAGTGTAAAAGTGAAATTTATTAACATATATATAACTTAAATGAAAAAGCATGTTATTTGTTTATTGCTACAATTCTCAAGTTTTATTTTAGGTTTTAACCATTAATTTGTAGATGTTTCATCAGATATTGAACTTGTTTTTAATGGACATTAAGTAAAGGTCATTAGCCATAGGTAATTCAAATTTACAAGTTATTGAATAAAGTAATATAGTTCTTGTTCTTTTGGTTTTACTTGCACTTTAACACATTTTTGAACATATCTTGGTTGTCAATCAACCTAACTGGCCTTCTTGGAAAACAAATCAGTAATTCTCCCAAAGTGAAAGACTACTTATCTTCAAATATAGCTGAACTAAAAATTCAAACCAGCTATCCCTGGTGTACAAATCCAATACGCTTAGCTGTTAAAAACTTCACAATGCAACTTGCAAGGCAGTCTGACTCTTGTCTGCATCAGTATTTGCACAATGCCAGTAAAATAACACTTGGTTAAGGTTTTTCATGCAACTACATGTCACATTAACTACAGATTTATTCACTTGAAGCTTTACTTTTCTATGAGATCATACAATGTAATTGTATGTCACTATCCATGACATATAACTCAAGTATATTACTCCGTTAATTTGAAATCCATGGTTATGTTTGGTTATGTTTTTTATGCAAGTTTTAGATACCACTGATGGTTTTTTGGGTTTTTTAGCTCGACTTTTCTATGAAAAGGGGAGCTATCCTACTCGCCCCGGCGTCGGCGTTAGCGTTGGCGTCACACCTTGGTTAAGTTTTTCGTACCACCCCACTTTATTTCAGAAGTATTACAAGTATGGCTTTGAAACTTACCATACTTGTTCACCATCATAACCTCCATCTACAGACAGAGTACATAACTCTGTCAAGGTTTTTGACAGAATTATGGCCCTTTTTTGACTTAGAAAGTGTATTGAGCTTGGTTAAGTTTTTTGTACCACCTCACTTTATTTCAAAACCATTGGAGGTATTGCTTTGAAACTGACCATACTTGTTTACCATCACGACCTTCATCAACAGACAAGAGGACATAACTCTGTCAAGGTTTTTGACAGAATTATGCCCCTTTTTGACTTAGAAAATACATTGAATATGGGTAAAATCCACTTATTGCCTTAACCCTTTGAGATATTGCTTTGAAACTTTTAATGCTATTTCACATCATTACCCCATCTGTACGCAAGAGAAGGTAACTCTGTCAAGGATTTGTTTTAAAAATTAAGGCCTTTTATCGACTTAGAATCTTGGTTAAGTTTTTTGTACCACCTCACTTTATTTCAAAACCATTGGAGGTATTGCTTTGAAACTGACCATACTTGTTTTACCATCACGACCTTCATCAACAGACAAGAGGACATAACTCTGTCAAGGTTTTTGACAGAATTATGCCCCTTTTTGACTTAGAAAATACATTGAATATGGGTAAAATCCACTTATTGCCTTAACCCTTTGAGATATTGCTTTGAAACTTTTAATGCTATTTCACATCATTACCCCCATCTGTACGCAAGAGAAGGTAACTCTGTCAAGGATTTGTTTTAAAAATTAAGGCCTTTTATCGACTTAGAATCTTGGTTAAGTTTTTAGTACCAGTCCACTTTTTGACTGAACTGTTTGAGATATTAATTTGAAAGTTGGAATACTTGTTTACAATCATGATTCCCAAACATGTCCAGGAGAAGGTAATTCTGTCAAAGATTTTATTTGAATTATGGCCCTTAACTGTCAATGTTTTGTATTATAGGCAAGCACTAAAAAAGTCGAGCGCGCTGTCTTACGGACAGCTCTTGTTTTTTTTCAGAGTCATATTTTAGATCAGAAAACTAGACTAATTACTCTTGTATTAATTTTCATTGAGTTGTTCCTCTTTGTTTACCCATTCAAGAGTCATATGTTAATTTCAGTGTCAGGGTTGGCTAATTACTAATTTATTTATCTTTTATTTAGGATACAGTGTTTAGAGAACCTGTACGTAAGTTAAGTAATAAAGAAGTTGAGCAGATGGATCTCAAATATTACAACACAGACATTCACAAGGCTGCATTCATTCTGCCAGAGTTTGCAAGAAAGGTATGGTACATGGTTTCACAGATCACAGTTCCTTTCTCTGTTTAACTTTTAATCCACGAAATTTCTAAATATACTTGTCTAATCTTCATTATGGTCAGCCAACAGAAAAGAGTCTAGTCAAACTGCATACATGTAGGTGTGCAAACCAGCTTATTGCTGTACTGGTAATCATTTTCAGTTACAGCAGGTTAGAGTTTGGAGAGGCTCCATTTTTAGCTTAACTTTACAAAGAATAGGGAGATCTATTGATCCAGCTTCACACTTTGATTAAATTTTTGCGTGCAAGTTGGTATCGACAAAACTGCAGAAGGGAACGAGTTGAAACTTAACATACTTGTTTTGAGAGCATCATAGGAGGTCACTGTTCAAGACCCATAACTCTAACATGGATTTTTGACAGAATTATTGACCTTTTTGAACTTAGAAAATTTTACATTATCCAGGCTCTTGTTTTACTATCAAGTACTGAGAATAGTCAAGCAAGAACAGACAATGTTTTATGACAGATTTGTTAAGAATTTATGTTTTATTTAATGTATTCATTTATACAGTAATTTCAGAACGTTTTATCTTTAAATTATTTGAAAAATGCAAAAAAATAAAAAGAAATGTAATATTACATTTGTCTATTGTTACTATTTGATAAATTGACATTTGACCTGGTTTAGCTTGTCAGAGTCTCTATAACTTATACCTCAAACATTACAGGTCATGTGTGTTACAAAGTTGTGTTGTACAACTACTGTGATATAAGGAATGATTGTTAAATCAGGTTCTATAACTCTATCTTTACCATAGACATTAAGACTTGAAGTTATGTTGTCAATTATGCATGTGAAACTTCAGATATTGATGTTAAGACATTTAAACAACTAGGGCAAAACATCAACTAGGTCTGCTGACTGCTTTACTGCTTTTATCTGTTGGTATTTGTTACAGTAAAAAATGTCTGTCTATTAAAAATTGATTACTTATGTATTGCAGGTTTTAAGAAGTGAAGAGTCTGAAAATGGGTCCACAAATGGGGAGGCAAATGGGACAAGCAACTGAAAAATCCTTAGCTATTTCTAAATCATAAAGTCAAAATGTCAGCAGTATTACTCTAGATATTTATCTTTTCAATCATTGGAATAGGAAAGTGTACATGTTACGGTTAAGGGGTCCAGTTTTTATCATTTTCATTTAATTATTCTTCAGGAAACTCCACTAAATACTTCTCAACAACACTTCTGACATTTTTACTACTTCTTGAACTGTGTACCCATTGATTCAAAATGTGTTTGTGTTATTATTGTTTAATGTCACTGTCATGTTATCAGTATACATTTATAATATCTCCTTGATCAGTTTGGCCATGTGTCTATGTATAAGTCCATCAGTCCTTGACTTATTTGTCCATCAATCCATGACATATTTGTCCATTAGTCCTTAAATTGTTTGACCATCAGTCCTTGAATTGTTTGACCATCAGTTCTTGACTTGTTCATCTATCAGTCCTTGAGTGACATACAAGAATTAGCTGGGCACAAACTATACTGGGCATTAAAGGCCGGAAATTACTGAAATATTGTTTGGAGCATAACTACAGTTCCATTTGGCCCATACTATTAAAACTTCATAGGATGGTTGTCCATATTGTGTAGAAAACCCCTATTGATTTTGGGGTCAAAGGTCAAGGTCACTATTGCCTTAAAACTGAAAACAGTTTCCAGAGCATAACTTAAGTTCCATTTGGCCCACCATATTCAAACTTCATAGGATGATTGTCCTTATTGGGTAGAAGACCCCTATTGATTTTTGGGTCATAAGGTCAAAGATCAGGATCACTATTACCTTAAAACTGAAAACAGTTTCAGGAGCATAACTTAAGTTCCATTTGGCCCACAGTGTTTAAACTGAATAGGATCATTGTCAATATTGAGTAGAAGACCCTTATTATGTTTTAGGTCACAAGGTCACTATTACATTAAAACTGAAAACAGTTTTCGCTCAGTAACTTTAGTATTAATCAACCTACAACTGTAAAATTTTATAGGATGAACAGCCATGTCCAATATATGACCCCTATTGATTTTAGGCTCATAAGATTAAAGGTCAGGGTCACAATGACCTTACCACTGAAATTGTGCTTTCTGGAGCATAAAACAAGTTCCATTTGGCTTACAGTGTTCAAACTTCATAGGATGATTGCCTATATTGAATAAAAGATCCATATCTATACTGGGGTCACAAGGTTAAAGGTCAGTATCAAATGACCTTAATATTGTTAACAGTTTTTCAACTGTCAAACTTCATAGGATGATCACTTATATTGAGTACATTAATTATATGCCCTAAAAAATTTGCTTATATTATATTATATCCCTGGCGTCTTTCTGTCCATCTGTCGTAGTAAAATTATTTCATTCCCATGTCTTTCAAATGCTTAATCCTTACTAAAAAAAATCATTTTCGGGCATATAATGCTCCGCTTAGCGGTGCTCTTGTTCAAAATTGAAACTATTTTCAGTATTTACAAAACATGTTGCTTTGTTTGCTGTTTCACAATGGGGAAAACTATTGTTAAAATGGGGGACTCTATTGTTACCATGCGAGACACAACTGTCACAATGGCGGTCTTTATTGTAACAATAGGAGAATCTACTTTCACAATGGGGGAAGTTAAATGTGCATCTTTAGCAGGGCATTTATTACAATACAAGATATTTCCCATCTTTACATGTATTTATGTACACTTTATAACATGTATATACAGAAATAGACATTTGGTTTGTGCAATTATGTACTTTACATATTCTACATGCTTGAATGTACTTTGAAATGGGATTTTAAATGCAATAAAATTTAAACATATTTTACGGTGTTGTTTTCTGTGTTTTTTTCAATTACTCTATGTTCAAATGGTAGACTTCTAGTCCATCGTCATTTCTAAACTGAGGACATAAATGTATTGCCATAGGATATGTTAATACATTCTGCATGGCATTTGGTCCATGCTACAGCTTTTGTGGTGTTGTATAACAAACATTATGGGGTGCTAGATGTATGTAGGAATCAGTTTATCCTGTCCTGTCCCATTTTTGGAACTGATAGAGATATTACATGTATTAACTTTGAACTCAAAGCAATCTCACAATGCAACTGTGTGTCAAGTTTCATAACTCTGATAGTTTGACATAATTATGCCACTTTTAAACTTAGAAAATATCCAAGACTTTCATGGAGATTAAACTAGCGTTGACCTTGACTTTTAAATGACCTTGAAGGTGTAATTATTGAATTTTCACTGTTTTGCTATGATAGGCAGTAAAAGTTTGGAGAATAATTCTTGCTGATGTAGCATTTGATTATAATATAAAATGGTTGTCCCACTATACTGGAGATTGACCTCGGAATAAAATATTCATTACATACTAATACTATGATACTGTTTGTATAATTTAATATGCCCAAAGTTTTCTTTAGTTACATTCTAGGAAGACATTTGTCTGTCCCTAAGCAACAATGATATCAACCTGGTAACTTGTTGACCTTTAAGTCGGTCATGGCTAGTAGATGACCTTTATTGATTTTAAGGTCACAGTGACACTTAATGTAAAATCCAGTCAGTAAGTTACGTGAAACATGGACATTGACATGATCAATAGGTGACCCCTGTGATTTTACTAATTGTAATTAAGCCTCATAGAGCAAGATTTGTATACTAAAATAGAATTTGTCAAAATTAATAAAGTACAGGGTGAGACATGGATCTTTATATTCTGTAATTAAAGTGCAGGTTAGTCATTAACAGCCATCAATAAGTTTCCAAGAAATCTACCGTGAACAGGCTGTGAATATAAAACTTTGTCTGTAACCATTGTTATCTGTATAAAAGGGGGTATAAAACGGTTAAATGAATATTTTATGTTAAAATGAATGCACGTGCACAGCTGGCTTCATATTGTTTTTGATCTGAGTGAATGATATAAAGATAATTCAGAATTTCCTAAAAAGTCTTGTCGTCTTTTACTTTTGATTCAATAAATTTTACTTAAACATTTCCGAGTAACAGCTGTTCTGATATATCTATTAGCTAGTGTTGACGGATGATTTGTCATAAGTTAAAAACAGTCAAATACAGTAAATGAATTATTTTGTTTAGATCTATAAAAAAATAATTTCTTAACAGATATGCGTTAAAAACTTTTGAGCGAATGCATTTTAATACTTAACACTAGAAGTAACACTAGAAGGTCTATTCTTTTCTTCAAAAATATGCATGTATGTCATTATTTGGAAAATGAATGGTTTGTTGCGGATGATTTAGTCTTTCAGTGTAAATTCCATCTTACGCTCTGTCATAAAGGAGGCATAAACCTTAAATTCCAGTAGGTAGATGACGTTTTTGAATATATGCGTCAACTTTAGCGATGATTCCCTGCGGTCTAGAGACCGCAGGGTATTGGTACGCGTTTAACTTTTGAGGCATGGAGGAGCACGTGACCTGTTTTCGGTACATGGAGGAGCATGTGATCTGTAAACCGTACATGATTGGTTAATCGACCTTTTCGAAAACCTGGCTAAATACCGTTTGCCGGTACGTTACGGATAATCCTCTAGGGAATAAGTCAGAATTACACCTAATTAAGAACAAAAAACTATTACGTGATATTTTTAATTTTCTATAATTATAATACCGTTTAAGGTGGAAAAAGACCTTCTTCTATATTGATCGATTATTGTCAACTATATTCCTGATACAAACCCACCCAAACAATGTATATTATCAAGAGTTTACAGTAGTCCTCAGTAAATTACTGACTTTTCTTCAAAATAAAGGTTCATATTTAACAGACTAATTTAAAGTCACTATCAAAGTTAGTATTCAACCTCATGACTGTCCATGTTATTATCTTGATAGTGTACGTGTAAACAGCCTAAAACTCATTGACTACTATTTTACAATCAAAGCACTGAATGTACTGATGGGGAGGCTATGACAGAATGTTTCAGACTTATAGTTTCTTTTCTTTTTGCTTAAAATGTGCTGTTATTTCAATTATTACCAAAATAAGAAGATATGCACATTGCGCCATTTATCCTTACTGCATGTACTGTTGTGTTCAACCATTCATATATATGGTTTATATGGTTGACTATTAATTTTGTTAATATTCCATAACATTTCATTGAGGTCTACATTCGGACTGCTAATCATGCAAATTTTGAAAAACCTAAACTGCCTTTTATAAATGACATACCAGCAAGTATGACGACTGTTCATTATAAGATCATAATACCATTTTACAACTGACGGTTCCTTATCAAAATATTCTAGGACTGTTCATCATAAATATTTTATGTCATTTTAATATCATTGAATGATAATAACAACTGCAAGTTATGCAACATTCTTATTGAACATAAAAATATACTTATTTACATGTACCATAATTAAGAGCAATAAGACACCTCTGTCTTGTGATGAGTATTAATATTCATGCTCTACGGACAGAAAGTTGTCTTCTCCCGAAGCAAATCTCGAATAAAATCACGTTTCAGAAAATTATTCCCATTTCATTACTCGTCGCTGACTTTGACGGCTTCGGATAATATTAAAGCTAAATATTTCTTGAAAAAAATACATATCTGCAAAGCTTATTCAAAATTGAATCAACCTAAGTGAAAATTGATCAGGAAGTTATATCTTCTTTTTTACCGCCAACACTCTACCAACTTATGGTAGTTAATCAATAGATTCTACATGTAGATTCTACATGTATTTTTAAACCACACTAGCTTGAAATATATACTGCGGAAAATCTGTTGTTCACAGAGTGTGCGGTTATTATGTAGGGTTTTCCTTGTCGACCATTTCCCGCAAATAGATGAGAACATCGAAGCGTCAGTGCTATGAATGGTGTTATAAATAGCGTGTTTTGGAAGTTTTTGTTGAAACTTCTCCAAATCCCTCCAGAGGCATGCACGTCGCGGAGAAGGCACACGGCAGGTCAAGGTCAAGTCATCTAAAGTACCAGAGGTGATTGGTTGACCTGTCGAAACTTACTCTGGAGGTTTGGCGCTACTGAATGCCGTTTTTGTTGTCGTCAGTCAGGAAGTTGATGCATTGACAGTATTGTCGTCTCCTTTACCACTAACGAACGAAGAATGGGCTACCAGGAAGATTCTGCTTGAAAAAGACGTCCCCGATGCTATAATCTCAGACATATGGTTATTCCGGCGCCGAGTATAAATGAACTTAAAACACACACACACACTTTTGTTGAAAACAAAACAAAAAAAACAACAACACATTTTCTGTAGTAATTTTTCAAGTGTTGTAAAATGAATACGAAAAACACAAACATGTAAGTTCTTTTTATTTATTATTATTTTTTTTAAAGCTTCTTATTCTTTAATATTTTCATGTATCTCATAATCTGTATTGAAAATTTTATTACACATGGACTATCAAATTATGATTCGTTGCCCTAGAATTGAATAAACTTTCTAATTACACAATACGGGGTCATTCATTTGATTGAAGACTGATCTTTGCGTCTTTCTCTGAAATACTTATTTCCTTGTTAAAACATAGTTGACCACATATTTCTGTCATTTAACTCTTCACTTTACTTCCGATTTTTGTTGTACCGAAACACATGTTTCTATTTGTGTTTTCTATTCGAATCTATAATCAGTTTAATGGGATCACCGCCGGGTAAACGACTACTAGGTACTTTTGTCATGTTTTTTACCCCAAATATTTGAATGTTTCTATTGGGATTAAAATGAGCGTAGATAACTTAACAACTGGTTGTATAAATCCCTGACCTGTTTAATTCTAATTATGAGATTAGTGGATATATTAAGACCACGGGGGTGGAACCCCATATGAATCTCAAAAATTAGCATCGGTAAAAATGATATGTGAATTTCCGCTGCACCAGATGTGAAGCATAACACCAGATGTGACTGGAAAAATAGGTCGACCGCAGGGTAAGTTTATATCTTTTTAAACATTTATATAAAATTCAATCCTTTTTTTAAGAAAATCGAAATGTGATTCTACCTTCCTGACTCTCCTCTATATTACCCCTTGTTGTTTTGGATTTCTATGCAGTCTTCATCGAGATATTCTTTCCGTCGTGGATTCTGGTGTGTCCAAAACATGCAATATGAATGAAGAAAATGTCACTAAACGGACTCGAAAAAACATAGATTTTACGAAATCTCACTACAGGTCGATGCTAAACATTCAAACAAATCCTGGTTTAAATATTTATTGAGATTTGACTACATACAAGGGAATCGCTGCTCAAAAGTGCATTTGAGCTCCAGATGTGCTGAAGAGATTCATAAGTGAAGTAGAAAACCATCTACAAAACTACGGACCACTTCCATATAATCATTGAATAGCCAATGTATAGAAACAATATAGGTTTTGCATCTTTGGCTGAAAGTTTAATTGTAACATTAGTGTGTTTGATTACCACAGTGACAGAGCTTACTAGCTTATGCTAGCATTAGAAATACTAAAAGGCCCGAGTACATGAAAATGTTGACGCAGAGCGGATAGTACTCTTATGATAAACCATTCACTAATAAATGATATGTAAATTGGACAAACCAAACTGAAAGTATTGAACTTTGTAAAGCTATCGTGTCATATAATATGTTTCTTTAATAATGTTTACATTCATAAAAATATCTATAACTTTAATATTCAACAAGTTATAGTTATAGCGACAGACTGTTATGTGTAAATATTATGGCCTGATGCGACATCGAAGGTTTTTCTTTACAGAATATGGGTCGAAAACATTGTCTGTAAGGAAAACCCGAGATGCCGCCCCAGGTCATGATATTTCTACATAATAGTCGAGTTCGATATATTATAACTGTTTCCACTGTTCGCATGATAAACAGAAATGATAATTTTAATAAACATAAAATTTCAATTTATGATTGGCTTCTCTCCATAAATTAAATTCCCACCCGAAACCTCGGTTACTTTTAATGTAACCCATGTCATCCATAATGTCTATCTGTTCACTGCAACTGATTTTATTTATCTTTGCAAATCCTATCTGCGGAGAACATTTCATGGGACTTAATAGTTGTGAATTGAATATTAAGAAAGTTGAAAGTTTCTTGAAAGTTTTAAACCTTTCCTTCTTGTGCCTAGAAAACGACCCATTTTCCTGAAAAATAACAAAAGAAAAGAAACGAATTACGAAAGTGTTTATAATGTACAGTTCCCACTGAAATAATAGTTATAAAGCGGAGAATAAGTTTAGTGATCTTTTTGCGTACATGAACATTTTCAGGAAACAATCCATGTGCATTATGAGTGAGCAGGCATTAAATTCAGATAGGCATTGACCCATAATTACGACTGTGGGCATGAAGTGAACCATGTAAATATTCTGCAGAGACGTTTCTTGATGTGGAAAATAAATATGCAAATCTTCTTTGATCTTTTTTAAAGTTTATCACTAACTTTCTTACAGCATCATAACAAATTCAAACACGCTTCACATTACTCCCCTATTAAGCAGACAGTGCAGTCGAGTGAATAATTAATTAATTAATTAATTAATTAATTAATGCATGGTGGCATAAAAAGGGAAAGATTGCAGTACACACGACGTCAATAAGTCAAAATAAGCAAGGCCTTTCCACCATATCTACGTATTTTCAAAACCTTTCGTATGCATAATGTCTTATATCTCTTTCTACATGGATATTGATGTTATTCAAACTCGTCTCGTGAAAATGTGTCTATTTCGGATAATAGTATTTATTACAGAATGATACACAATAGAATAAATTCTAGATTGCCGTATGAAAGTGATGCGTAATTATGTTGCTAATTTTTTATGCTATGCACATATGAATCTCTTCATAACATCTGGAGCTCAAATGCAATTTTGAGCAGCGATTCCCTTGTATATAGCCAAATCTCAATAAATATTTAAACCAGGATTTGTTTGAATGTTTAGCATCGACCTGTAGTGAGATTTCGTAAAATCTATGTTTTTTCGAGTCCGTTTAGTGACATTTTTTTTCATTCATATTGCATGTTTTGGACACACCAGAATCCACGACGGGAAGAATATCTCGATGAAGACTGCATAGAAATCCAAAACAACAAGGGGTAATATAGAGGAGAGTCAGGAGGGTAGAATCACATTTCGATTTTCTTAAAAAAAGGATTGAATTTTATATAAATGTTTAAAAAGATATAAACTAACCCTGCGGTCGGCCTATTTTTCCAGTCACATCTGGTGTTATGCTTCACATCTGGTGCAGCGGAAATTCACATATCATTTTTACCGATGCTCATTTTTGAGATTCATATGGGGTTCCACCCCCGTGAAGACTTTCACTACAAAATATTCCTAAACAAAAGAGCACATGTTTAAATTTATTCCTATACAAATAAAAGATCAGAGTAGGGATCTGTCAATTGCCAGACATATTTTTAAAAGATACTTTTATGTTAAAAGTTTGATTAATGAATTATGTAATATGAAAATATAAGTATTGCTTTTTTTATTTTGCTAATATAAAATGTAATCTTGTGGTGAAATTTTGTCGAAGAGTCCTTATGGATTTTGTAGTTAAATAGTTTTTTTTTCGGCGATACATGGTTTAAGAATATAATGTTTTCAACCTATATGTTCATCACCATCAGTGAATTTTTAGTTAAATGTATGCAAAATATTTACTAACAGCTATATGATATAGCGGTTTATGAGCGTTTTCCGCGTACAGCCTCCTAAGGTGTACTAATAAGTTAGTTTTCCTTAGTTATCACGCAAGCATGATCCAGGTCTCTGATGTAAGCGACAGTTTACCATTATTTGTATTTAAAAAATATTAAGAACTATTAATGGTTTATAACAACAAAAGAACATGCATGATATTGAGACTACGGTGTTCAACGTTCTAGATAATGACCCGTCATAAACAGTTGGTCGCTGCGTAGTAATTGGAAAATTGTTATCAAAAATAATAAAGAATATTTGCCACCTAATTAAAGCATTTACCTATAAATTTTCATTTGTGCTTTTTGTTAAAAAAATATTGATAAAGTTATTATGTAGAAGGGTTTTCATACCAGAACTATTTATGACCAACGTACGTATGCCTAAACTTGATTACCGCGGCAGTATGACGTCACGGAGTAGTGATTTTGAAAAAATAAACAAACAAAAATCAAGAATTTTTCAGAGAATTATTATATTCACAAATTGCAGATATGAAGTTAAAGAATGAAAATATTTTCATATTGTAAATGTCTGTGATGACTGATGAGTCAGCTTAAAAAAGATCAAGGTACTATTTTTTGACCTGATTACCGCGGCAGTAAGATTTGACAAACGGTATTAACATTGGGGAGGCATAGCCTCCCCAAAAATAGTTCGATGGTATAAATACAGTGTAATGGATATTTCGCCCTTTTAAGCATTCGAAAGCATTTAAATGACATAGAAACCCTAAGGACTCCGTTGTAAAACTACTGGATTCTCCTACAAAGTTACATCATTTTGCGCTAATCTGCTAGTCTCTAAACCTCCAATAACTGATTGCCAGTTTGATTTCCTAATACATGTACTAGAAACTGTACGTTGCCGTATTTTACAAACACTATGTACAACAGAAGCGAAATAACCAATATGTACATGCACAAATATTTTTTTAACTAGTAACAGTGGCCTCCCTTACAACATCATTCTGTTAACATAAATTGTATACTATTTGTTTCAATAAGAAAAACTATTTATTTGATCATGTTATCATGCCCACAAAACACAGTTTTTCGGCGCCATGTGTCCTTAATTGTGTTGGTACGCCGTAAAACCAAAACAAGCAAACTTAGTATGTTTTGGTTATCTAGTACGATAATTGTGGTAATGTAATAATATATAAATAATAAAAAACGAGGCCAAAATATTTTTGTTCTTCCTCACCAACCACTGAAGCTCTAAAAGACGCGTCATGACCAGTAGAGGCTGTATCTGATAGTGCGTTCCGGTACATTGATTTCTTAAATATTATGGACCTCAGTTGGTCTATGGTCCCGTTTTTCTTTCTCTCGATATTTATATGGTATTATGGTTTGTTTTATGTTAGTTATTTTGGTGTTGCTGCTGTTGTTTCTGCTGTTGTTTTGACGTTTGTTTGTTTGTTTGTTATGGATGCATCCTAACATGCATTTGGGAATTATATGCCAGAAAAACACCGATTCAAAAGTCAAATGCAATTATCCGGAAAGTCTGCTTTGTTTTTCTTTTTTTTCTATATATATTTCAAACAGAATTGTTTTGCATTCCACATATCTATTTACTATTCATCCATGACACTATTTTCTCTTCTTTGCTAACCTCAGCTAATGTTGCAATATTTTTCTTTACAATATTATTGTTAGTCACTATATGTTTGCTACTGTCAGACTCGGAACTACTTGTTTCAATGTCAGATTGGAGATCATCTTTTATTAGTTCTATTTCAGCAATGTCGTCTTGAGTGGACACTACGTCACCAGCTGTTATATGATTATCCTCTATCATCTTGTCAGAGTTCTCAGTGTTCACTTTACTGTCTATATCGTTAGCTGAATTATTCACGGGCTCTACTTCATTGTCATCAATATTCAGATCAATAGGCTCTGATTCCGACACAATCTGTAAAATAGGAAAGGTCGAAAAATGTGGCGTGTATAATTATGTGAAGCTTTAGGGTTTTGTCTTGCCTATCTAATATACATGTTGTAACTGATACGTTTTCTTTTCAATTCCTCTACTCAAAATTATCCCAACTGCATTAAAATGCATACAAGTGTGGAAAAATTAATTTAATTACTTTTCAAAATTTGGGTTTAATTACAACATTTTAAGGTTGTTCCCCGATGGTTTGACTGCTATCCATGGATAAGAGGAATGTACACCTTTGGGATGACATTTAAAGAGATAACTCAGTTGGTGAAGCGATTGATTAACACACTGAATATTTAATCAAGAACGTATTGGTTTCTACCTTGGGAGTTGTCAGTTATGACGGTTATTTCTAGTTCTCTTTTTTGCAAAATGTTTAAATATACAAAGTACCTTTCTCTATGAACAGACGTTTGCTGAAGTATAAAACATTTATCCACAAGCTCAAACAAAATAAGACGGAAAATCACTCAATTCAAGCATGTTCTATTTAGCCTATTAATGTAATAAGCATGATGAATAAGTAATTGTTGGTCTAGATATTTTAATAAAAACTGTAATTTACAATTTATATTCATAACGTTTTCAATACTGAATACTAAATCATTAATTGCAAACCATATGTTTAAGAATGCTTAGCAATTATCTGTGTCGGGAATTTTTGCTTGACATTTTTTGTAACACTTCCGGGACTTACCTGGAGTCTTGATATTTGATAGTTTGTTGGATAATCAAATGTTTTTAATGGCATCCAAATAACTTCCTCACTACCGTCGTCGGAGAAATCGGTATCTTCTTCTGAACTACATATGAAAACGTTCATATAATTCACATTTGAACTTCAAATATTAATATACATAATGAACAGGGCACACTTAAGAATAAGCAAAATAATATCATGCATAAGTTGTATCATATTCTAAACTATACGCCGTCTTTTTTAGAAGATTACATAAATTTCATGGACATAAGATTACTATGAAACTACAAAAATGTATTTACAACATTCAACTAGAATAAATTACTCTGAAACCACATTTAAAAGATACAAAAGCATGCCTTATTCTAACTCATGCTGATAAATGGATTATCTTGAACTATAAATTCAGTGTGTTAAATTGAATCATGTTTTATTTAGAATTTTATCTTGAATTCCATTTATTCGTATATTATTGATAGATGTCTTCTTATTAATAAGTAATTATTATTTTTTAAAAATATGTCTCATTTTTTTAATTAGTTATCATTTAGCTGATTATTTACCTCAATAAAGTTTCTGCATCTTCGTTTGATATTTTTCTTTTTCTGCTTTGTTTTGTATACAATAAATGCTGTGTAAATATCTAGTGTATGTTAAGGAATAAATGTGTAAGGAAAAAAAACTACTTTTTTATTGTATCATTTTTTTTCGATGAGCTAAATATATGATTTTATAAGTATTTTTCAATGTCGTCTCGTATTTCACTGTTGTTTCGTTTTTAAAACAGAAAATTTCTTCTTAAAAGATACACCGACATCTATCCCGACAGTAATTAATCTGAAAATGAAACAACAACAATAACTAACAACATTACACGATTATTACACTATTTAGATACTTGTACATTTAATTTAAAGTACTTTAAGACTCAATTTTTATGTCTGAAAATAGAACAGTGTTACAAATGTTACGAGCATTGGGAGTGAAATGAAAATTTATAAAATAATTGTTACAAATGCTAGAAATCGGACAGTAGAAATCGGAATCAATACAGGAAATGTGAAGGTAATGGGAATTCCCAAGGAAAATGTTATCGCAAGCAAAACTGTTACAATTGTTATTGAATTTACATTCGTTACATAGGTGTTACTTAATGTAACAAATGATAAGTGTTTCATTAAACTGCACCCATTTTGTGCCCCTACGTGAAAATAAAGTCAAATGCATAAAAAAAAACAGTCTGTATATAACCTTTGCATTTTAAATTTGGGACAGTTTATTTAAATACTTGAAATTGTAGTTTTAAATTCAGGAGCAAGAGCGATAGAAATAGAACATATATACAAGTAAAGCTTTCAGATTAAGTTTTAGTAAGTGTGACAATAATAACCTGTCTAACGCCCTCTAGCACCGGCTGTGGCAGAATAAAATCTTTTTTCTGGTTTTAATTAGAAACAAGGTTCAATATATATTATAAAACATTCAGTGTTTCCTGTAGCTTAAAGTAACATTTTTAGATATTCAGAAGAATTATTTTTTATTTGTTGAATAATTCCTCTGAAAAATATGTCATGAGTTTTTTTAGTAGTTACCTTGGTAACGTCCAGGGTAAAGTATGGTAAATAAATACTAGTGACAAACTTTGAGATAAGACACTGTATATATAGCTGATACCTCCCAATATACTGGTCATATACACACAGGGTATACATCTGTGATTGTCCATATACCTTAACTGGAAACAAAGATAATAATATTCTTTAATACACTTTAATACACATTTACAAGGATCATAAATTATATTTAGATATTTTATAGCACATCAAATACGTCTTTACATAGAAAACAAAATCATTATTGAGATATCGTTTATATGTTGCTGTTTCTTAAATTTAAGCAATATTTTTAGTATGTCATTTATTTCCTTAAATAACGTTAAAGCCATGGAAATGTAACGGAGCTTCATCAAATGATTTTGTGTTTACATAGACAACACTTTGTCAAAAAAAGACGACGTAACTCTCATAGCCAATAAAATTGCGTGCCTAACTGATCATAATTAATATTTATATGTATCTGATTAAGTAAAACTTACCTTTATTTAAGAAATTTATTGCTAAGATGCAGTATTAATAAAAATATAATTTACACAATGTATTTTTATGTTATGTTCATTATAAACACGAATGGTATAAACGTGAACGTGTAGCGCTTATTTCTAACAGAAATATGTTTCTTTTAAAATGTCATATAACGTTTACCAAGTGAACAACTTCTACAGATCGTGCACCACACAGTAGAATAGCTGCTAATATTCCAAGATTATAACCAGTATAGAAAGATATTGTCATCCCAGTCTGAATATGAATATTAGAAACAGGATAAGTCAGTAAAAAGGCAGAATAGGAAACTCTGTTTTAAGCATGCTTTTAAACTATGATTAGTTAGAAGTGGAAGTGACTTTTAAGATTTTGTTTTGGGTAAAGCTATTTATATATAATATATGCATATCACATTATGTTTTCTCTTCACTTCTGTGAACTGAATCTAAACAAACATTAATGTCATTGGTCATGGCAACTGAATATTATTTGTGATTGAGAAACACAACACTTAATTTAGACTTCATAAAATACTATTGTCAAGTTGTATTAGTAAACACACATACACATAAATGCAACTTTGGATGAATATAAAACAAATGTAAGAAATACCAGCATACCTTATAAAATGACACTGTGTTTTCGTTAATATTGTCAAAGCGCTCCTTCACATTTGGAAATGATTTTAGTGTCAGCATAGTGGTGAACATTATAGGCATTATCAAAATACATGGATACAGAAATGCCCTTAGCAACAACGAGCCTTTTTTATCTGTTGTTACTACAAATTTAAAGAAAATGAAATTTTATAAATAATCAAAATATTGCATATAACATTTATCATGCTTTTTCAGTATTTCTGTCTGTTTCTCTTTGTCATTTTACCATCTGTATCTAGTTGAACAATGGCGTTATGCTGTAGCATGTTGGGAATAATTTAAGGGCTGACAGACAGAATTGAAGATTCACACAGTCAGACTATAAGGTACAGAAAGCCAAAATAATCATGATTGGAAAATATCGACATATGTAGTGAAAGTTACAATAAATATACATGTAACTTAGTGCCAATTTAACTTTCAAATGGTGATACATGTATAAGCTTAGTATATTTCTTATAATTAATCTTATCATTTACTTTTGCCTAAAGTACACCATACAAAAGTTCTTCAAACTATAGAAAGATGATCAATCTGCAAAGCATATTTAGTGTTGACAAAATACTTTTATTTACAATAGTCTTTATGGAAAAATGCATGTTTGAACATGCTTCACATAATTTAATGTTATAAGAAATTCCAAAATTATGGAAAAGCCAATCCTTACCATTCCGTAAAGTTTTGATGTTTTGATTGATACACACGTAAATAAAACATATCGTGTGAATACTGAGTAAGACAGCACTATATATGATCTGAAAAATACAAAATATGCATAGCTCAAATCTAACAAAGAAAATGTACACACTAAATGTAACACAAATGTAACTATGTAAGGTTGAAGGTTTAATCTAATGACCCATTTAAACATGATAACAATGGTCACTGCCATAGCTGTTATAGCTGCTAGTTACAAGCTTTCTTTATCAATGGTTCTATGTCTATTATGTTATTATATAATAGATTATTAAAATGGTAAAGGACAGTGATGCATATGTTTCACCTGTGTTGGTAGTTGAAGAGATAGAAATGCTCCAATCAAAGCGCTGAGTTCTGAAAACCAGTGTAATACTGTGGTCACAATGCTACTACTTGTATGGGACTTGTTTATCCGACGCACGTGTATAACGCTTAAACTGCAAAAGAAACACATTGGTTTCAGTCTCACATCTAATGTGAAAAATGAACAATGCATTTTATTTCCACACGTATTGTTTAGTTAACGCAATTCATTGAAAGAGAGATAAATGGTTTGAAAAGAGTCTAATAGTATATATTTGTCTTGGAATCACTGTCGCTTTGAATACGTTTACACTTTATTGCACTCATTATATTGCGTTCAATCAAAATTCATAGAACAAAGTCTATGGCCTTCCTTTACATTAATCTCATGTTTTATATTTGAGCCGTGTGTCGTGACAAAACCAACATAGTTGGTTTGCGACCAGCATGGATCCAGACCAGCCTGCGTATCCGCGCAGTCTGATCAGGATCCATGCTGTTCGCTATCACGTTCACATGTTAAATCATTAAGTTTGAAAAACTTCCATACGGCGTGTGTTTTACGTAATGTGTCCGTACACGCTTACACCTCAATTAAATTTTTATATATATATTTTAATCATCTAAAATACCACTGTTTAGAGAGATGAAATAAAATATAACCTTAAATAAGAAACTGCAGACAGTGCAATAGCAAAGCTACCAAATATGAAACCAGCTAAATGTCCCGTCTCCTCAACACATTGTGATGTATGTTTCCATATCCATTTATTACCTGACGAACAATTTTCACTTCTTGATAGTATATTCACTAAAGCACTGTAGTTATATGTGATGGCCATGATAATCCAAAGTTGTCGCTTCACTATTCATATATAAACCAGTTCCATGTAGAGATAAATATATTCACTTCATAGATCACTTTCATTTTCTGAAATAAAAGATAGGGCCTCGATAGAATAAAGTCATGAACAATGTTGACAAGAAAACAGAAAAGAAGTTAAACATCTGGGGTAAAGTTAGCGTACAAATGTGAAAGTTGTAAACATCTAAAAAATAAAACAGAAAAAGAAATAGTCACTGTGCACAGTATAGTTAGAATGCAATAATGAAATTTGTAAACATGTCAAGAAAAATGTATATGTACAGGTTTTCGAGAAAGTAAAAACGCAGTCGCTATTGTTAACATGTAACATGTAGATATGTACAATAACTGAGGGTCAAACTGTCGTTAGAAAAATAGTTTCTTGGCAGTGACGATATAAAAAAGAGTAGATTCTTACCTGAATTATATATCCTTTTACATAACAAATTAAAGATATTACAGTTCTAGCAGAATACTGCGTTGCGAGAGAGTTACACTAAAATATTCCTTACTATACAATGACTTACCAGCTTCTTATTAAAAGCCATGACACGTTTTTATTATCAATATGTACATCAACTATCGAGTTTCCATTTGTTTATGATTACATATATTTAAAGGATTATGACGTGGGTAAGCAACAGCTGTAATGGTTATAAGTGTACAAAGTCGATCACTCTATAATACAGGTAATTAAAACTTGGTTACAGATGTCATTCTTAGGTTAATTAATTTTATGGACAGCGGTTTCTATTGATTTTATGGACAGCAGTTTCTATTCATTTTAATTTTATGGACAGTGGTTTCTATTGATTTATGGACAGCGGTTTCTACTGGTTTTATGAACAGAAGTTTCTATTGATTTTATGGACAGGGGTTTCTATTGATTTATGGACAGCAGTTTCAAAAAATTTTATGGACAGCGGTTTCTATTATTTTTATGGACATCAGTTTCTGTGAAATTTATGGACAGCATTTTCTATTAATTTATGGACATAAGTTTCTATTAATTAAATGGACAGTAGTTCCTTTCATCTTACGGACAGCGGAACATAAATTCAACAGATTTTCAAAATGGCAAAATGACAATACTACTTCATAGACATGAACTTAATTACAATTAAATATTCAATTTTATTGACTTTATCAGAGTAATGGTTTCTTTACCTTCTTCATTGAAAGAATCAGACGCCTTGATATGTTCTAAATACATGTATATACATTCAAGAATACTTACATTAAGAGTAAAAGCTACAATTGTAACTTGCATAATTTTGCCTACATGATGTATGTGGTAATCATAATTGAAGGGAATGTTCCCTGGAAAGTAATTAATATAAGTAATATGCTTGTTTTCCAATCCATATATATTTTGATGTAAAATGATACTTGCTTGTTGATATGCGAAATAAAATATGTTTAAACTAAATTCGCTGGATAAAAAGCGATAAAAAATGAATCTTCTTCACACCTTCACAGGTAAAACCTGCTCACCAGAAATCAATGCAGAGAATTTCTATGTCAGACGATCACTTACCAATTGACTTCTAATACGTGTTATTATTTCTATCACGGTTGACTTAAAACATTGTTGTTGTTTTTTTTTGTTTTTTTTTAAAACAGTAACCTGAAATCATAATAAGCAAATTATAAGTAAGAAATATGCATAACCTGAAATAATGTTTGAATTAACGTTTATATTTTCTATAAATAATGGTTGTTTATTATAAAAGTAATGCAATTAACACTTTTATATATTCTAAACACACTATTGTAATTGCTCTGAAATCATCCAATATGCATTAAACAAATGTATAATAATTCTACATCACATGTCGGTGATTACTTTGTTAGAAACAGTAATTTGTTATTATCATTTATACGTCATAAATTAATTCATTTCTATTTACAAAGATCGAAAACCGATCCTTAAATCATTGCGTTTCAAAGATAAATACATACAACCAAATATCGATCATGCAGTTACAGTATTATTTAAGTTAAATGGTAAATGAAAACGTTGCCTTTGGTCTTAAAGCTGTTGCTATAACAATGCAAGCATATTTATATGTATAATATGCCAAAATTATCTAATTTAGTTCAATTTAAAACTGGAAATGAACCAGAGGGACATTTAAATGAAATTAGAATTGACAAATTAGTGAACCATTTTGCGTCTTTTTGTTTATCTACAGAATCTGGCCGTTAGAGGGATAAATTTACAGGATAAATTGTGTGAACACTCTACAATGCATGTTGTTGGATGTGAATATCATTTTGTTTAAATAGGTACAATGTATTAATTAATCTGAAATACGTAAAAATATTTACCAAACACATTATGACCTTCACAACCTAAATTTTATAAATTAATGTCAAGTAGAAAGCAGTAAACTTTTCTGAATGTATTGAATGTTTTAAATGAAGCAATTTTTAAAAGAAATGTAGTTATTATGTAACTTTATGCATATACGTTTTGATAATGGCATGTTAATATAATTTCATATTATTTGATTCATGTGTAAATTGTATTTTGTCATATGTATATAATAGGCTGAATATTCCAAATAAATATTGCTTTAAATTGAATAAATATAATAAATCACTGAGTATAGTCAGAGGACAATAATTTGATTTATTTTAGAAAAAGTAGTTTTAAGAAACAAAACAACGAATAGCAAATCCTTGTAGATTATCAAAACACATATATCTTCGACTTTATGTGTATGTATCTATAATTGAAACATATATCTCCTTTATAATGCAGCACTAGTGCCACATATGGCAAATCTTCAAATATTTTCTTGAGTTACTTGACCGTTAGTTTATTATACATATTAGAAATTTAGTCTGTTCTTTTGTCGACCTTTAATCAATATAATAATACAGTAACGTGGGCACTCTATTACATTCACAGAAAACATACCACTAAAACACAGGAAACTGCAAGTATTTTACCTAACTTTTAATAGTGTTTAAATGTTATTTCAAAGCTATATGCGAGTTTATATCAAACATATGACATAATAGCATTTAACATAAAAATTTAATAGACACGGTAGGGATCTGTCGGTACAATACTGACTACCATATGTTTACTTGTACGACACCTCTGCATATAGTTCATGGGGGTGAATGAACATAAACACTGTTAATATTCCGTGTTTATTCTATTTAATTCTTGATCAAATGAAAAAATGATATTTTACAATTAACGTTATGATTAAATAACAATCAGACAGTCTGTGTAGAATCATCATAGCACGCTTGTCTTCAATTACTACTAGGATGGAAATTACTTTTACAAAGGAGTTCATTCCCATGAAATCATTATTGTATTAGTTGAGTGTTAGATAGTTCAATTGGTATACCCAGTAGAGTAATAGTTAGTGATGTTTAATAGCAATAATTGAATGAGTTGTGTTTGACATTTAACCAATATCAAGATATCTATCAAAATAAAACAATCTATACCATTGTAAAGGAGACATGTAGAATTATTATACCCAAGAGCTCTGAAACTATTCCAGAATTGACAGTGGATAACTGGCTGAACTTGAAATAGGATGATCTGTCCGAGTATAATGTGCTCTGTATGTCATATTATAAGCGTTAAGTCTCTACTTTGAAGAAGTTAATATTTTCTTTTCTAATTTACAATTACAGAAGGTCATGCACTGTTGTTATAATATTTTTAGGCGTATATTGGATTCAGGGCTAGTCATTAGAAAGTTCATGAAGTTTTTGGACATTCTTCTTTAATTCATTGATACCTATAACATTTTTAGCATCGTTTTATGAATGTTTTCGTTCGGTGTCCTACTGGGCACCTTGTTGGTGGTCCTGTGTTGCTGGGTCATGTTGGGATTGCGTTCATTGAACGCCGCCCTTCCTTGTTGATCATGTTTTTCATATTTTTTAGTTCCTTGTTTTTCAAATTTCAAGTTTTGGCATTATTTTATTTTTCTCAAACCTTTACATAATAACTTACATTCATGTAATGTCATCTTAATCAAGGCATTACATAACTGCTTGTATAATACCACCTTTTATTTAATTTTACCCATGAAATATGGTGCTATATCAGTCAAATATATTTCATATTTTTTGAAAATAAATATGAAATATAAATATGAAAGTGGGCGGAGTCAAAACTCATATTTATTTTAAGGGACTTCTTTCTCCATTTTGTTTGAAAAATCTGATAAATACAAACAATTTTTTGTGGAATTTCGTTTTGAAAACCATCTAGAATGATAGAAAATGGTCTAACTAAGAAAATTAATCCGAACACCAATATCTTTAATTCAGTCATTAACGCTGTACAGACGTTTTTAGATTTGTTTACGTGACGTCACAATGTAGCGCTAAATATCGCGTGCAAAATAAGACAATAATTATATCACTGCGCGCTGTACAATTGCAGTTGCGTAGCAAGCAAGGGTGTTCGTAACCATTTTTCTTTGATAATGAAATTAAATAAAAAGGTTATTTTTTCGTTTTCGTGAAATATGGTATATATTTTTACTTAACATGATAAAATGCCACATATTTTCACTCGCCGTCCCGGTTCGTGAAAATATGTGGCATTTTATCATGTTTCGTGAAAATATATTCCATATTTCACTGAAACGAAAGAATATCCTCTTAATATTAGCCATTACATAATATTTGCGCAATTTCATTTTTATTAAGTCATCGCATAGTTTTTGTATAACGTCATCTAAATAAACCCGTTACATATTATGTCAATCAATTCAAAGATAATTTGCAAGGATGGTATTCGAAATAGAACATTAAGTTAACTTTGACTTATACCCCAGGTGATATATGTTGACTAAGGATTGTATGATATTTTATGCAACTGTTTGTCTGAGGTAGAATTTCGTTATCACATATCTTATATCTAACGCCTGGTATATACTTTAATATAATCAACATTCTCAGATTGTGCTCAATATGTCACTTAAAACTAACCAATAATTAAATGTATGAGGCATAGCTCAGATGTATCTTATGAAATTAATGCGTTAGTTAAACAAGAAACACATTACTTCACACTTTTTATATAAAAAAAAACAAGCGCGTTGGTAACAAATTGACGTATGCTACATTTCTTACCGTCTTTATTTTGTTACTTTTTTTATAATTCAATGTTTCTTTTCAGAAGCGCATGTACAAGTTTCTGACATTTTTCGTCTGTTGTAAAATGACGTGTCCAGATTTTTTTTATTAATACATCATAATTGAAGGCATCTGGACCTAGTTATGTTTTGTATATAGATTGTACATAAATCTTTTTGTTTGTAGAGTCTAATTATTATCACATCTGTTGTTGAACATATTAGATAACAATATCCTACCCAATCAGTTGTAGATATCTAGAAATTTATTTTCAGGTTATTGTCAAGACATTTCTCGATGTTGTTGTAACGAACTGCTCTGGGAAGGGCTTAATCTAATGTTGCTAGAACTTGTTGCCCAACCCATTTGCTTTTTGTTATATACTCATCATTTGTATAATAGTTGACACCTATTTGATGCAATAAAATATGTTTAATCTAAACTAACGGACTGCTCAATATATTGCGTTTGATGAAACAATATTAATACTTAAAATTGTTTCCGTAAAATATAATTGGCTTAGATTTTACTGTACGCTACAATGTTGAATAGATACATAATTAAAGTGTATATTTTTAAATAACAATAAAGATAATATCTTGAGCTTTGTAAACCTATATATTAACATTTATATCAAGTATTGAATCCCAATCATACGGTATAATTCAAATTAACTCCATTAATATTATCACATAAAAATGATTTGCATATGCAAAAAAGGAACAATACAATGAAATTTATGATTTAATGCAAACCACTAATGTAACATGTTTTATATTCAAAAAAGATATTGAAAGATATTGATCAGAAATAAACAAAGGAACAGTGAGAAACTAATAATATGCATGAGTATGTTCAGATGACCGTACCGGATTTTATGTTTACGAATGACTGATGCGATTTATGATTTCACAAAAGAAACTATTTATTCCAGTATTAAACCATTACAAAAATCGTCACACCTCTGTGATGAAAGCAAACTCACTCATGAATATTTATAAATCTACAGTTTGTACATATAATAATGAAACATATTCATGTAGTCATATAATATTCACTACATTACGAATATAAATATGTTTATTCAGGAAGTCCTAGTTCTATCAAACACGTTCAAATCCTGCATTTCATTTAGTTCTGTTTGACGTTCTTCAAGGAATTCGTGGGTTAGATTGTGTCTTGTAATAATCCCCTGGATCTGGCAATAAGATAAACAATGTGGCTATAATTAATGTGTGACGACATGAAACGATAAACAATGTATGTGTAATAGGTATTTTTAAGACAGCATTTATATGTGTGAAACTACATTTGATTGATTGCATCACAAACTGAAAATATATATAAATGTTTTTTCACTGTTGTGAAATGAAGTACTTACAATGTTTATATGTACTATAAGATTTTATTTGAATCCACAATTAATCAAAACAAAATGTTAACAAACAAAAAAAATCTTTAGATATTCAGACGACTTTTTTTAAAAAATAGTGTTTTCGTTTCTCGGTTTTCAGGAGAATTATAGAAAAAATGTAAACTATCATTAAACTGGGGTACTCCTGCTTTTGTATCTTCAGCAATTTTTAATCTTATGCCCTATTCTAATTTGATAAAAATAAAAGGCTAATTATATACAAATGTATTAAGAGTTTTCTTTTAAGATATCAAATTCATTACAAATTACTGGCAACATACATCTTAAGAATATTTTCAGCCCATTCCTTGTCAAATTCTTTGAAATATTTTATTTATAAGAATTGTAACTAGTGATCGCTTATGCAACTGTTTATTGATTGATCCGATATAATGAAAAATTAAAAGGGCAATGTTTTAGTACTGACGATATTTCTCACAATGAGGCGAGTTGTTCCGAAATAAATTAAGGTTGGGTCAATGAATGTAATTATATATTAAAATATGAACCATCATCAGTAACGTGAATGCTCATAGATCATGTGACAAATGATGATGCAGACAATCCCAATATTCCTCACACTGCAAGTTAACAAAGTATTTTTTATAATGTTACAACATTAACGGGTGATGTGGAATAAATTTCTATATTTGATATCTACGTTTTGAATAACAATGTTACATTGTACACCTATCATTTACAAAATTAATTACAAACTGATAATGTATCAGCTAAGCCTTTTTTTGCAATATTTTGTTCAAGTTACCTGTCCGAAATGATCCACAACAGGTAGGTGGCGAAGGCCCATGCTTCTAAATAAGTTAAAAACTTGTGGGACTGACGTGTCAGGATATACTGTGTAAGGTGTCGCATTCATATAAGGTTTTACATCCTGTAACAGATATACATGTTGTCATTTTAATGATTTATATCTTGTATGTCAATACTCGTATTTAGTATTAAGATATCGAGCATTGTTCTAACAGCTTCGAATTTTATTAAATATGTTTCAAGATAAATGATGATAAAAAGTAAAAAAAGGATGAGCCGCGTCACGACAAAACCAACGTATTGCGTTTGCGACCAGCATGGATATCCAGACCAGCCTGCGCATCCGCGCAGTCTGATCAGGATCCATGATGTTCGCTATCAGTTTCTCTACTTGTTAATGGTTTACAAGCGAACAGCATGGATCCTGATCAGACTGCGCGGATGCGCAGGCTGGTCTGGATCCATGCTGGTCGCAAACGCAATACGTTGGTTTTGTCGTTACGCGGCTCAGATTATATTTGTAAGTGACTTCAAGTTATACATACAATGATATATTGAGTATCTGAGATGTCTCTGTTTCTGATGTCAACAATGTCTGGGTATCTTGGGTAGTCTTCCGTTAATGTGTTGTAACTGATCAAAGGCTGTGTGCTGGCCTGAATATAAACAACACATTGATAAAAGTTATTTGTTTATAAATGGTAATAAACATTTTGCATTTAAATTTATAAGTTTTTTAAGTGCTCCCTACTATATGACTTCATACTATCAACATTATCATTATATTAACACATATGTAATGAATAACACTGCATATATGTAGTATAAACATTCCATTATATTCGCATGATTCAAACAGACCAATACTACATTTTAACCAATTACTTGGAATTATAACATAATTTGACAGAACAACCAAGTGTATTTACTTCAAGGTTTGATAATTCTAGAAAGTTGTATAAGCAACAATCATATTAATTCAAGTCTTTTGATTTATAATTCATGTCACTTTCTGTTGTTGCTTATCCACAAAAATTTAGTATTTGTCTGAGTTTTTTAAGTGTTGTTCTATTATTATCCATTATTTACAAAAATAAGCTACTTTGTTAAAAAATGCATCTTATTTTCTTATTTTAATAGCGCCTACTAACAAAGTTAATTATATAACATTAACTTCTTAATATGCTCCTAAACAAACTAAAAGCTGTATTGCTGCAAACTTTTTAATGTACATAAATCAACATTTACACTTAGTGTGATGAAGTTATGTACAAGCTTCCTATAATTTTCTTTCTTAACTGAACAATGATATTCATTGCAAAACATATCATCACATTAACAAGTGAAATAAAAAACGTATGATATTATGAAAAACCATGACATCACTTTTTACCGTAGATTCAAGTATTAATATATAAAAGTAAAAGGTCATATACACACGCAAACTGTTAATATTACAAATTATATTATACTGTTGTTGACATACGCTATAATGCAAAGACCTTAAACAAATCAAAGCCCCATTGCCTTCACTCATTGCAGAGTCCAATACATCTAAATCATAGGACATATCATAAAGCAGCGGCCGCATGGAATATTTCTACAATAATTGTCAAGCTACTAAAAGTTGTTACAACAAAGCAGAAACTAATAAGGACATAAATAGAGAATTGATGTATTTATTCAATCAATCAAATCTGCTTTACATATTCTTAATATGATAAAATCATGAACATTCCAAAATGTGTTTACTCCTAAACATTTTAGTAACATGCAATGTGGGCTTATGAATGTATCTGTTTGTACCGTGAAATTGTTTGATACAATATTGAATGATGTGATTTTATCATTCCCTTGACTCCACATCAATGAAACACAGTGGCTGTACGTCAGTTACCCTAACTATATATAACAAGCAGCCAATCGTCTCTCTCTTTACTACAGTCGTCACTTGACAAACAATAGGTAAACTTTCTCATTGCACAGTGGGAACTCTATTAGAAGCAAGATGGCACAGAACTTCGTAACAAGAGGATTTTGTTTAACATTTGTGACTTTATTATTGGCAACATTTTTCACAGCGACAAAAGCAAACTGGTATGGAAAAAGAGGTAAATAAGACCATATTATTTTATAAATTCTTTTGTAATTATTTTATTTGTTTAAGTCTCTGTTGTTTTTGCTTCTTTTTTAAGTTTGAATGTCTTTGTTTTAAAAATCCTAAAACGATTCATAGCTAATATAAACAGTCCAAAACATTTAATAAAAACTACTTAAACTTCATTCCGATATCTAAATAGAAACAAATACAATAATTTTGATTTTACACAGTTTTTAAAAAATGGAAAAAAAAAGCGGAAAGAAATTCTTAACTTTTTATTTATTCTCAGCTTTTAAAGAATTCCTTTTTACTTGTCTTTTTATGAACTTAAAAAAAACAAAACATTATTTCCATTTGAATTAAGTTAGACAAGTTAATTTTGTCGAAATCATGGAAAATTACTTACAAAAAGAATATTATAAAAAAAACTATGGAAAATCATTCATAATAACATGCATTTATTTAGATGGTTAAACATTCCTGTACACATTCATATTTCTTTTTATCTATTGATTTATCGTAAAATTATTATTTAAATGACATTTAAGACGTAGAAAGTAACAATAGTTTAAATCAGTTGTTCCTTTAAAAAAACTTTTAAATTGTTTTGTTTGTGGACCATTCATAGGTCTTGTTTTGTATTCTTTCTAAAACAAAATCAGGAGGAAAAGGGTTTTGCTATTCTTCACTACAAGCTACTTACATCAGCTACCGACCAATTTATTATCAGATAATAAATAAAAAGGTTAGCGCTGTGGTGAATATTCAGATATTTGTAAACTAGGATAATACGACAAAAATCAGTGATTTTATACTGAACCAAAAAAGAAACTTTCGCAAAGTATGTGCCAGTTGTTCAAGGGTACCACTTAGATGTACACACTTATATACATGTAGTAGCTTGTAAAACTCGTTTTGTCAGCTAATCCCCGTATAAAAGCCCGATATGTTTATTCAACGTAAAAATCGAGTTTCAAAAGGATTGAAAAACTGTTTTAACATATCTACATTCAAACTTGGAGAAAGTTTCTTTTTTGTTTCAGTATACAAAATTTTATTTTTAGGCGAATTCTTTAATTTTTACTTTTAACTGAAAGAAATGTATGCCTGAAGTTATTGAATTCACGTGCGCAAAAAGATGACACATATTGCAAGTTACATATTTATGTGAATTTGTTACATTTTTTTAAAAGTAAACATTAAAACACTTTATTTCTGTTTGACGTGAAGAATGCATAAACTTTTTAGAAATAGATAATCCATTATTTTATAAGAGTCTTTCTGTAGATATATATCAAGAGCTATAGAAAATTTTCAAGCTGATTTCAAAGTTTTATTTTATTTTTTATGACTTAAATTCTAGGTAGTTTGATGCCCCGCTTTATTTTGAACATTATCTATATAACTGTAATAAATTGTAACAAGCTTCATTTTTAGCATGTAAAGAAATATTACAAGTTGCATTTGTACCTATGATTTATAAAAACTGCTCAAGAAAGGCAAACACATTAAATTGTTTCCAGTATAGACGTTTTGTAATGTTTTTGTTTAGTAAGTTTTGCTATTTCGTTATTATTTGATTTGTACGTTTTGCTTTTTTCGTTTTTATTTGGGTTTTTTATAGTGTTTTTAATTGTTTTCTTTTTCACTTTATTATTCTTTACCTTATTTTTAAAGGAGTGTTACACAAGTATTCAGTTTTGTAATTTGCATATTTCGTAAGACACATTAAAAGGTTTGTGCAATACTTCCCCAATAATCGTACGTATCTCTTATATAAATTAACAATCGTTCAAATCATTGATGCTTCATGAGGTAAAGTTCATTAACAACACCCTTTGGGAGACAAATAGTTTGGTAGTTGCTTAGAGGTGTTGCTGTACAGAGGTGAAATATAAAAACTTTACTTTGGAAAGAAATGATATTATTGTTGCAATAAGGTAATTGCTCTGACAGAGAGCCGTTCTGTAGAGATTAAACTATATTAAAAGTCACCTAAACCGGCACATTAATATCATGTCACGATGTACATTTTGATGCGTTCAATTCGTGTATCGTTGTTGAAAAACGACAAAGATCTGCCTTCTCTAATTTAATCTTAATTGTGACGACCACATTTGATATCACTAATTTTTAGATTTATTTTCATTAATTTTTGTAGCCTTGTTTTTTTGGTTTATACATTGATAAGCACTCCAACAGTTATTTATAAAATAATCAAAATGTCAATATGAAATCCAAAAGAAACATTTAGAAATATTCAGAAAGCCGCCTGGGATATAAAAAATGAAAGTCTAAATACTTTCTTCATAATACCAAATAATAAAACTCTTTATAAGGCAGATTGTGGATAGATATAACAATTATAAAAACCTCCTCGAATACGGTAGATACGGATTATGTGTTATTTAAAGGACATAAACAAAGACTAATCTGTGAAAAGCAAATGTCGTGATCGTAATTTATTTGTCATGCATCTTAACAAAACTAAAACCGACATTGAGTTATTTAAGAAAAATGACAATAAATAAATTTGATACAATAGCACCATTCTTTCAGACAAGAACAATAAGTGATATCGTCATATATATAGCAAATATTTTGAGAATGTTACCGTCAGAAATTTCCATTATTTAAAGGAGTTCTTTGATTTCAAAAGGCTTAAACATAAAATTTGAATTTCTTATATACCTCATGCGAAGCACTTAAATTGAAAATTTGCAAAGGATAATAATTTTTTGTGTGGTTTTAAGCCCGATCTGAGTGAAAAGCTTTGTAATGCTTTTCATATTTGGGTCATTTGGACAATAAAAGTCATTTTTCCGAAGGAATGAATGAAAATTTGCATACAAGTTACTTGTCCAGACCAACATCAAATGATCCCGTCATGTCAAATAGACCAGTGGAGTTCCTTTATCTTACAAATTATATCATTATACAGTTTGACATCTTAAATTGATCCAAACAATTTTACTGAAAACATTTTTAAAGTATTAACATCAGTACGAATATGTTCATTGTTATATGTAGTACAAAGATTTTATTAATATTGGTATCAAGTATATCATCGAGTAATACGTAATTTCTCAGCAGTAAGTAACTCCATTCTGACTACCGGTAAAAAGGTTGGCCGTTTATATAAGCTAGGAGTAAACGGATCACAATGCTACAAAATCAAGATGGCTAAATTATTTTCAAAACCATACAAAAAGTCCATATAATTGAAATAAGTTTACATAAAATTTGCATTGAACTAGAAGTCTACAAATAACGTAATTCTCACCCTATGAATGGCATATGTAATTGACAAGGCGCATTGTTTTTGCTGGACAAAAAATTATTCAGAAATGTAATCCTGCACTTTTATATATAGATATTTTGAAGGTGCCAATTTCATATACCAAAGTATTATATATTTCCACACTTTCTCAAATATCACCATATAAACATATCATTTTATGAAACAAAGAAATAATGTAGTGTTTCATATCATTTTCCGGCTGTTAATTAAATATTACCTTACTCAAGTTAAACTATCAAATGACATTGTATGTAGGTGTGTAATAGTTCATAAAAATAACATTTTAAATACGCAAAAGACTTGGATTCAAGAAAATACATTATTAGTGTAGTATCAGTTTAATATTTGAACATTTCTTAGCAGTTTTAAAGTTATTGTAATTAACATGCTAATTATGTAATTTTGATTTTTTTAGGTGAGAAGGTGGACAACAGTCTATATTCATTGTTACAAGGTACCCTACCAGATATAATGGACAGACAGTTAGACGCACAGATGACCCTTAGAGCAATTGGTAAACTGATACAAGATTATGAACTAAGACAACTACAAAGTGTTGAGGCTAAAGGAGGGGCAAAATAACGTCAACTTATGCTTGGTATGGTTTTATTTTGTGTAGTTCTTGTTGCATAAAATACTTCTATGTGACCTATCGTAATAGATGCTGATTAGTTTGTGTTTAATTCAAATAATTGTCATATGAAATTATAGTATGGATTAAACCCGTGATCCATAACTTAAGGGAAACATTTACCAGAATTTACCTTTTTTTCTAGTTTTCAATAAATATTTATTGGTTGTCTACTTTTAACTACCCTTTCAACTGTGACAAACATTTTGAAGTACACTGTTTCGCCCTTATGGAAGCACATGATATTAAATTGACGACATTTTGTAGTGAACAATTATGATATTATAAAATATAAATTCCTTTTAAAATACATGTAATGAAAATTAAAAAAAAATAATACAAACACCAGGCCTTTTCAGCTTTATTTAAACAATAGAAAAAAAAACATTCACATATATATAAACAACGGAAATTTTAAGAGAAAATAATGTGATCAAGTTATGTCAACAACTTGAATCGATATAAAGAGTCAAATGGGTAGCTTAGGTTATCTTCCCTGAGTTTTAATGCGAGGATTATATCATCAATTTCTATATAAATCCAGAGAAAAACACAGTGTTTATCACCTTATGGTCAAAGCATAATAAGTATCATATTGTGCCATTTAACCACGATATCATATAGTAGAATCATATCATGGTATCATATCTGAGAACTTGTTTTTGGTATCATATCGTGAAATTTAATCATAACATTATATCGTAGAATTTAATCAAAGAAAATAATCATGGCATGATATCGAAAAAACTGATCATAGAAATTAATCATGGCATCATAATGTAGAATGTTATCATAATAATTAACCATGGTATCATATTGTAGAAAATGTTACGGTATCTTATCGTAGAATATCATATCGTAGAAGAATGATATCATATTGTAGAATTTAACCATGACATTATATTAGAAGCCTGGCACTATTCTTGGCATATGTTGTACGTTAACAGTAGCAAAGAACGTCCAACCAGCTGGTATCAAGGGAGTTTAAGTGCTCTATCTACTATTTATATTGAATAGTGAACTTTATAGCAAACAAATTAAATATTTATGGCAAAAGTTTATCTATCTATATGCAAACGTATTTTTCCTTTAGATTTCAAGAGGTTATATCTGTCCGCTTGGACAGAAAATTTAATTGATACTAAATTATTGATAGAGACTAAATTCAAATATCTGAGCAAGAATATGGTGTTTACCGATCGAATTTTGCTTTCAATATTAGATTTACTTCTGAAAGTGATATTTGTAGATGCCAATAAATGATAAAAAAAGAAAATAGAAACAAACAAAAAAATTTAATTGAAATAAACTTTTAACAACTTCTATAATATGATTTAAATACACAAATAATTAACGAACGGATCAAAATTACTTGAGATTGTTGCTTAAATCAAAACAGGTGAAAGAAATGTATGCAAATTACCGTAATAAAAGTGTTTAATTTGTTGCATTCTATGTTAATCACAGAAAAGATGGGTATGTTTTGGTTTCAAAACAACAAATGAAGGATTCCAATTTTGTTGTTAACTTGATGAAGGATTCCAATTTTGTTGTTTACTGAACTCAAACAAGATTTGTATATCTTTTTATATTTTATTCACAGATGTTTTTCAACCTAGCGGCAGGATGACGTAGTGATGTGATCAATATCTACGGGAAATGATAGACAAAACTTATTAACTATAAAATAACGAGAATATTGACAGCCATATTTGTTTTGTGTTGAATCAAATTTGAAATGTTAAAAACAGCGAACACTTGAGCAATATTGACTTATTGACATTTTCTGATTATTCTGTTGCCTGTCACACTAAATTTCTTCCTGTAAACATTATAAAAATATTTAAAAAACAAAAAAGAAACAAACAAACATTTTTACATTGTTAACACAAGTGTTAATTTAAGATACTTAAACTCTATAATTTTAGGCACAGATGATATTTCATTATTGTGACTCTCCTGCATATCATTTTATCTTGTAACATTGCCGAAAATAAATATATGTATGATTTTATTTAAAATAAATTAAGCACAAATATTTTTTCGGTTTTGTTCTGTTCTGATAAAAAAAAAACATTACAAAAAATATCAATGCTATTCAAACAGTGCTTATCATTGGTTTAATACGATTTTCATTTCATTATCTTACGTTCAAAACCATCTTTGTTACGAAAATAATTCTTTTACAGATATCAAAGATTTCAATGTGTACATGTGAATGACAAATGTTAGTATAATACTTTAACAATAAATTATAAAATGTATGAAAGGGTTTTTTATTCTTTATAACAATATATTGTTGTGTATGTTGTTATGCATATTATTGTTATATTTTCGTTTTTGTTTTTGTTTTTATGGTTATTGTTGTTGTCGTCATTGTTGTTGTTGTCTTTTTTTCTCTGATAAATGTTACTGTGAACAGGAAATATTTTCATACTTTATTGGTTTTTTGTGTTATGTCTTTTTTTCTTTGTAAACACTTCATTTGGTTATATAATTCACTTTAATTTTTATGTTTCATTTCTTAAAAGTACATTAATTCTGACAAATTCTTTATTCCACATTTCAATTTTGTTTTGCTGTTTGGTGAATTAGCATTGCTTAATATAGATAATTACTTGTTGTGGTGGACAATACGTGTAGGAGAAAGACGTAAATCCTTATCTTAATTAAGGTTTCTAAAATAACGATCAACTGTCAAGTTTGAGAAGTTATGGAACCCGTCAAGGGCTTTTCTTAGCTCTTGAAGCATTCCTAAACATATTTGTATGGAAGAATTTATATGTCCCCTCTTGCTACATTTGTCTTAATAGCATTATTATATCACAAAAGGTTGGGCAAATGTCACACGCAAAAACTTAGGTATTTGGCGATAGTTTCCTGTCCACAAATTTTAAAAACAATTAACTACCATTACGAAATATGTGATTATCGGAGAGAAACGTGCAAAGTAATAATAGAAAATATGTGCTTCATACTTTGTTTGTGTGGGCATAAACTTAATATCAGAAATTTAATTTTAACAAGGAATTGGTGCTTAAACCACTGAATGAGTATCAGTATTTGTACAGTAACTTTTTTCATTGCATTGTGTGAAAACAATTTAACTAAATGAATAAAATCACAGAGGACTTGACCAACGTTAGATCCTCAGGCGCTTCAATTAACAATAAGAGACTTTTCAATAACCATTAAAATCCTCTACGTTATCCCGTGTTGATTGGAAGCGTTCTCAAAGGAGTACTATCAAACGCCACCAAACGTCACGAAAACCAATTACAAACTAATCTTACTGCCGCAGTGCGACTTTTCCTCATTATGATTGTTTTATCAAAAGCTTCAAAAATACTGCATTTATACATATTTTCAAATATCACCAATGGTTTTTCTAAATCACTTTATTAGAAACTTCAATTAAATTAAATCACAGAGCATTGTTTATCTTGAATGACTTGTCAATAAAATGCTATTAGTATACAGTTATTGTCACGCAATCTGCTTACACGTAAATGTAAACATACCTGTTTAAATGTGAATTTACAATAAAAACATAATCTTTAATTCAAGGATAACAAATTAACAGTTGCAGTTAGGAAGATTGGTGAAATAGTGTTATTATTATTTTGTAAAAATGCAATACTTTATTAAAAGAAGGTCGGTTTGTTGAATGAGAAATGAGTTGACAAATGATATATACCTAAGGCAATGAGAAAGAAGTAGATATTTATATAACGGGCATTATTTCGATATGAAAATATTTTGACCGCTTATGTTAACCTTTTATCGTGTAGACAATGTAATTTTGAAATGCTTAAAAAAACGTTTTGTTAAAAGCGTCCGACTTATTTCCCGATTGCAATTATCATACCAATTTATTAAGCAAATGATGGCTCTCCATAAGCACTAATTGGCCCTTAGAAGTAAAGTGATTCTTATACTTTATGTTAATATATTATTTTATTTCTTGCTACCTCATAAAACATACACTCCTTTAGATATAATCTATTTCAAGCATTGTATATCACTCATTATAGACACTTAAACTGAAATTTCTTCAGATGAGATGATAATATATCTGGTAATTTAATTGAATTATACGTTCTTATGTATATTTTTGAATTATCGTAAGAATCAATAATTTAGTAATTGTAGTGTTTGATAACAGAAACGTATGTCATTTTTACATATTCATAAGTCAAACGTGACAAATATGAAACATGTCCAGAAGACGTAGAAAGTAAATGATAAGGTGTTCATTCATTGATGTATATATTGAACAATGTAACAAGGATGACGAAAATGATCACCAGTGACAGTTTGAAATCAAATGACATGACTTAATATTGTGATATATATAATAGAAAACTAAAGATAAGAAACATTTGAATACTGGTATATGAAACATTTTACAAAAAGTAAATACCGCAGACTTACTTGCGCTGTCTCTTGATAGAATACATTATTCTTTAAGAGAACATTTAGCTGAGATCGTAGGATTATACCTTCAAACTTCAGAATTCTAGACCGTCCACTTTGTTTTCTGCAATTCAAAACAGTCTTTAGATATGTTATGCCTGATACTCATTTCCATTGTGTTAAAGAATGTATTTTACTTAATCAAAAATATAAACTGTTGTTTATCCCTTAATTGCTGGAAATAACACCTTTAATTTGTCATAGTGTAAAGCAACCTTAACGGTTTCAACACTGTTCGGGACATGGTATTGTTTTAAAATAGACAGCCGGAGCAAATACATTTCAAAATTCAGCTGGTGAAGGGTAAGGTATAAACTGAATGCTAATGTTGCAACCTACATGTACAATAATTAAGTTTTGATATACATTGAATGTAATTCTACACTTGCTGACAAACAAAATTCACATACATTGAAAATTCTCCATACTACATAATAGTTATATTAATTGGAAATACAACCGTAATTGATATACAATGATAAATTATTCAACCATAATTTACACAAATATTTTGATTGAAAGTTCAATCATAATTTATATAGTTACATTGTTTGAAAATTCAAAGTGGCTTACATTTGAGTAGGATCAAGATCTGATTTGCTAGCAACATCCTGCAAAGATGTAAAAACTGTAATTTTTAGACAATAGATTGTTTTCAAGCCTTTGTATGTATAAAGAAATACTCCTATCACATATAAAAGTACCTCAAAGTAACTCAATTTTACGTTTTATTTTTCTTCCTTTAATAATATAGCCTGCAAAAAAGTATCTTTTTCAATATTCAAAATAAAATTATTTGTCTCTTTATGAGCAGTGAAGGGAAGATAAATATGCATAAAGAATCTGACCTGCCTTGGTTTACAGTCATTCTAAAGTACTGTGTTTATGTATTAAATCAATAAGCTACGTACTGACAAAGTATATTTCAGGTAAGGGATTTATGCGCATGATAATACTGAAGATGTCCTTTAAAAATGAAGAGTTTACTTATGTATCACTTACATTATTCACACTGATATCACCAATGTCGGCTATGTCATCTTTATCAACAATGCTAACTACCGGATAGGCGTTGTGAGCAGTGGTTCTTAATATTCCTTGTAAAACAGCCACTCTTGTTCGCGGAAAAATAAAATGTATGTCGCTACTCATTACATTCTTTGCGAGCAAACTGTAAAAACAAATTATATAGTAAAGTAAGGAATATGATATAGTGAAACCATTTAACAACGATTTATTAAAACAATGAATTATCATGCTGTGTTGATACGGTCGACTTTGAAATGTTTATATTTTTTCTTAAAGAGTGCGAATAATAAGGAAATTTGTGTGAATATATCAGTTTTATGTTTAATCAAGAAGAAAACGAAATACATTTTTCAAGCATATGTCACGATTCAGAACTGTTCACTATTTAGTGTAAGCGGCCGAATAGCTCAGCCGGTAGAGCCGCGGTACTGTATTCCGAGGGTCCCGGGTTCGAGTCCCGGTCAGGATGCACATTGTTTTCACCCTGTGTCATATAATATAACAAGATGTTATTTGAAGTATGATATAAATTTTGCCTATCTTGGCATTTTCATTCCTTAGATATAAAAAGTATGTCACCATAAATAAAAGATGCATTTCATTGAAGTTAAATAGTATATATTTGTGTAATGCTCTCACCGATGCATGTCAGACGGTGTATCCCATTCCAACAAAGGCACACCTTTTAAATGAATATGTATATCATACAATCCATCATTAAAGAAGTCCCCAGACCATTTCGCAACCTGTAAGTGAGTAAAATGTAAATGATTGTTTCCCGTGGACGGTTGTTTTTTCTCTAACATAATTACTAATTTATTAGCGAAATAGAAATAGTGTTTAATTAATTCGGCAAACAATTTTAGGTGAGTTCATGTTATGTAAATCGATCTTTTAACTTAAATTATTTATGAAATATTGTTATGATTGCAATTTAAAAATAGAATGAGAGATTACCATTAAAGAGAGCATAAGAGGTAGGCCATAACTGATCTCGTTAGTAGACTCTATCAGTATAACTGTAAGACTAATGGTCATTCTAACCACGCCACCTAGAAATGATGCTGCCCCAATCAATGCAAACGTACCTGAATGTACCCCTCTGTCATAACCTATAACACTTCAATATGTATACAGAAACTTTATTGTCTACTAGAGAGTAAGTGATAACGTACTAATTTCTTAAACATTTGCTGATGCATTGAAAGAATTGAACTCTCTTCAATAAAGGTGTTGTCATAATCCAAATTAAACATAAAAAGGGATGATAACATTTTAAGGAGCTCCATATTAAGGAATGCATTATGATGTAAAACGCGAAATGCATCTACTATTATTGTTGATTATAAGCTTGTTGTAAGATATTAAATACTTGCATCAGGTGATTAAATAGCAGAAGAGACAACACGTTATAGAAAAAGAAAGAGAAAAAGTAAATTACCTGACTAGAAGTTTAGAAACAAATCTTCCGTACGCTGCTCCACATAGCAAGCAGGGAACAAATAAACCACTCGGGACAGCTGTACCATATGTCCAGCAAGCGAGGAGGAAGAAACAAATGAAGAAAAGTCCCAAACTTCTCAAACTAAACTGGCCTATGTTATAATGATGGAAAATAATATGTACATAAAATAGAGTTGTATTTTATATGTCAATATCGTATTTTAAAAGTATTATATTTGATTTATTTTTTTATTATCTTTCTCGTTTTACTTTCTTTCATTCTTCTTGTTTTAAACCATCAAGGAGATGATATTTCATGAAAATGGACAGATAATCAGATAATACGTCAGTAGATCTACTTTGTGTCACTTTCAAAACGTAGTTGCCTCATATATAATCCTTGTTAAAGTGTATATATATCTTATAGCATTGGAAATAAAAGAATGCAGATACATTAACTTCAAAACAAGATGTAAGAAGGTTTATACCAATAAATAATGACACAAGGCTCATTAAAAGCGAAACAAGCATTAAAAGATTATAGATTTACATCACAAATATACGATAGCAGTATTTGCAAGAAAATGAAGAAGACTCGTAAAGTATTCACCTTGTTGTTGATGAAACAATTGTTTGATGGCCTCCTCCTGTGAATTGAAGAACAACGTAGCCATATCATTGTAATAACCTTCCTTACAGAAATATGTGCGGACAGTGTCTTCAATGTTTGGTGAAGTTTGGTTTATCAGCTATATCAAACAAACAAAAATGCATTACAACAAATTAGCGTGACAGATATAAATATTATTTTCTGTGATGACTTTAACACACGCGACTTATTCTAAAACAGATTTAAAGGAATTAAAATATATTAATTTGTTAACAATATAAAAACAAACCCATGGGTAGAATTGTTCCCGGTGTTGAGAATCTGTATATTAAATCTTAATTAGATTTTTTATTGCTACAATTTAAAATCGATGAAATTAATACAATTTCAACTAAATTGTATGTGACGATGATAAAAAAGTGAAATGTGGAAACAAATTGATAACAAAATACGGAATCCATTTTCCGCCATCGACTTTATGTAACACGTTAAGTTAATATCTTAAAGTTTTTTCCAAGAACAATTGTTAAACTTATTTAGAGTTTTGACTCAAAATTTAATAGCAAAAAGGTAGATTTAAAGTGCAATTCGCTAATATATTTCCTAGAAATGCCAAAAAGTTAAAGCACGAAATTGAAAATTAATGCTTTATTTCAAGTTTTCGCATAATGTTAGGTTGGAAAAGCGATAATAGAAACAGGGTTCCGTATAATAATATCACACCCTTTTCATAATATCATAATTCATACTACACAACAACTGGTGTGAAGTGCCTAGCGGCAGCACGTACTTCATTTCAATGTTTTTATATTTTCCTGGTTCTTCGATGTCATTGATTCCCGCACATTAAGTGTTGGAAATTTAATATCGCTTATGTCAGTGCTAGGGGAGTGAGGGATATTGTATTTTCCATTATCCCTCATGAACAGACTTAATTAAACTGAGTCTGTAGTAATTTTCATATAATTTTGCTGTTTTCATTACTTCCGAGCGATCACCCATTTTCTACATTTTAGCCGTGTCACGACAAAACCAACATTGTGGGTTTGCGACCAGCATGGATCCAGACCAGCCTGCGCATCCGCGCAGTCTGATCAGGATCCATGCTGTTCGCTTACCAACCCTTTAACAAGTAGAGAAACTGATAGCGAATAGCATGGATCCTGATCAGACTGCGCGGATGCGCAGGCTGGTCTGGATCCATGCTGGTCGCAAACCCATTATGTTGGTTTTCTCGTGGCGCGGCTCATTTTTATTGGATTAACACATGGACATAACATAAATATTTTGTCAGAAATGTTGATATAAAACATAACATACCACTGCTGGAACTGGTTTGCAGTTGCCTAAAGTCATAGCTGCCAGAAATGCTACTGTTGTTGTCACCATAGCTACCAGCAATGCTTCAAATATCCTGAATACAATTGTACAGGAAATACATGTAATTTTGTGTAAAATATAAAAATGTTGTATAATGTATATGAACATAAAAACCCTGAGGTCATATACATAGGAATAATCATTACTATAAAATATAAACTTGATAAAGCTAAAAAAGCTAAATTTGAATGTCATATGTTTTATAATAGCCCTAATAGTTAGACATGGTATACGTTTTCCTTTCATGCTTCACAAATATAATTTTGTGTCTGTATAGGGGTAACGGTAGAAAGGTCTTAATTCAGGTAAATTCATTCATTGTAAAAGAAATATTTTACATTGAAACAAAAAGCTGTCGAATTTTCTTCCAAAATAACGGAAGCTCAATCTAACATGGAATATTTAAATAAAAGCCACCGAAGATTGAAGTGTTTGTGGACGTACAAACAACAAAGCTAAGCAAAAGAGCATTGTCCTCCAAAACTATCACAATTTAGTAGGTAATAATAATGTTTATATAAAGTAATACTAAGGTGTTTAAGTCAGCAAATTAATAGCAAACGTTTCGATTCTGAGAGAATTATTTAGTTTAAAATATAACTCAAAGGATATTAAAGTTGTATGATATATATAAGAACTTACTTTGCTCTGTAATGTTTTGTATTGACATGTCTCATTCTATAAATGGTAAGACATTTATTGAGATAGTTAAACAGTGCTCCTAGCAACCCTCCTATAATACCCATGAGTATAAATATAAACAGATCAATGGCCGTCCATAATCTACACGTTCCATTAGTCTTTTCTTCTTCTGCACACTGTAAAATGATTCTACTGTAAACATAGTTTATGAGTTCTTGAAGAGAAGAAACATTCAAAGACATAGTGATTTTAAGAAAGAAAGGATATTTTGTTGTAGGTTCACTATGCAACTGTTCAAAAATAATTATTTTTGTTTCATAGTTACACAAATAAACGAAAACAAATACTATTTACTAGTAATTATATTGATTATTGATCCAGGTTGATTTGTCAAAAATTTTATATTCAATAATACATCATTAATTTCGATGAAATAATCACTACGTGATATTTTCTGATCTGCATTCAAAAGAGTAAAAGTAGTTTTTGTTAAGTGTTCCTTTCATAACCTTCAAATATTTCATGTTTAATAATAATTAATCTCATAATTAATGGGATTAAGTTAAGTCTGTTTAGTCTAGTCAGAGGCAAAAATAAGTAATTCTTATATAAATTGAAACCGTGTGGTTGGACAATCAAAAATTTTCGCTGCTAATTTCCAAAAAAATATTTTTTACTTTTTTTTCTTTATTGTACAATGGCAACATTTTTTTTACATGAAAAAAATGTAAAATAAGAGACACCAAATATCAGATTAGATGTTTGCACACAAATTATACACAAAGTAGTATGAAAAGCAATGCACACTCTCCTTTTTAAATTGCTCCTTTAAAGGAAAGTGTGTCTCTTCACAAACATCTTAACTACTTACAGATTGAATAAATTAGAGTAAATGTCTAAAAGTTATCTTGGTTACTTAGCACTGTAACTCAATTTTAATGGTTTTTCTATCATAAATATAATGCTCAAATGAAGAATTGTCAATATTGTCAGTTGCAAAAAGCATTATTTGTAATAATATTACGGAATTTACATTTCATGTAAATAAAAGGAGGTAATTAGAAATATATTTTCTATAAAGTCTTAGTCAAATTTTTCAATAAGAAATGAATGCATATATTTTAATGATTACATATAATGTGGAAAATATTTGCAGTACATATTTTACATATTATTCGATGTTTGAAAATTGATTTAGAAGCATACTTATATACATTTATAAATTTCACTTAAGTGTGGTAACAACTTTAATTACAACATACAGGATCTTTAATATTGAACAATTTTAAATAATGTTTCCATACCTGTTGAAAGCTCTCAAACTGTAGCATCTTTTTGGCATTAATTGATTTTGTTATTACTTTAAAAAATACTTGATTCTTACATGCTTAGAACTGCGTTTGGAAAACTAGAATTTATTTTTGATTTATGAATATAATGTTTAGTAATAATAAGATATTATTCACTCTGATTGAATACAGAATTATATAAAATATATATCAATAATAGGTCTTGCCTTTAAGAAAAAAATGTAAGCTATGAAAATGTGAATGTGAGAAAAAAAACAAGACTATTTTATATTCAGAAAAAAGTACCTTAAATACTCCGAAGTTTATAAGCCCGGGAGAATAGAATGATCCCCAAGCACTATAATCCAGCCCACTGAGGAAGAAGTTTAATGTAAATGTTGCCGACATTGAGCAGAAGAACTGCAACGGAATCAATCTAAATGTAACTTATTTATAATACAGCACAATTTGTATGATAATAGAGCAAATGAAATTAGAATTAAACGTTGGTTAAATAATAAAGCAGATGTACTTCACAAAAGAATGGAAATAAGAAAGAATTGAATGATAATCATGTAATTATGCTAAATATTAACTTGCAAATGTGTCTTCAACAAATTACATAATAAAGAAATTGTTTGCAAGAACAGTTGTGTTACTATTTTTATCTATATCAAACTCAAATGAAGACAAAGTCAACATATTTAAGATTATTGAAATTACTAAAAGAATACTGTACAGTTCTCCATGTCAACTTCTGATTCCAGAAAGAACAACCTTCCTCCAAACTAAAGAGAACACCACCAATAGGAGCACCAAATGCAGCTTAAAAAATAAGGTTTATATGCGATGTGTCAGACATTATTTACATTAATCACGTGGTAGTTATATCTTATAAACAAATCAAAAATAAAACAAATTGGCTTAATTTTAACATTATCATTTATGTCGAGCTAATGACTGGTTCTAGTATTAAATTTCAAGGTAAAAATCATATTTAGTTTCAGTAAGATAAATACGCACCTTAAAATTTTCAGAAACGCTTATAAATAAATGCCTATTTACATGGTTTAATAAACAATGGATGGCTTTTGTCACTTTTTTATACTCATTCTATCAGTCATACAAGGAAGTTATGACGTATTTACATTATGCAATTTCCATTTACATCTATCAGAGGACGTCAATCATTTCCCACTGGTATCTTTTACTACAGATTATGATTATAAATCTGTCTTTAAGTTCTGGGAGAAATAATAGCTCGATGTATCTATAGGTCAATGTCATAGGAATGGTTTAGAAAGTTTGATATGATCATCCATATGTTAGTATCATTGATTGGTATACATAAAACTTGCTTTAACATTAAAGCATTAAAAATGTACTATAATAAATGTGTTACTGATCACCTGTCCCCGTCTTAACTAAGAAAAGTTCAGAATTTTCAATGCTTCATTAAACTAAAATTGATTGTATTTTGTAAGGCAAAATGTAAAAAATTCTAATTTCCGAAGAAGCCAACCTATTATGGGATAATATCAACGAATAACAAAACAAGTACAAAAATAATCGGATATAAAAGGATCAATTTTAGGATCAAGATCAATATTGGAATCAACTTTAAAATGCCATTATGTTGCAAAAGAACAGTTTATTCTAAATTCTTAAACATGCTATTCAAGTCCAGTTTTATCAAGTTAATATTAAATATTTTATCTATGAGGATATAAAATGAAGAATATTTGAATTTTTAAATTTGAATTCTGATCTTGATCCTGATCCTAAAATCTTCCTTAACACAGGGCCTGTTTACTACAAGTTAAATTGCTTCACATACAGATTAAGTTAAATGTTACTATGGCAACAAAATGAATATTTAATGAATATTGTTATATATTGTAGATGACTATTCGATAATATTTTAGTAGATGATTTTTTTAAATATCACTATATGAAACATACCTGCTACACCCGCTGCCGCTCCCCCGGAAACAAAGTCACGTTTATCCCTGCAATTAAATACACGTTTTACACACATGTATAGAGAACTGTTAAATTGTTAAACGTTTTACATATTCGGAATTTTAAATCATAACACGTGTTACATATTGTTTGAACAACAGTAAGCATGAGTCATGTATAGGACTTAAATCCGTGGACTCTTTTTATCATTCAGGCTGGAATGAACGAGAACATCATATTTGTTGTGTAGTTTAATATACGACTTTTATTTATAAATAAATGAAATAAAATGAATACTTTTCATCGTGTAAGGTTGCATGAAGACAATTAAATACATATATTTACATAAGACAATTTTCATTCGTTTTGCTTTTTAAAATAAAGTTATTGATATAACATGTTTACATTTAAATATTAGTTGTTCTATGAAACGAAATTTACACCAAAAAAATGTACTTTTAAGTTGATATTAAAATATTTAGAGAAAAGAACCAAAATTGACTTCATGTATATATAATTTTTAAGATATTTAGTAAAAGTGGATATTAACCTATCTGTTCTGAAGAAATCAAATTTTGATTTCACCTTTTTGAAAGTAATGCTCTGAAACTATAAAATACATTTTTAAAATAAGTGAGCACACGAATAAATACAAAACGAAATACTTATTAGATACGGAGTAAAAAATGGTTAAGAGAAAATATTATACTTCCATAGTATTACGTTTATTTGAGGAGTACTCTAGAAGCACTAACTAAATTATAAACCACATTTCCGTATATCATGTGTGACAAGGATGTTTTTTATTTGAAAGGTTTTTAAAAAAGATAATTCTCTGAAGTGATGTACATTGTACTTAGATTCATTGTACTCGTATTATTTGGTAGAAAGATAAATAAAAATAAACCCAGTGTTTTTCATCATTTGGCATGAACAGTTTATTGTAGTATTAATTTTATAAACAATATAAGGAATATAAAGAGATTACAAACTTGTGGTATACCAGCACCAATAATTGCTCCACTGTGTATCATTGGTCCTTCTTTACCAACAAATAGTCCTAGTATATAAACAAATATACTCGATATTTACTCATAATACATGCATCAACACTTTGATGATTATCACGAACTAGCTAAACTCACATTTTATATAGTGTATATATGAAATACATGTATATCATTCCACAAGAAATCTAATATGTTGTTGTCATACGAGTTAAATTCTCAGGTAATTGACGAGCAAAGAAAACATAACATTAATATAATGACGATGATTAAAATAAAACACGTTTCTCACAATGACATAAAAGTACCTACCGCCTGCAACACTAAACAAGACCCCAACAGCCTTTGCTATCAGAGATTTCAATCGTGCTACCCGAGGAATTTTAATACCATTCAAATAGCATTTAATTTCTGGAATTCCTGATCCAGCGGCAACTGGCTGAAATTTAAAAAATACAACTAAAGTAAAGTTGACGCCATATTAGGATAGTTTATAAATACAGAAGAAGACAACTTTAGTAGTACATTTATAACTAATAAAGCACAAAGTAACTCGAGGAATATAAACAAAGATATGTTTAAGGAGAATTATTTTATCGGTGTACTTTTTAAAAGAAAATAAAATGGTACCTCATATATCTCAAAGAGAAAAGTCAATTTTAACAATAATTTGTATATTAGCAAACGTGCATAGTCAATGAATGTCAATGAAATTTCATGCTATCTCTCATAGGATTAAATTAAAAAGCTATCCTCAAATGACTAACTATAATCGATATATATGAAATAACACATGTACGAGATAAGATACTAACAGTGATTTTTTATCTTAAATAAAGGACCTCTTACCAATAAGAATGTTTTTGTTTTTTTTTAATCATGCAGTTTTCCCAATACAGCAATTTTAACGATATTTCTTTCCAAAATCAAAATGCTAAGGCCTATTCCCAATAAAGTGAGAAACATCACTGACTTACGTACCTAATACATTTGAGATTGGTTCGCGATCAGTAAATACTTACGGACATACTGAACTATTTACTAACCTCATAGACTGTAAGACAGGTAGCTATAAACACGAAACCAGCATTAAACAACACCATTATAACTAGAGACACTACAAGACAACCATCTTCAGAACAAACTTGTATAGCTGTAACAAGTTAGGGAAAACGGGAAACTTTCATATATTAACATTATTTTTTGTTTTACCCTACGCAGGATGCGCATGCGCGAAATGCTTCTTTCGTTTCTATGGAAATATCGTATTCTAAAAAGGTCTAAAGCATGGTTAGATATAATTGGAATTTAAAAAAAAACACCTTTTAATGCAAAATAAAAATAGTTATGTTTAGAACAAGTAAAGCCTATCCAATTCATACATAAAATGATTCACTGTGTGCAAAAATGGATAAAGAGCACATTTAAAAGAATCTGAAATTCATTTGTGATGAGCAAAGCCGTCAATTTGTCCAATATTAACTTCATTTTTATCCATTATTTGTTATCTTCGAGATTTCACAGTCTATCGTTCTGTTAATATCTAAATGAATAATATTACTCGAGGGTATATCGTAGATTTGATAACGGTTAATATTGAAACGTTTTATTCTATTACTGACAGAAAAATAAAAGCATAGAGCATTGGGAACAAATGAATGCTTTGAAATAATCAAATCTGATGTTTTTGTCAATTATTTAAAGATGTGAGAGCTATAATTAATTTAGCTAAATAACGCTCTGTGGCGGACAAGCCAAAATGCTTTCGAAATTAAAAGTGTTCAATAAATCTAACGGGAGTAATAATACACTAGTATCAGTTTATTAACAATATAAGCATACTCAGAGTTTGTCTAAAGAGATGACCTCACTAGATTAAACGAAAATTAATTATTTTTCTTGTGAAGTCACGCACTGAGATCAGCACTGTGCTGGTATATACTATAAAGGATACATTGGTCTACTGTTGAAAACTTCAGTTTAGACAATAATTTCACAATTGTATCTATGAAAAACGCTACCTGTAATAAACAAAACAACAATAATGAGAAAATAGGTGTGTAATAATTATCTTAGTTTTTAGATTTATAATACCAAAATATGTAAGTAGATAATATGTACGTCAATCTAGTACTTGTATATGCTTGAATTAAAAGTAAAATATCGGTAATTATTTACCATGTGCAATTGTGCAATGAAACGTTGCCAACTATTTGGTCTCTACCATTTCTTACAAGATATCTTGTGTTTTAATAAAATAGATGGAAAATAATCCGTTTATGTCTTTAGTAAAAATAGTTCTATGACAATGTAGATATTTAATTTCGCAATTTTTAATAATGTTAACGGCACTATATTTGTTCAATATGTTTGTTGTTTTTTGTTGTTGTTTTTGTTGTTTTTTTGTTGTGTTTTTGTTTTTTTTGTATTTTTGTGTTTTTAGGGGGTTCTGGTTATTTTATTTTTGTTGTTGTTGTTTTTGATCAGGAATGTAAGACATTGAGGTAGATATATACTTACAAGACCAGTAGAAACTCCGATCAGGAATGTTATTATCCATTTAATGATCTCAATCTTACTTAATGACTGAAACAAAAGAAGTAAAATAGTGCTAAATTACATGTGGAATAAAACAATGCATTATTGACTTGAGAAACAGGAATATTCTAGTTACATAAACTTATACTCGCAATAATACGCAAACTGTTCAATCAATTTTGTAGGGCGGATATCTGCATGCTAGAACTCTTTTTTATTTATATCGAGGGTTTCTACTGACAATTCTAATGCTTAAATATAGTCAATATCACCCGAACAGAAATTCTCTATAGCAGAATACATTTATATAGTTTACAGTTTAAAGTAATTCAAATTGCATATAGAATAAGCTATCGTTCTCTCGTCTATTACTCAAAAATAAATACAAAAATAATCAGTTATATGTTGGGGAAAAGTCGCGCTAGTATATTATTTTTACTCACATCGTACAAACTGAACATCAGAATTTAGGACTCATATGTCATTAAAGTAAAAGCTAGAATTATCAAAGTATCTGTGCTGTTCAGATAAATGACATTCTAAAGAATAGCAGTAATTTAATATTTATTGATGTAAAAGCTATTTTCTAAATTTAAAACTTACATGTTCCTTTGTTTGTACAGCCAGATGTTCTTCAAGTGGTTTATTAAAGCAAATGTCGTAGTCAAGACTCTGTAGAAACATATAAAATATATAAAATCAGGTTTTATATGGACCAAAATCATTTACAAACCAGATCACGTGACACTGAATAGACTTCATTGAAATTGCTTGGATGCGTGAGTCCCTAACACAGAGTGACGGCTTAAAAGACTTCGCTGGCATAACACCCTTTTCAAGACTACCTCCTTTTCATATTGTCTCTGGTTACTGTATATTTAGGCACTCATTGGTCGCCGTACAGTGACCTACCTTTGGCTCAAAATTAATACTCTTTGGCTAAAACTCTGTGGAAGTTGAATGTAGGTTATCATTACTTTGTGCTTCAAAATTAACTCTTTAGTGACATGTCCGCGTACTCGACAGCGAAAGCTGCTTTTTTGCCTTAACGGGTGGATGGACCCCCATTTAGTATCTAAAGAATACATACATACGTACGTACTACGTACGTACATACGTATAAACGTACGTACGTACGTACGTACGTACATACATACATACATACATACATACATACATACATACATTCATACATAAGAAATGCATTTGTTATTTACATCATATTTCGGGAAGGGAGGTAATTTAATTCAACAACATCGTACCTCATAATCCTTCCTTGGTAAATAAGTATGACCTCTGTGAGGGGCAGCTATCAATGGACTCTGAAATTACAAAAGTTCTAAGCATATTATTATTATTGCCATTATTATCATTATATTTAATAACTATTAGATCTATGATCTTTATTTCAATTACTATCGGGGGCGCTCATGACCGAGTGATTAAGGTTGTTGACTTCAAACCACTTGCCAGAGAATGGATTCTTTCATTTGCGAATCATATCCAACTTGCTTACGGTACGTCGGTAGTTCCTATTTGTACCTGAGGTAGTCGCCATATGTCCTAAACAGTATTGGTGCAGCGTAAAACCCAACAAAAAATATTATCATTATTATAACTATTATTATGATTGCATTACTATGCCTTTGTTGATGCGGATATCGTTGTGGTTATTACAGTTGGTTGATGGTGGTGCAGATAGATAACATAAATTAATATATGTAGGCAAATAAAAGTTATGGATAAGTGTTATCGTGGTGCAGCTCCTATTAAATTATATAAGGAGTTAACTTGTTGCTGTACTAAGGTTACAAAAATAGAATATACACAGGTTACCTCCTCGTTTAAATCTCCTAGTCGATGATGAATTAGTTCATCTTCCTCATTTCTACAACACTTGATACATGTTGCTGCCATTTCCATAGGCTTCTGTTACAATACAAGCTAGTCCAAACTATATAAACATTTCACATATAAAAAACCGTGCACAGCTTAAACTGCATGAACATCCGTTACATATACGCCCTAATCCATCAATATATTATGTTTTCTTTAACTTACAATATAACATATATAATAAACGAGTATTTAAGTAATAAAGAGATCATTAAGTGTGTTAGTACTCAAGTAAGAACAAGATAAAATACTGTATATAGACATGTATATCATTATCAAATTGTTGTATTATCAACAGAGGTTACTGATACAGAGTCAGGTTAAGATTTGACTGGTGGTTGCATTTAGGTCATTGTGATAACTTTAAGTGAACATTCTGCCGGATATAAACACTCACAATGCGTTTTTGTTGTTTTGTTTTTGTGTTGTTTTTGGGGATTTTTTGTTGTTGTTTTGTTTTTGTTTTGTTTTTGTTTTTTGTTTTTTTTTTTTTTTTTTTTTTTTTTTTTTTGTTTTTTGTTGTGTATGAATATTTATATGTTGAATGAATTAGATAACCTTTAAAGGCACATGGATATATTTTTTCTTCTTTAGGAAGGGCAAACATGAATAATTTGATTATAAAGTTAGATGATAACGTTGAATATGAAAAAAATTGTCATTTAATTAGCAAAACATAAACAATGTTGGTTTTAACTATGATTTAAATACTTAATTGCCTTAATTGTACAAAATGTCAAAGATGCGATAGATAGTTCAGCTATATGTCAATAATTAACGTTAGAAGACTGTTATTGGGCACCAAAAATTATAACCCTTTGCAAAATAAAAAAATATAATTTCGGGGGCATTTAAGGAAAGTTTTGAAAATAAGGTCAAGTTATTATAGTGAAAACTCTCTTACAAAATTTCTAATTGTGATAAAATACACAATTGGAATGGGTACAATTAAGAGATATGGTCGCCGTGGATTGAAAATCAATGGCTTATTATTAATTGGTCAATTAATTTCCGATTTGATTATACAATGTAGTATGTGTGAATTTGTAGTTACAGGCTAATCAAATAGGTCAGTATAAAATTGACTTGCTCGAAATACATGTAAACTGAAACAGTGTTTCACTTATTCGATTTACATGTTAAACAGTAACTTTGAATGGGAATGAACATGAAAATCGGGTCAATCTACGAACAATGAAAATGACAACAAAAACGAACACTTTCTCTTTCAGCTGGCGCATGCGCATTCTGCGTAGGACAAAACAATTTTAAAATAATCAACCCAAATCATTATTCTATTTGCTGGGTTTGTCTAACCCAAGTGTATATTGTTATGAAACAGTATGTGTTGAAGACAAATTTTCAGGAGATATAAAAGCCCTTATGGACCAGTCTAGTGTCCAAATATGTTTTCAAGTATAATGTTAAACACTACCACTTGGAAAATCCGATGAACCATTGATATTTTGTTATTGGTAACTGATTTTCAGACATATATATTTACTTTACGCCATATTTTATGCTAATCATCAAACTCTTTAGTAACTTTGGTTTCAACATTTATTTTTCATAACAGTCAGGTTATATGTTATGTATATTTATTTCTTTGAACAAAAATATGACGTCTTTGCATGACTTCATTCATTGATATGCAGCTCAGAATTTTACACTTTATTTATTTTTCTTTAACAAACAACTTTTATTGATTGAATTATTGATTGATTGATTGATTGATTGATTGATTGTTGATTGATTGATTGATTGATTTATTTATTTATTTATTTATTTATTTATTTTTATTTATTTATTTATTAATCTATCTATTTAAGTTACTAAACACAGTCTGAAGCCCGTGGTGATTTTCAGCAAAAATAAGCAACACCTCTAAAATCTGATTTATTGTTGCGCATTTTAGAATGCTGAAACACAAATTTCACTATGAATGTATTTTTTCATATGACGATTCTGTATTATATTAAAACTTTCCAGCCATTTTAATATATTATACATGTACATATGCTATATTGATAACATTTCCGCCCGGTTAGCTCAATAGGTAGAGCGTTGGGCTCTGAATCGGGTGACCCGGTTCGATACCCGGATGATGATGCCCGGACGGTGCATGTCAATTTCGTTGTGATTGAAGTACTTTCTACGGCCATTCACGCTGCACCTCTGATCTTGCATGTTTGCGAAAGTGAAGGCAACTAGTACTGGTAAACTGCTTGACAGTCTTCCCAGGAACGATGCGGTGGCTGAACTGTGCTCTGGTAAGTTCATTGTGGCTTATTGCCGTGATTTGGAGTGAAAACTACCAACACCAACCTATAATGATATACTAAAATATATTATAGTTACAGCCAAGTCTAGATTATGCAGGAGAAATAGACAAAAATATTCAATTAATTTTGTAAGACCCTGGAATCATGCATTCGATGTTCTGTCTAACACTGTCAAGGAGTCTAAAGGTAAAACATCGCGCAATTAATTTCTTCGCTTTATACAAAATCATACAAAATTATATCATGTTAAGAACAACATTGAGGTCAATTAGTGCAACAATCATACAAATTCATAGAATATGCAACTTAAATATAAACATGACCACAAATTGTACAGTCCTTTAATGCTTAATAAACAAGAAATCTATGTATATACATGTGTTTGATGACAATGTAAGTGACATAAATCATAATAAGTAAAGTTTTAGTTAAAAAAAAACAACTTTTTATAGAGAAAATTTACAATATATATATAATACGAGTTATGTACTTAATGTGCGTAATAATACAGTGATATTTTGATAGCAAATGTTATATGATCATATTTACAACATGGTAAAAAGTACAGAAATACAGTTAATTAAACACTTGTTAATTTTAGTGTTGTTGTTGTTGATGTTTTATTATTGTTATTGTTGTTGTTGTTATTGTTCTTGTTGTTGGAATTTCAGATGGAGACGCGTGATTCAGATTACAGTTCCGTATATCTGAACCCCCTCTGGAACCCCCTCATGTCTTCTGGGCTCGAGAAATCAGTATAACTAGAATTTCCCATGCTGGAACTTTCATAACTAAAGTTTCCTATACCAGACAAACCAAAACTAGAATTTCCATATCCGCTATAATTACTATTACGCCGAGGAGGTGACCTTGTCTCGTCGGGTATGCTCATAGTTCTTCCTTCTGATGCTATAAAACAAGATAAAACAGTTTAATCAGCATCAACAACAAACAAGAAATAAACCTTAATAGAGCACATGATGGTGCTAAGTAAAGTTAAGTGATGTAGTCATTATATAATTTATAAGATCTTTGGATAGAAAAATATGATAAATTGCGAGATTTTTTTCCAATGATAAAGTCAATCAATTAACTGATATTGCATTAGTTAGGACTTGTAAACAGACGGCAAGATATAATAAACTTATGGCATTTGTTGTGAAACTGATAGAACCGTCATGAATGGAAATTGCACAGTCTTGAAGAGCATAAAAGATCGTGTTTGTACTTTAATGTTTAACTGTTTGGCATAGAAGCTTGAATTGCAAGTTTTTATTGGTGTTCTAAAGTTCAACGGGATATAACCTTCTTACTGTTTCCTATAGAGGATATAAATCGATATCGACAAAACCAAGTTTATTTGGGAACCTTCTGTAAAATATGTGTTCAGCAAATATGGACAAAGTTAAAGCAGCATGCCTCGAGATTCGAGATTCATGCTTATTTTCAGGAAAACTCTCAAACTGTTTTTTTTTTTAAAAGTAAAATATTGTGATTTTAATAAAAAGCAATTTGGAAGTTTAACATTGCAGGATAAATTGTGGTAAAATAAATGATTATCCGTACCTAGATCATATAACGGTTTCCCCTTTCTTCTAGCATATATTATATGTCGTAAAGCTTTTCTCCATCTTTGTCGAGCTTTTAATTTAAGTCGTTCTTGCATGACAGGATCTGAGTCGTCCGTATCATGTATATTGTTACGATAAATTATCAACAACACTAACGAGGTGGACGTTATGGCGAGGGCGATTATAGACAGACACATGATTACAATACTTAAAACTGTCTGACATTTGTCTCCTACTGCAACACCTGAAAGTAAAATATACCAACATGTCATTCTTTACTTTTCTTAGTTATTTAAAGATATTATATTGGTCCCTATCATTTTCAAGCATATTCCGTAATTTATTAATAAATCATTTATTAACCAATGAAAAAAGGAATCACAAGCAACAAAAAATCAACGACATAAAAATTGTCCTTTTAAAAAGTAAAAGTTATTTGACTGATATCCAAGCCCATTGCGCTATTGTCATAGTTAACTATGAATATCCAAGGGTGACCCCCCCCCCCCGGAATCATTAATGACAAAAATGTGACATGAAAATTGCAGGCTCGTTTTGATTAGATCTGCACATTAGAGATAATGGAAAAGTACAAAAATGCCCCCTAGCACCGGCCAGATCGGTACACAATTTTCAACACTCAAAAGTGTTGGAATCGATTATCCCGTAGGACCAGAATTTTTTTATTCGTCAAACCCATCATTCCCTGTAGTTTACCCGAGCAGGACACTGAAACACTGTGTACATATCGAAGTTTCTTGTAAACATTTTACCTGATTGTCCTTCGCACGGGTTTGCTGTGGCACAATTATCGTAATAGTACTTTAATACCGATGTTCCTGAAAATAAAAATAATCTTTATAACGTCTATATTGACAGAGAAATATCAATCACACTTGCATGTTATCAACATGATCATCAACTTACGATCTTGTTAAGAATATAATACGTGTTCATTAAACGCACATTATGCCTCAGAAATTAATAAACATTAATTTCTTTAGAAAGGGCAAATATGAATTTTATTATGTTTAAATAATGGTTTTAGAGAATGTTAGATACTTGTTACCTGAAGAAAGTAACGATAAATGTGAAATAATTTGTCATAAATGTAGCAAAATGTAAACAAAGTAGTATTTAGATTCCCATACAAAATACTTGACTATAACTGCACTTATTGCCAAAAAGCAACAGATGAAAATTGATGTTCAGGTAAAAAAAAGCTTTGGAGAAATGAAATAAAAACATTTTTGAGGCATGGCGAATTTTTAACAGATAAAAAGTTATGCAATTTTAGGTCGGCAATAGTTTGCACATGTACAAACTGTATTAGTATTACCAGATAGCAAACGTAGCCAAATGATATTTTACTGAATGTTGTGATTTTATTTTGATATCATATTGTTTTTAATTTCTATTGAACTATAAGCGCTTAATATGTCACTGTTTTTTTATCTTTTACAAAACAAACATATAATTTTTCACAAACCTTGAACATTGTTGCACATTTTATCACCTATTACTGTAACGTTCTGACTCAGGGAATACTCCACCCACCAGAGTAGGTCACATGTACAGTCCCAGTCAATATTATATAGTGTTATTTCACTAAGTGCGGTCTGGTAGAACAAAAAATCACTTGGTAATTTTGTAAACACATTATCACTTAGGTCAACAAGTCTAACCAAAGTGTTTTCTTTTAACAGATTCGGAGAGAGGTAGGATATCCCTGCACTCTGAAAAATAAAAACATTTGGAAACATATAAATTTCGAGCAAATACATTTCAAGGGACTCTACGGAAGTTTTATTACATGCCGGGACTGGAAATAATTTTTAGATATCCATGTCCATGTGTTGTCAGTCTTGACCAATAACTTGTGTGCAATTTACTCCGTTTTAACCGGAATTGTTATTGTAATCATGAAAAAATTACCAAAAGGCGTTGTAAAGCTTTTCATTCAAATTTGCCTTCGAATAGCACAGAAATACGATTTTCAATTTATTTCAAAGTATATTTCTTAATTATCTTTTTACATATTTTTCTGTTTTAAGTGACCACTCCGATCTTTGTAAAAACAAGAGCGATCAGTGATCACATGTGTCGCCTCATGATGGCCAATTTCATGTTGGGAAAAGTTTTGTGACAGACGGAGAAGTGATCGGAGTAGTGGCGACATAAATTCCTGTAAAGTTAGGATGAAATTGCCCCAGTAGTTTATGAGGAGTAGTGGGGACAAGTTTTGTGACAGACGGACAGACAAACAGACAGACAGTGCACAACTAGACTTGGTACTGATCATTCCTGTAAAGTTTGGATAAAATTGCACCAGTAGTTTATGAGGAGTAGTCCGGACAAGCTTTTGTGTATCTGGCATCACACAGAAAAAACACCTTTTTATCAAAGGGCCATAACTCGGCCAAAAATCATTCAACCGAAAAAACTCGTGCAATATGCACAAGGACTTGAGCTACAGATCAATCCTGTAAAGTTTCATTGAAATTGCATTAGTGGTATAAGAGAAGTAGTCCGGACAAACTTTAAAAATAGAAATTATTAAAGGGCCATAACTCTTACAAAAATCATTGAACCGGACGGACAGACAGACAGACAGACAGACAGACAGACAGTGCACAACTAGACTTGGTACTGATCATTCCTGTAAAGTTTGGATAAAATTGCACCAGTAGTTTATGAGGAGTAGTCCGGTCAAGTTTGTGTATCTGGCAACACACAGAAAAAAACACCTTTTTATCAAAGGGCCATAACTCGGCAAAAAATCATTCAACCGGAAAACCCGTGCAATGTGCGCAAGGACTTGAGCTACAGATCAATCCTGTAAAGTTTCATTGAAATTGCATTAGTGGTATAAGAGAAGTAGTCCGCACAAACTTTAAAAATAAAAATTATTAAAAGACCATAACTCTTACAAAAATCATTGAACCGGAAAATGCTGACAATATGCACAACTAGACTTGGTACTGATCATTCCTGTAAAGTTTGGATGAAATTGCACCAGTAGTTTATGAGGAGTAGTCCGGACAAGTTTTGTGACGGACGGACAGACGAACAGACAGACAGACAGACGGACAGACAGACGACGGAGAAGTGATCCCTTTATGTCGCCACTACTCCGTAGAGGCGACACAAAATAAAATGTCATGTCATTTGTGTTTGGACCTCAGTTGAGTCCGAATTTCAGTTGATTTCCTTTAAAATATGTTTATCTTAATTTGGTAGCACATAAAACTTATAAAAACGACTGATGGAAAATAACTTAACAATAAAATAACATTAATCTTCAGAACAACCGGGAATGGTCTTGGTTGGCGTCTTCTTTCTAAAGTTTTAACCAAGCACAAAAACAGAAGCATTTTTCTGTACGGGCTTTACTGTAGAATATATTTCATGTAATGTCACATTTGGTAAACTCAAACGTTAAAGACTTGAACATTATTTAGATGATTTCTTTAAATGATATAAGACAATCAAAACAACAGTTTGAAAGACTAACGGTGTTGGCTTACCCTCAATGTAATGGAGGTTACATTGGTAAAATATGTTAACAATCCTGTATTGACAACTCCATACAGAAACTTTGAATTAACAACTTCGAATTTCCCTTGTAGTCTTGGAAACTGATGAGTGGCGGAAGTTAATTTTTGTACGGTCAATCCATCCATTGCAAGTGATTCTATAGTGTCTATTGTACCTCCTTCTATACCAAAATAATCCAGTTCTTGAAACGCATCAAATGAGTCCACGTTGATGTAGAATATTTCACAATTCTTTATCTGAAAAAAAAAAATATTTTCTGTATACATGTATTTCCAAAATGTATTACACGTTTTCATGTTCTTTTGGTAAACACGTTACTTGACTGTTATGGCCATAGTCTATGCTTAATGATATGTATTTCTTTACAAATGTTCGTTTTGGCCGGCATACGTTTCATATCTAGTTATTTGAGAACATGTAATACGAAAATCTTATTAATGTTAATATTCTTCTGTTTTTGTTTAATCTCATTTGTTATATTGATGCAGGACCCATTGTAAATAAACCCCTTATATTCTATTCTATTCTGTTCTAATATATTCTATTCTACTTAAGTATCTACACAAGCTCTTAAAGCTGTATATATTGACAACAACATACTTCGTATGTTTTCGAATTATTATACGAGTAATGCATTTTTATTATAAAACAAGTGTATCGATAGTAAAGCAAAAACCCTAAATAAGGAACATTTCTACAAAGGATTTGAAGATAATTTATTATATTAAAAGCTAGATAATATAAAAAGATCAACAGCATATAATAAAGATATGACGGTAAGCTTTGGTGTCCACCACTACACATAGACTGAGATGGTGCACCCTACTGGAGTCATAAAGCTATTGCCTTATATGACACCAACAGTGCTTAGTTCAGGGAAGCCGACTCGAATGTCATTGATATTATTTTCACAGTCGAGCTTGAAGAAATAATTATGTTCAAACAATGGACACAGTCTTTATTAAATTTAAAAGTATAGAACAGCTGAAGTCTGAGATATTATTGGTGTTATTTTTTAAGAGAATTAAGTACAAATAATGTTCATTTATTTTAATCAATTATTAAAGGCAGTGAAGTTTTATCTCTTAAACCTAATTTAGAATGGCCTATCATCCATTCATATTTTATTGTATATATGCCGAAACTGTTTGAAGGCTATAAGTCTTTCTAAAATTGCCGTGTGTAAAGAGAGTACTGTCAGAGGAAGTATTTCAACAGGAAAGACTGATTACCTTTAAATGTTGTATGTATTGCATGTCGTCAAAGGCTCCTGTCTCTATATAAGCCGAACCTCCCCAACCACAGTTTACTTCAAGCCAGGCGGGATAATTATCGTCAAACAATGTATCGTCAATGCCCGAGAAACCAGAGTTGAAGATTCTACTATCTCCTGATAATACATCATCATATATAATATAATTCATGTCTTTCATCTCGTTGTAAACATGTATCAGCTTTTAAATGTTACACAAATCTGGATAAAGTGTCATCACTCGGAAGCATTAATTGCAGACTCGGTTTGACTGAGCCTGTACATGAGGGATATTGAAAAAGTGCAATATCCCTCATGCCCTGAGCGGTACTCAACTAAAAAAGTTTTTGAATCAATGATCACGAAGGACCGGAAAATATAACAACATTGATGTGAAGTACGGAAAACATTTTATAGCTGTCGTGTACACTTTATAACTTATTTTGTGAATATAAAAATCTTATAAGCCTTTTCGCGTAAATGTTTCATTATATATCAAATATTTTTAAATTTCATTGTTTTGCGCTACTTAAATTACGAGCAATTTTCAACAAACTGTAATTGTTAAAAATATGGAAATAATTTGAGATTTTAAGTATTCTCTATGTTAAACAAAGTATGGTGTATGTTTTACCGAAATACGGGAGTAAACCATTGACGTTCAGTATAAGTTGCTGCGGCTGCGTACTAAAGTCGGCGAAAGGGATTGGTCGGTATGATAGTGACGTCATCTTATCATAATTACATTCGTACACACCGTCTGAGTACGAACAATGTGTGGGCCCTGTCTGGGCAACAACAACAACAATACGTGAAGTAAGGATGAGAATAATGGTGAACACAGGGAGAACTTCCACATCATGCATGATACACCCCTCCGGTTATACACGACACGGTCACATACTCCTTACATTAGTTCTCAAACTCCCTAACATTCTGAAATATGAAGCGTTTAATGTTTCATGTTTTGTGGGAAAAAATGCTCGAATTAATGATGCTTTCACATATCGATCAATAATTCAAAACTAATGAAATAATTCAAATATATTAAAAAAGATTATTCAAAGTACGTATAGATTAAATATTTAAATTAAATAATTATCATGAAAATCTACAAAAGGAGAAAAACCTACCTTTTTACACTTTATAATGCCATTTTATTCCTGTAAACTTTCATTTTTAATAGGCCCTATATAATCTTCTTACAAGTTCAGTATTAAACGAGATTATTTGAAATTGACCGCTTTCCAAATGTTTTAACATTAATGACATGTAGGTCAGTTGAACAAAGAGGTTATAACTAATTCGATGTACTTTATCCTGATTTATATAAGGTCCAAGGATACAGACTAGATTCTTTAGTTTGCCACCTACGTCTTATTATTGTGCCACAGAGTGTGAAAAATGTCAGCCTGGCCAAGACTCCAACCCGGGACTCTCGGAACACCTTTTCGCGGCTCTTCGTCTGAGCTATCCGGCCGCTTACACATCTTCTTCAAAAGTGAACAGTTCTGAACCACTTAGTCTCGTTACCGCCATAAACAGTTATATCCGTTAAGATCCTTATTAAATAATATGACGGTCAAAGCTGCCAACCCACTAGGGATGGAGATAATATTACATGATTGTCCAAGATGCCAACACATGAGAGACAGGGTTGATATAACATGACAAATCAGAGTTGCCCACACATGAGGAAAAGAGATGATATTGCATGATAATCATCAGGGATGCCAACACATGCGGGACAGAGATAATAAAACATGACGATCAGAGATGCCAACACATGAGGGAGAGAAACGATTAAACATGACGATCAGAGATGCCAACACATAAGGGAAAGAGATGATATAACATGACAATCATCAGAGATGCCAGCACATACGGGACAGAGGTAATAAAACATGACGATAAGAGATGCCAACACATAAGGGAAAGACATGACATAACATGACAATCATCAGAGATGCCAGCACATACGGGACAGAGATAATAAAACATGACGATAAGAGATGGCAACATATGAGGGACTGATATGATATAATATGACAATCAGAGATGACAACACACGAGGGACGACGATGCTTACACATGAAGTTCAGAGATTAAATCCCAAGAGGGACAGAAATGATGTGACATGACTTCACGTAACATGTAGGTCAGAGTTGACAGCGCATAAGGCAAACAGATAATATAACATGACGGTCAGAGACGACAGCACACACACACCAGGTACAGAGATTATGTAACATGACGGTCAGAGATGAAAATATACGAACGACAGATATGATGACAACGAGGGAAAGAGTTTGTATCATGGCGGTCCGAAGTGACGTGACACAAATACCATAACATGACTGTCAGAGATAACAGCACTCGAAAGGCAAAGAGATAATACATGACACATAACATAAAACGAGAGACAGATGTCATAATATGACCGTCAGAGATGATATCTTGACAGCACATAAGAGACAAAGACGGTAACAAATGAAGGTCTGAAATGGTAGAATTCGAGGGTCAGAGAGATAGTTTAACAAGAGAGATCACAACACATGTGTGACAGATATGATGTAACATGATGGTCAGAGTTGACAGCGGATGAGGAATGGAGATGATATAACACGACGGTCAGAGTTGACAGGTGATGAGGAATAGAGATGATATAACATGATGGTCAGAGTTGACAGCAGATGAGGAATGGAGATGATGTAACATGATGGTCAGAGATGAAAGCAGATTAGGAATGGAGATGATGTAACATGATGGTCAGAGTTGACAGCAGATGAGGAATGGAGATGATGTAACATGATGGTCAGAGTTGACATCAGATGAGGAATGAAGATGATTTAACATGATGGTCAGAGTTGACAGGTGATGGGGAATGGAGATGATATAACACGACGGCCAGAGATGAAAGATATTACAGAAGAAATATATAATATGGAAGATCGACGGTCAGAAATGACAGCGCACGAGGGCTTAAGAGGATAATACATGACGGCCAGAAATGACAGCGCACCAGGTACATAGGTGATATAACATGACGGTCTCTCGCTTGCTGTCATCTCTGACAGTCATGTCAAATCATTTCTGTCTCTCTCTTTATTTCAAGTTTGCCCTATATAAATTATGTTCTTGTAAATTCATGAAATGATCTGATGTTAATTAGTTATACTTAAGAGTGAGTCGGCTACATTTTAACATCAACGTAAATCAAGAGCAACAGAAGATTCAGTACAAGTTTTGAGTAACGCCCACATTTAACGTTGATGAGGTAGGAAAATTGTCGAAGAGTGTTATCTAACTAAAAACGACTCTCATTTCTGTTCAGTAAGCTAAATTAGCGATTGAACACCAGCGATACATGTTTCGCAATGGTCTGGCAATCAGAATGAAAGGGAGCTTAATCGGGACAACAAGTAATAATCAACCTATCTTGATTGCCTCCCCTAAAGCTATAATTAATCTCAGAAGGGATGTTGTTTTGTTGGGGTTTTTCGGCCGAAGGCCGTCTGATTTCACCTTGACTTCCGCTAAAATTAACAGTAAAGAAATGAATATAGGCAGAATTTTCATTGGTCATTTTAACAGTAATATCCTGTTCGATTGATACTTTAGAAGAGCTTCCGTTATAGGTAGAGGTATGTTCGATTGCGCAATGGCAAGAAGTGTTTGAATCGGGCATAAGACGATTGAAACGAACTTGGAATTAGTGTACAGTATCTACTAAATCTTTGTTTTATTATAAATTCCTATTCAAATCAAATTCCATTTTGATTAAAATCAAATAAATTAATGTAATTTATACCGTTTAAATCTATGATGAAAATTAATGGGGCAAAACATTGCTGGTAAAAATGAACTGAAATAAAGTAGTAGCTTATCCTATGCAAGTTAACAAGTTTGACTTCGTCCGAGTATCTTTTTATAGATACTTCTTGTTTTATGTTGTTGTTGTTTTCTTTCTTTCTTTTTTGTGAAGGATAGGTCAATTTGTACTGTGTTTGTTTGTAAGACCGCTAATTGAAGAGAATTAATTTTCTGTACATTAACAAGTTAATCATATAAGAAAAAGAACTTCTGTTTTTCTAAAAGAAATTTTATTACAATGAGTTTAACATAGATAAAAACGTTTCCGGAAGATGTACAATCGTTCTTTAACAACAACGTTGTGGATATCATGCTGTAAGGTGATCCATCATACGTAACGTAAATCTGAAACAGAAGAATTGACCTCTGACGTCACTTATTCTCAATTATTTTTTATTCTGTTTTTGGGGTTTTTTTTGGATGCTTGATCCTTTTAATAATTCTTTGATTATAGTTTTTTGTTGTTGTTGTTTTTTTTGTTTTTTTTTAATGGCCAAATGTGTATTGTTTAAACTTCTATTTCATTTTACATTTATACTAATGGTGACGTCATTTTTCAAATTCTTCTGATTCAACCAACAAAAATCAAACATCCATAAATATGAAAAGTTGACTGACCTAAAAATGACATGTACATAATTAAAATATGTGTTTATCATTTCACAGAAATAATTAGAAATAATTACAACTACTGGTTTTGTCACATTCTTAATAAAACAGTAACGGTTGTGTAATAAAGTTACTAAACGCTTCATTTAATTAGTCAATTTACACTAAATTCATGTTTATAGTATGAACACTTTAGCCTCAATATAAAACGTTTTAAGTTAATAATACAGTAACTCTCTCATAATATAATAAAAAGCGAAATAATTCCACATGTATATAAATATGAAACTATAACATGTATAAATGTGTTTTAGGCCCATCCAGCTTTTGGTGCCTTCTTCGGCGGCGCCGCTCGCTTGGCACCCGGCTTTCTACTCGGTTTACCTTTGGCTGGGTTCAACTGTTTCCTTGTGTGAATAGCGAGACCAAGAACCACCCATCCCATTACAAACGCTATGAACCCGATAGAAAATCCTGTAAGGTCAATGGGTGTTAAACATCCGCCAAGTAGTGCAACTCCTGAAGTGTAAAACACAAACTTATTGCTGAATGATATCATTTTATATTGCTTAGAGTCACCTTGTAAGAAAAGAACTGATAAAATAAAAGCTTTAATGATCAATTAAAGCATTTTATAAATATTGATTTTTCGAAATATATCTCTCAATGGACAAAAAAAACATAGTACACAGTGAACAATAAACTTTTTTACACTTACGTATTATATAAAAGTATATTGGGCTAAAATACATTTATCGTCAAGATCAGCGTAAATACCGCTAGATCTAGTATTTGCAAGATCAATGTGCATACACCGGATTAGTGTATATATAAGTATACATTTAATATCAAGAGCAGTGTACACACCACTAGAACAAGTATACATTTAATATAATACCACCAGAACAAGTATACATTTAATATCAAGAGCAGTGTACACACCATTAGAACAAGTATACATTTAATATACATACCACCAGAACAAGTATACATTTAATATCAAGAGCCGTGTACGTACCCCTAGAACAAGTATACATTTAATATCAAGAGCCGTGTACATACCACTAGAACAAGTATACAATAATACCAAGAGCCGTGTACATACCACTAGAACAAGTATACATTTAATATTAAGAGCAGTGTACATACCACTTGAACAAGTATACATTTAATATCAAGAGCAGTAAACATGCCACTAGAACAAGTATACATTTAATACCAAGAGCAGTGTACATACCACTAGAACAAGTATATATTTAATACCAAGAGCAGTGTACGTACCACTAGAACACGTATATATTTAATATCAAGAGCAGTGTACATACCACTAGAATAAGTATACATTAATACCAAGAGCAGTGTACATACCACTAGAACACGTATATATTTAATATCAAGAGCAGTGTACATACCACTAGAACAACTATACATTTAATACCAAGAGCAGTGTACATACCACTAGAACAAGTATACAATAATATCAAGAGCCGTGTACATACCACTAGAGCAAGTATATATTTAAATTCAAGAGCAGTGTACGTACCACTAGCACAAGTGTACATTTAATATCAAAAGCAGTGTACATACCACTAGAACAAGTATATATTTAACAACAAGAGCAGTGTACAGACCACTAGAACAAGTATGCATTTAATACCAAGAGCAGTGTAAATACCACTAGAACAAATATACATTAAATATCCAGAGCAGTGTACATACCACCAGAGCAAGTATACATTTAGTATCAAGAGCAGTGTACGTACCACTAGCACAAGTATACATTTAATATCAAAAGCAGTGTACATACCACTAGAACAAACATACATTTAATACCAAGAGCAGTGTACATACCACTAGAACAAACATACATTTAATATCAAGAACAGTGAACATACCACTAGAGCAAGTATACATTTAATATCAAGAGCAGTGTACATACCACTAGAACAAATAAACATTTAACACCAAGAGCAGTGTACATACCACTAGAACAAATATACATTTAATACCAAGAGCAGTGTACATACCACCAGAACAGATATACATTTAATATCAAGAGCCGTGTACATATCACTAGAACAAGTATACATTTAATACCAAGAGCAGTGTACATACCACTGGAACAAGTATACATTTAAAATCAAGAGCAGTGTACATACCACAAGAATAAGAATACATTTAATATCAAGAGCAGTGTACATACCACTATAACAAGTATACATTTAATACCAAGAAACGTGTTCATACCACTGGGACAAGTATACATGTAATATCAAGAGCAGTGTACATACTACTATAACAAATTACATTTAATACCAAGAGCAGTGTACATACCACTAGAACAAGTATACATTTAATACCAAGAGCAGTGTACATACCATTAGAACAAGTATACATTTAATACCAAGAGCAGTGTACATACCACTAGAACAAACATACATTTAACACCAAGAGCAGTGTACATACCACTAGAACAAGTATCGATTTAATACCAGGAGCAGTGTACATACCACTAGAACAAACATACATTTAATATCAAGAACAGAACAGTGTACATACCACTAGAGCAAGTATACATTTAATATCAAGAGCAGTGTACATATGACCAGAACAAGTATACATTAAATACCAAGAGCAGTGTACATACCAATGGAACAAGTATACATTTAATATCAAGAGCAGTGTACATACCACCAGAACAAGTATACATTTAGTACCAAGAGCAGTGTACGTACCACTAGAACAAGTATACATTTAATATCAAGAGCAATGTATATACCACTTGAACAAGTATACATTTAATACCAAGAGCAGTGAACGTACCACTAGAACAAGTATACATTTAGTACCAAGAGCAGTGTACATACCACTAGAACAAGTATATATTTAATATCAAGAGCAGTGAACGTACCACTAGAACAAGTATACATTTAATACCAAGAGCAGTGTACATACCACTAGAACAAGTATACATTTAATATCAAGAGCAATGTATATACCACTTGAACAAGTATACATTTAATATCAAGAGCAGTGAACGTACTACTAGAACAAGTATACATTTGATATCAAGAGCAGTGAACGTACCACTAGAACAAATATACATTTAATATCAAAAGCAGTGTACGTACCACTAGAACAAGTATGCATTTAATATTAAGATCAGTGTACATACCACTAGAACAAGTTTACGTTTAATACCAAGAGCAGTGAACGTACCACTAGAACAAATATACATTTAATATCAAGAGCAGTGAACGTACTACTAGAACAAAGTATACATTTGATATCAAGAGCAGTGAACGTACCACTAGAACAAGTATACATTTAATACCAAGAGCAGTGTACATATCACCAGAACAAGTATACATTTAATATCAAAAGCAGTGTACGTACCACTAGAACAAGTATGCATTTAATATCAAGAGCAGTGTACGTACCACTAGAACAAGTATGCATTTAATATCAAGAGCAGTGTACATACCACCAGAACAAGTATACATTAAATATCAAGAGCATTGTACTTACCACTAGAACATACATACATTTAATATCAAGAGCAGTGTACATACCACTAGAACATGTATACATTTAATATCAAGAGCAATGTACATACCACTAGAGCAAGCCTTTACCTCCTCCACACAGTTGGAATAATAGAACGCCCAAGCAAGTTTTTCTAAAAGAAAAAACATAGTGTATAATATATTTTAGAGCAGTGTATATGTGTTATGTTTAGCATGCAATTATTAAATAGTTATACTGACTCAAACACACAAAAAAGGCGTTATCATCATTTTAGTAACTTACAACAGGAAACAATATATATCAACAATACTACCATACCGTAGATATTTTATGAATGTCATTAGTGTACTTACATGTAGTGAAATACGCATGATCTAGAAGATGAATATCATTCTTTTAGTGAAAAAAAGATATCAAACGCAATTATTACCCCTCACTTTTTTGTAATGTTAATTTCCCATAGGTCAATGAGAGTGTTAATGCAAGTATACCACGTGACTAAGAAATTTGGTAAAAGTATACATTCTCGGGATGATATTTTTACTTTTACCAACAAACCTATGCGTTATTTATATACTATATAATGTTGTACCAAGAAAATCAAATGTATCGCATTGTTGAATACAATGAAGAAACTATATATCAAATTTGAAATTTCTGATAGAAATTCTATTATATTAAATCTCAAATCAATTAAGTAGTAAAATGTGTTTTCTTTCTTTTTTTTCTTTTTTGTGACTTTAATAATATTTACTATCTATGTACAATTAAGTCTTAAATATTCATTTTCTTATGTTTCGGTCTGTAAAAATACCAAATTATATTACCGTATTCATTAGAAAACTTACTGTCACTGTTACAAACAATGTCGCCTTCTAGTGTGAGAAAGTTCTCGTGCGCATGCTTCATGAACCAGAGGTTAGAGCAACTACAGTCAATGTCCATACCATACAGGTATATCACACCTAGATTTGTCAACTTGGAGAACAAATCACTCGGTAAAGATGTGAGGGAGTTGTAGCTCAAGTCCAGGTACCGGATGTTCTCACTAGTGCCAGTACCAAACACCGCTGAGTCTATTGTTGTCAGGTTCATGTTCTGAAATACATTTTAATACAACTCTGCATGAAAAGAGTAATAAATGCATTAAATACAAGCTAGGTTGTAAAAAGATATTTATATTGAATCTACACGTATAACATAAATTTAGGGGCGTATCTGGCCGAGTGGTAAAGGTCGTTGATTTCCGCCAGGGATTTTAGTTTGTTTCGAGTGGGCTAGGAAGCTATCCATACTTGTGTCCTCGAAAAACGTCGGTGGCACTCGGATGACCGATTGTGCCTAAATAATGCACGGAATGGCATCCAAGGTCTTAGTTGGAAAGTCACCATATGACTTTTACAGTGTTGGTGGGACGTAAATAAACAACAACAACAACAACATTTTCGGCTTGGTATAATACATTACTAACGTTTTTTAAATTTATTTTTGTCAAATAATTTTACCCTAAAGACGGCTTCATACAGGTCAGTTTTCCCAGTTAGTAAGTCGGTAGGCAAACTTCCGCTGGTTAACTTTGTGTTTTTAATGATCAATGCTCCGTGTTGTTTTGGAAACGATGGAAATACCGAGCTGTTACGTGCAATATTTAGTCCATCTAAACAACTCATTCCAAATTCGTTTACTGTTCCATTCTCAATCATAAATCGGTCAACCGTCCCTAGCTCGCTGAAACAATACAATATATTGTTACTCTTAATATTGCAGAAATATTTTAATATTGTAATAGTGTATATTAAGCATATCATCGTATTATTTCTGTCATTGTTACAACCGAAAATCTCTGTCAAAAGAAGACAAATGATTTGGCAACTGATATAAGTTGAGGCTTTAAAATCATATTAAGTAAAGCTATACAAAGCAACAGATCAAATTTACATTAATCTGCAATAAATGGTAAAGAACCAGTCACAATATTGCTTTTTATTCGAATTATAAAGCTTTATAAATATAAAGTTTTATAATCATGTTTTGACAAAAACACCAAAGTACGAACAATTATATGTGACAGTCGTTTTTTTTATGTTTTCATTTCTTCTTAGCACATGAAAACTGTAACAAAAAATAAAATTACCACAAACTTTACCTGAAAGCATTAGCAGGGATGTTGCCTAGGTTACAGTTAGTGATCTTAAAGTCCTCGATGTGTCCCATGTTTGCCAGAAACCCCGAGGCGACAGAGAGCGAACCTCCATTCTCACAAGCTAACTCCAGTGAGGCCGGATAGTTCGTGTCGTAACTAGCTGTAGAATGATAACAAACGCATTATATAAACATATTTCTTGAATGAATTACATAGAATACAACAGGAATTATTTTTTATTGATCTTTTAATGGATGACAAAAGTTAAATATTAAGCAGATCAACTGGTATAATAAAAGCAGTTATAAATGTAACTTGAACGTCAATTTTCTATTTGACTTCGACATTTCTTCTTATATAATTAATCAGAAGCCAGAGAACGCTAGTACAACAGTTGAAGCATTAATGTAAAATAGAATATACTTTACACGTGTAATTATTGATTAATAAAAAAGTGACGTTTTTAATGCATACAGTACATAATGTCAGAAGATGTTTGTGAAACTTGTAGGCTCTTTCATTTTCCCCCGAAACTCGTCGATTAGTTAAGCTGCGGTCTCACTTACTCCCGACAGAGCCCAGGACCATCCCGGATGATTCGGGACGATCCAGGGTGAAATTATTGTTGCGGTCACACTTACACCGGCAGCACTACGGTAGTTCCCAACTAACCACCCAGGATGCGCTCCGGATCATCCAGGCAGAGCCCAGAAGCTACGGTTCATGCCGGTGCTTCCCCGGTCGTTCCCGGATGACGCCGGAAGAGCCCCGGTTGACCCAGGCAGAGCCACGGTCGATCCAGGCAAATCCCCGGCAGAGCTCTACCGTAGCTCTACCGGTAGCTCTACCGGCTATATCATACCCCGGATCATCCCCGGTTTGTGCCGGCAGAGCTACGGTGCTTCCCCGGTATAACCCCGGTCGTTCCCGGCAGAGCTAAGGATGAAGCCGGCAAAGCTATACCTTCCCGGATCATCCCGGACCACCCCGGTGATATTAAATATTTTATGGATTTAGCTCAATACAGGATTGGAGCAGTACCTCTAGACGCTTGCAGAAATCATGATCACAAAATAGACAAATATCGTTTTTTTCGCTGATTTTAACATTTTTCATGCATTATCATACATAAATCAGTGTGAAAAGATGAATTAGACCTATTAAAGTTCATTCCGTTGCGTAAAAAAGCAAGATTTTGGCATTTTACGATTCAAGCGCCTTGTCCGGTATATACCGGAATACGGTATTTAGTGTGGTGCTCCAATCCTTTTTTTAGTCACAGCCATATTTTATTCCATCCGGGGTCGAATGCCGGATGTTCCCGGATCATCCCGGATCATCCCGGACGTTGCCGGCAGAGTTACGGATGTACTCCGGTTGTTCCCGGTCGTACCCCGGTCGTTCCCGGATCACCCCGGACGTCTACCGGGGCTCTGCCGGGGCTCTGCCGGGATATAAGTGAGACTGTAGCTTTATAAACAAAACGGCGAAAAATCTATGTTCTCCAATGTTCTTCCGTGGTTTAAGTCATTTTTTATAAAATTAAAATTCACGCACTGAAAACTTTCATTTTAACACGTGTAAAAACAACATAGTAACAACTGAACAAGGAGTAAATTATCTTACAATTATCTATAGAAGCGAAGTCCGTATCAAAGACCGCGCTGTTGAGCGTTGATGGTAAACCAACAAGCTTCACTCTCTGTGGGATGGGACTAAACCCTGACGCTTGTAACGGTATCAGACTACTTCCGCTAAGGGTCGTATAGTCGCATATATATCTCCCAGAATCGTAGCTACATCCGGTCGGCATCGTTTGAGCATGCGCACCGATGATGCAAATCACGAAACTGATTACACCAACCACTACTTTTGTTTCCATATTCAGTGAATATATAGATTAATTAGGTGAAATAATGAATGTTTTTATTACAAAGAATAGCGTTAATCTCACAGTTACAAACTAAATCTGTAATTATGTTACTCCATCATTACACCACTACCCTTTTCTCCATGTTTAATAGAGATTTATTTGTGTTAATATTAATCGAGAATACAGCATTGTGAAAAGATTATGGCACTCGTACAATAATATTGATAATGGTTCATGTAAAAAGATTAAATTTTGAGGTAAAACCAGATTAAGCTTTTAATCTCAACTTACATATTATCAAAACGTTACAAATATCCTATAATCCTTACCACCATGCCAAATAATAAATTAAGGTATTAATTAAACTGAAAATTTCTTGTCTTACTTGTTATGCTTGATATTTTCACTTGTTACAAAATTAAATTGGAATATGATTATAGCTAGTTATATCGATTACTGACGTGGTAAACGACAGAATAAGGTTTTTACGGAAATTATTATGACCTATATCGGTGTTAATAATGCTAATGATGATAATATCTTTCATTCCTCCAATATTGAAAAGCGTGATGCATTTAACAAATTAATAATAATTTACAGACATTAAATAGAAATGTATGTACAAATTAGTCAGAATCAAACTAACAAACGCGTATTTAATGTTATTACATTATTACACATGTCGTTCATATCATGACGTATGCCGTTCACATCATTACGTATGCCGTTCACATCATTACGTCATTACCTATGTTGTTCACTACTATCCCGTTTACAATGATTATTTGTTGCCTCTTTTGCTCAATGTTCACAAACATTCTTCCTTTCAAATATTCGCAGACGTTCTTCTGTCCATTGTTCACAGATGTTTTGTTTGTTGTGGTTGTTGTTGTTTTAGATGCCTAAGTCAAGTTTATAAGTTGCAAAGGACAGGGACAAGCTTCAGCGGTCCGACAAAAAGTATAGTGATCGCCTGAGCGGACACTAAATATTATGTTCTTGTTGGTGATTTTGTTGGATCGCTAAAATTTAGTGGTTGTAGTACCGCGAGGAAAATTTTACAAACTGTGCTTTATGCAAAGCTGACTGCCAAAGTTTTCAGTACAATTTACTTGTTTTGTTATGATTTTTTTTAAACAAAATATGATTTCTTTTTTCGTACTTTTACCATGTTGTTACCATGTTATACAGAGCGGTATAATATATGAAATAATAACATTACTTCAGAAACAATGTCACAGTGACCTCCCATGCAGTGAGCCTAAAACATGGAACGGCCAAAGCAGTTAAATGTTTACCACGGTGTATATCCAGTAACGCCGGAATGTGAAAATAACGCAAAATTCGTGCAAAAAGTAACACAGAATTGGAAATCCTGCCGGGTACCCACCATTTATTGAACAATTTTGCGTTATTTTTTGCACGAATCGTGCGTTATTTTTCACATTCCGGCGTTACTTGATATATACGGTGTTTACGGGCTGTCTGATCGGTCAGAAAAACGGCATGTGGCCCTCAGTGCTGTGTATTAATGGTATTCTTCCAAATATTTCAAATGGAAAAACACACAAAAAATAAGTCGGTTTATTACGTCACGAATTATGACGCACATTGTAAATGATATATTTACTGTATTGGTTGAGGGTTTATTACGGATGGAAAACACTACAGTATTATTTAATTCAAATGATTAAAATTGAAGAAAAATGAGCGATTTAAGCCGTTTGGCGCCGTTCATAATTAAACTAATAAACAACATCAGTCCGTGCCAAATACGAGAAAACATCACCGTGATACATCCGTATTCAAAACTAGTAGATCGCGGAAATTCAAAATGGGAGGCTTTTCAATTTCTTTGAAATGGTGTTATATCGAATTAATTGAAATTATATGCCTATTTTCACTTTAAAATCCTTGCTACAACGGGGTATGAATAAAATCATAAGCGGGTGCACCTAGCTCTGTAAATCCCCAGACGAAATTTGAAGTGTGTACTTAATAGCTTGACCTCATGCGGGGAAAATCTGCGAGTTATCGGGTATGATATGCTTATTAATAAGTTGTATTTAGATCTGTATGCGGGATACGAAATATTTGAATACTTTATCTGAATACTTAGTCAAGGACGTAAACGATGAAATTGCCTTATATAAAATGAGCCATGCATCAATTCGCTATTTCACAAAATCCATTAAAATCAAATTTGGGTGGTCCAAAGGTAACTGGTATATCAAAATAAATGTTGCATAAATCAGGGCATTAGAAGATCTTTTATATTTTATACCAAATAATTACTGTAAAAAATATGTCTTTATAAATACTGGCATAACATAATATAATATAATGTTTTGTTTTTGGTGCCCTTTGACATAGGTTATATGCTGTCCCATGTAGTTGTTTTCTTGACTTTTCCGTAGAATTACATAAAATTGGTCCTTTCTGAAGGCAACATTAGCCCTTAAATGTTCTACTATTTTCATTACCTCAATTTGATAAATGTTTTGTAATTGGTATTTATAGGTCAAATAAAAAATATAAAAAGATATAAAAAAAAATCCTTTAGTAATATGGAAAACAAAATACATGTACCACTTTGTTTACATTTTGCTACTTTGACAAAATATCCCACATCCGTTATTAATTTACTTGCATTGTATTAAAGCGATAAGCATATCACATGCTCTTAATCCATTAGTAATAATCTTAAAACATTTTGCATGTTCTTCAGGGGATAATCGTATCAACTTCTAAGGTGTTACATGTACGAGCATGTGTCCTCAAACACGTAGCCTAGTGCCTCTACAATCAGCCCTTTATTTTATCATCCATTACCTCATCATTACTTGTGAAGTGATTCGACGACATCAAATCATGTGACAATCTTGAATATTTAAAGGTTCTAAAGATTAGAACGTCATTTTTAAGTCGATATTATTTTTGCGCATTATATCAACTTTCAGGATTCCATAAGATTAACACCAATCTGGAATGTTGTGCTGATTATTGTGTTAATTTTACTGATTTAATGTAAACGTCTTTTTTTTTTAAAGGAAATATCTTTATTAATTAAAAACAAACAGCAGACACATACATTTTTTTCTGTATTTTATTTGTTGCATAATGAACATAGAATGAAGATGAACGAAAATATGTTTAGTGACGTAATAACCAAAACAAAAACAAAAATTAAACACATAAAAGACTAATGACGGCTGTAATGTTGCAATATGTCAGGTTATGAAACAATGAATAAACAGGGAAACTAACGGCATTGCACAGATACCATTCTTGCCAACGAGCAGTTAGGCCTAAAATAACATGTTCTTTCTGATAGGGGACAGGAGATTATAAAAAATGTAGCCCAGTGAAAAAAAAATTTCAATTTGTGTCAGTTGTTTGCTGTACGCTGCTTTCTAAAACATTTGAGAATACTCTTAAAATTAATAAATGATTTCTATAAAGGAATTTAATGTTTGTAAAATTGTATTATAGTCTGATATTTACATTTCTGACTTGGTTATTTTAAGTGAAGAGAAAAAACATTAAGAATAGGGGCTCGTGCTGAAAGGGAAGTTAATTTTGTGAAATGTGTATGTAATTCAAGTCTTAATTTTTTACATTATTACGCAATGTAAGTCTTGATTTTTTTATATTATGATGTGATGTCAGGTCAACGACATACATCTATAAACTACAATAAAACAGCATTCTGTAAGTGTAATGGAATATCTATAGTAATGTCTGACCTAAAACTTGTCTAAACATATATGTGCAGTAAAATAAAAACTACTTTTTATTATACAATGGTCATTAGACTGCATTTTAATGTAATTGAAATTTGTGTATAAATCAAGGGCTAAGTACACAGTGAGTTATGCAAACAAAATATTGTGGAATTTAATCAAACTATAAAAAGACAGAAGTGACCAGACATCTTGCATACATTAACTTAATTTAGTTGTATAGCAATAAAGCACTGTACAAATAACCGACTTTTATCCTCATTATAATACACAAAAATGCACTACAAGAATAATTTCTACATGCCCCACAGTCACTCGTCACTAGTAAATACTGTAAGTTAATATATATGTATAATTATATACATGATTTTGGCAAGGCAAGGCTAGCTTATTACTTGTAAAAGTATAATTTCACCACAATATATAGCAAAACATCAGCTGAAAAATAACATCTATGTAATTTTAAAAAGACTTATTCTAAAGATTATTTGATATACATTGTTGTTGTTCTTCTTGTCGTTGTTTTTGTCGCTGGCGTCGATGTTGTTGTTTCATTTGTGTCTGTTATTTTATTTCCTTATTTTATTTTTTTTTTACTCTTAGTCTTAAAATAATCTCGAAAGAAAATATCACGACAACCCATGACTAGTAAAACGTTTATAACGGTTTCTTTGTATGCGTATACCATTCATGTTTTGTTGAATGTTTTGTAAGAAATGATTAAAGTTGGTCACTTTTATACATTATTTTCCTGAGATTAAGTTTTTAAACTATTTTTTAGAAATTCTGACATTTTTCTTAATTATCAAAATAACTGGAAATATTTATAATTAAAAGAGCAATACAATATGTTGTGAGATAAAAAAAATGTTAATGCCATGCAATGTACAAAATTAACCGTTGTCAATGTGATTGTACCGGTTTATATGGTGGAAAAAACTATATCATCTTAAATCATTGGTCTACAATTATCTACATAGTCTATCTTATATACAAATATATACACTATCGCTAACTGTATGTCTAATAAGGCACTTGAATGCATAAAAGATTTCTATTTATAGTAACATTCCTCTAAACATGTATATAGAAATTACACAAAAATCTCATTCGTTGATCATGATACACTGTATATAGTATGTTATAAGAAAACGTTTGTGTCCATTTTTATATTGTTTTATTTCGTCTTAATTTCTACTTCAACATTTTACTTTATCTTAGTGCAGTTTGAATTCACTGTTCAATTAATTTCACCGAGGTTGTAAGCACATTGGTATTTCTTCTGGTATGGTTGCAGGACAATAATTATATGCTTTGACGATTTCTGTCATAACAATATGAAATAATCGCCAGAAAGCTTTTAAAATCCAGCCGACACCCTCCCACTGTCAGATGAATGCATAAGTCCGAGAGCAACCGCATGTTCACGTGATTTCATTCTTAATGCTGCCAAACTTTCGTCTGCTGCGTAACGCTCCATACTGGAAACTGAAAATAGAGAACGATAAGAATAAAAAATCTTAAAAGAATGGTTTGGAGGTGGCTATCCCTAAAACGCGAGTCATATTAAACATGGTAGTTATATAAATACATGGGTACAAGTTAAAAATATCAGAAATCCTGAAAACCCTGAAGTAAATTTTATTTCAATTGGTTTTATTTAGAAAGAGAGCTTTTAAGAGTAGAAAAAAACTAGAATTTCAGGCAAAAGCCTGAAAATTTGCATCCATGTATTAATATGTAAATTTTGTGTGTAACAGTTATAACTCTGTAGTAAAAATTCATTTACAAAAATTACTGTTAATGATGGTTTGAGTAAGGAATAAATTTTAAATCATTCTAAACATATTATACATGGTTTTCTTGTTAACCAAAATACGGATACTTACTGAATAATGTTTACTTTTACGGCAAGATCCGTATAAAAACTGTAAAACTCCAAATAAATAATTTAATACTGCTTTTCACTTACTCTAAATTTAGGAGAACGAAAACAATATCCTTGGCAATTTTATTATACGAAATTGAAAAGGCACTGCGCTCATTTCATTCATTAACCTTGTTATTTCTTACCTGCAGAAATATGGGGATTGTAATGGATGCTACTTTTAGTGACGTCAGATAGATGTGTCACGTGATTGGTGCCCGGATATCCGGTAAGTGCTTGCGCGGGGTTCTGTGTATTGGAATTTGCCCACGCTGTATGTGATGGGAAACTGTCATTGGTTGGTAAATTAGAATGAATACTTGACTGTAGACTTGACTGTAAACTCGCAAGGTTGTGCATCTGTAAAACAAAACGTGAGATGTAAATATATAATTAAATAGGCCTACAGTCGCCGGCAACTCTCGTTTGCTTAACATTTACAGTAATTACAGCCTATTCAGTATCACGCCAAATATACTAAATGTCCTTGTCCATCATAGGACTAAAGTATTCATCTGAGTGACGGAAAATTTCAATATATATATTACCTGCCTAGCAAACATCGCAGACCAAGAGCAGACGACAAGGTGCCTGCTGATCTTCGTCTGTAATGGTCGCATGAATATTGAATATATCTAGGATCATTAGTGCAACAATATCTTATTCTTAGACTGCCTTGACATTACCAATGCAAGAACATTTTTTATTCCCATAGTTTACTATAGCTTCTGACAAATTGTCTTTTATTTACTATTTGTTTAATGAATTATATGCTAAATTGTGGGATATATGGCTTTTTTATATTTCTAGGGAACGGATTTTGACAAAAAGCTTGCATCATGTGTGCTGTAAAGGCGAAATGATGTTACTGTACCTGGCTAGCATGATTCAAATAGTTGTCCATGATTCCATGATAAGGTACATGACTGTGCTCTTGTTTAAGACTTGATGCTGGTACAGAATGGTGTATCCCAGATGACATAGAACTTCGATGCCATATTGCGTCTATAATATAATAATATACAATATACATAATAAATGTAAATAAAAACTAAATCACCAGTTAATTGTTAGGGCACAGTTGCGCATGTTATAAAGAGAAAGATTAAGTGTATGAATTTTACTAGAATTTTCGATCTTCACATAATATCGATATAATTAGAATATTAAGTTGTGGTCGGCTTTTATGTTAATTCAGGTTTAATGGAGACGGTTCATTTTTGCATTAAGAATACATCAAGCGAACATATTTTGACATTTATAGATATCTTTGTTAATTAAGCCTAAAGAGGATAACGGCATTCATAGGTGTGTTTTGTTTTAATACCTTGTGCGGCAGGGAAACGTGTAGCCTGGTGTGTCATGTAACATGTATGGGTTGGAAGGTACGCCTTGTGGAACTTGTAGCAGACTGTTAAGGGCCGAGATCTGATTACTTCCCATTTGTTTACGCCACCTAGCTCTCCGGTTACTAAACCAGACCTGTACACGAGCTTCTGTCAACTTTGTCCTTTGAGCTAGCTCTTCACGAGTATAAATATCCGGATAATGTGTGCGTTCGAATGCGCGTTCCAGTTCTTCTAATTGTTCTGCGGTGAAAGTAGTTCGGCTCCGTCTTTGTTTGCGCTTTAATTGTAATCCGGGTTCAGAATCACAATCAGACAACTCTGAAAATATAAAATGTTCATAAATGTTTCATTGCCTGTAAAAACAGTTTTTATACTGTGCGTTTATTAGAAACCATTCTAAAAGATAAAATAATCCGTTGTATTTAAATAAGATTATATCCGTCGAAATTAGTTTATAACGCTTCCGCGGACAATTTATTTTAATGATATACAAATCAAAAGAAGATCATGCGATTTTAGAAAATCATTGGTGTTACACTTGAAAACGCATTGATTTAGGATGATTTACATAGAAGAGTGTTGTGCGGAGAGTTTATGACTTCGATTTACATGGCTATAAGCCGTGGGACGTCCCAGCGTTCATTGCACCATGATATTGTATAAGCTTGTGTGTGCCTGTTTGATCACCGTCAATAATCGAATCAAACATTAAAATTGACTTAAAACTTTTATTTCATAAGATGCTGTGATGTACCTAGACTTGACGGCGACTTTTGTGGATAAGTTTTTAAAGGGATGAACGCGATAAATTGGAGATTATAATTCCTTTCTGGGTGATTTTATGCTTCATTACGGCCAGAGCTCCTGTGTTTACTTTATAATTTTAAAGTTATGGCAATTGGCGTCAGATTATCCAAGAAATATAAGACTTAGCGTCGTAACTGAACATTTGGTTTAATTAGAGGGTAATCATTCTGAACAACAACTTGTACCTAAGACAAACTGTTCATGCATGGTGACCGTGGCAATATTGAAATAGTCTGTGAACGCGAAAGAATTTTTTTGTTGTGCATATGTAAAATTATGTCACATACGTTCTCTGTTAGTTCTAAATCTTTATATTTTCTTCTAAATGCACTTAACTGCATTTCTGTCAAGTACGTTATGACGATACTGATCTTATTTCTGATTGACCTGGTTTGTCATACTATGAGTAAGAAATCAAGGAATTATGTTCCATGTAAGGAGAAGCCATGTAGCATATATATGCAGCAGAAAGTTGATGCATACTTTAACAAATAGTGCGGATCAATGTCTCTTAGAAAGTATGCCAAGCATGAGATAAAAATACGAATATATTATCATCACAAAAATATATATAACATTGATAAATACCCTGAAAAAATCAACATCATTTAATGGGAATTCAATTTTAATTTCCGAACACGTCAAGGATTTTATAATGTAATCAATCACTCTGGAGGAAGCACGGAAATCAAAGCACAGCGGGACCAATCAAAATGACGGATCAAAGTGACTGCGGTCCGGGAGGCTGTCACGGATAGGTCATTATCAATCATTATTTCTCTCGTTAGCCAATCAGAATTGCCTAAAGTCGTGTAACCTAGTCACCCACCGCGTGGAATTCTTCAAGATATTTCATCGCACAAAATGGTTTAAAACGCTGTCAGAAATTACAAATTCATAATAATAAATTAAGCGAAATGTTCTTAAAATTATTCTTTGCACCGTGAAGCATGCAGCGATCGTTTTAAAAGACATTTCACGTTCATTTTAATAAGATCTATATTCTAGTATAAAGTGTTAAGATTTCTGGTCGTTGTTGCTTTTTGTTGTTGTTGTTTTTTTACTTTTGAATACTAAGAATTTTCATTAAAATTATTTTGTTCATCATGTTATCATACATTAAATCATTTGTAACTAAAGCATTAATACTGTCATTGTAAGAATATAAAGCAGGGAAATTAGTAGATTTTTAGAACGGTTTGTGCCATAGCTAATTGAAAGTTTGGCACGAAGTGTACGTGTGACAGAGGCTAGAAAATTCATGTTGGCAGTTGATAAATGACGCTATGGGACAACAGTATCAATTAATTCTAGCGCACCTCTATGTCACATCAGAAATGATATTTTGACCTCAATTCATGACATTAGCTATGACCCACCATCCTCCAATCTAAGGGCCAGCGGGATTCCTAGTGGATGAAAACCAAACCCTTTTAAGAACCTTTGGAATTAGGCAAAGATGTACAGAAAGTGAACTGAATTAACTTTTTGACAAATCTGTTTGATAAAAAGGAATGATGGACCACTTACCGCGTATATAATCCTATTTTGTATGACTTTAATTTCGTTGGACGAGGATTTCATATTGGTAGGCCATTTTGTATTCATGCGCGCATGTGATCGGTGTAGGAATTATGAGAAACGATATGACATCTTTAAGATGAACATTAATATTTGCATGAAATGGAATAAAATGTAAATACTTCAAACATGAAAGAATGAATAAAAAAGGTTAATTATGCAGTTTATATGATGTACAAACGGGTCTTTATTTCACACTACACATCCCGTCTGGCCAAAATGTATTAATGTATTTGACATGGATGGTGAAAAGCAGGCAAAATCATATTTAGTACCGTAAAACTACTTAATATTATATATCACTACAGACCAATATTACAACGCATTTTGTCCTCTTTTACAAAAAAAACAAAATGTTTATTTTTAGTGCATTTTTATTTTACCTCTTAACATTAAATTATACTTAGAATTAAAAGCAATTTATGATCATGAACAATATCTTATGATCCCAACCGAGAAACGTCTCATTGAAAAATATAATAATATAAATCATTCATATTCCGACATAGTGTGTTTTTCTCTCCATTTAATGAAAGTGGTCAGCTCTTAATATACCACTTGAGGCCTAAATTTGATAAATTCTTTGAGGGGAAAATCATTGAAAATGATCAGCCTGGCGTTAAGTGTTCTACGGATAATTACGGTATGACGGTGTTTGTTCGTGAATATACGGAAATTGTGCATTCTCTACGATTATCTCGTCTCAATTCTCCTCCACAACAATCTTTCAAAAGCCGCACGCAACATCTGTGTGCACGCGCCATGTGTTATTGCTATGGAAACCAACTGTCATTCGTTTTAAAAAAATATAACAGAATAGTTTAGAATACGTGAAATAGGATTAAAATTTATCTTGACAGATGTAACGTAAAACTTCTTTTTACTATCCGCACATCGTTTTTTAATGAAATATTTTTAAGTTTTCAAACGATTTCAAAATCGAGTTTTTTTTCGTTTAACCATGATAAGTTAATAAAATCTAATGTGTAAACACTACAACGTTTTTGCTTCAAAAGTCGCAATTTTTTTATAAAATATTTTATAATAGAATGAAATATAAAAAAAAATGGCTAATTAACCATTTTGAAAAAATTATCTTAAGCTCAATAATTGATTTCGAAAGTATACATCGATAAACCTTTGTTTTTTTTCTTCTTAACTTAACAAAAATATTATCTTATTAAGAAAAATGGGAAAACGGAAATTTTAATGCAAGCTGTGTCACATGGTTTAGCAAAAGCAACACCAATGAGACACATTTTTGAATAAGTTAAAATAGTTTTAGTATGTTTCACTTCAATTATCATTTCTTATCATGATTATTATCACAGATAGTGAAGGAAATATTAGATCAAGTTAGTAACAATTTGCTAGATTGACATTTAATTTGTCAGATAATTGTCCGTGTATTTTGATCTGATAAAACACGGCACGCGAGCACCGTCTATGATTGACACCTAACATGATAACACTGTAATGACTTAGATAAATTATTCGAGTTGCTGATGGGGTATGATAAATGTTAAAAAATATGGTCCACGTATCACTTTAATTTGTAAGCATTTCTTTAATATATACATTGTACTATGCTCAAATTTGATATTAAAATTAGATACTAGTCTCTTTGTAAATATAAAATAAACACGTTTTGACTTCATACAAAGTAGATACATTATGTTCAAAATTTTACACAAATAATGTCATCTAAAAAAATGGCAGTTTTTTAAGGAAGGACAAACTTTACTTGTCCCGTAATATAGGAACGCAGCTTCCAGTACATAGTTTATACATATCTTTATTCAAATTAGACGTATTCAGATTTCAATAAGTTTCTGTAATACAAATACTTTACTCAAGGATGAGCATAGCATATCTTTAAATATCATAACTATTGTGCTGCAAACAGTAATATGTAAGTTAACCAAATCATTACATTATATACTCGAAATAGTTGTACACGTTGATAAATGTAAATGTTCACACCATTTTCATTTATCTATTATTTTTATAAAGTGACAACCTAATATTTAAAAAAAATATTTTGTTATGATGGGTAGTTTAAAACAAATATAAATTGTTGTAATACGCCAATAATGTTCACAAAATCATGTAGTTTAATTAAATAAAAACTATTGTTAGTAGTGATGAGATCGTACTTTAAATGCCACGATTTGAAACGACTGTTTATACTGCAATCATTATTGCTGAAGTCAAGTTATTTCAACCTTTCAAACCAATCCAACCACTTTCTTTAGGTAAAAGCTCTGTTTGTACAGCAATCTTTATTGTTGCAGTCAAGATATTTCAACCTTTCAAATCAAATTTTACGATACTTGAAAATAGTTTTCCAGTCGATTTACTAACAACGAACGCCCGTAATCAAATTTGACAATGAAATTGCGGATGAAATTGATTTCTTTACTAGTCCCTGCTTGCTGACGTAACGGACATGCAATACGTCAATCATATTGACGTTCCGGTTACGTAAAACATCGCCTCGTGCCGCGAAATAAATCCAAACTGAAATTAATACAAAAGAAAGGGCCTTGTTGTATTTTCAATCAGTTAAAATTCTAAAATTCCTTCGTGCTGTTTGTTGATAAAGGTAATTTTGTAGAAAATTCAAATTTTTCTGCCGTAACTAATAAATTAGCTTCGTTTTTCATCCGTTGATAAGAATAGAATGATTTCTACCTTAAATTCATATCTTTACGCACGTTGAAGGGCGTTTTACTATAATATATTATAACTAGCATAGTAGAATGTGTTTGCTTGGTTACTCACTTAAATTCTACCCTCCTCACTTTAACATGGGTGCAAGTTAAAATATCATGAAAACCTTAAATCCCTTTATTTAGTCTTATTTCAATCGGTTTTATTTAGAAAAAGAGAGCTTTTAAGGGTAGAAAAAACATGAACTTCAGGCAAATGCCTGAAAACTTGTACCCATGCTTCAATCAATAAATACGTTCATTTTCATGTAACATGTAAATATATTTTGTTTTATAACTTAATATTTTACAATCATGGCTGATATCATTACTTGTGTGATAAGCACTACAATAGGTGGTCATTCCCTGGAGATATCGTTTTCATTAATGTTTCGGAAATTTGTTTTCTTTTCGATTTTAATCAGATGCTAAAACATGTAATATTTAAAGGAGGAAACGTTATAACTTAGCTCCAATTAGGCAGAGGAATGGGGTACAATTAAACACAGGAAAAGATGGTCCGGTAAAACAAAACTATACGGTACTTTTATACAGCCTGTTTCATTAAGAACTTCAAAGAATTTCTAAACCACGGGGCAATTCTTAGAAATTTTCAGCAAGATGTTAAGTTATCCCCTATAGGGTTGCCAGCAGGAGGCCGTATCACATTCATACGTATACTGCATCAGTCCATATGGTACGGTATACGGTATGAAAGACTAATTGCTAATCAAACATCTTGATAATTTAAAGTTTGTCTTCTAATTTTGTGATCCCCGCCGAGGTAGTCTAGGAACTCGCCGTCTTGTAGTGTAATTAAAGAACATAAAATAAGTTATGTCCAGGTTGCTTTACCATCAATTTAGGCTAATAAACATCTTAGTTAACTTTTATCCTTAAATGAATCTTTTTCATGTTTTTTATTATTGATATTAAGAAGAATAACAAAAAGTTATACAAAAAGTTGATACATTATAATCATTTTTAATATTACAACAGATATGCACGATCGTTTTAATTGCTTATCATAAATATTATGTAGTTATTGCTGATGTTTAATTTTGTTGTATTTTTAATATATCATTATCCATTTATATGTTGTTGTTGTTTTATACTCTATCTATCAATGCTCGCATTCATCATTATTATAACCATCTATTTCTTTTTCCATTTTTTTATTATCACAGACCAATTGGAGATCAAGTTTGATCAATTATGATATACAGTTCTAATCAAATACGAATATATCAGTAATAGTTACATTAAAACAATGCTTTCTTGGCTATACGAGGATGAAAGTGTATAATTTATATAAATGAACAATTACTCTATAACGATTGTTATACGATTAATATTTTATCATGACATAAAGTGTACTATGTCAGAATTGAACATATAAACAAATAACCAGCAGAAGTACTACAATTTACAGGCAATACTAACTAAATTTTCATCAAATAATAATACATGTCTGCCAGTCTTCGCAGACAAATGCTGCTAAAGTAATACTAACATTTTAAATCACAAAATATATAGTACGAGGAAATACGACGATGGCTACATGGGATAAAATATCATTCAAAAATGACCATATACATGTATGTAACTGACTTGAATTTTGATAAATACAAATTAGCGAACTAATTCTAATAATGATATTATATTTCCTAAATAAATAAAGTGGTATTTTGCGCACTTATACAAAGTAAAGGCAAAATTATATAAATTAAAGAATCACAAATTAGAAGAAGAAAAAACTTTTCCTTTATATTTGAAATAAAAAGAAAATGGATGTGATGGATATAAATGGATAAAATTTTATGAACAGAGAAGTAAAATGTGCGGTAACTCGAGGATTCTTGTTGTTTTATTAAAAGAGAAGTACAATTTAAGTTGAGGATGTTTGTTGTACAATATGTCTCTAATATATTTATCATGTACACCATTTCTCATTTAACATATCAACTCAATGTTGAAGTGATGTCAATAACGATTAATCTTCAAGCATTTAAATACAATAGAACATAAACAGTTTAAACAGGACAAGATGTTTCCATCTGACAACTATGATAGCTTGCAGCAGAACGCAGCTTTGTTCTCACAAAATCGAAAATAAAAACAAGTTACTACTGACAATGTTGCCTATTTTGTTTTCTCAGATAAAAAGTCATTTTTAAGAAACATAATTAAATCACAGGCTGACCAATCGATCTTCTTAAACAGCGCCATCATGTTGCAACAGAACATAGTTTTTATCAGATGAACCCCATTAACTTTTGCTATTCAATTAAATTTGATTCAAATTTTGATTACAAAACATTATCTTCATATTGTATCATGAGAAGTTAATGATGTTCTATTATATGTTTGATTTGTGACAGGGGGTAGGAGGACCGAATCGAGACTTGTAGCTTTGTTCCCTAAATCACAGTGCTAGACTGGGGGATCATTTATTTCAGAAATGTTTGCGAGCAAAGAAATATTGAAACATGATGATAATCATGAAATGATTATGTTAAAAGAAATAACAAAATAAATTAATGTATCCATAAAAACAATAATGAAAACAAAAAAGAAACAAACATTAATGAAAACAGTAAAAATGACCAAATTACGAGTGATAATTTTAAAGAAATGAAGGCGATTATTGTAATTTTAAGTTAAGTACAATGGTATAGACTGTAAGTAAGAAAGCAAGGCTGAAGTCGCACAAAACAGGGAATTGAGCCTTACTAAAACATATCGGAAACTAAAATTATTTTGGTATATGCAAAGTGCTTATGTTAAAACGTCAGTTTTGGTGATTTTGTAAATATCTTATAAAAGTAATTTAATATAATCAGAAAATAAACTGCTTTACTTACCATCATCACCATCGCTTTTGTCTTCGACTTTATCATGACCTAGGATACCATCTATGTCATGGTTACCTCTGACCTCTGACCTTTCAGTGTCACTCTCATGACCTTCACTCGAATCTCCATCAGAACCCTTGATATTGAACTTTGCCCTTAATACACGACTTATGGAACTAACACTAGGTACAGTACTACGGTCACAGAGTCCATCCTTTAACAGTCTGTCACGAATTTCCCAACTAAATATTCCCGGGTTGTCTCTTTTGTAATTTTCAATCTTCCTTTCAACTTCTGGTGTGGCAACTCTTGGTTTCGAACCACCTATAACACCGGGGCGGATACTACCTGTCTCTTGATATCTTTGCAGTATTTTAGACACACAGCCATGTGAAACCCTCAATTGTCGGCTGATAACGCAAGGACGTACTCCCTGAGCGGCCAGCTCTACTATCTTAAGCCGGATGTGGTTAGGAAGTGGTCGGCCATTGATAAATACCCCACCTAGCTGATTCACACGACCTTGTCCTAGAAATAAAAAAATACAGTTTAACTTTTCAGATACTACGGTGAATAATGTAGATTTGTGTATCCAACTGAAATTACTCTCTGCCATTCAATGATTTGTAACAATTAATTTCCTAAGTCAATGCTGAGACTTTTTTGGTCCCAAGTCAATGTTAAAAATTGGAAACATTCAAAAATTAAAATTTCAAACTATCTTTTGCATCCATCATTTAATAAAAATTCATAATTATAATAAATGAAATGTATGACAGGCATATAATATTTTTTTTAATCAGAATGTATGTTTTCTTAAATATTTTTCTTGTTTATTAACATTATTTGATTTAGATATACCTACAGAATATACATGATATCACTTAAAATGATACTCAAAAATATCAACAATTAGTAACCTTACTTTATGTTAGTATATTGTAATTGTTAAAATTTTGATATTTAAATAAATATTCCGTTTTAAATCATTCATTCCCTGTAAAATGAATTTAGATTTAATTTGTGTTTTATTTATGTATTTAATTTTAAGTTTGATTAATCTAATATTTTGTGAAGTTTATATTTTTTGGAAAAAAAGTGTTTTTAGTGTTAACTTATTACAATGATTTATACGATTTTGTTTCCATTTCTTCAAAGTCAATCTTTTCTTCTTAAAAAAAGATACAACTCGTGTTATTTTAAAATCTCCTTACAAACATTTAAGTATTTCGTATTTTCACTTTCAAACGTATATCTATTGTAGTGAACAATATTTCACTGATTTGTCTGTAACAAGTTTTTGTATAGTATACATTTTGAAATCTCTAACATCTGACAACAACGTTATTAGATTTCTTATGAATCTATGTTTTCAAATAAATTTACACATGATCCCGTTAATATGATAAAATAAAAAAGTAAAAAACACGGTATACCATTGTTACTTCTTACAAATAACTTGTGTACTGAAATTTACTACTTTAAACATTCAAAACTATTTTCAATATTTGATTCAGTTTTATTAATTACTGTTTAATTACGAGCTTTGAAATATAAAATGAAAAATGGATTTTATTAAAAAAAAAATAACAAAAGATTGACAAGTTAGTGTAAAAAATACAATAAGTAAGTTTTTCTGAACGTTAAATTTCAAATCTTATTTTTTTTCTTCTGTGAATATATTAAAATCCGTGCATGAAATATGAATCAAGAAAAAATGTACTGTTAATGTAAAAGGTGTTTAATTATAAGCAATAAGTCCGTTCCTGAAATTACATGGTTAGTTAGTTTAACATTTACACAGATAATTTATACAAGTATATTATGAGATGTGACGAGATGTACCTTTAAGAAAAACCTCCGTTTCAAGTTGTGTATATTCCATGTTAAATTACAATTATACGTTCATTCTATGGCACAAATTAATTTCACAATTAACAATGATCTGGTATCACCGGTTCACTTTTCAGTGGTGTAAGAAATTTTGAGGTGTGCTCGGAATAAAGTACGAGTTCATTAATATGCAAATGAGATAATGAATTATGCATACATTGAAACAAAAGGCGGGAGATCACCGGATGTGGTCCAATGCCTTACATCACCGTCTGGACCAGGGCTGATAAGCCAAGAGTACGCCTTCGTTCAAACAATGTTAAGCCTATTTATATTATTGGTTTAAAATTTATTCTTCTGGACTTCTGGACTCTTGAATGCAATTTATAAAAACTACCGGTCAAATCTAAAAGGACTGAAGGGGTAATTTAAAAAAAAAATGTATGAATTGCTGTAAATTTTCAGGCACATTATGCCTCACAAACAAATAAAGTTGTGCCTCTTTAGAAAAGACAAACATGAATTTTATAATGTTAACTATTTTTGTCCCAGGTTTAAATAATGGTTCGAGAGAATGTTAGATGCTTGTTACGTATAGAAGGTAGCCATATAATTATGTGAAATAATTTGTCGTTAAAGTAACAAATGTATGTGACTTCCATACAAAATACACTTTGTCACTATAACTGTTTTATTTCCAAAAAGCAACAGATAAAACAACAGAAAGCTGCTTAAGAAAACTGGCCAATGAGCAACTTTTCGGACACTATTAAAGTACATCAAAATTAAAAAAGCTTCTCATAAATAAAAGTAAAAGCATTACTGAGGTATAATTTGAAGTTACATCTATTTGATTGAACGATATAATTCCACGTTCAGTTCCTTTATCATTAAATTTGAAGACTGAATTTGTGTTGTTTTGTAGCATATAAATCACGTGCATTTTAAATGACTGTTTAAGATGGGGTTTTTTTGCAGACAATATACTATGTATAAGACTTTAATTACAGTATGATCTATTCAGTTTCTCTTCAGAAATGTTTCCATGTATTTTTATCATTTTTATTAATACATCTTACGGCATCAAATGATCATTTTAAAAAACGTCTAAGAAAATTGAAAGACAGTGTTTTGTGATAATTAATGAGGAAATGTTAATGAATTGATTGTTTCATTAGAACATTTGTCCTTAAAAGTTGCAACATGATATGTACATTAATCATGTATACATGTTTTATAAAAGCTATTATTGAACTGTATCAACTGTTACCGTTACAACAGACAAGCGTCTTTTTCTAGTCCGACTCTTTTGATCCTAAAAACAGATTACTTCCAATCTGGCCCCGTCAACTTATCATTAGTAAAGATCCATAAAATGACATCATCACAAGTGAGCTGGCCCCCTAACGGCTTATTTTGATAACCCCTAATTTTCTTTGATTGTACAGAAAACAAGTGGGCAAAGATGTTAGGGTGATTGAGAATAGATGGGCCGTGAAAGTGATTGCAACTAATTTATTTCTGTAGTGGGACACTAAGCGGTGTTTTATGACTATCATTCCGGATAGTGTTTCATTTATTTCAATAATTGTAAAATAACATCTTTAACGATCATTTCTATTTGTGGCAAATTCCAACGAGAGATATTGCGACATTAAAGGTACATTATGCCTCAGAAACAAATAGATTTTTACTTCTTTAGAAAGAGCAAACGTTTTATAATGTGTAAATGATGGTTTTAAAGATTGTTAGATGCTTGTTACCTGAAGAAAGTAGCGAAACATGTAAAATAATTTGTAATAAAGGTAACAAAACGTAAACAAAGTTGTGTTTTTGACTGCCATACTACTTCACTATAACCGTACATATTGCCAAAAAGCAACAGATGAAAAAGAAGGTCAAGGTAATTGGTCAATGAGTAACTTTTTGGAAACCATAAAGGTCACTATAATGAAAAAAGCTTTTAAGAAATAAACAAAAATATTTCTGAGACTTAATGAGCCTTTGAAGAGCTTTAAAAAGAAAAAAATATAAGTTATAGATACAATAGATATATGTAGATAGATGTGTAACAAAATGACAAAAACATTATAGTACATATGGGATTGCAAAAATAGCATTTTTCTTTAGTTTACTTTTGTCTATTTTTGACAATTTCAATTTTTTTAAACAAATATGCAGTGGGTATTAAACAATAATTATAGATTGTTAAGTGGTAATGCTTTTAAACAAAACATAAAATTTTCAAATTATCTAACATATAAAGTCTTCCTTAAAAAAAATAACATTCTCCACGTCAAACCTTATCGAATAAAGGTCTCAAAATTGCCTCGCAAAATAAGAAAAATATCCCAACAGAATTTCTATTTTATTAAAGCGGAATTGAAGGCCATAAAAACTTTGTCATTTCCATGAAAAATCCATTGCTTTAACTTTCCCTAATATTCTTCAAATGTGAAGAATCGGAGCACATTTATCAAATATGGTCGCTCCTATTTTAATGTATGCTCCTTTAACCCTGCCTACTTTCACTAACCGGTAGGTGGCGGAGATGAAAGATCCCTGATAACTTTTGGTCCTTTTTATCATAATAAAATCACCGGGATCAAATAGTATCTTAATTGATAATGACACAACTTAACAGCTTGTAATATTAGACAGTGATTTATGTTGTAGACAGGACTCAATTTATGTGAGAAAAGTGTGTGAGAAGCTGACCAGTCGAGTTCAAAGTGAAAGTAGAAATTAGCAGGTGAAATAGGCGGGAAATTAAATTTCGCTATGCATAAACAATCAATTAACTGGTCATTGAAACAATATACAAACCAATGAATATATCAGAAACTTTATCACACAAGGTTATAATTTGAAAATTACAAAGTAAACAAAAAGGCTGATGATAGGAATTTACCGGCATATGCATTTATAAACGTAACGTTATAAAAAGTAACCATTTAATGTCTGAAGATCATTTTATTATCGTGGAGATATTACAAAGTCGTTTGTTTATAGACCATATTTCTTTTTGGCATTGATCAAAATGAAGTTTTTAAAAGCTTATGATTCAAAATAAAACCATTTTGCATGTTTTACAGCTTGATTTTGTTACATTGTTATATAAAGTTAAAAAAAAGAAGAATAAAAAAATACAAGCAACTAGCGCGTATGTATGTTTAACTCATAGTCTATCTTTTTGAATCACATATGTCTTACATAGAACCACATATTCTTAAATCAGTCTTATATAAAATGTGCGCATGCGTACAGTGCATCATTTCATATTGAATACTTTTATTTTATTGATCTTTTTTACCTTGATTATTTGAATGTCGTGTTTTGTATATATTGTATGTGTCATATTTCTTTGTACCAAACTTTGATTTTCGGGTCTTCGGGCTTGTATATAGTGTACATAAATATATCAACATATAATATAATCGTCAGTATTGTTTCAATATTTAAACAAATGTTGTTCTTCAACCACCTTCTGTCATTTCAAACTCAAATCTATGACATCATAGAATAAATAAGTATAAATTAAATAGAAATAAATTATGATTTACTAGATTATATCATTTTATACGTATGCTATATTAACATCCACCAGAAAATAGCTCGAAATGAAAATAAGTGAAGTGTGCAGAAAGAGTTTCATAGTAAAGTAAAAGTACAATATTCGTATAACATAGTTCAAGATTAATTTATTTCACTATTTCAACCAGTTAATAATACTGACATTAATTTTGTTTTGGCCACTTGTGTTACTATTTGTTGAAATAAAGGGCCAAATATTCTTCTACTCCTAGACATAACACGTCATCTATAAGTAAAAGATAAAGGTTTGACTTTGATATGGATGCATGTTTAATTTATTATCACCATAAAATTAGTGTTGAAAAAGCAATACACAAAAATAAATGTAAAGTGTTATTTAGAACAAAATACAAAAAAGAACAAAAGACCTAAAAATAATATTATTATATTTGGTCTACGGTGAAAAAGTTCACAAATTTGTTAAGAGGAACAGACTGGTAAATTGTGCAAACTTTATGTAAATTGATTTTTTATGGAGACAATATGCTTAGAAACTAACATACATTCTAATAAATATCTTAAGATAACACATATACAATGTTGAGTGGAACTATATCATTGTATTTCCTGTATTGTTTGCTACAATTATATCACTAAATATGTATTACATCTTCAAAATGTAATATGTATATTGACATCAATTTATATAATAAATATAAGCAACAACAAAGCTTACAATCTAAGGAAACAAACAACACTGTATGTTGCTAAATAAACGTGTTTGTAGATTAATCTTAATACAAATAAAACAACAACATACAAACATGTTTTGTTTTTTTTTAATTTTATACAGGATATTAGTAATATAAAATGGTAACATTAAAGTTTTTATATCTATGTTATGAAACATTTGAACAGTTTAAGCAACCATCTATTATGAAACCTTAACATATATATTTTAGAAGACATATTTAAATACAGTTTTTGTTTTCAACGGTATTTACAGCACATGATCCCCGCCGGTGAAAATATTCGAAGTTAATTTTGTGGGTCAACTTTATGCATATTTGTTGCAGAAAATTGACTTTGTAAGCGTGATAATGCATTAGTTTCATTTGAATTGTATTCTAATTAACTGATAAACTAACTAATGTTAAATGTTCAGGTGGGCGGGGTTTATAAATGTAATGGTGGCCAACAACATTTTATACTCATACATCTGTGTAGTGTACATGAACACGACTGCTATATTTTATTTAAAGGTATCGAATGAGATTTAATTGCCATATACCATATATCTTATAATTCGCATTTATATATTCACAGAAATTGAAACACAAAAAGAATATTGTATTATTACGTCTAATGCTCTTTGACAAAGAACGTATTTTCGCCCTTTCTCATTGTTGCAATAACATTACAACTACCTTAAAACAACTACAATTGTGTCATTTCTTATTTAAACATTTTAACAAAAACACATATAACGGACGATTTTTCATTACCGATATATAATGCATACTTTACCTTCCAATGGAAAACTGGACATGAGTCCGAGTCCTGCAAGATGATACGGGAATACCGGATTCAGCATTGTTGTAGACGCGGCTTTCTTTGATATTTCTTTGATGTCACTAAGAGCGTTTTTTGTTCACAAATTTACCACTGTCACTCCGCCTGATGGCTTATCATAATACCATCGTGTTTATTATGATAACATAACACCGTATCGGTAACTAGTTAATGATTAGAGTAATTAATTCAGCAATAATCTTGTCTTATCTTAACTGATTGATACGATCATCACTTTCACTTAGCACTCAAATGTAAACTGATATCACGTAAAGGTGTAAAGATTTGCCGCAAATATGGCCACCCGATACGTTCGCTTGATTATAATATACCATAAAGTGGCCCTCGGAAAGCATAAAATTTCTTTAATACCTTGGAAAATTCTTTAAAGCGGTTGGTTGATACGGACGCACGTGACTGCAACAGCTTCTTTAACGCACATCATCGCGTGTAAAGATTCTATCATGCAAAAATTCACGCCTGAGGTGTGACGATTTCAATTTGATGTTTGAAAATTTGAACAATGTAAGAGGCTGGTTTCTCGCCTGTCAATCTTACAAGAATTTTAATCACTGATCAATGTACAGATAACTCTCTACATCACGAGGTGAAGAGCGCTCAAGTGGGCGGGTTTAGTTAAGATTACATTAACATCAGAAGAAAATCTCCGTTAAATGGGTGGAGAAAATGATGCGCGATTAAAGCCGGTAAAATGGCAGCAAAAATATCGACAATTCACGCTTACCGTGCGATTCTATGGAGAATTTGGAAAGACTTGTAAAAATGAAAAGAAACACAATTATGTAGATGTTTCAATCTAGAACGCTTTTGATCTTGATAATGGTCAAATTTTGCGAATAATTTCGGCGTACGATAGACGAAATTTAAATGATTTATACATTAATGGCTCTTAATGTTATTTTTTCAAACAAGACATAAAATTACGGACATATCTGACTTAAAGAGAATCATAAAGTTGCTCCATATACCATTAAACCGGATGATAATAAATGTGATCGCATTAACATGAAATGAAATAGAAAATTATAATTAGATATTTAAGAAGGTATAAAATTAAGTGTTATTGCTTGCCGTCTTCAAATTTGTCTTATTGTTACAAGAAGAGTAAATACGTTTGGCAGGGAGGATAATAATGTAAGATATAGAACATGTATAAAGGTAGAACGCGGGTAACGAATGTAATTCATTGAGACACTAGCTTGTTTTGCAGATAATTTATTTTTCCTCGGCACACGTGCCTGTGATAAGTTCCAAGAAGTATCCTCAAAGATTGATTGAACCAGTAAACAACATAAAATTGGAGTCGGTATGTCTATGGAGCCGGACAAGCGTTTTTAGATTTAAGTGAGACAAGGTTGTTTTACAAAACATTTCACAGATAACACTTGTTATCAAACCAAATGATCTTACCTTGGCGTTTCCCAGGTAGCATCTTGTACAAAGTTTTTATCTGTCACATCATATAACGCGTCACAAAAAATACATCAATGCTAAAAGAATCAATGAACCATTAAAGTTCACAATCATGTTGGGTTTTTTTATTGTTTCTGTTTTCTTTTTTTTTTTAATTTTTTTTTTCGTTTTTGTTGTTGTTTTTTTTTTGTGCTTTTTGTTGTTTTTTCTTTGTTTATTTGGGTTGGGGGTGATTTTTCTCCTCTTTTTTTTGGGGGGGGGGGCGTTTTCATGATTTGTTTTGACTTTTTCTTTACAAATTGGTTTTACATAAACGATCATTTTATTATCGATCATTTAACTATCAGTTGCATTAGGTTATCAATTCGTATAATCAGCGTTATTAAGTTAATCAGAATTTATCTATCAAAATAATTGTCTTTTTAAGAACAATATTTCAAACACATAACCTTTCCAGATTCCAATGTTCAAATGATGTAATGATACTGTTACTATATTAACAACCATTTAACAATATACATATAGGATGAAAATACACAGAGATTATAATATGTTAAACATAATGATCTTTTGATTATTGAACTCTTGTTATATAATTTTACATTTTGAGCGACTGGGTAACACCGACAATATGAATGATAACTTAAACTTCTCTGAGAGAGGAAAAGACACGGTGACTCTTGCAGGTACACCCCTGTCCGTCTTCTTACACTGAAATGGTTCTAAATAAGCAACACACTTTTCAAGAAACTTGTAAGTAATCCTCATAAGATGCATAGGTATTTTAAAAAATTAGTTTTGATGTTATGTATGATCGAGTTAAGACCCGAAAATGGACGACGTGCACATATTGAATTGGGACATTTATATAGTCAGTGACCTTTTCTCGGCCTGTGTCGGTTTCCGAAGTTAACCTTATGGACTTGAACGTATAACACCAGTTATAAACACGTTTTGGTAGTTTAAAATAATATTGTGGGTTCGATACCATGAATGTTGTTGCAGTAATTTTACAAAATGCGACAATATTTAATGAACACAATACATACGATTTTTTTCATAGATCTACATGTATAACATACAGTATTCATTTAAAAAAACGAGTAAAATAAGAATATACATTTGTATACATTATCCATTATCCCACATACGTTGTAAATAATGAAAGGGATAAATAAAAGAAGAATTTATGAGTGAGAAGTATTATATTATAAAAAAGAATGTCTGCTTCTAGTTGGAAAACCTACATGTTTGTGGTTAGCGTTTTCCTTGCCACTAGGCCATTAGGCTTAGGTTGGATATTTAAGAGCGATCTAAAGCATTAAAACTGAGATTTAAGTTTTATACAAAACCATCGATATTTTTTGAAAATGAACTTTGAGTTAGAATTTTCCAGGTTAAGTTGTGGACAGGACTTTAACAGATTCAGCATACCCAAAATGTGTAAAATATACCAAGATACCACTTGTACAACAAAATGCCTCGAGCATCTTATAGAGGGCCAACTTGTGTCAAAATCAGTCCTATATTATATGTTTTGGTGTTAGGATGTTTTCAGTACTTGTAATATAATCCTTAACTTCTATTTGAGTGAATCATCTTGTCATATGTTTAGGTAATGAGTCAGTATAATATACATTACAAGGGTTTCAGAAAAAAAAATTGGCTACCAATTAGATAACTCGGATAACATAATAGTTTTTTGGCTTCGGTTTATAGCGAACGTGTTATTATTTTTCCAATGTTTTTGTTGATAATGTTTTGTTTTTTTGTAAGCTATAAGAAACTAAATATTAATATGTCTTTTTATATACACATGTATTAACATACTAACAACAGAAATAGAAAATGTGCTTCTGTTTTAATTATTGTTAATGTTTATGAATATCTTTTTATGTGAAGTTTAATAAAATTGTTATTTTTTCCCAACGAAAACTTCAAATGGCGACATGTTGTTTTCTTATTCAGGTCACAGGGCACATAAATTGAACGAAGTATTTACAAGGGAGAGGAACTAAATAACTTCTCTTTCGTTCTTCTCTTTTTCAATTACATGTATATGTGAAAAAATGTAAAAATTGATTAAATATTGAAATAACTTTATTTCAAGTACCAACAGGATTCGTGGAAGGTGAGTTTTGGACTTTGCCAGAATACCTATAGCAATACTATCAACACGTTTAATCCTCATTTGAAGAACAATTTAGTTTAAACAATAAATTTTTACAATCTATACATTTACATTATAAGGTTTATAAAATAAAATTTACGGATTGAGTAAAAAGCTTGAAACCCTTTTTTGAAAGTCTCTCCGTATTCAGTATTTAACAAATATTAAATAAATGGTAACAAAATATTAAATACATATCTTGTCGACTTGTGCTTGCTTACTTACTTATAGTTATTATCTTTATAATACTTATTCATGAACTTAATTAAAGAGCCATTACTGTTCGATTTAAGGTATAAGCACGAGTAAGAAGACATTTTTGTAAGAACCATTTTCTTTAAAGTCCAAGCGAAGACATGCAAAACAGTTTTCACCATATAAACTTTCTATCAGTTACATTTCGAGTGTTAAAACACCACTTTTGTATTTAAAATTTTACAATATCTCAAAAGACTTTCTTAGATAGAGATAAGCATTGTTGATACGCTTTTATGATGTTTCATCTCGAAGACAAAGTAAATCATCACGTCAAAAAGGTTCTGTAACTCCTGTAAAGAATGTTAACTATATCCCTCTTGCAATAAATATGCTGGAACTACTTTAAATTATAGTGTTTTCAAAAGATAGCATTTTGATATACACTAGTAGTGTTTCAATGAATATAATTGTAGATTTTTTTTCATGTATAATACTATTATTTATGTACCATTATGTGTATTTAATAATGTAACATGCACAAATGAGAAAATAAACTAATAAACTGGGTTTTTTTATCATTATTATCAATGTTTAAAGGAAGAAGTTTACCACTGGCTTTGTAATACATGTATATTATATACAAATATTTAGATCAAGGAACAAAAACACCGAGTTCATTAAGTCATTATCGAATTTTATGTAATATCTATGTTAGGATTACAATAGTTGAATACAATGATAATACAAATCTGTGATATTTATGTCCCAGTCAAAAACAAAACTGGTAAAAAGGTGATCCCTCGGAAGCATAAATCATAACAAAGTTACATGAAAAGTGCAGACTTGGTTTGATTGAGTCTGTACATGAGTGCAAATCCATCACGCCCCTAGCACCGGCTTGAGAGGTACTGAATTTTCATCACTCAAAAGTTCAATTTAAAAAGCATAGACGGTGTACGTATAATAACATGTTTATAATAATTGTTTTATGGTTTTTGTTTTATCCGTAGTCACAATACAAAATTTCATTATTTTTTATTAAATCCTTTCTTTCAGTTTAAGTACGTTGATTGAAAATTCTTTTTTAAGAAATAGCCATTTTTAATGATTTTGCAAAGCTTAAAGCAAAGAAGTAAACAATGCTTGTTACTTATTGACGAAATTTTACAAACGACATGAAAAGAAGGAAAAATAAGGCCTTAAAGGTGTAGTAATATTATTTTTAGATTCTATATAATTATACATGGTGATTTTGTTTGTAACTTATAAACACTAAGTTTTCTTGCAGCTCTGTAAAGCTTTTATGAAAAAAAATGTTTCTAAAGTGTTCGCATTAAAAACATATCTAAGAACCAAAAATATGTCTTGGTGTAATGTGTGGTTCAACTGTATGGTCGTTATGGGAAGGCTTGGTTGATGACCCAGTGGTTGATAGTCTCGTCTCTCTTTTATTGCCGGCATGGTGAGATTGAGCCTTATTGTGATTACAGCAATACTTCCTCTTGTGGCATCAGTATTGGTGAGTTCTCGGAAAAGTGCTCGATTATGATTATAAAATACACGTAAGTTGCAAGAATTTGTTTCATATTTAAGTTTAATAGAGACATAATAATGTATGTTAAAATTGAACTATAATACTATCAAAGGTCAAGGTCATGTATGTTAAACCATCTGCAGTCACCTACGTCAATAGTAAAACACAATCTGGTCATATTGTGCTTCAAATATTGATTGAAATATACCTAGATCAGTATCATCTTAGCCGGCGGTGGAAATATGAATTTTATTTCTTTTGCAATAAATCAACAGCTTGTTATCAAATGTTAATGAAATTAAAAATAGATCCTACAAAATATAAAGCCTATATCTTCAGTAGAAACAATATTTTAGATCACTTTTACGTAAAAATATAGACAATTGCTTATGAAAGATTGTAAATTCAGTATAAGCTGAACGCACTTTTTTGCCAGAGTGAGAATGAGAATGAATTTATAAAAGATAATTTTCATTAATATTTCAATATCATGTTTCAATAATTCATTTCCCTTAATCAGATAATTCATTAAGTGCAAATCGATGACTTTGTTTGCATTGTGAATTACAATAACTTTACAGAAAACACCGTTTCCCGACGGAACACTAAGCCTCGTGCACCATATTGCTGGTATACGTCGATTAATGAATTTTTGAAAAGTGCGTAATCCAATGACATGGACTTTGTTAATTGCTTCTAACCCCTCTGAGCAGGTCCATAACTTTAAATATCCGGGAAATGAATTGAAACACCCGCTAATATACCTTCTAACATCGTTATTTCCAATTCATTTTCCGTGTCCTTCCCAAGTGTTTTTGGTGCAGCCATTTTATACGAATCACCTTCAAAAGACGCGCGCCCGTGGAGAGACCGGAAAATAATTTTCTACGAAGCGGAAAAGTTTATAATACGCCCTTATTCACGAACGTTTATCGTTCAAGATGCTTTCATATTTAGTTTTTCAGCCATTCATTGCACTGGCGCCGCCGCTTCTAAAAATCCCTCGCTCAGCAGCCAAAAAATCAATCCCAGCATTCAACAGTTCGGAACGCATCGTCTGCTCTTAGAATGGCGTATGAATTGAGTCTATATAATTTCATATTTTTCACTTTTGTTCTACAAGAATGGACGTAAACGGATTATTCATGCTTACAATGTGGCCTAGATTAATTTCTCTCATTTTTTGACGCAGTTATTAAATACCAGTGATATTAAATAAGTAGAAAAACTTGTGTGGTCGCGCTAAACCAAGCTCAGCATACAAGTTGGTATTCAATAAAAGCTCATTAAAGCATGTAAAGTTGTTATTAAATACATGACATACAATGATGCTGTGATCGACGTGTGAAGACGTATTTAAATAGGACTATTAAAACTAGTGCAAATGAGCAAGACACGTTGTAAAAATATAAATAAGAATAAAAGAACATTACCACCTGGTTATAAGCACCCTCATTTCTCTTTATGTCATAGAATGAAATGACATTACATGCAGTTAACTTATTTTATAGTCAGCCCCAGACGATTCTCTGTACTTTCTAGCATAGTATAAATTGCATAACCGTGCTACTAGACCATCTAACATAAGAATTCGCAATGTCCTGGAACAAAACACACAGCGGTGAAGGATTATTAGTTTTTGGTCATTTTTTTTTCAATGTGGTAAGACCTCGAGTTGTATGTATATTGTGTGGTACAAGGTGACATGGGATTATGCTACATATGTAGGCTAGATGTACAAAAATATACTTCAATGTCGGAGATATTATACTATGTCTAAGATCAATGTGGATAGAGTTACGGGTATATCCTCACAAATAAAAACATTACAAGTTCACATTTGAGCCGCGTCACGACAAAACCAACATAGTGCGTTTGCGACCAGCATTAATCCAAACCAGCCTGCGCATCCGCGCAGTCTGATCAGGATCAATGCTGTTCGCTGTCAGTTTCTCCACTTGTAATAGAGTTGGTAAGCGAACATCATGGATCCTGATCAGACAGCGTGGATGCGCAGGCTGGTCTGGATCCATGCTGGTCGCAAACCCACTATGTTGGTTTTGTCGTGACGCAGCTCATTTATCATTATGCCAGACACTCAATTAAACAAGAAAACTAAACTCGTTACATTTCATCAATGCTGTGAGTAGAGATATACGACTTCTTGGTCACTAAACGTGAGTAAAGTCGGATGACTCTTATACAAATTGTTGGAAAAATTAAGCCATCAAAACACATGTTTTATCAACTTTTATGTTATGTGACATGTTTGAGTTACAGATACAGAGACCACCCATAAGATCAATTTAATATAGCAATGTTATGCCATTAAAACTATTATCTTATCACATACAGTCGGACTGTTTTAAAACTGTTATAAAGTACAATATTAATTGGCCTTGATTCCTGTGTATTCTATGTAACACATGTGATCCCTACATCAACATATGTCAACCTTTTTTACAATTAAATCGAGCAAGTAAACAATGTATAAGGAAAAAAACAAATAATTTGATTTTTAGGAGAAAAATGAAAGACTAGTGTCCACAGTCCACGTCAATTTTAAGTCCAGCTGTTTATACAATATAAAGTTTTATGAACTGAACTAGTCAATGCCCTCTTGAATTTTCTTAAAAACATTTTCGAGCACAGTTCTGACCTTTAAAAAATAGATTTGCTGTATCCGAAAGTTTCTGTTTTTGAATTAACAGTATGGACGTATCATTAAATTGTTTACGTGTGTCTATGCGTTAAAACAGCAAGTTTCCAGATTCATGCGAATTTATACCCTCTCCGTTGTCAAGAATTCTGAAATTTTATCGTTTGTCCCAGCTAAAAGTAAACAAGAGGGCCATGATGGCCCTGAGGTCGCTCACCTGTATATAGGCCGCCCCAACCCCCAGGGCTTTTATTTGCACAAACTTGGTAGACACCCATAAGAAAATGTTTCATGCTAAACATCTAAGCTCTAGCTCATTGGGCTATTTAAAAGAAGATTTTTTTAAAGTTTTTACTATACACATATAGTTAAAAACAATGACACGCCTGGGGCCGGGCCAGTTATGACCCCAGGGTTTTTATTTGAACAAACTTTGTAGACACTTACTAGAATATGTTTCATGCTTAATATCTAAACTCTAGCTATTTGGGTTTTTTCAAAGAAGATTTTTTAAGTTTTTGCTATACACATATAAGGAAAATCAATGACCCCGGGGCAGGGCCAATTTTGACCCCAGGTCTTTTATTTGAACAAACTTTGTAGACACTCACTAAAATATGTTTCATGCTTAATATCTTAACTCTAGCTATTTGGGTTTTTTCAAAAAAGATTTTTTAAGTTTTTGCTATACACATATAAGGAAAATCAATGACCCCCGGGGCGGGGCCAATTTTGACCCCAGGGCTTTTATTTGAACAAACTTGGTAGACACCTATTAGAACATGTTTGATGCTAAATATCTTAACCATAGCTCTTTGAGTTCTTTAAAAGAAGATTTTTAAGTTTTTACTATATGCATATATAGGGAAAAATCAATGACCCCCCGGGCGGGGTCAATTTTGACCCCAGGGCTTTTATTTGAACAAACTTGGTAGACACTTATTAGAACATGTTTCATGCTAAATATCTTAGCGCTAACTCTTTTGGTTCTTTAAAAGAAGATTTTTTTAAGTTTTTACTATATGCATATAGGGAAAATCAATGACCCCCTGGGGCGGGGCCAATTTTGACCCCAGGGCTTTTCTTTGAACAAACTTGATAGACACCTATTAGAACATGTTTGATGCTCAATATCTTAGCCATAGCTCTTTGAGTTCTTTAAAAGAAGATTTTTTAAGTTTTCACTATATGCATATAGGGAAAATCAATGACCCCCCGGAGCGGGGCCAATTTTGACCCCAGGGCTTTTATTTGAACAAACTTGGTAGACACTCACTAGAAGATGTTTCATGCCAAATATCTAAGCTCTAGCTCTTATGTTTTTTTTAAAGAAGATATTTAAAGTTTTTTCTTTCGGTTGCCATGGCAACCAGAGTTCTGCATGGAATTAAATTCTTTGAACAATTTTTAAAGGTGACCACCAAAGGAACATTCCTGTGAAGTTTGGATGAAATTGGCCTTGTGGTTTATGAGCAGATGTCATTTAAAGTAAAAGTTTACGGACGACGGACGACGGACGCCGGACGAAAAGCGATCACAAAAGCTCACCCTGTCACTTTGTGACAGGTGAGCTAAAAATGCACATTGTGTGATGCAATGTAAAAATAGCCGTAGTTTCATAAGTACCCGAGTAAAACTATAGTGATAAAATAGTAAATACATAATAAATGCGAAGTCTAATATGAATTGGAAGTAAACATACATTTGTAATAGTCTTCACTTTTAGATTTTTCTGATTTTCATTATTTTTAGAATTGTTTAGCCGTCTTAGACCTTATAGGGTAGCTGAAATGTTAACGTAAATGTTAAACATTGTGTACTGTAACACAATATTTCAAACTTCATGAAGACTTTTCCTACTCTGTAGCATTTGATGTTTTAACTTAACGACATATACACCGACTTTCAAACCTTAATAATTTTAATTTCTAAAATATTGTCAAAACCAAACCATTAATTCTAAATATTGTTTTCTTTTAACTTCGCATGTTGTAAGAATATGATAACAGTAACATTTTAAGCGAAACAAAATAAGGATCACGTCTTTTGAGTTATATGCCTCTGAATTGGACTTTTTTGCTTAATTCAAGGGCAGATAATTCACAATGAAAGTAAACAATACCTTATTTTTATAATAGGTGATACAACTTTTTTTCACTTGAAATATTTATGTTATTCTAATAACATGCCAAGTTTAAAGATATTTTGGATAAATTATTTCTTTAAACTTGTCATAGATAAACCAACACAAACAAGTTAAATGATGATGAGGGTTTAATACAGATTTTATAATTCATTAATAGTTGTACATCAATAAATATCACAGATTATAACAAAACAATTATCTGGTTAATAAAAACCTTAACTTCCTGGAGCAGATTATTCAAGCCTTTACCACCAATATATATAGGGCCAGGCCAACCTGAAAACATGTGAAGTGTGACCAGGCTCTATAATGTTGGTAGCTCATTCTATTCTATTCAAATCTCTTCAACTTTGAAATGGAATGTTCCCAATTCAAAGCTTATTATAATATGAAAATGAAGTCAATATTAGGTAGAAGAATATAAAAATTAAAAATATACAAATCAATACATAGAGGTTGGGTACCAGAGAAATGGTAAAAAACATTTATGGACAGGGTTTGCTGACAATTTAGGCTGTTTATCTACAGGTAATATAAGTAAGTACACCTGAAAGTCTTTGAAGGATTTATGTAAAACACTTATGAACATTTTATAAATATTTTTGCAATTGTCAGGTTTTTGTTAAATGGGATCTTTCTTTATTTGTTATTATTTAAAAACTCATATAATACAGGTGTGTGTTTTAAAAATTCTTTAGTTCATATATTTATTTATATTGCTATTATAACTTATATTTACATATGTACATGTATTTATAAAATAAAACAAACAAACCTTTCACAATTATAGCAAACAATGATAAGAAATGAAATCAGAAAACAACAGAAGATTTATTATACATTACAGTGTGTACATCTTTACTGAAACTCTCAATAAATAAACATAAAGTAAATGGTTGCTACTCATATAATGACAGTCATGTCTGTGTGTTATTTTTCACTACATTATTACATTCACTAATTGCTAACATTATTTCATTCATTATTTTCTACCCTACCTTCATTCACTACATTTCTACAATTTACAAAAAAAAAATCACCATTTTTTACAATATTGCCTTCTCTACATTCTTTATAATATTACATTCACTACTTACAATATAATATTTGGTACTGTCTTATCAAACTACATTCACCAATTGCTTTCATTATTACATTTACTGCTTTCTTACAATATTACATTCACCACTTTGTTACATTATTAGGTTTACTTCTTTCAAAATTACATTAATTACTTTCTTAACAATATACATGTAACATTCACCACTTCTCACAGAAAAACTTTCATAGATAACTACATTTACTACACCCAAAAATGCATTTACTATTTTCTTAGCTTATTACATTTATTACATCCAAAATTACATTTACTTCTTCCTTGGTTTATTACATTTACTACATCCAAAATAACATTTACTACTTTCTTCTTCTTTTTTTAAACAAAATAATACTTACTACTTTCTTATTTGTTTTGAACTTTCTACAATAAGAATTTACTATTTTACCTTTCTAAAATTATCCATCACACTAAATGAGTATAAAACTTTAAAAGAAGTAATGTAAAGGTATAAAAAAATCAATATAGCCTGGTTATTTTACTAGAAGGGGTCACAAATATTGATGGTTCCCTAAGAAGCTCTGAGGTATAACATAGCAAGACATTGGTACTGGTACCAGTCTGTGAGCAATCTTGTAACCTGGCATCAGTCCTCCTGTTTTATAACTATAATGATAACTTACTTTATGATACTATAGTTTTTACCACTTTCTCATTTTTCTTACATTATAACATTTGTCACTTTCTCATTTTATTACATTATAACATTTGCCACTTTCTCATTTTTCTTACATTATAACATTTGCCACTTTCTTATTTTTCTTACATTATAACTTCTGCCACTTTTCTTACATTATAACATTTAATTGTTACATTCTTACATTATAACATTTGCCACTTTTCTTACATTATAACATTTAATTGTTACATTCTTACATTATAACATTTGCCACTTTTCTTAAATTTTAACATTTTTTACATTCTTACATTATAACATATGCCACTTTTCTTATATTATAACATTTATTACATTCTTACAAGAGTTACATGACAACAACTATACTACACGTTGTCATGACAACAATATTCACCTTCATTCTATACCCTGGATGCAATCATAATTTATGTCACATGTCTTCAGATATGTCAAACATCAAGACAATGTTCCTTGTGAAAATATTCAGTCAATCAACCATACAAAAGGTTCCATACTTTTGCCACATACTAAGCAGTTAAAAGAAACACAACTGACTGAAGTCTCGTGAAGATTTGGAATTTCCAATCAGAATGCGCCAGAAATTACCAGAAGCGCCCCCTAGTGACCCATCAGGTCAAACAGGCAACATGTACAGCTTCTTAGACAACGAGTGCTTGAACTCACATAACTTCACAACATTGCCAGATTGATCACACTTTAAATTATTTATCTGAAATAAACATATATTACACAAATTAGAAGAAAAAAAGGGAAACAACTTTCAACAGTTTCTTTTTGTTTTTCCTTTACAATTCTCTCCCTTTGTATTTTACTTGCAAATACAATATCAATGTCGTTTGTATAGTTCTGAATACTACTTTTGATTTTAATGTCATTCATTTTTATCAAAAATATTTTTTTATTCATTTTATCTAAACACTTATTTACTTTCAGGCAATATCATACACTAGTGTGACTGACTCATTAATGTGAATATATTACATGCACATACATGTGAACTCTCCCACTTTTAGCTGAAGACTCCCACTTTCTGCAGCCATTTTTTCAAAGATTTTTCTTAAAATAATGGGTATTTTCACAAATTAAAGAAATCTCCCTATTTTTGATGTCTGAACTTCCTTCTTTGTTTATTGCAAATTCTAAAATCTCCCTCTTTTTGAAGAAAAATCTCCCACATGATCATCAAAAAAAGATCACATGTATGCATGCAAACTATGAAAATATCTTAAAGGCCCATTATGCCTAAGAAATGCTATCATTTTTATTTCTCAAAAACTTTTTATTTGTCTATATATTTTTCAGTTCCCTTTGCATATACTTCAAAAAAAATGCTGGCAATTGGTATAATTATAGTGAATTATATAGAAAATGATAATAAGAAACAAAGAAACAAAAATAAACAGACACCATAAGATAATAATACATACAATTAATTCATATAGTCATTGTAATGAAATCTGAGCATTTTAAAACATTATTTAACAAAAGTTTGCCATTTCTAAAGAAATAAAAAACAAGGATTTCTGAGGCATAATGTGCCTTTAATTATGACATGTTGAAGATGTTTACTTTTATCTATACTAGAAGTAAATATACAAACCCCTCTGAGCAGTGAGATAAAGTGGTAAGACTTGGAAAAGTTGCTGATAACATATGACAACGCTAACATAAACAGAGACGTGTACTGTTGATGATTTGTGTCTGTAATAGTAAACAAAAACATGTATTTAATTTATCTTTCATCAATTTGTACTTTTTAACATATACAAACAAGGGAAAAACTGTTTCTTTTTTGTTAACAAGAATAACTTCAGATCAGTAATGAACTTTCAAGTATATCTTAAGTGTTAAACACTTCCATGTATGCTTGATCTTACATTAAAGAACACCCTCACCCGCCTTAAAAAAAGAAGATGTCTGATACAATGCTTGATGACAAATATCTAACCTCTTGGTATTGTTATTTCACACAAGAAACTTAATTAAATGAGTTTTACCATGTAAGTCTATGTATACTAAGCCCTTTAGAATTTAAGTTTCAAAGGAGAAGATTTAAATATATTTTCCCATACAAGTCAGTTTAAAGGAAGTGACCCCCTGAAGCTTATTGATGCCAAGGGCAGGGCAAATTTTGACCACAGAGGCACCATTTGTGTAACTTTTTGTAGATTCTACATGCCAAACATCTAATCTGGGCACTGTTCTTTCAGAGAAGACACTTTTACTTAAATAAGTCTATGTAAACTAAATTACCCCCAGGGCAGGGTCATTTTTGATCTGAGGGGCATGACTTATATAACTTTTGTAGATGCCCATTAGGCAATGCTATATGTGAAATATCTAAGCACTAGCCATTGTAGTTACACAAAAGAAGACTTAAATATATTTTCCTATCTTAAATGTATTTTCCTATCTAAGTTTATATGACTACCTGACCCAAGGGGAGGGGTCAATTTTGAGCCTGAGGGCATGATTTATTAAACTTTTGTAGAGGTTCACAAGGTGATGCTACATTGTACATGCAAAATATCTTAACTCTAAACATTTTATATTCTGAGGAAAAGCTTTAAAATTTTAAAGTCATTACTTCTAGGGCCATATTTGGCCCAAAGGCAGACTTATATAAATGATAGGCAAAGCCACATTCCAAATATCTATGCTCTTGACATCATAGTTTCAAAAAAGAAGACTAAAATAGTTTTTTATACAAGTCTAGAACTACAACTAAATGATCCCCCACCCCCACCCAAGACTGGGCCAATTTTGATCTAGGAGGTATGTTTAATATCACTTTTGTAGAGGAATACAAGGTGATGGTATATGGCAATTTTCTAAGCTCCTGACACTTAAGTTTCTAAGAAGAAGACTTTATAAGATATCTTTACTGCGTAAGTGTATATTAGAAGAAGACTTTTTAAGATATCTTTACTGCGTAAGTCTATATTAGAAGAAGACTTTTTAAGATATCTTTACTGCGTAAGTCTATATTAGAAGAAGACTTTTTTAAGATATCTTTACTGCGTAAGCGTATATTAGAAGAAGACTTTTTTTAAGATATCTTTACTGCGTAAGTCTATATTAGAAGAAGACTTTTTAAGATATCTTAACTGTGTAAGTGTATATTAGAAGAAGACTTTTTAAGATATCTTTACTGTGTAAGTGTATATTAGAAGAAGACTTTTTAAGATATCTTTACTGTGTAAGTCTATATTAGAAGAAGACTTTTTAAGATATCTTTACTGCATAAGTCTATATTAGAAGAAGACTTTTTTAAGATATCTTTACTGCATAAGTCTATATTAGAAGAAGACTTTTTTAAGATATCTTTACTGCACAAGTCTATATTAGAAGAAGACTTTTTTAAGATATCTTTACTGTGTAAGTGTATATTAGAAGAAGACTTTTAAGATATCTTTACTGCGTAAATCTATATTAGAAGAAGACTTTTTAAGATATCTTTACTGCATAAGTCTATATTAGAATAAGACTTTTTTAAGACATCTTTACTGCATAAGTCTATATTAGAAGAAGACTTTTTTCAGATATCTTTACTGTGTAAGTGTATATTAGAGAAGACTTTTTAAGATATCTTTACTGCATAAGTCTATATTAGAAGAAGACTTTTTAAGATATCTTTACTGCATAAATCTATATTAGAAGAAGACTTTTTAAGATATCTTTACTGTGTAAGTGTATATTAGAAGAAGACTTTTTAAGATATCTTTACTGCATAAGTCTATATTAGAAGAAGACTTTATAAGATATCTTTACTGCATAAGTCTATATTAGAAGAAGACTTTTTAAGATATCTTTACTGCATAAGTCTATATTAGAAGAAGACTTTTTAAGATATCTTTACTGTGTAAGCGTATATTAGAAGAAGACTTTTTTAAGATATCTTTACTGTGTAAGCGTATATTAGAAGAAGACTTTTTAAGATATCTTTACTGCATAAGTCTATATTAGAAGAAGACTTTTTTAAGATATCTTTACTGCATAAGTCTATATTAGAAGAAGACTTTTTTAAGATATCTTTACTGCGTAAGTCTATATTAGAAGAAGACTTTTTTAAGATATCTTTACTGTGTAAGCGTAGATTAGAATAAGACTTTTTTAAGATATCTTTACTGTGTAAGCGTATATTAGAATAAGACTTTTTTAAGATATCTTTACTGCGTAAGTCTATCTTAGAAGAAGACTTTTTTAAGATATCTTTACTGTGTAAGTGTATATTAGAAGAAGACTTTTTTAAGATATCTTTACTGTGTAAGCGTATATCAGAATAAGACTTTTTTAAGATATCTTTACTGCGTAAGTCTATATTAGAAGAAGACTTTTTTAAGATATCTTTACTGCATAAGTCTATATTAGAATAAGACTTTTTTAAGATATCTTTACTGCGTAAGCGTATATTAGAAGAAGACTTTTTTAAGATATCTTTACTGTTTAAGTGTATATTAGAAGAAGACTTTTTTAAGATATCTTTACTGCATAAGTCTATATTAGAAGAAGACTTTTTTAAGATATCTTTACTGCGTAAGCGTATATTAGAATAAGACTTTTTTAAGATATCTTTACTGCGTAAGTGTATATTAGAAGAAGACTTTTTTAAGATATCTTTACTGCATAAGTCTATATTAGAAGAAGACTTTTTAAGATATCTTTACTGTGTAAGTGTATATTAGAAGAAGACTTTTTTAAGATATCTTTACTGTGTAAGCGTATATTAGAATAAGACTTTTTTAAGATATCTTTACTGTGTAAGTGTATATTAGAAGAAGACTTTTTAAAATATCTTTACTGCGTAAGTGTATATTAGAAGAAGACTTTTTAAGATATCTTTACTGTGTAAGTGTATATTAGAAGAAGACTTTTTTAAGATATCTTTACTGTGTAAGCGTATATTAGAAGAAGACTTTTTTAAGATATCTTTACTGCGTAAGTCTATCTTAGAAGAAGACTTTTTTAAGATATCTTTACTGTGTAAGTGTATATTAGAAGAAGACTTTTTTAAGATATCTTTACTGTGTAAGCGTATATTAGAATAAGACTTTTTTAAGATATCTTTACTGCGTAAGTCTATATTAGAAGAAGACTTTTTTAAGATATCTTTACTGCATAAGTCTATATTAGAATAAGACTTTTTTAAGATATCTTTACTGCGTAAGCGTATATTAGAAGAAGACTTTTTTAAGATATCTTTACTGTGTAAGTGTATATTAGAAGAAGACTTTTTTAAGATATCTTTACTGCATAAGTCTATATTAGAAGAAGACTTTTTTAAGATATCTTTACTGCGTAAGCGTATATTAGAATAAGACTTTTTTAAGATATCTTTACTGCGTAAGTCTATATTAGAAGAAGACTTTTTTAAGATATCTTTACTGCATAAGTCTATATTAGAAGAAGACTTTTTAAGATATCTTTACTGTGTAAGTGTATATTAGAAGAAGACTTTTTTAAGATATCTTTACTGTGTAAGCGTATATTAGAATAAAACTTACTGTGTAAGTGTATATTAGAAGAAGACTTTTTAAGATATCTTTACTGTGTAAGTGTATATTAGAAGAAGACTTTTTAAGATATCTTTACTGTGTAAGTGTATATTAGAAGAAGACTTTTTAAGATATCTTTACTGTGTAAGTCTATATTAGAAGAAGACTTTTTAAGATATCTTTACTGCATAAGTCTATATTAGAAGAAGACTTTTTTAAGATATCTTTACTGCACAAGTCTATATTAGAAGAAGACTTTTTTAAGATATCTTTACTGTGTAAGTGTATATTAGAAGAAGACTTTTTAAGATATCTTTACTGCGTAAATCTATATTAGAAGAAGACTTTTTAAGATATCTTTACTGCATAAGTCTATATTAGAATAAGACTTTTTTAAGACATCTTTACTGCATAAGTCTATATTAGAAGAAGACTTTTTTAAGATATCTTTACTGTGTAAGTGTATATTAGAGAAAACTTTTTAAGATATCTTTACTGCATAAGTCTATATTAGAAGAAGACTTTTTAAGATATCTTTACTGCATAAATCTATATTAGAAGAAGACTTTTTTAAGATATCTTTACTGTGTAAGTGTATATTAGAAGAAGACTTTTTAAGATATCTTTACTGCATAAGTCTATATTAGAAGAAGACTTTATAAGATATCTTTACTGCATAAGTCTATATTAGAAGAAGACTTTTTAAGATATCTTTACTGCATAAGTCTATATTAGAAGAAGACTTTTTAAGATATCTTTACTGTGTAAGCGTATATTAGAATAAGACTTTTTTAAGATATCTTTACTGTGTAAGCGTATATTAGAAGAAGACTTTTTAAGATATCTTTACTGCATAAGTCTATATTAGAAGAAGACTTTTTTAAGATATCTTTACTGCATAAATCTATATTAGAAGAAGACTTTTTTAAGATATCTTTACTGCGTAAGTCTATATTAGAAGAAGACTTTTTTAAGATATCTTTACTGTGTAAGCGTATATTAGAATAAGACTTTTTTAAGATATCTTTACTGTGTAAGCGTATATTAGAATAAGACTTTTTTAAGATATCTTTACTGCGTAAGTCTATCTTAGAAGAAGACTTTTTTAAGATATCTTTACTGTGTAAGTGTATATTAGAAGAAGACTTTTTTAAGATATCTTTACTGTGTAAGCGTATATTAGAATAAGACTTTTTTAAGATATCTTTACTGCGTAAGTCTATATTAGAAGAAGACTTTTTTAAGATATCTTTACTGCATAAGTCTATATTAGAATAAGACTTTTTAAGATATCTTTACTGCGTAAGCGTATATTAGAATAAGACTTTTTTAAGATATCTTTACTGTGTAAGTGTATATTAGAAGAAGACTTTTTTAAGATATCTTTACTGCATAAGTCTATATTAGAAGAAGACTTTTTTAAGATATCTTTACTGCGTAAGCGTATATTAGAATAAGACTTTTTTAAGATATCTTTACTGCGTAAGTCTATATTAGAAGAAGACTTTTTTAAGATATCTTTACTGCGTAAGTCTATATTAGAAGAAGACTTTTTAAGATATCTTTACTGCGTAAGTCTATATTAGAAGAAGACTTTTTTAAGATATCTTTACTGTGTAAGCGTATATTAGAATAAGACTTTTTTAAGATATCTTTACTGTGTAAGTGTATATTAGAAGAAGACTTTTTTAAGATATCTTTACTGTGTAAGCGTATATTAGAATAAGACTTTTTAAGATATCTTTACTGTGTAAGCGTATATTAGAATAAGACTTTTTTAAGATATCTTTACTGCGTAAGTGTATATTAGAAGAAGACTTTTTTAAGATATCTTTACTGCATAAGTCTATATTAGAAGAAGACTTTTTAAGATATCTTTACTGCTTAAGTCTATATAAATACTGTAAATCACTTTATATTTGCATGATTTTTATTTTGCAAAAAAAACCACTTTTGAATTATTTTGTGGCTTCATAAATTCACGATAGCAGAATCAAAATAAATTTGTGACATTTTGTTTATTAATATTACAGGTTGGGATGCCTCAAGTATTAATTTCCATACTGTGCTGAACTTATTCACAGTAATTCATCTTTAATGTTGTGTCATTAAGTGACCATTTTTGATATCATATACCAACATAATTGATTAATTATGAAAGGTATTTTTAATCCTTTATCATATCTGGTTATTGTTTGTTAATACAGAATTTGATAAAACGTTAAATGTTTGTAAAAAAAGGTGTTATAAACTTGTTTATAATATTTGAACAACAGTGCGTAATTTGTCCGTAGATCACTGTTTTATTGTTCATTTATTTTTATCTTAACAATATGTGTTTACATTCATCTGTTAAGTGCGTAATTTGTTGAAAATGTTTTAATTTGTTGATAATGTTGGAAAAATAATGTGAGGTTTTTTTGTGTTTTTGCATATAATAGCGAAAATTAAAACATCGCAAATAATAATGGATTTACAGTAATATGACCCTTTGAATGAGAAAATTTTGACCCCAGGCTCATTTATCATATAACTTCTGTAGAGGTCCACTTCACTTTTGTACCTGCAGTTGTTGCCATAGCAACCAATATGTCACTTGTATCTTCAAGAGCTAAAGGATCTGAGAAAGAATTCTCTGAACTGCTGCTGTGTAAACTACCCCTCGTATCAGAAACGGTTTTCCCTGTGGCTGCTGCTGTACCAAGATTTAAACTTTCCATTCCAGCTATGATAGCCTGACTGGAACTATCTACCTTGCATGTAGCTCCCTCTAGATGGTCATCAACATCTTAAAATATAAAAACAAAACTTATTATTGCAAACAAGCAAATGCCCCAAAAGCTGGGTGCAGTAAAGAAATCATAACCTTTGACTTACAACAAAGCCATGGTAAATATAAAATGAGTGTTACAAGTGTAAAGGAACATAAACACACTCTTAGTTAACTAAATTATTTTAAAAAAAAAACATCTATGAATGAACGACAAACATTTGACCAGACACAACCACCAATGTACTATTTTGACATCCAAGTACAACCTTTACCTTTCTAGCTGTCAACCTGGTGTTTTGTATGTGACAAGTATCCTTATTGTAACACAAAAGTAAGTTGCTCTGGTATTTCAAACTCTTTGAATGACAGAATTGATGACCTGATCTTGTCACATATATTTATAGATAATGATTCAAAATCAGTCCATGAATAACAAGCAAAGTAAGCATAAAACATGAACAAATATTCACTACATACAAGTGTGTCCTTGACCTTTCACCTAGAGACCTAATCACACAAATATCCTCTTAATGTGCATTTATGCAAAGTTGTTTGAACCAAGTTTGAAGAAAATCCTTCCAGGGGTAAAGGATTTATAGAAATGAAAGTGTCTGACATTTGACTTTCAAGGGTGACTTTGACCCCAAGTCAGCACAGCTGCAGCATAGGTTGCTGAACATCTGGGTCAGTTGAGGAAAATCCTCTTCAAGAAATATAGGATTTAAAACACAAAATTGTCTGACATTTGACCATCAAGTATGACTTTACCTTGAGCTGACACAGTGGTGGCATTGGATCAACACATCCCCTTGTTAAGGTAAACATTTGAGTTCAGATTGAGGGAAATCCTTTCAGGGGTAAAGGCTTTACAAAGTGGACACAAAATTGTCCAACAAATGAATGAGTTCTGCACATGGCCTTAATATGGTTATCACTTGAGCATAGCTTGAAGAAAATACTTCACGGGGTATAAGATTCAGAGCAGACATGAAACTTTCTGACATTTGACCTTGTTTGTGACCTTAATCTTTAAATCAGCACAGAGCCTGTTTGGGTCATTAAAATGAACTTTTAAGCTTAGTTTGTAAAATCCATCAAGGGTTTACAGAGCAGACACAAAATTGTTACTGACTTTCAACTGTGACATTGACCTTGAGCTGGCATGGAGGCAGCATGGGTTCTACACATTGCCTTGCTAAGGTAAACATCTGAGCCAAGAGAAAAAATTCTTAATGGTTAATGGAGTTAAAATGAGGACATAATGAAGACAGAGGGACAGACCATTTGACTGACTGACACGACAAAGTGAGTCCAGAATAGTCTCCCCTACATTTTGTGGTGGGGTATATTAAAACTTCCTGTATTAGTAACAAACAGAAAAGAATGTCTTTAACATGCAAAATGCTACAAAAGAGTCACAGTGAATAATCATTATAAATTTCTACACTTTATTTTGATAACATAACAGATAAAGCCGTTATATACAAACTTTTCATGATGGTTCCACATGCCTGAATGAGGAAGACTTTAGGTATCCCGACCATAGATGGACAGTTTTTAGCCGAGAACATGTTAACAATATCCTGTACTGGCAACATTTTTCCGTCAGTACACATTATTGTGCCTTTCCCCCCATATGATTGTATAATGACTACAAACATGCTCAGCTTGGCACTATCTTGCCCTCTCTCCGCCGCTAAAATATTTTCCAACTCCTGATAATAAACAAAATAATATTACCTGCTAGTAATACAGTTATACCATACATGAACTATAATTATGTCAATGCAAAAATAACATAATATATAACCAGGACACAGATGCCTGTCTAAATGGCATTAGTAGTCACAAAATCTGACCCTGTCTTTTAATGAAACAATCTTTAATGCTGTTAGTTGCCACTTTTATTTCAAATGGTTTTTAACCAATTCAATGTAGGACTTTTTTTACAAACAGACACTGATTTATATACTATTTTATATACTTATTTGTTAAGTAAAGTTACTATTGTACATATAGTCTGTACATGTTTATTGAAGTGTTACATGTAACAGATATAGCATGAAAATACAAATATGGTCTAATTTTCATCCCTGTATACATTATGTCCATGGCAACCTGGATATAGTTGTCATCTTGTGTATAATTGCCCATTTTAACAGAGTCTCCTTGTTGACTAGTATACACAGGTTAGACTGTATGTAATCATGAAATCTCATTAAAATGTTTAACCTTTACCACTCTAAATATCTTAAATGGACTTGTCCTTTATACAATCATGTCCATCATACAATGTGGCCAAAACTATTCATCTTTTTTAGGCAAAATTAAAGAAAAATTGTAAATTTTCAAAATTTGTAGTGACTGCTGAAGGAACAGTGCAGTCTATGATCAGATGACATGGATGAGATGGCTGACCTTGGTTTGTACTGGTTGCATCAGTAAACTCTGCTGGCCAGCCAGTGAAGGTTAAAATGTGGGGGGGGGGGTTGTTTACATTAACTTTTGATATACTGTCAATGAATTTTAGTCAGACAATTATTGCTACATTTCAACAGCTGTTGTAATAATTATTGATGTTATATTTATTGACTGCAACATCTGATGTTTTTAAACTTGATGTAGACACAAGTTTTTATAGAAAATATATGTGTGAAGATATTTCTTCTAGCTTTTATCTATGATTAATCATCTTGTTAAATATTATTTTCTTCTGTAAAATTCTCTGTTTAATTTTTAACTGATAGTTAAATTTATTAAATTTTATATATCACCTTAAACGATGGAAAAGTTCATCAATAATGCTGAACATACTTAGCATATAGCTGCTAGAGATGGACAATTTTTTTTTTTAATTTTCAACTGATAGTTTTTTACAATTTCATATACATTGTAATTATTTCTATGATGTACATGTTTTTATCAATTTTTTTTATATATTCAAAAATTGAAAAGTGTCTCAATCATATGCAGTATTTTTTCTTGGAAAAGAAGATATACATCCATATTTAAGCAAACAGCCTTAAAAACAAAAATTTCAAAATTTGCAATTTCAGTGAGTAAATCTCCCAACATGCATGTGACCGACAAATTGGCGACAATTAGGCCAATTTGACATGTAATCCCCGCTGTCAGTCACAATTTTATCAACTTTATCTGGATTTGGATTTATCAATCAGCGGTCAATAAGGGTAATTTTTTTCCTTTTTTTTTAGATAAACATTGGAAAAATATGCTTTTTACCAACAAATTACAGCTGAAACCCTGTACATCTTTCATTTATCCTGTTAAAGACTTTTTCTGGAGTTTTCATTTAGACATATAGGCAAAATAAAACTTGTTCAAGAATTTTTGTAAACTTGGCATGTTGTTAGAATATGATAACAGAAACTTTTTAAACGGAAAAATATTTGGGGTCACCGTTCTCATTTTCGAGTTATCTGCCTTGAATTGCACTTTTTCCTTAAATTCAAGGGCAGATAATTTACAATGAAGCGAAACAATACATTTTTTTTGTCTTATTTTCATGAAACTTACTTTTGTCTTAGACAATATGCAAAATTCCAAGAACAAATTTAGAGTGGATAGATTTTTCCCCACTTCTTCTCTTAACCTGTGCATTATTTCTTAAAAATTGACCTATTTTTTATGAATTTAAAGTACCTTTATTTTCATTGAAAAAAATTAACTGAAACGATATAAGGCATTGCATGTTATTATGTATTGTATTCAACAATAAAAAGAAAAACATGACCAAGAAGTAAAAACAAGAATTCATTTACGTATGTATAAGTTATCTGCCCTTTAAATGACCTTAAATAAGTAAAAAATTCTGATTCAGGGGCAGATAACTCAAAAACAAGAACAGTGACCCCAATTTTTTTTCTTAAAATGTTTCTGTTGTCATATTCTAACAACATGCCAAGTTTAAAGAAATTCTATAGAACAGTTTTAATTTAGCCTTTATGTCTATATGAAAACTCCCAAAAACGTCCTTAAACAGAATTAAATAGATAACTGACTGTAGCAATAAAGAAAAAGTGTTCTCAAATTATTTTTTATTTACATTAACATGAACTAGAGCTATCACTAAATGTGATTAATACCACCACAAAACTGCTTCAGAAATAAGGAAGTTACTAGTAACAGAATACCTTGTAAGAGTATTGAAATAAAGTTATGGTTGTGGGCAATTAAAGATAGATGTGGTTCTAGTATGTTGCATTTCCTTTCACTGCGGTTGACAATTGATGAAGTTTTAGTGAATTACTCTGTAATGTGTCCAGATAAGTTATGGTTCTACAGCACTGCACTTCCTCTCATTGTGCTTTAACATTGTATGAAGTTGCATTGAATTCCAAACATTAGTTTTTAAGTAATGCACTGGACAAGGAAAAGGAACAAAGGGCAATAACTCTGCAAATACTGAAGATGAAGTTATGGTATTGTACACTGCACTTCCTCTCATTGAGCTTGACCATTGTATGAAGTTGCATTGAATTCCAACTACTAGTTTTCAAGTTATGCACTGGACAAGAAAAAGTAACAAAGGGCAATAACTATGTAATTAGTCCAAATAGAGTTAATTATGGTTCTTGTGCATTGCACTTCATCTCACTGCACTTGACCATTGTATGAAGTTGCACTGAATTCCAACCATTAGTTTTCAAGTAATGCACTGGACAATAAAAAGTAACAAAGGGCAATAACTCTAAAATGAGTCAAGAAAGAGTTATGGTTCCTGTGTAATGCGCTTCCTCTCAATATACTTGACCATTGTACAAACTTGTATTGAATTCCAACAAGTAGATTTCATGTTATGCTCTGCTACAAGGAAATGGAAGAAAGAGCTCTATAATTACTCTGGATAGAGCTATGGTTCTTGTGTACTGCACTTCCTCTCAATGTTGTTGACCATTGTATGAAGTTGTATTGAATTCCAACCTAAAGTCTTCAAGTTATGCTCAGGACAAGGAAAATGCAACAGACTGTTCGACCGACCACCAAGTAACTCCTATATACACCCCTAACTTCGTTTCAACAACTGAGCACATGCAATTACTTATCAAGTTTGACCACTGTAGGTACAAGATGTTTTCTAGATATAATGTAGAAATAAAGTGGTCTATGAACATGCCTTGTAAGGATGATTGTTTACTTTTAAAGGGACTCCACTGAGATTTTTTGACATGACGGGACTGGAAATTTTTTTTTGAGATTATTACCCTATTTGATGTAGATCTGTACTTATAACTTATGTGCAAAATTACAGATCATCAGCTTGTTCCGTTTTTCCAAAATAATAATTATAATAGTGAAAAATGACCCAAAATTGAAAAGCGTTTAAACGCTTTTCACTCGAATCGGACAGAGAATAGCACAAACATACGATTTTCAATTTATTTCTTGTATGTTTCTTAGTTATATTTTATTTATATTTCTGTTTTAATAGCTTGTGTTGGTCTATGTGAAAAATTAAAATTTTATGTTTTAGGCTTATTAACCTCAGTGGAGTTCCTTTAAGATAAAACAAGACTGCTTACCTCCTTTTTTACATTGGAACTAGTTTGAATTTTAAATTGCATTTTTTTGAGAACCTGATGTATACGAATACTGTCAAAATCTGTTAGTTTCCTCTCTTCATAAATGTCACCATCAAATGTTTTATTGCTGATAATCAAAGCTCGCCTCTCTTTATCTTCTGACATTGGATATATCTATAAATATATAATAATGTCTTTAACATTTAATCTGCTAAATTTGTCTATTTGACTTGTTAAGAACCTTTTCACATATGATGTTGGTCATAGTTACAAACATACATTTGAAGTAAAAAACTTTAAAGGAAAATTCAATTTTTAAAGAAGCTACATGTATTAATAAAGATAATTCATACCCTCACCTCTGACCCTCTATAATATACACTACTGTCTCCCTATAACACACACTAATGACCTTTTATAATTCACACTGACCCGTTACAACTCACTACCGAGCTCCTATAATACTCATCCCTGACCATCTATAACACACACAAATGACCCCCTATAACACACAATGTCCCCGTATGACAAACTACTGACTCCTTTAACACACACTAATGACCCTCTATAACACACAATGTCCCCCTATGACAAACTACTGACTCCTTTAACACACACTACTGACCCCCTATAACACACACTACTAACCCCTATAACATACACTATTAAACCCCTATAACACACACTACTAAATCCCTATAACACACCCTGACCCACCAAAACACACTCTGGCCCCCTATAACACACCCTGACCCACTATAACACACACTGACCCACTATAACACACACTTACCCACCATAACACACACTGGCCCTAAATAACACACAGTCATTGGCCCCATATATCACACACTGACCCAATATAACACACACTGACCAACTTTAACACACCTTGACCCACTTTAACACACACTGACCCCGATAACACACACTGGCCCCATATAACACACACTGGCCCTATATAACACACACTGGCCCCATATAACACACACTGGCCCCATATAACACACCCTGGCCCCATGTAACACACACTGACCCCATATAACACACCCTGGCCCATTATCACACACACACTGACTCCTATATTACACCCTGACCCATTATAACACACACTGACCCCTATATTACACCCTGACCAATTATAACACACACTGACCCCTATATTACACCCTGACCCATTATCACACACACTGACCCCATATAACACACCCTGACCCATTATCACACACACTGACCCCTATATTACACCCTGACCCATTATAACACACACTGACCCCCTATAACACACACCCTGACCCATTATAACACACACTGACCCCCTATAACACACACAATGACCACAGAGACAATGGTTTGATGGAATCTTAAGATGACAAAGTCATGCCACTGAAAATGATATAGATCAGTGTATGACAGCGATATCAGAATGATATGAAACTGACGAGATTTAAATATTTTCACCTACATTTGGATCATGGAGTTGCTTCTTTAATTCCTCTCCTGTACAGAACTTCACTTCGAAGTCTTTACTGGCTAATGTCAGTTTCAATTTTGGCCAATCTTAAATTGAAGAAAAGAAATTTCAACCTTAGTTGCAAATTGTACTTTCTACACAATAATTACAATAAACAGCAGAAGATATAGAAAAAAGTTTAGCTTATGATATTCAACACTGTAAAATGTAAGTTTTGTAATGTTTCCTTGATATCATTATGTTTTAAATGTTACAAAAGGGTTGCGTTTTTTTACTGTTTCACTACCAATAAAGATTTGTTTGAACATTTTTTTTTTGTTTAAACATATTTATTTTAGCTTGAATGTAATACATATAATAAATGTTGAATAAGGGCTTAAACCCATGGTCCTTGGTTGAGAGGCACTAGGCCACAGCTGTGATGTTAGCAAATATCATCAGTATCATTTACACAATGACACCAATATGACAAATCACCTCTTTAAATGCTCTTATATATCTGTAGTCAAGATAAAACTATATATATACACTGATAAGTCTAGGATACCTGGCTTTGGTTTTGGAAAATTTTCTAGTAACTCTTCTTCAGCAGGATCAAATGGAGTTTCCTCCCTTGATTCCTGAGTTCCAAATACTGGCTGATGCTCATCATTCGGTGTTGAAGGCTGGGAACCAGCTTTTCCTCCACAAGCTCCAAAAGCTGGTGGCTGTGGTAAGCTCATTTCTGATTTACTGGCTGGTGATGGTGAGCTCTTTGTTTCGTTGTGTTCAAACGGCATTTGTACCGGTACAGGATAAGCAGGATTAGAAAGTTTCCCACCGGCTGGTTGACTACCTGATGATGATAGTTTCCCACCGGCAGGTTGACTACCGGATGATGATTTGGTAGGTGCAGTCTTGTTTGAACCAGGTTTACTTTCTGGTTCAATGGGTGTTACACCAGAATGGGCAAGCTGTGGATTTAACTTCACAGCAATTTCTCTCTGACCTGTCCTGATTAAAACATTACAAAATGTATCAAATGCAGATCTTCCTCTTTTAGGTAAAATATCTAACAGTTTTCTGGCTCTGGCTATTGGAGTTGGTTCAGCCTGTAAAACAATATAAACATTTTAAAATTTTAAAAGTCAGAAATAGATGACTTTTAAGTTACTTATCAGTAACCAGAAAATTTCAAAGGGGTTTAAATTTGAAATTGATGATTTTCATGAAAATTAAGTATCATATAAATTTTAGACTTTACCTTTCCACTGTAAAGTCAGATATTTTCCTGTAGACAAAATAAGCACTTGGGACTTATTATCAAGATAGAAATTTATGAATATTTTCCATGACAATAGTCCCACAGGTTGATTTTGTCCTCACGAAAAATATCTGACTTTACAGAAGAATAGTAACATGTTTATCACAGAGAAGCATTTTAATATTATGTTCACTATGGGTGCCTAAAAATGTGAAATATTTGCAGAGGTTTTTTTTTTACAGGATCTTCATTAAAGTTTGTATAAATTATGCTTTAATGCTCTTCTTTAATGTTCATTTCATATTTGCCCCCTCTATTACCTAGCTCAAAAATTAAAATATTTTTAAAATGATATCATGTCTATTGAAATAGAGATCATATCAATTCAGAAATAGATCATATCAGTTAAAGCTGCATTTTATAAATTATACGCAGTAAATATGACAATCTCTTGTGCAAACAAAGTTTTACCGTTTTATCTTAACATTAGCCCTGTCATTTACAAAAAAGTAATCATCTCATAAAAAAAAGATATAATACATATTGTATCAAAAGATCTGTTATTTAATGTAGAAATACATTGTTAAATTTGAACTACTAATTAAAGCTATGTTTGTTGATTTTCTATCAATGTACGGATGACCCAAAGGCGATGCAAATAGAAATTGTGCTTCCTATTTCACCACATTGAGGTTGCAGAACTTTAGGCTAACAAGAATTTGTAACAGAGTTACCAACATCCCCCGCCCCGGGAGTTTTATATGAAGCATAAAATTGTGCTATTTCAAAAGATTGAAGTATGGATCTCAGGACATTCAGTCCAAAATTATGATCAATGCTAGATCTGCAAATGTAACAATAAATTTGTTAAAAAAATAAAATGAAACACGGAATTTAAAAATCTATCATGTTAAGCTTTGACCTCTAAGTGTGACCTTGACCTTGGAGGTAGGGGAGCAGGTGTTGTGCATGACATAACGTCTTATTATTGAGACTATTTGTGCCAAGTATTTTCAAAATCCCTTGAACTATGAAGAAGTTATAGATTGGACACAAAATATACCCTATAACAGACTATGTAAATCTTTGACCTCTAAGTGTGACCTTGACCTTGGAGGTAGGGACACAGATGTTACGCATGACATATCATCTAATCATTGTGACTATTTGTGCCAAGTATTTTTAAAATCCCTTAATCTATGAAGAAGTAATGGACGGGACAAAAAATATACCAAATAACAGACTCTGTTAACCTTTGACCTCTAAGTGTGACCTTGACCTTAAGAGATAGGGGTGCAGGTGTTGTACCTGACATATCGACTTATTATTGTAACTATTTGTGCCAAGTTATTTCAAAATCCCTTGAACTATGAAGAAGTTCTAGATTCGACACAAAATATACCCTATAACAGATTATGTTAATTTTTAACCGCTAAGTGTGACCTTGACCTTGGAAGTAGGGATGCAGGTGTTGCGCATGACACATCCTCTTATTATAGTGACTATTTGTGCGAAGTATTTTCAAAATCCTTTGATCTATGAAAAAGTAATAGACCTGACACAAAAAATACCCTGAAACAGACTATGTAAGTATTTGACCTCCAAGTGTGACCTTGACCTTGAAGGTAGGTGACCTGTTTTTGCGCATGACACATCATCTGATTATTGTGAACAATTATCGCAAGTATTTACAAAAGTCCTTCATAGATAAGAAAGTTATGGACCGGACAAGACATATACCCTCAAATAGACAATGTTGACCTTGAATGAGCAAGTACGACCTTGACCCTGAAGGTACGGGTCTGGTTGTTGCGCATGACACATCTTCTTATTATAACAAACATTTGTGCCAAGTTATCTCATATTCCTTTGATAAATGACAAAGTTATGGACCTGACACGAAATACACCCTGTAACTGACTATGTTAATATTTGACCTCCATGTGTGACCTTGACCTTGAAGGTAGGTGACTGGTTTTTGCGCATGACACATGGTCTGATTATTGTGAACAATTATGGCAAGTATTTACAAAATCCCTTCATAGATAAGAAAGTTATGGACCGGACACGACATATACCCTCAAATAGACAATGTTAACCTTGAATGAGCAAAAACGACCTTGACCCTGAAGGTAAGGGTCTGGTTGTTGCGCATGACACATCGTTTTATTATAACAAACATTTGTGCCAAGTAACTTCAAATTCCTTTGATAAATGACAAAGTTATGGACCGGACACGAAATATACCCTGTAACAGACTATGTTAATATTTGACCTCCAAGTGTGACCTTGACCTTGAAGGTAGGCGACTGGTTTTTGCGCATGACACATTGTCTGATTATTGTGAACAATTATGGCAAGTATTTACAAAATCCCTTCATAGATAAGAAAGTTATGGACTGGACACGACATATACCCTCAAATAGGCAATGTTGACCTTGAATGAGCAAGTGTGACCTTGACCCTGGAGGTAGGGGTCTGGTTGTTGCGCATGACACATCGTCTTATTATAATAAACATTTGTGCCAAGTTATTTCAAATTCCTTTCATAAATGACAAAGTTATGGACCGGACACGAAAGTGTGACGGACGGACGGACAGACGGACGGAGCCTATTTCTATATCCCCCTTTTTTCTTTGAAAAGGCGGGGGACAATAAAACTCAAGTTGGTTATCGGGGCCCCAAAATAAGAACGAGAGTCGACATGATAACATTTATTAACAAAATGTAGTTATTTCTGTTTTTATAAAATTTATAGAAGGCAGCTTTAAGAAAGAGATCATATAAAAAAATTTTTATTAAGCATCAGTTAAAGCTCTTCTATAAGTCACAGTTTTACAAAGAATTAATGGCTAAAGCTAGAATTGATATTTCAAGACAGTTCTGCACATTTTAGAAGTTTTACCATTTGCTTTCTTAAAGGAGCACCACTGAGGTCAAAACCTTTAAAGCATAAAATTTGAAATTCTTGCATAAATCAAGGGCGAGCATAAACATCTGCAAAAGATAATAAAGAAATATACTTAGATTTAAATTGAAACTAGAAATGTGTCATCATGCCATGGATGCCCCCGCATGCAGCCAAAATTTCAAATGTTATAATACATGTATTTAGTTCCAAATTTGTTTGCACAAATTATTTTTTTCATTCTAAGTTCAAAGCCCTTAAAACTTTTCAATGTTAACACAAACCATTTTTATACAATGTTCAAGGCACTGAAATTATTCAGTCTTAACCTTTTGAAAATAGCATATTGCATATTTGTAGCCAAAATAATGGCTATATACATTTCCACAAAAGTATGAGTGCTGAAACTGAAAGTTCAAATTTTTTCCAACATTCAGGAAAGATAAGTTTGTCCAAAATCATTGAACCCACGACAAATTCAAACTTAAACTGCTTATTCCTAAGATGTATCTATATTATTATCAAAAGTGAAAGGGACATAACTCTGCCAAAAAAAATCATCGAACCATGACCAAATTCCAACTTGACCTGCGCATTCCTTTGACATATCCATATGTCAATTTTGAGTTGAATATGTAACACTGTTGGGTTGATAATGAACAGAAACTGAAAATTTCATATTATTTTCAAAGTAAAAGGGGGATAACTCTGCCAAAAATCATCGAACCATGACCAATTTCGAACTTGACCTGTATTTTCTCATGACATATCCATATGTCAAGTTTGAGTTGAATGTGTTGTACCGTTGGGGAGATAATAAACGGAAACTGAAAATTTCATATTATTTTCAAAGTAAAAGGGGCATAACTCTGCCAAAAAACATCGAACCATGACCAATTTCGAACTTGACCTGTATTTTCTCATGACATATCTACGTATATGTCAAATTTCAGTTCAATATGTGCAACGGTTATTAAGATAATGAACGGAAACTGATGATGACAGAAGGACGGAAGGACGGAACAGGGTAACACTATATGCCCCTTGGCGGGGGCATAATAAAAAGGAGCCATTTTTTGCACAATTTTTATCTAGGTTTGGTCATTTTACATAATAAATTATTCTGGGAACACAGATAGAGGGAATCATCTGAAATTTTGTACACAATTTCTTTGTCAAGACCTAAATCAATTGATACACAAGTCCTGAAAAATTTATTCCTGTTTGTTCATGTAAAAAAAAAGCCCTTAAATGTCTAAAAACTTCAAAAAGCTTACATGAATGTCTTGAATCATGTTAGTTGTTAATATATCTTTTTCATGTAGATAATCTGTGATGCCGAGAACATCCTCAATCTCTTTAACAAGATAGGAGCGATTCTCACGCAGAATCTTCCTGTGTATTTCCTCCATTCCTCTTCTTACACACAGTCAGTCAATTACTGTAATTAAATAACAATCAGAAATGAAACTATGATATCTATATGTTGACTGTAATCCTGTAACAATCAGAAATGAAACTATGATATTCATATGTTGACTGTAAACCTGTAACAATCAGAAATGAAACTATGATATTCATGTGTTGACTGTAATCCTGTAACAATCAGAAATGAAACTATGATATTCATATGTTGACTGTAAACCTGTAACAATCAGAAATGAAACTATGATATTCATATGTTGACTGTAATCCTGTAACAATCAGAAATCAAACTATGATATTCATATGTTGACTGTAATCCTGTAACAATCAGAAATGAAACTATGATATTCATGTGTTGACTGTAATCCTATAACAATCAGAAATGAAACTATGATATTCATATGTTGACTGTTATCCTGTAACAATCAGAAATGAAACTATGATATTCATATGTTGACTGTAATCCTGTAACAATCAGAAATCAAACTATGATATTCATGTGTTGACTGTAATCCTGTAACAATCAGAAATGAAACTATGATATTCATCTGTTGACTGTAATCCTGTAACAATCAGAAATGAAACTATGATATTCATGTGTTGACTGTAATCCTATAACAATCAGAAATGAAACTATGATATTCATATGTTGACTGTAATCATGTAACAATCAGAAATGAAACTATGATATTCATATGTTGACAATCAGAAATGAAACTATGATATCCATGTGTTGACTGTAATCCTATAACAATCAGAAATGAAACTATGATATTCATATGTTGACTGTAATCCTGTAACAATCAGAAATGAAACTATGATATTCATATGTTGACTGTAATCCTGTAACAATCAGAAATGCAACTATGATATTCATGTGTTGACTGTAATCCTGTAACAATCAGAAATGAAACTATGATATTCATCTGTTGACTGTAATCCTGTTACAATCAGAAATGAAACTATGATATTCATGTGTTGACTGTAATCCTATAACAATCAGAAATGAAACTATGATATTCATGTGTTGACTGTAATCCTGTAACAATCAGAAATGAAACTATGATATTCATGTGTTGACTGTAATCCTATAACAATCAGAAATGAAACTATGATATTCATATGTTGACTGTAAACCTGTAACAATCAGAAATGAAACTATGATATCCATATGTTGACTGTAATCCTGTAACAATCAGAAATGAAACTATGATATTCATGTGTTGACTGTAATCCTATAACAATCAGAAATGAAACTATGATATTCATATGTTGACTGTAATCCTGTAACAATCAGAAATGAAACTATGATATTCATATGTTGACAATCAGAAATGAAACTATGATATCCATGTGTTGACTGTAATCCTATAACAATCAGAAAAAAAACCTATGATATTCATATGTTGACTGTAAACCTGTAACAATCAGAAATGAAACTATGATATTCATATGTTGACTGTAAACCTGTAACAATCAGAAATGAAACTATGATATCCATATGTTGACTGTAATCCTGTAACAATCAGAAATGAAACTATGATATTCATATGTTGACTGTAATCCTATAACAATCAGAAATGAAACTATGATATTCATATGTTGACTGTAATCCTGTAACAATCAGAAATGAAACTATGATATTCATATGTTGACAATCAGAAATGAAACTATGATATCCATGTGTTGACTGTAATCCTATAACAATCAGAAAAAAAACCCTATGATATTCATATGTTGACTGTAATCCTGTAACAATCAGAAATGAAACTATGATATTCATATGTTGACTGTAAACCTGTAACAATCAGAAATGAAACTATGATATCCATATGTTGACTGTAATCCTGTAACAATCAGAAATGAAACTATGATATTCATATGTTGACTGTAAACCTGTAACAATCAGAAATGAAACTATGATATTCATATATTGACTATAATCCTGTAACATTCAGAAATGAAACTATGAAACTAGCAGCCCAGTAAAAGATACCAATCAAATTAATATGAGCAAACTTGATAAAAGACTACTTAAGAATGCTACAGACAAAGTTTGGTGATCATTCATCATATTTTAGTAGGAAATGATGTTCAAAGATTTTCTTTTTTTAGCTTAATTGACCCCTAAAAGGGGCCAATCAAATTAATATGAGCAAACTTGATAAAAGACTACCTAAGAATGCTACAGACAAAATTTGGTGAGCATCTATAAATCAGTTCTGTAGAAGGAGATGTTAAAAGGTATTTCTATATTTAGCTTTAGTGGCCCCTAAAAGGTGCCAATCAAATTAATATGCGCAAACATGATAAAAGACTACCCAGGAATGCTACAGACAAAGTTTAGTGACCATCAATCAATTATTCTGTAGGAAATGATGTTCAAAGGTTTTTTTTCTATTTTTTAGTTTAAGCAGTCCCTAAAAGGGGCTAATGAATTTAATATGAGTAAACTTGATAAAAGACTACCCAAGAATGCTACAGACAAAATTTGGTGATCATCCATCAATTGGTTCTGTACAAGGAAATGTTTAAATTTATTTCTATTTTTAGCTTTAGCAGTCCTTAAAAAGGGCCAATCAAATTAATATGAGCAAACTTGATAAAAGACTACCCAAAAATGCTACAGACAAAGTTTGGTGATCATCCATCCATTAGTTCTGTAGAAGAAGTTGTCAAAAGGTTTTTCTATTTTTAGCTCTAGAGACCCCTAAAAGGGGCCAATCAAATTAATATAAGCAAACTTGATAAAAGGCTATCTAAGAATGCTAGACAAATTTTAGTGATCATCCATCAATTACATGTAGTTCTGTAGAAATAGACGTTTAAAGGTATTTCTATTTTTAGCTTAAGTAGCCCTTACTTGGGGCGTAGTAAGGAACATACATGTAATTACATGTACAAGTCAGATTTTAAAACCATGTAGTAATGAAAAATGTGCCTGCTCTATGTGTATCTAAAAATTTTTGATTCATGTTCTATTTCACTTAATTCCCATTTTTGCTTGAAAATAATTTAGTTACCATTTCCTTGAATTATGTACTATGTATATATGTAATTAAGAAATAATATATCTCAAACAGTGATTTTATCGCTCAATAACATCACTGTTAAGAGTTCGGATGCGAGGAATTATATCACGAGGGTGTAGCCCAAGTGATATAATGATGCGCATCCGAACGACAAACAGTGATGTTATCCAGCGATAAAATCAGCGATTTGAATATATTATTTCGATTCTAACACGACATCAACAAATAAATGCTGCTGTACCTGATATTCAGCAAAATTGCGCCTGATTTGTTTCCGTTCTTATTATAAGCGCGTCGGATTCTTTTAGTGGTTACGTCACATGCATAATGATTACGTCACATATCTAAAACTGTGACTCTGTTGCATAATAACACACACTTTCGGTTCTTCTATATTTGATAGTGAAAAATGCAGGTCGTGTTAGAATTCCCTGTTATCCATACTTCATTAGACAGGACTGTATTTTCATTTTAAATGCTCTGATTTTCATAACAATGACAACATGGAATTAATTGAATGTATTATTATCTTAACATTTGTTTCTTTATTTTTGTTTCTTATTATCTTTTGTTCATGTCGGATACAAGCTTAAAGCTTATGTTTTGTACTGTTAACCATCACACACTGTAAATAAAGTTTGTCTTACTGTCTTACTATGGTATAGACCAAATATATTTTATTTCTGAAAAAAAAAATGTTATAAAGGGCTATTATAGCTTTTGTTGTTCAGTGTTGTGGGGTATCTAAAACTGGTGATGCTTTGTTAACCAATGTTGACAAAATCACTATTATCACAGGAGTAGCAAGTTGATTTTTTCCATAGATTTTATGTAGGCATTTTAATCTATTGAGTAGACTATAATACAGTATAAGTTAACAGAAACTAAACTGTTTATGTTCATCACAATGAAAATAATATAGTATTCAATAATACACAAATTGTTTTTCTTTTTTAAAAATGCATAGGGTTATTTCATCGATATTTTTTTGAAATTTAATCTTCCTGCGTAACCAACCCTTACCTGCTAGACACACTGGTAGCTACTACCAGCTTTCATGGAATTGATTATTTTACGATGATGTCATAACATGTCCGCCAAATTTGTTGTAGGCAGTACAAATTTGAAATAAATCTCATGTATGCGTTAAGACAGGTACAATTTAATTTTTGGAGGGGGGGGGGGGGGAGTTAGTACTAGAATTTATAATCTATTGATTTTTAGAAGACCTTGAAGTTATTTCAGATTAAAGCACTAAAAATCAGTCCAAAATATTGATAGTAAATCTTTTTCACTGTATTTTACAGCCGAGTAAAGGCTGTTCCCTTAGCCAAAAATAGGTATATTTTCCCCTAAAATGCCTCTTGCTCTTCCTTACAAGAACCATCTGATAGTGTTGCCGGTAAATTTTCTGTGCTTAAAATTAGTCATAATGGTTTGACAGTATGAAACAAGAGGGCCATGATGACCCTGAGGTTGCTCACCTGTATATAGGCCCCCGGAGCGGGGCCAGTTTAAACCCCAGGGCTTTTGATGTTTAAAGGTAAGAATTTTATCGTGTTACAATCTGTTGTATCTTTTATCAGAGTCGAAAGAAAAAATGGCCACCATTTACATATTTTACTGTAAGTTTCAGGGGCGCAGGAATTTGTTTTCAAGAATTATTTCTTTGAACAAAATCCCCTTTTTTACCAAATTCGCTATTCAAAAGTAGATTATTTTGCTATTTTGACAGTTTTTATTGTGTTACATGATAAATACAAATGTAGAAAAACATGCTTCTGTCTTTTGATATCAATTTTATCAGGCTCGGTTGATATGGGCAGAAAGGGCTCGGCAAGCCTCGCCCTTTCTAGCCCATATCAGCCTCCCCTACAATAAACATACTTGATCACTATTGAATACATTTAACATTTTCTACATAAATGATTGTTTAACACAAAATAAATCAAAGCACAGAAGGCGCTGAATTTGTTTGGGTCTCAGAATGTAAGAAAGGTGCAGGTTGTGAGATTATATGTTTAGTGCCACCAATGCTTTCCAGCGTTTTAATTGTAGTAAATTGGCTATAAGACTAATTGCAACACTGATATTCAATCCAATGTTTATTTGACTTTAACAATTTAAAAAAATAAGTTACCTTTACTGGGATTTGAACTCCAGACCTCTCGCTTCCTAAGCGAGCCCGAAAACCCTTCAGCCACGGTTAAATTTATATGTGAACGGCCTGAAGAAAACCATATTATTCTAAATTAGGGCTTGTAACGACTTTTAACTGTTGTTTAACACAGATGTAAATAATCCTGAAGCTTACTATAAGCATGTATATTTATAAAGAATCAAAGGGCTTCATGTTCTTTGGTATTTTCTGATCTTTGCAATCTAAATCGTACTGTATATCTGTATGCATTTTCCTGTATAAGTTTATTTTTATGTATTATAATTCATTTTGTAAGGCACATACGGAATTCTGCATAACTAGAGTTGCATCAAAAAATCATTTATGTACTTTTTTTACGACAGCCACACTTTATCCTTGTAAATCATGGCTACTTCCTTAACAAAAACAATTAAAAAAAGAATTTAACCAAAAAAAATTTTCCTCGACTGTGTTTCGAACTCGAGACCTCTCACTCACTAAGCGAGCGCGTTACCACTGTACCACGGAGAAGTTATACACAGTGTGTCTGAATAATATCAAGTCATTCTAAATTTAGAACTTCCATTGCATTCAGGTTTGTAATCCTTATTAATTTCGAGGTATTTTGTTCAGGGTAAACCTGTTGTTTAAAATTGAAGTAAATATTTTAGCGAAAATCCTCTCGCCCAAACAGTCCGACATGTAGAATCTATATATTCCACTACTCGGTTTGTGTAGTATTCGGTAATCTACATGGCTAAAAATAGTATTTTCATTGATAAAAATCATATTCATCCGCGTAATTTGTGATTGTGCATTTATTGACAATTCTATAAGCCAACGCTATTGTTTAACTTTAAATGCGTTGTAATTTGTTGGATACTTGTAACAAAATAAAATATTTCTTTCTTTTAAATCGCTAGTTTTAAGCTGTTTTGAGAACTACTTGTGTTGTTAGGTTTGTCATAAACTTCTGTGTCAGAGATTGAATGTCCGCTTTGTATTTAGTTATTTTCGATCAGAAAATACCAGAAAACAATATTAGAAATCTTCGACCATTCGGGAATTACTTTGCTTGAAAATTGATGCGCCTGTCTTTGACCATCTTTACGCAGTGATCTCCCCTGAATTTTTCGGCTTTAGTGTACATACAAAAGGGAAGTAACCGCTTCAAAAAAGTGGACTACTTTCGGCATTTGCAATTAAGAACATTAGACTCTGAAATTTCGCTACCATTATTTGTTTGGTCTGACGACCCAAACAAATAAAAATGGGGGGTGAAGTGTCTCAATCAAATTTCTTAAAATGAGGGGTGAACTGTCTGAGGGGTGAAGTGTCTGCAAAAAAGGGCCTAGGGTGAAGTGGCTGGGGATTGAAGTGTCTGTAAACCCATACTGGTTGGGGACCACCAAAACCGGACAACCACCAAACCCGGACGGCCCCGAAAATGCTTAATTTAATATTTTCTTTGTTCAGTGGTTGTCAGTCACTTTTTTATCAACAATAAGTGCATGTTTCTTTTAAAATTAAGTAAATAAATTTATTTCAACCTCCGTAAATGGTATTTTTTAATGTCTATTTCAAGAATGTTGACGTTGCAATTCAGGGGTCATGAAAGCAATGCCTGACCTCATATACCAGCTATAATCATTTGCAGAGTGAATAATAGAATATCCAAAACTTCAGCATTTGTTGCTGACATATTTTATATCATGTTACAAATCAAAAATCAAAACACCCAAGCTTTTATCTGAATTAAATCACATCATGTATATATCTGTCCGGACACATGGTACTGCAGTGTAGACAATGTAGGTAATTTTGATACCCTCCTTGTCGAGCCTATGATATAAGTGTCAATACAATCAGAAATAAACAAACTAGTTTGTTAGTTAAGAGAAGAACTTAGCTGAACTGTGTCAAATTTTTTGGTCTCTAGGTTAAAAATAATGAAATCTGTACGGAAAAATGTTCCAAAAGTGTCCGGTTGATGGTCTCCGACCAGTATAGATATGGAAGCCAGAATACACTGTAAATAATATTTTGTTCTGACAGTATCTATTCAAAGACACCAAATTCTCATTGATGTAATAAATATATTAAATCATCGATTATTTAACACATAAAATAATTAATGCAATTTTACCAGTATAACTTGCAATATTATAATGTAAAGCAAGAAAATAAAATGGAAATTTACAATGATTCCTCTTATGCTACTTTCGGTTTTGGCATTCGGAACTGCCTCGGCTATTATCTATAATAACCTCGGAAACAATACGGGTTGAAAGTAGGTCTACCACGTGGTTTCAGATTAAACTGAAACAGAGATAATGTAAAACGAATGTATATATTTGACATCTAATGTCTGTTCCGGTACACTTATGCTTGAAAATATGTCTGACAACAATTTGTAATTTAAATATGCCTACTGATGTTCAATTTTAAACAAATCCGACTAAATGTCAACTTGTTGATTTTTGTACTTTCGGTTTCTACAACCATAATAATAAATATATAAATAATGTATTGTTTGCTTTTGTACCTATGAATTCACTTATTTTAGGTGGACTTTACTAAATCTATTGGAAATAAACTTGTCAACAACTCCCAGCATTAAATTACTATTTGTTTACATGTTTAGTTTCTTAGCGTAGGTTAGACCGACATACCGCATCCGTTCTGTATATTCATACTATTATGTTCGAGCAATCGGAACTCCTCGGGCGACTTACAAGAATTCACTCAATCTCCTACGCAGTGATCTCCCCTTATCAGTACAATTCTGCCAAGGGAGGTAATCACTGTGAGGAGTTTGGAATTCACTGGGAAAACTCCGCCATCTTTGTTTACATCAATAATTAAAATCGGTGCTTCGCCGGGCCGTATAACAATTTGGTGTATTCCTACACTTACATACGAGGTCAATCTCCGAACTTGACGGAGATTGCCGAGTTGTTACGATTGCGTTTTTGGTTGGATGATATAATAGCTGTCGCTGTCGTTCCGTATGTCATGCGGAGGGGTCAGACTAACGTATAATTTTCCCGTAGACTTACCTTATATAATGATAAATGGTCCCCAATCCTGCCTTCAAATTGAGTTTTCGAACTAATTAGGTGATTGGTCTTTAAGAATGTCTGACATAAAAATGATCTTGTTAAAAATAGGCGTAGGCATTTTTTTTATTGTGACTGAATTCAAAGAGGTTTAACTACTGACTTTCTGCTGGGTAATGGGTCAACTCGTCAACTCGGCCCTATACCAACTCGGCACAGGTCAGCTCGGCCCTCTATTAAAAACATATATTAGGATATAGATTGTTTAGATTGTTTAGTTAATAAAAAAAATTAAGGAGAAAATTACTATACAGTACAGTAAAGTTTTTCAGAAATGTGATCACTTACAAACAGAAATTGAAAAAGTTGGCAGTATACCCGTACGTATTGTTTGAAATTATCTTTGTTAAGTTCCCAGTTTGTTTATATAAATAAGATTGATTCCGTTTCAATTCTTTTTCAAGACGCAAAAGTTAGTTTCTTTTATAATTGGTTTTGTCTTTATTAGTTTTATACAATAGAGAATGGTTACTGTAGTAGTATTCCGTCTCCAAAGGGCGGTCCTGCTTATCAAAAGATCGTGACCGAATCACGCATAATATTAGTGCATGATCAAGTTATATTTAGATCTACTGACAGAGTTTAAACGTCTTGGTGAGACATATCATTAACCTTGCCGGTGGGGCCTCCGTGGCCGAGTGGTTAAAGTCGCTGACTTGAGATCACAGGTCCCTCACCACTGTGGGTTCCAGCTGGCTTACGGAAGGTCGGTGGTTCTATCCAGGTGCCCGCTCGTGCCTGAAATAATCATAGATATTTTAGGTGTAACATAGTTGATACATGCTTATTAATTGGTACCACGTAACGAAGTCTTTTAGTGCATTTACTTGTATCTAAAGCTGTTATATAAATGAAATTAGCAACTGCCAAAACGAAAAAACCCTACATATCCCTTTAAAAGTGAAACTTTTTTTTTCGAGAAAAAAAAACTAAATAGATCTAAACCCTTTATGATATACAAATACGTAATTAAAAAAATTGTGATAATAAATTGAAACAAAAAAAAAAACAATTTCAAAGGGAAGGGATGGTGGCACAATTAACTGAGCAAGCCTTTCCTTTTAAAAGGAAACTTTATTTACAAGTGGGCCGAGTTGACCCGTGCCGAGTTGGAATAGGGCCGAGCTGACTCGAGGGCCGAGTACGTTTTAGGGCCGAGCTGGCCCTGATTCTTTCTGCTGATAACAGGCCCCGAGGTTATAAAAATTTGAGATCGGCCTCCCAGCTCAGAAACGAGCTCCGTGCTAAACTTTGAGATCAAACTCAGGAAAGTTGAGGTTATTAAAAATTGAGTTTGTGTTCAGTCTCAAGTTGAGCTCAGAGTCTGAGATTAATAAAACCCTTCCTCAGAGGTTTAGCTCATATTTTGATCAAAACAAATATGGCCGCCAATCTCCGCGTTCGTAGACTGAACATGCAAAACTCACATTATAATCGTGTTCCGGGGGTATTTAAAGATCGTTCCAATCCTTTGGAAGATCTTTCCGAAGACGAGGTGTAACGTAGATCTATACCGATTTCATCCTGATACGATTGTGTACATCCTTTCATTATTGCCGTCTTTATGCAGCAGAACTGCGTTGTTTTCAGAAGACATTCTAACTTTACGTATGGAGCAATCTGACAAAAGTTCAGATCTACTTAATTTATTTCTTGTATGAAGATCTGATCGCCACCGTACACGTATTTGTTTGGCAATGCAATCAAAACGTCATTTACAAACAGGCATTTGACGAAGTATCAAAATATTTTTCTCCGTGTTGAAGCAGGATCTTTTCTATTTGAAAGATTCTGGTGAAAGTAAAACAAATTGTTGATTTTTGTTAGAAAAAATTGTTTGAAGTAATTTGAAACAAATAAACTGGAAATAATAGACTCAATTTTAAATGGGTAAGGTTGTTTTGCCAGTTTACCTGCCGGCTATATGTACAATGCCATGTTGTTCTCCAAATCGTGAATATTACTTACTCAGTATTGGTTTTCAAGCGGTTGAAATTAGAAACCGTATAGCTTTCAAAATTGTTAAAGCTCGCTGATGATAAGCTGTTTGAAAGGTCACAAGAAGGTGACCTCCTATTGGTGACCGAAATTAAGATCCTTATGCGCAACAGTGTTTATTAGAAGCTGTTTTTTATCAGATTACCTACTGAGGTATGTAAAACATAGTGACAGATAGCAAGCCCACCTGTACTTTGATTATTCATGTAATAAGCACGAAGCGAAGCAAGATTTGTTATTTAAATCTTTGGTATAGAACCCTCATAAAATGTCAAAAATAAGCACTTGACTACCCTTGACAGTTTAAATTATATGTTTCATACTGGAACAAATTCAGGATCATGCAATAGATCTATTAAATCTGTGTGCACTGTGAAAATTCGAAACGTAATATATGATTAAGGAAACTAATAACAACACAAGAGCCAACAATACCGTACAATTATCTAATTTCATTTAACAAACTTGTTGTTATAAATAACATAACCGACACTGATATCGACATCACTTTTCGATATTTGTTCTACATCTTTCAAACCGAGCACAATTATTTACATCTAAGTGTTAACTTTTTTGCATCTGGTATTTTATTTCAATAGTGAAATGATGCTCTCTGGGTCTTGATTACCACCTGTGGCCAGTAACCCATAGAATTCATCTACAATTGGTGGAGTGTATGTGGTACGACACGCTGATGGTGACATTGTCAGCTCTGAAAATACTACGGTTTTTTTATTTACATACAAATCGACACGAACGTACAAAAGGCCACGAGAAAGCTGCTTTGCAACTTCTAACATCTCTCTCAAAACGACCGGCTTTTTAACATCAGTTGTGGGTTCGGGTATCGTTTTGTTCATACCTATTTTACGCCAGGTTGGCGTGTAAAACGCTTTAAAATGTCCCTTAAACCGATTCGTGTACACCTCAATCATTGCCGGTTTCTCGTGGAAAGTATGTATCTTGTAATCATTATTCTGTGATATCATTTCCTCAAAGAAACATTGTCGGTGTATCTCAGAGTAATGGCGTTCATCGTGTATCTTTCCAAAATCAATAGACAGCCATTTACGACAATTTATCATTAAAAACTCTAACTGCAATATTTTCGAATTACCAGAATATTTCAATTTTCCGCAGTAACCATGACAAGTAAATGAATTATTTTTAACAATGACGGTCATATATGCCCCATGATTTGCTTTAAATATGTACTTATTTGGCAGTGACTTTATCATTTTAAGAGTAATATCGCTAGCGTTTGTAACAGTTGCATATGTTTTTGGAATTTGAATGTTTAGGTTATATTCGCGGACAATTTTCTTTACGCCTATTTTATCTGCATATTTTGCAAATGTAAGGTTATTTTTTTAAATTTTGTTTACAAAACTGGTTCCATCCTATTGTACTTGTATTATTTCTTATAGGTTTGACATTCCCGTGGTTGTGATCATATACCGGCACATCACTAGACTGGTTTAATATATCACGTGCAAAAGTTTTCCATATTTTCTCTCGCGTTTTATCAGATTGTACGTTGGTAATTTCTCGTGTACCATCCTTCCGCGTTTTAGGATTTGTTACACATGTTGTATCAGAAACTTTCATGATACATCCGTCCAAAATATGGTTACATCGATAGGAATACCAAATATCGGTCCCCCATCCTTTTATTATTGGATCGAATTGGACTATAAAGTCATTCAGTTTCCATGGTAAAAACATTGGAGCGTTCATTTCGATAAAATTGACATCACGCACACCCTCTCTATTTAATCTTAACAGTTGACGATATGAACCTGTCGTATGACACGGTGAAAATATGTCGGCATCCGTATTAAGCATTTGCACAAATAATGAATTAATGCTGTCAACAGAACACACCGTATTACCGGCGGCAGTGATGGCAGATCACTGCAGTGATGGCAGATATCTGAAAATTACCGATCGATACAGGTAGGTTATAAATTTGGTTGGTTTTATTATATTACACAAATACGGCCCATTTCATTGCTATAAAACTATTGTCCATTGAATGGAGATACTATAAGGTAATTTTGGACTCGTTTTTTCCTGTTTTTAAGACTATTTTGAGCAGGTTAAAAGTGAAAGCCT